TTAAGCTATAGAATAGCTAAAATAAAGATAATTTACTAATACTAATACTAAAACTTAAAGACAAAGAGGAATAGAAAGTTAAGGAGATTTAAGGTAAAAGAATCTTTAATAGAGTATTATACTACTATATAAAATAAGCTAGATAGCCCTTAGAATATAACTAATAGAAACCTATAGAGTACTTAGAAAATACAAAAGATATAATATCTTTATTTAGAAAAATATAAACTTAAAAAACTATATTCTAACGATAACAAAGTACTCCTAAAACTCCTTTAAACTATATCTAAATTAATACCAAAAAGAAAAGCTATTAGACTCCTGCCAAATAAGACTGTTTAACTATAAAAAGAGAGAATAAGTAAGACAAAGAATAAAGACTACTACAGAAGCCTATATAAATCTAAAAGTACCTTAATCTAGTTAATAATCTATACTATAGCCAGAGTTAAAATAATACTATTCAGAGTTATATTATACTTAAACCCTACTATAATCTCTAAGAAGAAAGATTAAATAGTACTCTACTAGAGATTAAAACCAGTATTACTAATCTACAGCTGTAGAAGGTTACTAAAATAACTAAAGAGCTAAGCAGAAGGTAAGCTAGTCTTAGTATTTAATTTCTTTTGTTATTTAACGATAAATACAGTATATCTCTTTATAGCTTAATCTATATTCTGTATATTAAAATAGAGCTTATACTAAGAGAGATAGACAGAGATTATCTTCTAAAATAATACTAAAAGATAAGCAGATCCCTTAATAACTATAGTCTTACTTTCTATACTCTAGATAGGTATAGTACTACTAATAACAGTAACAGTAGTACCACTACCCTAAACTTTATATATCTAGTCGAAGATTAACTAGAGCTAGTATAAATCGCTATAGATCCTATAGGGTATCTAAGGTAAATCAGTATTAAATCAAACATAAATCAGAAGAATCTTATACCTAGAAGTAAGTCTTTCTATCCCTCTTATATAGAGTATAGATAATTAAGTTAGAATAATCCTAGTTATATTAGATTATAGGAACAGTACTAACAGGAGAATAAAGGGCTGCTTTGGCTATATACTTAATACAGAAGGTAAATAAAAGACAGATAATTTAATTATAGAGAGGATAAGGACTAAGGACAGTACTGACCATACTTCTAGGACTATTATTATTATTACTATCTCTACCTACAGCTCTAGTATAATCTTTACCTTTAGCCGCACAATAACTACCCTAATAACTACTAGAAGGACGAACAGTACCTACAGAAGAAGGACTACCAAATTCAGCAGTAGCAGGACTAGTAGCAGCAGATATAGCAAAGGATTATAATTTAACGATAAAAGAAAGGGACAAGATAAGATAAAGATAAGAGAAAAGTAAGAGTTAAGGACAGAAAGATAGAAGCCTTTATCTTAGAGATATTAAAGAGATTATATTGCTTTGTTTATATCTATATACAAACGCACCCAAAGCAGCACCTACCCCAGGCCTTTGTACAAGATAATACCATTCAGCTCAGATCACCTAACCTAATTCTGACCTTTGTTGGTGGTCGAGTCGACCATCTCTGAGAGAAGAGGATAAATTATCACAGGATTCAAAGTATACGATACCCCAGACTCTCAAGGCCGATTCATGGACGAATCCCCTTTGAGTTACCTGCATATCGATATCTACCCGAACCCTAATGTATTTAAGATCCCACAAGCATTCTGAATTCTTGATCTTCTCAAGAATCAGTCTCTGTATCGACTGCCTAATCTGATCTCTACCGTCCGATATCCTTGCCTAGTCACAGGTCTCTAGCCTGACAACTTAGTAACCATTACAAATGGCATGCTAGTTCGGATTAGGCCTATATTATACTATATACCACTTCTTTACTGTCTTTATGCGCCATCAACCAATTATCACGCATAGTAGGTGTGGGTATTCGGTATTGTGCTAAAAAAGGGCGCTAAAATGGCAAGCGGACGGACGAGGGGATACAAACAACAGCAATGTTAATGCCGTGCAACAATAGAGGCTGAGCTGAGAGGGGAAAAAATAGCGGGGCTAACTGTGGGGTGGAGACCAATGGTTGATTATTACTTGTAATTACGGAGTATTCCTAGTGTCGGTTGCAATAGGGGTCTGAGACGTCGATCGGTTTTAGCCAATACATAAATTTGAGGGTCAAAAATCAGGGTCTTCCCTGCTCTGATAGCTTTGTTTCCTTCCAATGTTTAACCACTTCCCCTTCCTTCCGACACAACATAATGACACCCCTTCCAATGCTTGATCTCCCTGTGGAGCTGGTTCATACGATATTATCGTATCTCCCCAATAGCGATATCAAGTCCCTCCGCCTTGTCTCTAAGCAATACTGCGATTCGGTGCAGCTCCGACTCTCCAGAGTGTTCTTGTCAGCCAATCCTCTCAACATCAAATTCTTTCGCGCCGTTGCAGATCACGAGGAATTTCGCCACAATATAACTGAAATCATCTGGGATGATGCACGGCTTTCCCACGGCGGTGACGATATTATCCATCCCGAGCAGGGCATCTGGTTACCAAACACCGATATAAGTGACAATGAAATTGACGAGTTCAACGAGGAAGAAGACTGGGACGAAGGGTTGGAAGATCCATATTTTCGAGAGGAGGACTATGATCGTGTTCAGCTCGTGATACGAAGTAGGAGATTCAAGAGGCAAAGGTGCCCCCACTGGTTTAAGGCTGCATGCAAGCAATCTTTAGAGCGTACGATTGACCGGCGCTCAGGGAGTTCCCTTTTACCTGTGGAATGTCCCAGTATACAAGACCTGTGTGAAGTTGGGCCCTCATTGGGCGAGTGTTGGGAATATTATCGCCAATTAGTCAAAAAACAAGATGATGTTCTTGCCGGAGGCTATGACGAAGAGGCGTTTGTGTATGGACTCGAAAAGTTCACCGCACTGAGAAGAGTCACAGTGACCCCGAGTACCCACAACATGCTCTTTGGTCCATTTTACCAAACTCCGATGATTCGAGCTTTTCCACCTGGGTTTTTCTATCCTATCCCCTTTGGATGGCCAACATCCCTTACAGAAGAGCCAGAAGATGTACCCGCATTTCCCTGGCAAGCTGTTGATGAAAGGCAAAGAGAAAAATACCGTGGATTCCGCATTGCGATACGTGCACTTGCCCAACATAAACACGATGTAGTGGAGCTGAGTCTCGATGCTAGGCTGCGGTTCACGGGAATCAATTGCAGGATATTCGAAGATCCTTGTCCGGAATACGATAATTTCGTCGAGGTTCTTAAGCACCCAGGATTCCGGCGCCTCGATCTTCCTCTCATATTTGGTGGAACCGGGTCCGAACCTAGGTGGCAATCCTTCAGAAACAGAAAACTTCGTGCCGCACTAAGTGAAGCGGGTGATCTAGAAGAGTTCAGGTTCTATACCGCTGGACTGAATGGTTACTTTGAAGGCGACGAGCCACCGATTAGCACCGTACCTGTTCTCCTGGAGAGTATGTTTCCTCTTGAGAAATGGCACAAACTTCGCCACTTCGAGTTATCACGATTCATTGTCAGCCAGACCAATGTTATCTCATGCCTTTCAAAATTGCCAGATACGGTTGTTTCCGTCAAGCTGAGCCTCCTGGTATTTGTTGATGGTGAATATTCGTGGCATGTCTTCTTAGAAGAGGTGCGCATGCAAATACAGGAAAAGACCCTGTGGCTTAATAGCCGACCCAATGTTATTATTGGTACTGAGAAGGATATGTGTGGTAACGGTGACGTTATCTGGTTTGAGAAGGAGATACATGCTTTCTTATACGAGGATACAGAGAATCCATTTGAGTCCCCGCCAGACATCGGCCCTAAATTTGAATGGGGGACATGGAAGGATGCACTTGATCCCTATTCAGCTTGACTTCTGGCAGTTTTCTCTTCTAGTTAACGATCCATTGGTCTTTCTTGCGCAAATAGCAATTTAGATTTCCTATTTGGAGATTGTATAATTCAGAGATATCGTAGATACCCACAAACTAGAAAAAAAAGATTTCAATGAACTTTCAAGCTAACAACTACTCAATCTTTCTCGCCCACATGCTTTCGAGCCAGCGTCTCAGTTTCAGACGCTTGATAGCATGGAATCTAAGCAGCTAAACTAATAGTTAGACGTGTTGATGTCAGGACAAAAGCAATATGTTCACTCACATGTAGGGGTGGAGATCGCCACGCAGTAGGATTTGCTTTGCAAGACGGTGCAGGGGTACGCGTAGTTGTTAGTCCACGTCCCCTCAGCATGGCTCCTCAAAACCATGGCTTTAATTTGCTTCATTCGCGAGAGTATGTGTCGCAAATTTATCACAATAGTAACCGCGGTCGTACTTTTTGACGACCAAGCCATTTTCGTGGCTTCACCTCCGCCTCCAATCATTGCGAATACATAACTGTCATCTGTTGGCTGGGATATATGCCAAAGCCCAATCCTTCTAGCGTGTTGGACTCATCTGCAAACCTACATGTCTCTCAGACAAAATGGTACTGTATAGTAACATTTTTTTCATTACTATCCTATGTGGCTTCTTGGGCGGTTGCAACATGGTGAGCTCTGTCCCTGGAGCGTTTCTTTAAGTTCCGATTCGGCTTCCTGACTGGCAACATATGCTGTTGCTCGATGACGGGTGTTTTCTGAGGCCATTTAGTCGACTCCCCCAGTACCTCAAGAACTCTCAAAACTGACCAAAGAATTTCTGGGATTGATCCTGGTCGTTTCATTGATATTCTGAGCAGAGACCCCGTATGCATTGACCGGCTCTTACGTAGCGCGTCTGAAATAAATGTGATCACTCAGGGGCCGACTAGGAGGGAGAAGGAAGGATGTTTTCTCTTATTGGAAGGCAATTGATAGAGCTGGATTATGGAACCAAATCTGTAATTAGTCGCTGAGCTTCTTTGGCTTGGGGAGATCTCAGGATGATTGGACAGTGAAACACGAAGGTGAAGGCCACAAGCTAACCTATGCCACGGTTGTATCTCCAGGGCCACCCCGCAACCAAGGCAGAACCTTCCTACCCCAATATTGCCGCATCTTATACTTTCCAAGACCTTCGGGCATTGACTCGATAGCGTCAGCCAGAGCATCGCCTTCTCCCTTTGCACGCACCTCGTCAAGTCTGGTCATGTAGCTACGGACGGTGAAAATTATTGCTCGGGATCTGGGCAAAGCAGTCAAGGTCTGATGCTCAACACGGAGATAGCATTGAGTAAGTGGAGGGTTGTATTTTTCGTCATTGACAGCCTGATCTGTTTCAGGGTAAAAGTTATTCCCATCGGTGCGGAACAGGTCTGCGCCGTCGACCTGAAGAGACCACTGATGGTTGTTAGGGAGTTTTTGACCAATAGATTGCGGGAACAGCTTACGTTCATACGTCCGATGAACTGGCCCGGTTTCATACGGGAAAAGTATCGGTCCACACTGGCACCCAACTTCTTATCATAACCAGGAACAGGTTGGTGAATCTCCCTCACTGACTCACCAACTCTCGCAGGGCTCAAGAAACCACCTGGAAAACAAGCAATATATCCACGTAGACGGAACTGCCCATCCGGATCAGGACACATGAAGTAGAAATCCTCCTCGACATTGTTAGAAATGTAACGAAGCATAACAGCAGGACTGAGACCGGCCGTCATAGATGGATAATTAGAGCCGGTTGTGACGTTCTCAACAACATTTCCGCACACCTTGAACATGGTCGGGAAACGCTGAGGGAGATACTTAATCATGATCTCCTCATAGAGCTCTTTAATCGCTGGATCCACGATGTTGCCTGTTCCGATGGTGAGTTCTGGTTTCTCTTCAACGAGAATGCGTCGTTCTTCGAGTCGCTTCAGGTATCCGGAGTCGATTCGAATCCAGTTAGAGCGGGTTTGTTTTTGGATTCCTAGTCCGTTGGTATTGGTTTGATTGATCTTTAAAATGTGAACACATACCCATGGTTACATGACCCTGTGTTCTATATGGCTTGTAGTCAATCGGAGGGGCTGTTTTGAAGTCAAAGCTTTTCAAAGGCTCAACAACATAAGATGGATCAAGGTCAGAGCCAATTAGGGAAGAAAAAATGCCATAATACTATCCAAAGCTGTCAGAAGAAATACGATCGTCCTCAAAATCTGGCAACATACAGCAAATTTGCCCTGAAACCCTTTCAGGAGAGCCTTCACGGCCACAAAGCCCAGTATAAGCAGCAATATAATGATGGAATACATTGAAGAGAAGGAAAGAGTAGAAGGTTTAGTTTTTGTGATGGCAGATGGGAAACCTGGGTGATCTCGACATTTATACCTCCATCTTCATCTACGTCCTCAACAGCTAGAGTCTGTCATTTTGACCTATATTAACCTACCATCCAAACGGCCCCCATCTGCAATTTGCACGCATTATTTGTAGGAAGATGGTGATTATGGCCGATATCGGTAATAAGCAAAAAGAGCATCGCTGTTGGTCCAAAATTATTACACTGGCATATAGAGCGGCGAAAATAGTTGCCCGCTCCGCCACTAGGTATGCAGATCTAGGCTTATAGCTCAATGAGGGGCAGAAAACTATTTTTGCATCTGAAATCAACAACTGTGACTCTAAATGAATGATATAGCCCATGTGAAAGATTATTCGGGGCTTTAGATTACAGGCTAAGTCCTAGTGGCGCTCAGCAATCAGAACGGTAATGATACCTTACTATATACAGGCAGAGTAAATCCTGGTACCTGAAAGTCCTGTATATGTATAGACAAGACGATAATATTATTTTAAGTGATTCTGATAAATGATATATATACTATCCGCCAGAGATATCTCTGCAACCAGGAATCGAAATACTAGAGCCCATACACGAACATGCCATATTATAATCGGACTCCGACGCTCCATGAACCCCACATTTAGCCAATAGTATTAAAAGTACTAGGATTGTTCTGTTTCCGATGGGGGAAGAAATGTCTTAAATTAAATGTAACCTTATTCGTACTAATGTCATCCCGTGGGGGCGAAATGAACATGCGTCCGAGGTCGGATACGAAGTTAATAACGTCATACGTAGCAGTGCAGGCCCCCTTGGCTGCTTGTGCGTGACAAAGGAGAACCGAAGTCGGGGCTATGTAGTGGACCTAGGCTTTTTGTTTTACGAGATAGTGAAGAGTTGCTAGAATACTGGCGGCCTTTTTTTTTCTATTTATTGCCAGTGTCTCAGTAGTGCACATATCACCTGAATGGCTTTTTCAGACAGATTTCTTTACAAAATCGTAAAGAATCAGTTGGAAATGCGAGACACCGTCATTATGGGCAATAACTCTGACTCTCACAACGTATGTATCCAAGCCTATATGCACCAACGATACCCGATTTAACATTTTTAGAAATCCACCACCCCCTTCTCTAGTTATCAGCATGAGATTTATATAGCAGGCACAAATGGATTGAAGCCCATCATGACAACCAACCCCAATCTCTGGGAAGATGCAGCAAAGCAGGCGATGGAGCCCATGAACTTTGACTACGCTAAGGGCGGAGCTGGGGCGGGCGATACCGTCAGGAAAAACCGCGAGGCATTTGATAAATGGAATATCATTCCCCGGATGGTGAGATCGAATACTAAACGGAATACTGGAGTAAAGATTCTTGGTCAGGAATGGCCTTCTCCCGTGGCAATTGCACCTGTCGGAGTGAATAGAATTTTTCATGCGTGAGTGACTTCTCTTCATCAAGGTTGGATAGATTGCATTCTAACATTATTGCAGTGATGGAGAGAAAGGAGTAGCTCATGCAGCTGGTAAAACTGGTATTCCCTACGTTCTCTCTACTTTTGCTTCTGAAAGCCCAGAGATCGTGGCCAAAGCCCAGGACGAAGCAGCTGGTCATGATGACAGCATTAGGTGGCTCCAGCTTTACTGGCCCCAGTCCGTCGACCACGATATAACACGTTCTATTCTGCGTCGCGCCAAAGCAGCACGCTACACAGCTCTTGTCATTACATTGGACATCTTCTCCATGAGCTGGCGTCCCATGGACCTCGATAATGCCTATCTTCCCCTCTATAAAGGATACAGCACAGCTCTCGGCTTCACTGATCCTGTCTTTCGACAGAAGTTTGCAGAAAAGTATGGCCATGAGGCAGACGAAGATATCCTTAAGGGCGCATTCGAATGGGAAAATACTATCTTTCCCAATTTAGCGCATTCATGGCCTGAGCTCGCGTTCCTGCGTAAAGAGTGGGATGGACATATTCTTGTAAAAGGAATACAGACAGCGACTGATGCCGAGATGGCCGTTCAAGCTGGCGTCGACGGTATCATTGTCTCAAACCACGGTGGCAGGCAATATGATGGCGCCTATGGTTCTTTGGATGTTTTGCAAGAGATTGCAGAGGCTGTAGGAGATCGTGTCGATGTTCTTTTCGACAGTGGTATTCGTACTGGCGCAGATGTGATGAAGGCTCTTGCACTTGGTGCAAAGGCTGTGTTTGTTGGCCGACCTATCGTTTATGGATTGGGTGCAAAGGGAAAAGAGGGTGTGTTGCATGTGCTTCGTTGCCTTTTGGCGGACTTCGAGATCAACCTTGGTATTACCGGTGTTCAAAATGCGACGGACTTGAAACCGGGCAATTTGCGGGCTCATCACATGAAAGCTTTCTTGTAGTTATCAGATCAAGGCCAAGATATATTCAATTGATGAACGGTAGACAGCATACCTTTTTAAGAACCCTCTTTCTACCTGATAATGAATTTGAGCCATAATAATTATAGTATTGAGGATTCTGATAATGCCTCATGCTACTAGGGCGCATGAAGTCGAATAGGTCAACGTCGGAATAGCACCAGACAGCCTAAGAAATCAAATATCCTTCTCATGTCATGTCGTAATCTGATTTACCTTGTTCTGCGCAATCTATCTAGTGGCTTTGAACCCGTCCTGTCTACCTACATGAGCCTTTCGCAGCGGTGCTGATCTAAGATTTTGTTTCATGTGCCCTATCAGAAATTCTGCATATCAGATAGTTGCCTTTTTTTCAGCATCTAGGTGTTGCAAGGTATATACTGCAAATAACATTTATGCCATTTCTCCCTCAAATTTTCAAAGTCACACAAATTGATGAACAGCATCCCCGATACCATTCTGTTTATCCCTGGAATTGATCAGAAATTTAATACAGTTGGCATCAATTTGGATCTTCACAAGATCACCTCGCCCTAGCTGACTGACTAAAAACACTATTCCGCCTAAGGTGATCCCCAAAACGAATGAATGAAAACGGTATCAAAATCATGGCCAAACTCGCAAATCCGAGAATGCTGGTCGCCCAATGCGTCCCCAACCGCGCATAAATTGCCGACGTAGCAAGCGGCAACAACGCACCTGATACACTTCTTGTACAGCTCGCAGCTCCAAGCGCACTCGCCGCATAGGTTCCATACGCGTCAGCAAGATAGTTTATTAGCGCCATGAAAATGAGCAGAAAGCCAATGCCAAATGGGATGCCAGAGAGCATGGGCCAGATCCAGTGAATGGATGGCTGGGCGCACCATGCGAGCCAGAAGAGGGAGATAGTATATAATGGTCCGCCAACGCAGGCCAGAGGAAGGCGGCGATATTCTTCGATCTTCACCCAAGGTTTGGCTTGAGACTGAGCGCGTAGATAGATGGAGTCGTAGACAAGGTAGAAAATAAATGAGAGGAGAGCGCCGATACCAACTATGGTTTGTCAACCGTGGATGCTTGATCGAAGAGGTGGAGGGGGGGCTGGGCATACTTGGGATGAATGCTAGACCGCACTGTCCGGTACTAAAGCCGTATATTCCTGTGCGTATTATTATCGAGATCAATCGGACATAGGTACCAGCATACCTTTGAATATAATGGGATATGCCTCAAAGAAGAGGTAAAATATGGAATAAGTCAAAGAGAGATAGATACAGGAAAATAAAACAATTGACTCGGAATAAATCATTCGGATAGGGCGTGTCAATACTCGCGTGGCAAGGTCTCGCAGGCCGGGAGTAGCTGGGCCAGCATCGACAGATGTGGGATTATGAATCTCATTATGTTTTCGCAGCAATACAGGACGAAATGTTTCTGTCCACCATATTAGGAGCGATAAAAGAATTGTGATCGAATCACTTACCTGGGAGAAATATCAGCGCAGGCCATGAAGCCCCAGCAATTATCAATGCAATCCAAAAACTCCACCGCCAATTGACATTAGAGATAAAGCCGGATATTAGCGGTCCCATAGTAGGGCCGAGCGTTGTAGCCTAATCAAGTAAGTATCCTGACACCCCAAATGGTGAGATTTCTCACCGCCATATATCCAGCCATCGATCTTCCCCTTGTCTTAGGATCGGAAAAGATATCTGCATACAGCCCTCCAACAACAGCTGTTGGCGAAGAAGCAAAGATACCAGAGAAAAGTCTGAAAATAACAATGGCCGCAAAATTGGGCGCAACAGCACAAGCGAGACTGAAGATTGTATATCCTGCGAATGTCCATATCATCACCGGGCGCCTGCCATACGTCTCTGATAATGGACCGAAAAGGATAGGCCCGAGAATATATCCGATCAAGTAAGTAGTCATTGGCAGTACGAGCTGTTGCTGGTCTGTTATACTAAAATCGGCAGCGATGAAGTCGATGGCGCCGCTAGGAAGGGCGGATCCAAGGGTACTATTCAGAACTATCACCAAGCCAGTAATGAAGACAAAAAGCTTTTTTTTCTATCAAGTTGGCATGTTAGCTTATTTAGTTGCGTAGGGAGGTAATATTTTACTGTTGTCCAACTGTATGGATTAAGATTGGATTCCTCGATCATATTGGCGGAGCGGTCAGAGCTATGTTGTAGCATTTCAGACAAAGTAAAATTATTCATATCCAGAGCACCTGTCTTGTCACAAAGATATTAGAAATACCAACGACAGTGACAGCCAGCCCGATATCGGTGTCTAAAGAAGTGTGAATGCTTCAGAGGCGTCAATTGCTCGAGACCCGCCGATCCCGGCCCCACCGACCCACGTATAGTTTTTGTATTTAGGTTTTGGCTAGTAGCGGCCCGCAACGGAAATCCGGCGGTCCACACCCAAAAATACGAAACCACGTCATCAGCTCGTTGCAAGACTCCGACACCGGAGCTGTACATGACTCGTCTGTCTGAGATGGCCTTATAACCCTACTGGACCCCAGCCCTGTTGTGCTTTGTATGACTGAGAGAGAACCGAGAAAGCATGGCGGAGCAACAAAAGCAGAAAGACATCTGGTCAGCCGAACTTTACGGCGAAAAGGTGGCTCCATTTGTTGCAACTTCAACTACGAAGGTACTCGCTTGGTTGGACCCGAAGCCAACAGGTAAGCCTCCAGATGACAATGGCCGAACGTTAATAACAAGGTAGATGAAATACTTGATATAGGCTCTGGGGAGGGCCCTTTGACAGCCTGCATAGCTCCCCATGTCAAACGAATCGTGGGAATCGACGGTTCACCTAACATGATTGAGCACTTCAAAAAAGCCTACCCACATATCGAATCGAGGGTAGTCGATTGCAGACGGCTAGATCAAGAGCCCAGTCTTACAAACGGGAGTTTCAACAAGGTATTTTCGAACGCTGCCTTGCATTGGATTCTGAGAGACCCCGAAACCAGGTCAAATACTATGAAGGGCTGCTTCGAGGCGCTCAAACCAGGCGGTCTTCTCGTCAATGAGTCTGGTGCGTTGGGAAATGTGGCCGAGGTTCATTCTGCTATTATCAGTGGACTGGTCACTCAAGGTATTCCTGTCACGCAGGCGCGAAACGCATCGCCTTGGTGGTTCCCATCGCTGCAGGCCATGAAGGACCTTGTTGAAGGAGCGGGGTTTACTTGGGTCAAGGGCGAGGTCCAACTCAGACAGACAACACTGACCGAGAATAAGAATGGTGGCGTGGAAGGCTGGTGGGTCTGACACCAATATTAAATTGACGAGACGGCTGATGGTGTATAGGATTCGTCTGTTTGGTGAGCCCTTTCTTGAACTCCTCCCGACCGCCCAAGCACGCGACGCAGCCGTCAAACATGCTGTTGACGTTCTCGAGGCTGTTGGAAGACAGCAGCACGATGGTTCTTTTACAGTAAACTACATTCGCCTTCGCTTTATTGCTAAGAAACCTGAGTGATATGTCCTTCGCACTGGGATATCCCAACGATCAGATATACTTCATGGTAATCATGATCCAAAGGCACCGTGAATCCACGTCGCTTTGTGAATGAAACAGACCCTTCTACATGAGTCTCGGCTGGAAGATGTTAAAGAAGAATATCTACAATCGAATCAATGAATTTCCGGGATATGAGCAGAGCGAATTTGTCGCCATCATCTTGGTAACATGAATTATCGTAGTTATATATGTAGATGAAATTTTATCGAAACATGGGAAGTACATGTTTTGTTCTGGTTTTGTGGAACCTCTCTAACTTGGGTGACGGCACCGGTTCGATTCAGGGGGTATTTGGTTGTACCTTCTTCGGAAAGATCTCGCTCATGTTGTCTTCACAGCCACAAACTCAGCCAGCGTGAATTCACGAGTGATTTCCAGACAATTTTTTTGCTCTACGCGAGATAGTACAGTTAATTATGGACTATGTCGCCTGGGGATGATGACACTATTTTTGCGTACTCTGTTGGCCATGTTGGACGAAATCAGAGCCCGGTGGTCTTGAAATTGAGGTCAGTGCGGTGAGGTGAATTGACGCGGCGCAGCGCCTCGTCCTCGGAGTCGCCTCAAGCGCATCAGCGCCAACGGTCGGAGTCAACAAGCTCAAGTTCTCCATCGAGTGTCAGTCGTAAACCCAATAAAAATCCTCTGAAAGCAGGAAGGCAGACAAGCACAAGAAATCTCCTCCGCCTGAGTGGACGGGGACAGAGGACCCGGGCCTGTTCACGGAAAGCTTTGCTGGTTTTCGTGATCTGGATAAAATAGGCATTCGACCAAAGAAAGCCTGTAATAGCCAGGCTTTGAGTCCTCTGATAAGTTTACAGAAGTTTGTCTCGTTCTGCGGCGGTCGGTAGCAAGGCAGGGGGGGGTATAGCGGGTACGTAGGAAGACTCGTGCCAGGCCGGGTGGATGTCGAGGAATGGATGGAACTCTAGGAGGATTACAGCAGAGACATCGCCCTTCAAGAAGAGTATAGCTTCTTCTAGTTGCTGTGTAAGCCATGAACCTTACCCTCAGCCGTGGCGTTTTAAGGTTTAAGGGTTTAAACCCCTAGGACGTTCAATGATTTAATGGGTCGAACCGCTTCTATTACTGTTCAGTCATTAGCCCTCACCATCGTTTCAGAATGCCCTAGAACTTCGACGTTTCCGCAACCAATTTGTTTATTTCTTTTTCTTATCTAGTTTTCACCATCTAGTTGACCACTACCACCAATAAGGCCTCACACTTCCTTCTACTGGCAAGACTTTATTTGCAAATTACCCCAGTGTGGTATAATCGGTCCTAGAACTGGGGCCATCCCCACTTGAATCCGTATTTAAGAACCATGCCCCACTGGGGATCGGTTATTCCAATCACCCCAGAGTCGCCTGGACCTCTTCCGCAATCGCCAGAACTTTTTCCTCCTCCAGCCTTCTGCAAATAACCTGGACACCGACTGGGGAGCCATGGAACAAATCTGGGTTATCTGAAAGGACAAAAAAAACAGAGTTGTCCATTAGTAACAGTAGCAGGTCATTTGAAGTTAGGGTCACTTACATTGCTTCCAAATTGCAGCGTCAAGGTCACCAGAAGGAGAGTAGTCTTCAACTAGGATATCCTGAGCTTTATCCACCTTGGTGACTGGTACCGCCACCGTGCTGAAATCCAGCACGTTGTAAACGCCGGTGTAGCCAAAATACATGCCCTCCGAAGGCTGATACGCGGTGGTTGGGGAGGCGGGGGCAATGATTGCGTCAACGGGCTGGCCAGAGCGCGTGCATGCGGCCGTCGAGTTCCAATATTCAAGGTAGCGCACCTGGTAGTCATATCGCTGCTGTTGGATTGTCCAGAGATCATTGACGGTGCCAACGGGAAGATGACCGAGATTCTCGCCATACGACACTGCCAGCTGAGGCACCGGTGGCTCACCGCTTTGTTCAAGGGTTCGATGGATATCAATGCCCCCATCTGCAGCAAACGTGTTCCACTAATAGTCCCGAGGCTATCATTATTTACTCTCTAATCCTTAGTGAGGATCGTTGGGGACTTACCAAAATGTGAAAGGCCTCCGAATGAGGAGGAGGCGACCATTCGATGACCTGCAGAGAGTCAATACTGCTCGTTATTTGAAGAAACGGATCCATTAACCTCGTATCCTGCTTCCTCCAGCGCGTGCACCGTCTGCTCAATGGCTCTCGCCACTGGTGGGTGCGGTTTTACAACCCCATCATGTCGCAGAACACCGAAGGTGAGTCTTTTGGTGGCCATTTTCTCGCGGACCTCATCCTCTATCTCTAAGCGCCATGGAACCTGGATTACTTTGGGATCAGTCAGCCAAGGGGAGTGCTCCAATACCTTCTGCACAACAAATCGAAGGTCGGAGATGTTGTGACCCATGGGGCCGATGACGGACGGAACGGTCTCATGACCTTCCATCTAATTACACCAGATGTCAGCGGACATTCGGACGAAGCGGAGTCATTGCGCCTACACTATTGGCCACTTTAAGGTAGGGGAGTCGCCCATGAGAGGGCTTCAAGCCGGAGATTCCTGTAAATGAACAAGGCAGACGGATCGAGGCTCCTGCTCGTCAGAAGGCCCCACTGTCAGCTCCCGAACGGTGGACTCTTGGATAGAGATATGCTGCGGAAAGGAACTGACCAACGTCCGATCCAAATCCTAAAATACTGCCTCGAAGGCTTAAAAGAGCAGCTTCTCCTATGTGTTCCAACCGTAGCGTAGATCAGCAGGCGCTTTCGTCCCCCAGAAAAAGTCTAATCCATACTTACCTCCAGAAGATCCACCGGAAGACAGCAATCGATTATGAGGGTTGGTAGTATAGCCCACGGTATTATTATTGGTCTCGATGGCCTGGCGTCACACCGCGCAATCAGCATTGACTTCCATATGCGCAGGGGCCACCGAACATACCATCAAGCTGCTGGGAACGTTTGTTTTCGCAATGATGATAGCTCCCATGTCTTTCAATGCTTTTACCAGCCAGGATTCGGTCTCCTCAGTCTCAACTGCGCCCAGCCAGGCGACATATCCTAGAGAGGTCTCGGCGCCCTCCACCCGGAATGAATCTTTGAGTGAGATAGGAAGGCCGTGCAAAGGACCGATGGGTTTTTTATGCGTACGATAGTACTCATCCAGCTCCTCTGCGCGACTGAGCGCCTGCGGAAAGAGAATTTCACTGAGGCAATTAACCTGTGACGGTGATTAGGCAGTGATGTCGGGGAGGGCTTTCGGACTACTCACAAGTTGATGGGCAATTGTAGCCCGATGACAGAAAGCCTTCGTAACCTCCGTTGCAGATAACTCCCCAGCGGTGAGCTTGGACCGCAGAACTTCCGCAGAGTGGTTCTCGGTGATATCCAGCTCCGCAGGCGACAGGAATGTCTGAATGAAGTCGGTCACATTTGGTAATTTCTCCGCCGATGGGACCGATTCAATCTGGAAAGAAACTGGCAACAACTCCTGCAGCGCTGCTCGTTTCAGCTCTGCAATGGACTGCCATGATGGCTTCTCGACTGTCATATTGTGGGCGTTGTAACTTCTAGTTAACGAAAAAGGGGAAATTCTTGCACAAGGAATCCGAAAAAAAAGAGGAAGAGCGAATAGTCAACGTGTTCAAAGAATCCTCTGCGAGCAGCGAAGAATATTTGCTGGCTACATCGTATCCGCGTCGCTATTAGCCTTTTTAAGGACAGCAAGAGCATACTCGGTCGGGCCCGAACTGGAATGACATACACTTCAAACTTCAAATTTACCAAACGGTAATTTTCTCTAGTACAATTATTAAAATACGGAGTAACAAATGGAAATAACTGGAATTGTTTCGCATGATTATCGGCGAAACCACGGCACTTCCCAAAGCTTAGACCCCCAAACGACCAGTAGATCACTTGCAATTGCCGGACTAGTTCTCATTGCCAGATCTATCTTCTTGCTGTGTCTGTTGAAGACTCCCCATACTACATAGAGGCATCGCCATTGTGCCATCCTGGCCCAAAGCCGTGGTAAAGCAGCTCCACTGCCCTGTGGATCCTGACAATACTATTGAAAGAGACTCGTCAATGCAACACTAATACCCGCCGTCTGGACCTGCTAATGAATCCCCCGGGCCCTCTGGCACAAGGATCGCTGAAAGGATCCTGAAATTACGGTTTGAACTGGCCACCAAGCAGCTTTGCCCTTGACGCTTTCTGAATGCTCTCTTTGGCGACCGGTCCGGTGGAAGCGAAGCTGAAGATGGGCCCACTGGAACCCCTGAGAAGAAACTAACTGGAAACATTCATGTCTAAGGCTTCCGGAGACAAATAGGAACTCATGTCATTGAAGATCCCTCCGATTTCGAGGAATCTTGATACGGCCCTGAGTACTTCGTTCTTCCACTGGTGGGGCGCTAAACACAAGGATCGCACTTCTTTGCGCACGGTCCTAGAAGTAATACTAATGGAGATCTTTCCATGCGATCTTAATTTGGAGCTGACTATTTTTCGCCCTCTGCAAGACCCGCATGCGATAAAAATTGCCGATAGGACAATTTTATGATCGCCGATGGGGCTTTAATAAAAACCCGCCGATAGAGCTTTTTTTAAAAAAGAAATATTTGTGGCGACAGTGCCAAGTGAACGATTGCATTGTCCTGGTGGGAAGATGTCGCCTGGGGCAGACAGCAAGCCCCGCAACCAGTAAGAAGACGTGACAGGCTCAGCACACTCGGTATGGTTATCGCTTTTGGGTTTTTAGTGGCGAGACAGCGTCTTCTATACGTTTTACTGGCTTTGCGCTATTTCTTCCGTCTTCTACGGCTTTCTTCGGGATCGCGAAGTCCTTGCTTCATTCGGAGCAGCGCCTACATGTAACCAAGGCTTCAATAGTCAGGACGTATCAGGTTAATGAAATCGAATTTTTTGACGGATTCATGGAACTCGGTAAGACTAATACGTTAATCCGTTTATTCGCGAGCATGATGTCAGTCGAACAGGATCGTCACATTTCAAGGTGCCTAAACTTAACCTACGAACAGATGTGATGATTGAAGAGGTCTAGCGTGAACTGTCTATTAAGAGGCTAGGACACCAGATCCAACCGGTCCGGGTGAATTAACAGGTTTTTTATTCCGTTATCAAATCTATCCAGTCGATGCAGCCTTTTGGCCTTCGAGGCATCGAAGCCAGTCGTTGCCCAATATTGATCTAACCACACCACCTCCTTTGTCTCTCTACCAAACTCATTCAACCGCCACTAGATCCACGCGTCTGGATTGTTACCATCCCACCTTTCCCGTTTCTCTTTTTTCATCTCTATGCTTTCGCCATCAAGGCTGGGGCCTTCGTCAACCGGGCCACCATCATTGCCGCTGCAGCGACAACCACGCAGCAGGCGCAGAACAGCTGGGTGCCGAGCCAGCCATAGGATTGTAATATAGCCCCAGCCACCGGAGTTCCCACCAGCAACCCTAGCCCCGCAAAAAAGAAACTCATGCCCATGCGGGTACCGACCACCTGGAGACTCGGCGACAGGCTCACGACGGTGGTGGGAGGTAGTGAGACAAATGTCCCGGAGAAGAAGCCGTAGAGAATGCAATAGATAATGATGCCGGGCATGTCGGTGATGGCGATCCAACAGTAGGCCAGTAGGGCTGAGATCAGTGCGCAGGGGAGAAGCATGTTCAGCGGACCGGTCTTATCGGCAAGGAAGTTGGGAATGATCCGCCCAAAGACGGACCCTGCGTTCATTATGGGCAGCATGTAGAAGGCAAGGCTGGCTGACATGCCCCCTTTGCTGGTGGCATAAGACCCCACGTAGAAGAAGGGGATGTAGAGGCCCATGAATCCGAAGAATTCGCCCAGGTTAAACATAGTGAAGGGTAGTTCCAGGAAGGCCCGGGGCTCTAGTAGACGGCGTTTCTGTGGAGGCAGGACCCGCACGCGCATCACCGCGATGCAGATCAGCATCATGCCCAGCATCAGGAACGCAATCACACGCGTGGCCCAACCAAATCCAATGCGTGGCTGCAACCGAGCGAAGACGATCGGGTAGATGATGCCTCCCAGACTGCTTCCCGAGGCGGCGATGCCCGTCGCAAAGGACTTTTTGGTGGTGAAGTAGGTAGAGACAATGGCCACGCTGGGGATAAAGAGACAGCCGCTCCCCAGGCCGATTGTTATGCCATGGGCCAACATCACCTGCCAGAAATCGGTGCACAGGCTGGTCATGAACATGCCAAAGACTACTAGAAACGATCCCACGGCCAGTAAGACGTAGAAGTAGCCGGCGTCGAACAATGGACCCGTGGCAACCCCGACGATGAGCAGGAGACAGGCTTGGACGGAGCCAATCCAGGAGATGTCTGAATTGGATACATTCCGCAACAGGTCGTCTTTGTAGTATGTCTGAAATGCCCCAAAGGAATTGATGACCCCCCCTGGGAATAATCAGTTTGGTGTTGCGAGGTCAAGAAAACGGGAAAGGGCCAAGGCAAAGGGAAGCCGCGCACATACCAGGTGTTGAGAAAGAGCAGAAATGAACCCAACACTTGCAACCAGGCCTTCAGCCCACCATTGGGGATTTCGTTCGATTGCTTTGACGGGGGTGGTTTCGGGCTTGCCTCCTCGGCGTCGGAGGCCGGAGCCATTGCCAGCATCTCCGTAGGGTAATTATTAGAAGCAGAAGACATGGACATTCTTTGGAGGATAAGGTCCAATTTCCAACGGCGGACCAAGGAGACGAGATGTGGGATGGTTTTCAGTATTCAACACAAGCCGGAGTATATTTAAAGGAGACATGATACCTAGGGCCAATAAATCATCCGGGAGTGCATTCCCTAGCTGGGTACCGCAGAATTCGTCATCAAGGTCCATACGGAGGCCGAGAGAGGCCGACGGCGGCGAGAAAAATGAATTAAAAAATTAGTAAAAGAAGGAATGAAACAAACGGAGGCAGGTAACGCCGAGAAAAAAAAGCGCCGCGGGAGAGGCGTCATGTCCTGCAGGGTCTGTGGAGCTCTGCCAAGAACAACAAAACCTAGAACGAAGAAGGTTAAAGCGTCGATCATATCTCGTATTGTGCACGGCCCACGCCACCCGTCCGCCGCCCGTCCCCACACCCGTCCCGCATTCTTATGTTGACTGCGGTATTTTTTTTTTGGGCCATAGCCGAGGCCGAAGCCGAAGGCCCACTACGCCCTAGAGGCCTGCATTGCACGCACAGGCACCAAGTCAAAGTGCCAATCGTCAATACAAATGGAGATTATGTCTTCAGTTTCCTCGTTACCTTGCTCTATCCCAACTGCCTTGATTCTGCCCTTGTTGTAAGATTTGAATTCTCTCTATATCAATATATATATATCTAAACACCAACCCTTCTTATCCCTTTAATCAAAGAGGAAACGAAAAACAAAAACAAAAACAAAAAAACATGTCCGATCAAACAGTGACTTTTCGGGAACACTCCAACAACCCGTCCGACGTCGTTCGAGTCATCGAGTATGACTTCAGGCAGACCGAGTTAGGCCCGGAAGAGGTGTGCATCCAGTTTCTTGCGGCCCCCATTAACCCGCAGGACCTGCTCGTAATTTCTGGAAAATATCCCGTCCAGCCGGCCCAGCGGTGCGAGGGGGAGCCCATTCCAGGCTATGACGGCGTGGCTCGGGTGGAGCGCATCGGATCTGCCGTGACAAAGTTACAGCCAGGCGATCAGGTTATCCCCCGCCAGCATGGCCTGGGCACCTGGCGATCGCAGGCAATCGTCCCTGCCAGCTCCCTGCTCCGTGTCCCCTCATCGCATCTCGACCCCGTCAGTGCCGCCATTCTCAAGATGGGATGTGGACCCGCCTACCTGCTCCTTCAGAGCAGGCAAGATCTGCGGCCGGGCGACTGGGTCGTGCTCAACGCTGCCACGGGCGTGATCGCTCAGATGGTTATTCAATTCGCTCGACTCCGTGGATGCCACTCTCTCAGCATCATACGGGACCGGGAAGATGTGGATTCGACCCGGAAGCAGCTGCTCACCTTGGGAGCCGACCTGGTGGTAACCGAAACGGAGCTTGCCGGTCAGGGATCAGTCCTGGCGGCGGAGAAGCGCATTGTGCTGGCTCTTGATGCCGTGTTCGGCAGCTCTGGGGGGGGCGCTTGGCAGGTTTACTGACCACTGGAGGCACCTACGTCAACTACGGGTCTCTTGGAGGTGCAACTGAGGCCATTGGATTGACACAGGAGCTTATTTTCTGGAAACAAGTTACATTCAAACACTTTCGGCTGTCACAAGCGCTAGATCACTTCTCAAAGTCTCAGCAAGAAGATTTGATGACTTGGTTTTGTCGCTTGTTCGAAACCGGCTCGCTTATAACGCCTGCAGTGGACCGGGTGTCATGGGAAACAGGGCCAAGTCTGGAGGCGGCCGTGAAGCAGGCATTGCAAAATGCCTCGCCCGGGGCTAAGCAGCAAGTGGGGTTGCGCAAGCAGGTCTTTGTGTTCGGACCCGGAAATGAACGACCCATATAGTGTGTATGTAGTTTGTGTTGAGGAATCTCATTCGGCCAAAAATGCCTACACATGAAGCTACTCTTACTAGCACTTCAACGGTGGTATACTCAGTGTTAACCGGTGTGGTTATAGAGCGCAACGAGCGAGACTTAGCGACTCAAATTTCTCTAAGTAGATGGTATCGCGTAATAGATACCATACACTCAAGGATACGGTGGTCGCTTCTTCCATATTTCCTGTACCTGACATACACTGGCGATACTGTCGGGCCGAATCAGAGTGGTTCGGTTACATCATGGTAATCATTATTATCGGAGTACGGTTTGCAGTTCTAGCCCCGTTGGTCCTAGCGCTATATTCTGACTCTCTCCTTGGCAGATCTCCTCAAAAGATACCCTAGAAACAAGTAGAATAGGAAGGCGTGTTAGGACTAGTAGATGTAATTACATGGGCTGCATGTCACCCCAACCCTCTCCTCCATGTCCTCCTCTTCCATTTCATTATGCTCTCTGTCTTATCCACAAGGCCTCTTTAGTCCGTGTATTTCATCTCCTTCTCAATAGTAGCTGCATTGTACTTCCGTAGCATGTCCTCAAGCCCCGGGATTGGGTGGTCAAAGTCAATCTTGCAGCTATTCATAGTCCGCGCCAAAAAGGCATAGATCGTTTGCGTGAAGAACAGTTCCATGAGTCCCTGATCGCCAAATATCTCCTTGCATTGCTGGACATTGTCCTCGGCTACGCGGTCTTTCAAGCAGAGCTCTTCAACCACGGAGGAGATCAGGCGTTGACGATTGGTAAAAAGCACCCGTGAGGACAAGTCCCCGCTACGGAGACACTTCAGGTGATCGTCAGTCATGCCAAATACACGCGCCACAGGCTCGTTGACGTCCCATTCGTAAGGAGCGTTGAGGAGTGAGGCGGTGCGTAGGACGATGATCTGCCAATCCGTCGATCGCAGGGCACGCTCTGGGGACCATGCGCACGTCAGAAGTTTCATGAACGTGGGGAAGAAGACTGGTGCATTGGCGACAAGCTGTGGAGAGTCAGCTCACCAGTAGAGATGGAATATAGAAGGGAAAGAGCCAGCGAGATACCTTGAAAATGTTCCGCTCAAATGGAAGAGTCCGGAGTGCTGTCTGGACTTCTGAAGGTGCAGTGCTTGAGTCCACGTAAGGCAGCAAGTGCTCGTTTGTGACCTCTCGGTTGTCCCACGAAGTCATAGTGAAAAGTTCCTGGAAGGCGAGTATATCGAGCGTGGTGAGAATATGGAAGCGACTGGAAATAAATGGTAGACCTGAGAGATAGCAATGAGATGAATATGGGAGCCTATCGTGAACAAAACGAGGAAAGGGACAGACCCCCCTCTTTTATAACACCGGTAAACATCAAGTCCCTCGTCGGATCCATGCCGTCTCCGGACGCCCACGACCCGAATGCATATGATATGCCCCTCCAGTCCCGGCGATAAGAGAGAGCGTTTCGATATTCAGAGTAATTTACAAATCTGAGTCTTTTCCAAATTACCATGAATATTTACTCCGGTAGTATAGATAAAAACCCTAAAAATCCTCCGAAATAACCTCCCGAAGTTTGCCAACTGTATCACGAAATCTCCACCCAAACCCAATGCTGTTCCATCTATCCTCGTGGCAAATCTTAGGGCCATTGGTAACGTTTCAAAGTTATGATCCGCAGAAGTCGTGTTCACCATCTCCACATAGACATGAGATGCTCTCCTAGTGCAGGTAGACTCCGAACTAGTATGATGGCGTTTACGGTGCAGAGGCGCTTTATCACCTAACAGCTTTTGATATATCTCTTCAAGGCAAAGCCCTACAGTATTATTGACGCACTAAGCTTGCCTGCTAAAGCCCATTTTAGATATGTATGGTTCTATTGTCCCTTGTATAACCTGTGTAGTTCTCCTTAGCGCCTATTGGTGCTTGCAGAGAGACTGGATGTGCCCCGGACTATGCTATTAGTCTTGGCATAGTCTCGGGCACACCCCGGAGCATCGCCGACCAGAGCGATTATTCCCTATTAAGGGAATGGAGTAGTCATCTTAAGGTTGTCAGTCAGTTGCCATAGAACAACGTCAGTTCTCGCGTATTTTCCTTATTTCTTCGTTGTTTCATAGTGCTTTTAGGTGCCGGAAATACTCCTAGGGAGGTGTATATTGGCCGAATGTTATTTCCATATTTTGTAGACCATCCAGTCACGCGGGCCTTCACGAAATATAATACACATGTCGTGTCCTTTGCTCTCTTTACAATATATTCTTCTTATTCTTCTTATATCACTTTTCTTTGGCCCGTATTTCTCTGCAAGACATCTCTTTCACCCATGATGTCTGTGATCAGTCGCCGGAACATCGACCTGCGGTCAGCCAATCCCTTCGAACACGAGGAATTCCTTCCTGATATGTCGGGGGAGCTAGACGAGTATCCCTTCTTCGCGGACAAAACTGTCGAAACCGAGCTGCCAGCAACTCCCTTGCAATACCAGATTCTCGAATCTGAGACGGTGCAGTGGTGTAAGCTCAATTTAGTCCTGCCACAGCAACCCCCTCCCAGCTTGGCACACATCCAGTGGACCTGGAAAGCCCTGACCTCTCATCGTATGTGCTAAAAGCCCTTCGCGCCCTGTGGATGGAACTATAGCTTAACCAGACTTTTGACCTGTCCAGATACATGCTTGCGCACAGTCTTCACCGTTGAGAACCAATCGGGTCAGATTATCCAGCAGGTGCGTCTGCATGGTTCCGAAGCACGATGGAGTATAGACCCTGCCTGGACGCCGCCATCGTCGGGTCCCTCTACGCCGGGCGAATCCACGCCAGCCGATGGCGAAGATCTAAAATCCCTGGCACTGCTGACAGTACATCGGAATCCTCTTTCGCCTTTTTATCGGGTGACTCTCCAAATCCACCGGGCTCTCGTGGACACTACTTCTCTTGGTCTCATCAGGCGCGACTTCGCACTCCTTTATTGCGGGTTGCCCATTCCCGAGCATACCTCGCTGCGGTCCTATCTGATTCGTCATCTTGCTGCAAAAGATTTAGCTGCAAGCCGTACATTCTGGCAGGACACTCTTCCTTATGTGACTGGCAAAAACAGCCGACTACAGGTTTGGGAGCCGGTTAGCCAGCGATCAACTGTCTCCATGACGCTGGCGGACCACGACGTTGCCGGCCTGGCCGAGCTGGAAATGGCATCCGGCTGGCCCCGTCAAATCATGTACGAAGCTCTCTGGGCCACCGTTCTTCACTATCATAATAGTCAACGGGATGTCCGCTTTGCAGCCTCCCGGCGGGATGCCAGCTTTCCTGGGGTGGAGTCCTGTGTCGGACTTATTGACCAAATCTACCCCGTGCGGGTCTCCGTGAGCCCAGAGGAGACCTTCAAGGAACTGTTCACCAGGCTGGAAGACTATCATGCCGCTGCCTCGCCTCACGGCTATCTTGGGTATCGTGAAATTACTCGTGACACGTCAGCACCCGTCGACTCGGTCATCACGTATGCTCCTGACCTGGGGGGGTCCAAGCCTGGCTGGCCAACTCACAGGATTCCCCTTGGCTGTGTTTATCACCGGGTTTAGCAAAGTGCAGATTACCTGCTGTTACAACGCGAGTATTCCTGCTCAAGACGTCGAAATTCTGGTGCAGCATTTTGTCCAGGCTCTGTCGAGTGCCGCTCGGAAGTTCTACCTTCCTCATTCCATCATCAGCCATGTGGAACTTGCCTCGGAAGACGAGAAGAGTCAGATTGTCCGGAGCGCCGCACAGTCAGCCCGACAGTTGGAATCATCCAAAACCAGTGTGACTCAGCTCTTTGAGGATCAGGTAGCTCGCAGCCCCGAGCAGATTGCGGTGGAGTTCGAGCACGACCGGCTCAGCTTCGCCGAGTTGAATGCACAGGCTAACCGAGTCGCGCGCGTCCTAGGGCCGGTGCGTGGTGAAATTATCCCCCCTATGCATCGACCGCTCAATCGCCCTGATCGTCGGGATCCTGGCTGTCCTCAAAGCAGGCGCGGCCTACACAATCCTTGACCCTGATGGTGCCATAGAGAGGAATCGTCGCATTGCAGAGAACTGTGATGCTCCAGTGATCCTGGCCAACCAAGCGTATTGCGCAGCAATGCCTAAGGCGCGGCCCTTTGAGGATTGCCTTCAACTGGCACAGACCCTGGAGCCATTCAACCTGGCGCTGGACATCGAGCCCGAGGAGCGCTGCTATTTGATCTACACCTCCGGGTCCACGGGAACCCCCAAGGGGGTTGTCGTTTCCCATAGAGCCGCGACAGCCGGCATGCAGCACCATTCGTTGAATGGGTTGCAGCGTTGGCTGCTATTCTACAGTCCGAGTTTTTCGGCGGCGCAGCGGACCATGCTGGCTACGTTGGTTCACGGTGGTACGTTGTTGCTGGCCAGCAAAGCGCGTTTGACTGCCGAGCTGCCGGCTGTGGTCACAGAAATGCAGGTTGAGGCCATGGGCATCACCCCGTCCGCCCTGTCCGTTCTTGAGCCGTCGCAGGTGCCACATGTGAAACAAATCACGCTCGTCGGCGAGGCCATCCCACCAGAGATGGTTGAGCTCTGGTCAAGCAACGTCCAGCTCCGCAACACCTTCGGCCTAAGCGAATGCACACAGCTGAACTTCGGCTGCATCTTGACCCCTGGCAGCAATCCATGTATCGTAGGTCGGCCCACAGATACCACCAGGGCCTATGTGTTACTGCCAGAAACTACAGAGCTGGCCCCCATCGGTGTCTCGGGTGAGCTCTGCCTGGCAGGCCCCCAGCTGGCCTCTGGGTATCTCCACGACGTGGAGCAGACCACGCGCGCTTTCATTCCCAACCCCTTTGGCCTTGGCCAGCTCTATCGCACAGGAGATGTGGCACGTATGCACTCATACGGTTCATTCGAGATTCTGGGACGCCTGGACTGGCAGGCCAAGATTGACGGCCAGAAGGTGAACCCGACCGAGATCGACCAGGCGCTCCGGCATCACACCAACGTCGGGGCCTCCGCCACGGTGGTTCTCGATCTCTCTGGCCGACCCCGGCTACTGTCCGCTGTTGTTTTGAACTCGCATGTGCTCTCATGGTCCGCTGTGCTGCCAACCATCCGTGAATTGGCGGCCGAAACACTGCCGCGCTACATGGTGCCCTCCTTCTGGATGCCGATGAAGAAACTCCCAACGACTGGAAACGGCAAGACGGACGTCAAACGCATCCAAGAAATGGCCTTGGAACTCGGAGTGGCACGCCTGGCTCAGTTCAGTGCTCCCGATGTTGAGTCAAATGATGATTCTCTCGACGGGGAGCAGACGGACGTCGCAGAGGCATGGTCTGAGGTTCTCGGTATCCCCGTTACCTCAATCCGTCGCGCCCATTCGTTCATTTCCTTGGGGGGGAAGCTCAGTCGATGCCATTAAGGCGGTAGGTGTCCATCGCCGACGTGGTCTGGTAATAGAACTTGAGACTTTGCTGGACGGCTCGTCGGTGGAGCAGACTGCTGTCGCAGGCTTTGCCCTTCAGAAACAACACATCGATGCCCCTGAGGCATTCTCCCTGGTTCCAAAAGATGCAGCTAGCTTAGTACACGGAAATCCAAACCTGTCGGACGCTTACCCAGCCACACCGTTGCAGGAAGGCATTCTAGCCACGTCGCTGCAGAGTGAGGCAGAGGACCGCTACGTCTACCAGCGCGTGTGGGATGTTTCACACCTCGACCTACAACGGCTGCACACCAGCTTCCAGCAGGTCTTTGCTCAGCGAGATATCCTTCGGACGTCATTTATACCGCACCGCGCCAGCTTTATGCAGCTCGTTCGAACCGATCTCACCCTGCCATGGGTGGTACTCGATCAGAGTCTGGAGGAGTATCTGGCAGTCGATAAAAGGCAGCGATTCGCCATGTCTGATTTGCAACTTCGTCTGGCTATTCTGACACGCGGCTCACAGAGTCTGCTTGTGGTGACCATGCATCACTCCCTCTTCGACTACTGGTCCCATCGGTTCCTGTACGAGGACGTTGCAGCTACGTATTGGGGCGACCCGGTGCCCTCCCGTCCCTCCTTCAACCACGTCATTCGACATCTGCAATCTCTACCCGTGGAAGAATACGATTCCTTCTGGCAGAGCTATCTGTCCAACACGGAGCCCACCCAGCTGAACACGACTCCCCAGCGTGAGACTACAACCGTTCAAAAGACTCTGCCTATCGACTTGCGGCAGGCGCTGCAGCTGCACGGGCTCTCCCCGGGGGCTGCCATTTATATGGCATGGGCGATGGTGCTGAGCCAGCGGACAAACAACTCGGAAGTGTTCTTCGCGACAGCCTTAGCCGGCCGCGATATCCCCGTGCTAGAAGTGGAACACATCGATGGACCTACTCTAAACATGGCTCCCCTCCGCCTATCAATTCCCGCGGACTCCTCGCTTCTAGATCTTACCCAAACCGTGAGCCGCGACCTCATGCGTGTGACCAAATATGCACCTCATGGCTTGAAAAGGGCGTTGTACGCCGCACATCTACGACCTGATGCCATGGATACCATGGTTAATATCCTTCCCCCTTCAGAAGACCGTTCTCATAGGGAGCGGACCATGTGGCAACCCTTTGGCAAGCGACCGTCATGGGAGTCCGAGTTTACCACACTGGAGGTTGTCACGAATGACGCCGGGCTCCAGATTACCCTGACTGCAAAAATGGAAGAGCTTCAGGCCCAGTTCATCATGGAATCCTTCTGCCGAATTCTCCTGGCGGTGTTGGAGGATCCACATCAACCAGCATCCGCAGTGGATGTCATTGGTAATACTGAGAGAGAATTCCTGTCGAACGAGCTGTCCAATCGCCACCGGCTTCATGTCCCTCGGCCGGAGCTGCTGCAGGAAGCCTTCGAACGACACGCGGTGGGCACGCCGGAGGCCATCGCCATTGACTGGAACGGGGAAGCCACCACTTCGTACGTACAGTTGGATCTTCGAGCCAACCAGGTGGCCAACGAGCTAGTCCAGCGTCATGGTGTCTCCGTTGGAGACATGATTCCACTGATGTTGGATAAGTCGGTTGATATGCTGGTGGTCATTTTCGGGGTCATGAAAGCCGGGGCGGCCTATGTGCCGCTGAGCCCAGACAATCCCCCAGACCGCAATGCGTTCATCATCGGCGAGGTCCAGGCCAAGCTGGTCATCACCCAGACCGACCATTCCACGCTGATTCCTATCAATGACGGTCTTTCCCACATCCACATGGACCAGCTGCCGCTGACTGATGTTTCCACCGAACGGCCTAATGTCTCTGTCACTCCTGAACAACCGGCGTATGTGATCTACACCTCGGGAAGCACCGGATTGCCAAAGGGCGTGAAGGTGCCCCACCGCGCTGCGGCTGCTGCGGTGGTGAGTATGGCGGAGATCGAGGGCCGGTACCGTGGCGAGTGGCGCTCCCTACAGTTTGCCAACTATGTGTTTGATGCATCGGCGCAGGATTTCTTCAACACCCTCAGCACAGGAGGTACCCTGTGCCTGGCTCCCACTGACCAACTTCAGTCGGACCTGGCGGGCCGCATTCGAGCCATGGATGTCCGCCAGGCCATTCTGACTCCCACAGTGGCCAAGCTGCTAGATCCTCGCGAACTGCCATCCTTCTGCACGATGATTGTTGGAGGCGAGCCCCTAACACGAGATGTCATTGACAAATGGGCGCAGCACGAGCTACTAAACGTGTACGGGCCTACGGAGACCGCGATGGTAGTGACCACCAAGGCCGTCCAAGATGGGGTCCGGCCCAGCAACATTGGAACGCCGTTTCCCACGGTCATGGCGTTTATTCTTCAGGCTGATGGGCTCGACCTGATTCCATATGGTGGGGTAGGCGAGCTGTGTATTGCCGGGCCGCAGGTCACCGATGGATATTTGAACCGTGATGAGCTGACTGCGGCGGCTTTTGTCCAGAATGATGTTTTGCAAGGTCCGCTTCTCCCATATCAATGCCTCTCGCGTCTTTGTCTCCTTGTGTTCCATGGATTCAGGTTTTTTTTTTTTTTTTTTTGACAAAGCTCTGACTGCAATGCTTGACAGTGGAACGTATGTATCGCACTGGCGATCTGGCTCGATGGCTTCCTGGCGGAGAAATCGAATGCCTGGGCCGCAAGGACAACCAAGTCAAGATCCATGGACACCGGATCGAGCTGGCCGAGATCGAACACGCCATCTACCAGACAGGTTTGGTGCATCACGCGATTGTGATACCGATCCTGGTCAATCAGCGAACCCATCTCGCCGCCTTCTGTATATTCACCCCGATGCGCTCCAGCGAGGTCCAAGATGCAGATGCCGACTATCACATCTTCCGCTCAAAGCTCCGAGAGGGTCTTACCACGCTGACACCGTACATGATGCCAAAGTACGTGTTTCCGATGGGCGACCTTCCCAAGTTGCCGTCACGCAAGACGGACCGGAAGCTCCTTCGACACTCCGCCGAAGACATGGATTCCGTATATCGCAACCGCTACAGCTTCGATGCAAGCGATGCACAACACACTGTCGTGCCGGTAGAGACTGTGGCGGAAATGACCCTGGAGAGCCTGTGGGTGCAAGTGCTGGACTCTCCCGCCGAAAGCTTGGGCAAGAAAGCAAACTTCTTGGCCCTAGGTGGCGACTCGATCGCGGCCATCAGTCTCGCTAGTCGAGCTCGCAGTGCAGGGTATGTTCTAAGCGTCAAGAATATCCTACGTAGCGGCGAATTGGGCCGGATGGCCACAACTATGCAAGTCCGCGAGGCCGAGACAGACACGGAGCCTCAGAGAGCGTTTGACGTCCCCACAGCGGTCGTTGATGCCATCCAGCAGGCAGGGCTCCATATGGAACGGGATGTCGATTACGGTGAGTACCAGGCGTCCCAGCACGTCGACAATATGCTCATATCCTACCAAAACTGACTCTTCCGCAGTATATCCCTCACCCCCAGGCCAAGTCGAATTTCTGACGCAGGGTGCTCGTCCTGAGCAGATGTGGGTCCTTATGGCGGTTCGTCGCATGTCGGATAGCTTCGATGTTGACAAATGGGTGGAGGCCACTGCCAAGTTAACACAGGTCGATGATATCCTGCGCAGCTCATGGCTGCGCGCATCTGATTCCTTGTGGTACGGCGTCGTCCTGAACCGGAGTGTGCCGACGGTCACCTTCGCCCACTGCGAGAACGAGGAGCAAAAGGCCCTGTTTATCGAGTCTTTCTGGGATGAGCGATTCATCTTTGGAACGCCCTTTATCAAGTTCGCCGTTCTCACGTACCCGGACGGTGCATGTGACGTGGTGATGAAGATGAACCATGCGGTCTACGATGGAACCTTGCTGCGTATCCTGGATGATCATTTTGCTGCCATCTGCCAGGGTCTCCCAGCTCCGGCCCATGGCCAGTTCCGGGACTTTGCGTTAAATGTATATCGCTCCGATCGGAATTCTTCGCGCACATTCTGGCATAAGGCTCTGGCTGGCAAGGACAGTTGCTTCCCCGACTGTGAGAACCCACGGATCGACGCGTCTGTCCGTCGCATCCTCGCGACCGATCTGGAGCCAATGGCACATGCGGCTGGGGTCACCATCCCCGTAATATTCCAGGCCGCCTACCAGGTGTGGCTCTCCCAAGTCACTGCGCGATCGGACGTCGGGTTTGACTATTTGCTCAGCGGTCGAAATGTCGATATGGGACCTGTCGATACCCAGACGGTCAACGGCACCCTGGCCAACTTCCTCCCGGTCCGGTGCAGTGTCGACTCGACGATATCGATGGTCCAGTACCTTCAAGACACGCAGGATCTGTTCTGGGCGATCACCGAGCATGGCAACATGGGCCTCGATGAGATCTACGCGGCCGCCGGCGTCTCGCGAGTCACATCTGGCAACGGATCTCTCTTCCTCTTCCAGCCATTCGAGCCCGCGGACAAGGTGGATGAACTCCGCTGGCTGGTCATGGCCAAGTCACAAGTGCGGATGTTCCAACCGTATGGCCTGGTGATTGAAGTCGCAAAGGCAGGCCAGTCGCAACATCGGCTCACGGTCATGTATGACCAAGGCCTCTTCACCGAAGGGGAGGGCAGCGGAATTGCGGATGCCCTTATAACTATCGTGGAGGAGATGGCAGGCGCTGTGTCATCCCCTGGGCGCCGTCTTGGGGAGATCTTCATAGATCTACAAGTGGCCGATGGGGTAATAGCCTAAGGACGAACATTTAAAGGGGGCGGGACAGTAAACTCTCAACAATGAGTGGCCAGATTGGAGGATTGGTATGCCACCTTGCTGCCAGACCAGAGCGCGCTTCTGGTTGCTCGTCAGAGTCATTCTAACAGATACATGTGTTTATACCTGAGGATCTGGTTTACCGTGCCACATACAAATACTACCCTGTAATAAAAGCACAAGACCGATTCTTGATGTGGCTGATTGAAATAGATACTGTAGTGGGGATTCTTGCTCTCAACATCAGATTCATATAACCGGAGCATTAGCAACAAGGTGTCCGCTTTCAGGGGGATATTTAGTTTGCACGATAGCATTCCAAATAACACACAACCTACGAGTTTCGTGATTCTGTCTTTTCCTGCGGCGGCAATGGTATCAGTATATCGTTCAAAGAAGGCTCGAATGCCTTGGTATATTGTATATCAGTAGGGTATAGCTTTGTCTACACTAACTACACCTTCCTGCAATCTGTGAGTGTGGTGGTTTTGTTAATCTGTGGTCGACGCATCTGCCAACAAAGATAGCCAGCGAGCATATACCCATCTTTCAATACTTAATACAATGTGATTGAGTGCGAATCCAAGACCCACCCTTGTCTGATTCATCTATCGTATGACTCAAGTTGGGTTCATAGTAATTTCCCATGTACCGCAATATGGTCCTTTTGCTTTCACAGAGTCGGGGCAACTACTATTGCATCGAAGTGCTTCGCAGCCTTTGAACATAGTTGACCGATTGAGGACCCAAGGGCTGTTGCCGCACCACGCATCCTGTATCTGCTGAATAAGTAGATCCATAGACAGTTCCGGCCCTCAATTATCCCTTGCTTTGTTAAACGATCTGCAGCACCAAATTTGAGGTCGCTCAGATTACGTTTTCAAAACCCGGCGTTCAGCACCGTGATCGTTATTGACAGAAAGAGGGGATACATGTTTGTGATTGCCAGCATTTGATACGTACGAATTTCAACCCATCTTCTCGATCTTGGAGTTGGAAGGTCGAAATGGGTAGCACTTCGGTCAATTTCTATGCATGAGTCTAATTCTAGAACGTCTTGACACGAATTTATCAATGATTAATAATAAACTCACTGTCCAACATGCTTTGTCCAAAGGGAGGTCAACGCCTCCAAAGACACTATCACCCACTCGACAGCGATGGAGATATTTGTATCACTCGCTACGTTCATCCATCTTTCTTAGCGAAGGATTTAACTGGGCATAAGACTGAAAGGAATAGATAGTGTATTGGGGAGCCTGGGGGGGGGGGCACCCTAATATTGATGCTTACTAGCACATGTGTGCCCGGTTTGCCGAGTGATGTTCATTGATCGCACTTGTGACGACCAACCTCTATTTCCTATTCGGGACAACTCAGCGACCTGATGCCTGAGGCCCAGATTCCTTTTTGCAGTACGATAAACTTATATAGCAGTCCTGCCGGCTGTAAATATCATCATCAACTAACCTGTCATTCCTTTCTCTGGAACGGACGCGGTTCCCATCTCCCTCTCTACGTGCGGCATCATATGTTTGGCGGTGTTGGTTGTGTTCTGTCTCCCGCTTCGACCCGTCTGCTATGACAGACTGCCCTAGAACGCCCCCTCTTCAATTCTTAATCAGGGATTTTAGCGCAAGGCTGCAGAAAGTGAAGGGAGTTATTCATCTCTGTAAACTCGCTCTCCTCTGTTCTTTGTTCAATCCAAACATTACAAGAAAATATGTCGCTTCCACCTTTAACGAATTATGAGAAGGTTTTGCAAATCAGATATAATCTGACATGCTTCCTATCCGGATCTGTCAGTATAAGTTGAAAGTCCTCGTTGAAGTTATTTGTAGAGCCTTAGCTAGGCTGTTAGCCTTGAATATATTGCAGTGCTAATATATTAGGGAGGATGGAAGTTAACGTGGAATACCCCCTGCCCGCCATCCCCCCCCGACCCGCCACCCCCAAAACACCATAATTAAGAAACAAATTTATCTCAACAACAACACCTTTATTCGATTTAAATTTTGGCAAAGCAGTTATTCTCAAGTGACATAATAATATATTTTTTTCTGTGATCATTTAAGTTATTATTTAAGTATAATACCAAAAATTACAGAGTATTTTTGCTCAATATATCATAAACATATATTTTGACAGTAAATTTTTAAATTAGGGATATCCAAGCATATAACCCTGGAAGTAATATTATAAATAATACTATGTTATCCAGAATCCTATTACAAAGTAAATGTTGTTGAGATATTGAGTTGTAATTTATTGCCTTAACTATGGTGTTTTTGGGGTGGCGGGTCGGGGAGGATGGCGGGCAGGGGGTATTCCACGTTAGTTATTTTGTTTCTGCTCTAGATACAATTACCTTGGAAGTGCGTATTGAAACTGGACTTTTATACGGACTGCGCATTCAGGATTTCGCATCGTCATAGACCATTCACTTATTATAGCAAACGATATTCTCACCAATCTAAGGCTAGTTATTTTAGTAAACCGGTGCAAATGGCCTAACAACACATTCGTCAGAATGGCTTCATGGTCAGCAAAGCAAACTGCCAAGCCAGGCTAGCAGACAAGCGTCCAAGTGACTCCCTACCTCCTCACTGTTTTCAGATCGGCAGTGCTCCCTGAATCACGGCTTGAGACAAGCAAAATAACCGTCCCGCGGCGGGTCTAAACGAACTGGTCTTTGTAATTACGCTGAACAGAGCGTGGCGACGCCCGACAACTCCACCGGTGAGTATTAGAGTGCGACTTTGTTGTGAAGGGACGCCCGAAAACTCCACCGCTGAGCATTAGAATGCACCTTTAGTGTAAAGGATGGCTTGTACAGCGGGCGAAATTGGTACACCATGAGTTATTCGTATCGGAAGCGAGACAATATAAGGAGGAATATGCTCATCCGTCAGCTGGAATGGGCTGCATTCTTATTCCGTGCCCTTGGCTTCTTATTCCATTGAACCAGAACATAAAGAGCGCCAGCTTGATGGGAGCGCCATGTCTACTAGTAACTTGGCCCCCACCGCCCGGTCCAAGGTTTCATGTTCATACTTTCTTCACAAAGGATACAACGTCGCCCCACCCGGCCCGTGGGTATCAGATTTGCGCTATTTCGGCTCCACGTAAGGCACTCCACAGCCAAAAGAAGAGAAAGGTCAGAACGAGCCTGGCTAGTGGCTGACGATGATGCTACAGTCTTGACTAGGTTCCGGCCGAGTTCGAGAAGGGCCTCGGGGGTGGAAATGTTGATCTTTGAACCTTCACTAGCAGTCCTGGATGAAAGTCGATTTAAAGCAAACCAGATATCCTCATCAGTTACATATTTGCCCTTACAAAAGGCCAAGTTGGCTTTGCCGAAACGGAAGATCTGACTTGCTCTATTATTACCCGTGCACGATGAATAGCAGCCTCCCGAGTAAGACTGCGCCGGGGCAAAAAGGCCTTCGGTCGGCTTGCGATCTCTGTCATCAGGGCAAAGTCAGGTGCAGTGGAGGTACACCCTGTGAGGGATGCGACAAGCTGGGCGTCAAATGCATCTATAGTACTTCCAATCGACCTGGTCGGCCCAAAGGAGCGAAGAACAAAAAGACGCTCGAACGAATCAAACAACTAGGCGCGGCCAATGACAGCGAGCAGGAAGAAGAAGCCTCTGGAAGCGTATGTTGAAAGCAAATGCTAGCGCCCTCTCTCAAAACAAGGCTTTTAAAGAGACACATTGATCAACGAGCTGACTGAAAGTCCTTGTACAGCAGACAGCATCCTCGGAAGCAAGCCATCGATCGGCCATCTCCCGGGGCTTTTGTAATGAACGATTTAGGCATAGATCGCCCTCGACACAACCAAGTCTACCAGAAAATCAATTGGACCGAAACCTCACAAGTCCCGTCCAACTCTGGGACTTTTTTCCTATGCCTAATTATGGACATTACCAGTCAAGAGATTGTACACCATCCTTATCGGTATAAATTGCCTCTTTCTATAGAAACTTGAGCTGGTTTTAGTCACAATTTGTGGACGAGAAACGCTGACAAGCTCTTGGACTGCAACAGGGACCCTGTCTAAGCCACTCTCGGGCCTCTTCCGATTCCATGTTATTCACTTCGACCGACACATCCGACGATGTATCAGCAGAACTTTCTTGGGTGGCCTCTCTGCTCGATAACCCGGGCATCGTAGTCCCTCACGCTGATAGCCTTGGTCATATCCACGAAGGCCCTCAGTTAACAAACCAGGAGACGTCTCCAATTCAGGTTCCCAAGTCTCTTAGTACGTCAGTACCACAGGGATCTTCTTTTCCTACGTGTAATTGTGTCCAGCAGTCAATCGATCAGCTTGCCAATTTCAAAGCGCTTAGCCGTTCTCGACAGACGCTTCGGCCGGACTTTATTCTCACTGTGGCCAGAGACTCTATTTCGGCGTGGCAAGCCCATCAGCAATGCCCAAGCTGCCAGCATAGTGACGACAAAGATATACTGGTCTTATCGGCCATGGCCCTCCGGGCTCTGCTGAATCTAATCAAGGAGACTGGTCATCAACATGAATACCAGTGTCCACCAAACGACAAGAGGGAATGACATGCCGTCTAAAAATGGTTGTCCATCCCCTGCATTCAACTCGGATCCCTCATTTGTGGGTAGCTATCAACTAGCGTGTGAGGAGAAGCAACTTGTTGTGGGGCTTCTTTTACAAAGAAGGCTCAGGGATCTTAATCATGCCATCGAGCATCTCAGACAAAAGAGCTTGCGAATAGCTGACACCACGCCCCGAAGAAGTACCACATCCACAAGATCATCTCGATCTCATAGCAGCTCCCTTTCTCAGTCGACTATGAGCTCGAATTTCTGTTGTGGTCTTCCGGGCGACATCAATTTTACTGGAGGGATGGAGGAATTGAGCTCTGTTGGTTACGAGACGTCGTTGGATGAACACGACAACTATCTAAAGGATTCTTTGCAAAGCTCGACTGAGACTATCGAATCCCTCCTCACGACAATGCAGTCTCCTCATATGAGGCAGACTCCTAATGACGCCAATACTTTTCGCTTCTGAAGTACGATATACCCCCAGTGAAGGAAGATTCCTTTGTGCTCTGCTATTTCTCGATCAATGATTTACTTATCTGTTTGGAGAATCCCATTAGACCCAAAAGCCCACACGTGCAAGTGGTCGGGACCTTCTTAGGTTATTCTAACATTTTGTGTAATATACATTTCTGGAATAAGGTTTTACGAACGATAGCAAGGTATTTTTTGTAGACCTTGACAAATAGGTACCCAAGCCCATTTTTGGCCATAAAAGGGAATTAAAAAAAAAGAGTGAAGTCACACTCCACATCAAACTTTCCTGATAACACCTGTCTCCTGTGTCACCAAGCCTTTGGTGGTACGTAGGTCTGTGTCTTTCCCTATACATTATTCCCACCTCTGTCGCTCCTTTACTCTCCTCTCTACGTTTGATTTCTCTGTTGTCGAATCACAGAAAATCTGTACACTAGTACTGAGGATTTCCCATTGAGATCAATGGATTCGATGAAGCTAACAAGACAGAATGGAGCGCCATTGAAGGCGTTTCACGGCTCAGAGGCGTGGTTTAGCGTGTTACGACGCTGGTATTTGGAGGAATTGCGGGGTCTAGCAGCGACGACGCATTCCCCTGAATTAGCGGCGAGGACTTGCCGTTGCCGGTGCCGGTGCCGCTACTATTGTCGCTGTTATGTTGGCTCCGACTGGATGCAGCTACCCCGGCTCCCATGCCTGACAAAAATATGCCTTAATTCGTGCGGCGGTCGCGTCCCTTGGGCAAGGAACTATAAACGCGTTTGGCCCCCGACGTAGACAACGCGGGCACCTGTCGTCACTGTTCGAGGTCCGTCGAAGACATCGGAGTTTCTGGGCGTGGCAGCGATCGCATGATGAGCATACATGAACATGAGACGGGGCCCGTCGCATCAGCCCGACGCTGGGATGAATTTGTCAACGGGAAATTCCAAACTACCAATCCGAAGGATAGCGAGCCTCGGACCATGCGCTGAGTGGATTATATTATCATCAGAGACTTCACAATGGTTCCAAGGTGCTTATTTGACAAGGCTCCATTGTTTTTGCCCGCGATGAGATTGCGTCTCTATTTGTAAATACGATGATAAACCCACAAATGCAGCAGGGCCATGTAGGTTGTGCTGTTACGTGTTTTCCCAGAGTTCGGTGGACCACCAGCAGATCTGCATTCAAGATGAGTGTGTTAAATGAATCCGCATCGGTAGTTTGTTGCAATCACACAGGGACGACCAATGACACCCACCGAGCGAGATGGCCACGGTTTTGCCGGAAATCTCTTACCCTCATTTGGCATGGCCCAATAGTCCCTTGTATCTGCATAAACTTATTTTGGTGACCCTGAGCGCCCGATAGATGACCACGCAGTGATTAGTCGCTTCACGTTTGCCACTATTCGACCTGGATTGGTACTAAATCGCCGAAAAGACTCCGAGGCCGATCACCCGCGATCCCGGCCCGCCATCCCCGTCCCGCCATCACCCGCGTTTCTCTGTGGACATGTCTTTTCAAGTAATCATTCTGCATGCAAGATCCACCTATTCTGCATAATGGACCATAACAAGCTCGTGTTTGACTATTCCAGAAATGGAATTAGGGCCAATGCGTCAGCACTTAGTATCCGTTCTCGCTAGTCTATACTTTGTTAAGTAAAGACATGACGACAATCGGCATTTTAAAAGCAAACTATTATAGCCTCCTTTGATTAGAGCAGGGTTTTAGACTTTTTCAGACTGGGGGCCAGGTCTTCGTATTGATATTAGAAGCCTCGCTATAAGGCCATCACTTGCCATATGTATATCAGATCAGCTGTGATCAATGTGCATATGCAAAGCGTTCGTGACGAGAAAGGCTTTCTCAGATATGCGAGTGCGTAAGGTTATATGCATGCTCACATTTGGACCCTTCGTCGTGTCCCCTGCCAGTACTCCTTTGATGTAACCTAGGTTCACAAGATACAAACGCATGGCCTAGTGAGGTAAGTAGATCTAAAGATCACGAAGGGTCACGGAGAATATCAATGTCCTTAAGCTTTCTATCCATGACGTAGAGGCATGCTAGGTCAAACTTTGTAGTCGTCTCTCGTGAATAGTGAAACTGCAACTTCTACGAGATGCAGAGTCGCTGACGAAGATCACCCGAAACCCTATGTAGAGATATTTTAGGGCGGTGACTTCTCGAGCCTAGTAGGTATCCGGGATATTAGGGTGATCCTTGTTGCGCCTGGCTGTATGGGAGTTTTGACAACCATGTGTACCGCCGCTGACAGGTATATTAAAGGGCGGCAAATTTTCATAAGACTTCGTGCCATGTGGTATCTGCAGCTGCAATCAGTGGCGCTGCAAAACCGTCGAGGTTCGATTTTACTACCCCATTGAGTTGACGGATAGAGTTTAGCCATGTCCATCATTCCAATCCGGGTAATACATCCGCGCCTGCAGTAGAGTCGGGCGATTGCAACTTAAACCACCCTCCGCTTCCCGTTCAGAGTTCACGTTAGCTTGAAAGTAACTCGCGAAGATGAAGAAATGTCGCCAAAAATAAAACTGTTTGATGACTTACAGATGAACAAGGCAAAGCATGCGGGGAAAACCCTTCCCCTGTGACGATACTATTTACCGAGCAAAGATTCAGAAGTGGAGTAAGTCTAACCTTTGTTAGTATATTGTGTTATGACAAACCGGGGGAGTGGTTAAATAGTTAGTTACTACTAGGACCCTTTCGGATAGTCTTATTCATCGTTCACCCAATGCACCCTAGTATGGATTTCGGAATTATGGTGTCACAACACGCCATAGCTAGATATAGACCCCTGAGATCGCTCAACCGGTCTTAATACATTCGATCAATGATCCGATTCTATTGTACATGTTCAGTACAAGCCAGTAACTAAACTCCGCATACTGCCAAATTATACAAATATTTGGCGAATGTACCCACTGTACATAAAGCTCCACCTATTGCAAGAACAGCCACAGCTTCAATTTTGTAGTAGATGTTGAAGCGGGGGCGCTGTCTGCGAATCAGATACGCCCGCTGAGAGACAGTGGGATTTACTAGAAGAGGAGGCCCTAGGGTAGTGCGAAGCAGAAGCCTAATTCATGACAGTAGCGGTCTGCGGGGTACACATAGTGCACCCAGCTTCACCTGGCCCCCCCCACTACAATATGTAAATACATATACGTTGTAGTGAGTTAGTTCGTTATCTAGGTTGTGATTTTATTGGTATATCAACATATAGAGCATTCATACAGATCCCTGGGTATGATTCGAAGATGGCCAGGAGCTGAGCAGATGAATAGGCGACCCTTTAGATCCTCTTTGTCGATCACTTTGGTCATACAATCCTTGATCCAGGGCAAAAGCAGAGACAGTAGCTGAACGATCACAAGTCCAACTCGGATCTATATGAATACTGTATCTGCGCAGGTGCTGATCGTCTTCGATGGTAGATGGACATGCACGAACTACGGCAAGTAGTCTATTGAGTACCGTAAACTCCATTCTTAACTTGATGCCGTACACAACTGGTTTATAGGTCGTCTGGACGTCGAAGTTGTTGGTGTATTCGGTGGCTAGGAGAGACGCATCCAACAAAACAGCGGTAATGTTAATGATAACGAGGTTGGTAATGGCCTTTTGACCGTTCGGACCTTTCAAGGCCAGGACGGGTCGTAGACTGGTCATTGTCTCCCAGATATAGAGAGCACTGATAATCGTCTCTTGAACGGAAAGCCCGGTCAATTGGATCCGCTCGTATATATTAAATGTGTCGACGAAGCTGTCAACGCCGCGATTGCTCCCGAGAAAAAGGATGGTGGTCGGAATTTGCAAGGCACAGAAGTTGAAGATGATCATATAGAGCACCCAGCGAGAGTACTGACCGTAGGTCGTCACCAGATGAAGTCGAGAAAAGAGCACCACAGACTGGCCATTTACCATGGCATACCAGCCGATACAGATCAGAACACACATAGGAAAATTGGGCGCGAGGGCGAAGTAGCGAAGGAATACCGAAATGGCGTGAACCAGAATTCCAAATGTCGCGATCAGCATGCTCCAGAAGTACAGCCCGTGGCGGCGTTTGAAGGTGGTGAAGATTGAAATGGTGATTTCAATCACATTGTAACATGAGAGAGCGAGTAATCCGGCAATCACCATTGCCATCACCCGAGAAACATTGATAGGGCCGGTTTCGCCACCCATCTTGAGAAGGGTATCAGGTCCACCGGTAGGAATAAGGGGTGACGCGTGCTGAAATCGATTCCCTTCGATGATCACTGATCAATCTCGTAGGCTATCTCATAGTAGCTTTTCGAACTTTGTGAGGTTCAAATGTTCACACTCGGAGTCCAGAGTGCTCCGAATTTGTGGATGGGGGAAGGTTGGCAGGTGGGGGTTGTGAGGGAGGAAATTTGTGATCGGTCTCTGTGGCGATCATTTCCCACACTCGCATTCGATTGTAAGCTGGAGCAGAAGGATTATAGTTGCTGGATACCATTCGGTTACTCGGAATTTCCCTTAACGAACCTTGGAAGGAAACTCAGGTGGCTTGGAATGCGATAGCATAATCTATCGCTATTAACAATTCATAATTGGGGTTAGCTTGCCAAAGTCAATCTTCGTAGACTTCCCAATCTTCTCTCGGGCTAAGATTATTTTTGGCCTTCAACTCCGAGCCCAATGAGGTACAGCGACTGACAAAGAGGTAGGCGCCAAAAGTTGAGAGCCAATCGTTGGTCTCACCAAATCACAGATCAGCCCACCCCAACCGGAAGGTCGTCGCGCCCCAACCGTATTCCTACTTAGTAAGTACTGTATGCCATTTAGTAACGAGGTATTTTACCTCTAGGTTTTATTTGTTGTGGTTTTTGGTTTTTACTATCGCTAGTACTATAATAGCGAATAAAAGCGCACTAAGCTGGGCGGCCTTTAAGAATCGGACGATCCACGATCTAATATATTTTGATTCAATACCTGAGCTAAGCAACGAGGCTCTTGAATTTGGAGAGCTGGGATTCCACATGTTTTCACCAGTATAAACATCGCTTATCATATCCCAGAACTTGGGCATAGTGAAAGTATGTAGACCTGGGCATCCCCATTCCGCCCATTGAATCCGGTGGTATAGGGAAAACCCCTAAAAATCCTCCGAATAACCGCCCGAACCTCGCCAACTATATCCCGAAGATTCCACCCAAACCTAACACTGCATTTTGAAATATCTATTTATTGAAATATCTATTTTTGAAATATCTATTTTTGAAATATCTATTTTTTTGACCACTGTCCAATAATGGTAATGGGATGGATTACATCCCATTTCTTAGGGTTTGCTTAAGTATGGCCCTACACCCCCCCCCTAATCACTACCTATCCTATTTATTTTCATCATTGATCCTATTTACAATGAGTGGACAGATTTACCCCAGGAATTTACCAATTATTATTTCACAGGATTCGTGTCAAAGAGGGTAAGCTTCAGATCATAAACAATTACCCTACTTTGTCAATCTATTATTTAGTCATATCTATAAAGATAATTACTATAATTATAAAAATGATTAAGGGGGCTGTTAGAGTAGGCTTAAAATAATAAACTCTAGTAAGATTTAAGGTTATTAAATATCTTCTAGAAACTTATAATAATAATAGATAAATAAAGAGCTATAAATTAATTACAGAAAGCCTATTTAAATTAATAACTAGTGTAATGGGGGATTTCGCTCTCAACATCGGAGTCAGGTGATTGGGGCCTTAGTAACAAGGCAGCTATTTAGTTTCGGAAGAATTAAGTAGCGTTCGTTCTATAGTATCAATAACAATATATATGTTCCCCCTTATGAGTTCTTCTTTCTGCCGAGGCTGCTGCTGCAGAGGTTGCGGTATAGTTGTATCGTATATAAGGGCTTGAATGTCTTATTAGTCGTATCTCGAGAGGCCTTGCGCTCAAGCTCGGAGATCAATCCCTCGTCAACCATATAGGTGCCGAAGATCATTAAAAGGTCTGACCAATGAAATGCCCCAAGATACGGCACCGGGCTAATGTTAGAGAAATTGCCCGCCCACTCGTATCGATAGGTCTCAAGCCCCAAGGTCGCACGTAACTTGGAGTCATCATATGCCGTGCATACCCATTCGCCTTCAGATTCCATAGCCTTCGCCTCCTCTGTAGTGGCCATTTCTCTGGAGGCGTCAGACCGGATGGGCGGTCCCCGTGCGACTTGGCCGGATATATACCGCCTGGTCTCATTTGCGAAGATGTACTTCTCATCCGCTACCCAAATAGTTAGTCAGTGTTGTATTGACATTATTTGATAAAGAAGCACGAACGGATATAATTGGTGAATGAAATTGAAGGAGTGCCATTGTAGTTGTTGATATACTCCTCTATCTGAAGGAAAGAAACCTGTCCATGGCACGTGAGCAAATTGTTAGTTACCCGCAAACTAAAAAGCCCGTTAAAGCAACAACAGCACAAGGCAAACTTTGTAAGAAACTTTTAATATGAAGGAAACGTCCCATACCTGGCGCAGACATTCGAGTTCGGAATTATAGTCATCGCCATAATTACAGCCGAGCCCTTTAGCTACGATATTGAAGTCTTCGTAGACATCATCGGTGTCCGTAAGGTTGATTGTCACCGAGGGTGGCTGGGAAATACTCGCGAACTTTGCCGCAAGTTGGTTTTCGGGGAATGCCAGGGTGTACAAGTGAGTTAATGCTGCGCCTTGGGATTGGCCCCACAGCTGCAAGAAGGCAGTTTAGATGGTATGAACTTGAGAACTCGAGGATAAAATTTAATTAGAGATAGGACTGACCATAATATTGTCTGGGTCCCCTCCAAAGGCCTCAATGTTGTCCGATACCCATTCAGCTGCAGCTCGTACATCCAGCAAACTCAGCGAGGTCTCATCCAAGGCCTTGGAATTAGGATCTAGAAAGGGATAACTATCATCAACCAAACATGGCAGCCGAAATTGGGGATTGATCTCACTTCCGAAAATATTCAGTCTGTAGTTGATTGTCACTACGATATGTTCCTGGGAGCGTGAAACTCAACGAGAGGGTAATTGAGATGGAACTTCAATCCCGCCAGTAACCCCGCCACCTCCCGTTACAAAAAGCGCAACGGGTAGTTTCGATGTTTTGTTGGAGTATGAGGGAGTCCAAACAGCCAGTGAGAGACAGTCTTCAGCGGAAGAACAGGCTGTGGCACCCTGGTTGTCGGCTTCGCCAATATTGAGCAGAAGACTGGCCGGTTCGTACTCCGACAACATGCCATCACTCGAAGCGACAAATTGTGGACACGCTAGCAAGGACGTATCAGTAGAGGAACGGTGCATGGTAGGAACAGGCAAGATAGACAGTCTGGTTCACTTACCCGGGCCATAACGAGTGGAGTCAACTTTCTTTGACGAGTGAGGCAACTGCTGCGGAGGAAGCCATCGGAGATCACCAATTGGCGGCTGATACAATTGATGTTTTTTTTAAAAGTTTCTACGTATCTCACAATAGCGATGGCAAGTTGGTTCCTCACCTGGGCAAATGGAATACGAAGGAATTGGTGAACGTTGGGGTATGTATCATTCAGAAATCCGATGAATGTACCAGTGTTTGTCTTGACAGTAAGATTAGCCCAATTGGAGAAAGTGCGAGCAGGCTGCCAGGTCAGGTTGGCATAATATGGAGAATTGAGCCCGCCGAGGGTCTGGACGGCCAGCTCCAGCAGTCCAAATGCAGCGAGACGAACCATATTAACAATGATTCTTTGGCAAAGACGAGATGGACATACAGATAGAGGATGTGGAACCTCGATGGGTTTTTATTTGTTTCTGAACCCTTCTATGGGCCTATTGTCACTCAAGCTAGACAATGGAGGGACGAGGGGAGAGCGGGGGAAGGGCTCTTTCATCCCCACAAAATGTGGGAAGAGTGGAATCTTACCTTCTTGGATGTATATCCGGGTGGTGCAATTCGTAAACACTTTGCCGACGTCCGTGGTCTCCGGCACCACTCAAGTGCTGTCTGCCTTATCCTGATTGGTGTGTAGCTGATTGGTACTTCACCGTGCCTCTCGCTCAGACACTAGCTCGGACGAGAGGAGAAGGGCTCAAAGCGGAGATCGAAGACTATGACGTGTATTTCTATAATTGACTGCATGTAAGTGACAATAGAGCACTAGCGAACTCAACTAGAGAGGCCCAGTTCAATCAAATTCCCCAGACCCTCACCGACGGAACTCTTCTGCCCTCAATGGGCTCGCGTGGTTTGAATTCCTACTGGCTCGCCAGAAGGCATAATATATTTGAAATTTAAGAGCGGATAAATTTTTATACGACCTTTCATTCTATGCGGACTCCTTAGCTCGTAATCTAAGCCTTATTACCCCAACCGATACTAACCACTTACTAGGGAACTTATTGCATGCTTGGGTTGCTGAGGGCTTTGAAGCCAGGGACATACCACAAATTACATTAGGTATACATTTTTGCCGTTTTCTTATTTCTTCCTTATCGCGAAAAAACTTTCCGTATGACCAGTGGGCTTTTTCGCCCTGTTCATACAATGCGACCGTCCGCTCTCATATTGTGCGGCTTAGCTGCCATCCCGGCCCTGGCGGGTTGTCCCTATGAATTTGAAAAGAGGGGCGATAAAGACGACATTACCGAAGCCTATGCAAACATGCGTCGAAGTTTCCCATCAAATATTGGAGCAGCTGCCGTCTCCATAGATCACAATATAACCACTGATCCTTCCAAAAAGGGGGTCTTCATGGTGAACCGACTTGCTCCTAGTGGATTGAAGCTGTATATTGTAAACGCAGATGGTAACAACGAGCGTTCACTTCTCTCGCATCCAGGATTTGAATGCCACGCCTCTTTTTCACCTAATGGGCAATGGATGACCTTCAGAAGTAAACGGAATGGAGATGGAAACTCGGATGTGTACGCGTCCGAACTAATGATTAAAGTTTGGAAAAGCTTGTTGCAACACCATCAGTGGAAGATTCATTTGCGTTATCCCTTAATGGCAGTTTCGGTGCCTTTCTTTCGACCAAAAACAACATGAGAGCCAACATCTGGATTATGGACATGAAGACTGGAGCCCTAAGGAACATCATGGATACTCTGATCGCCGCATCAGACTCGTCGCCTATGAACGGCTATTTCCGTCCAGCAAGGTCCACTGACGGCGAAAGGCTTGCATTTTCCTCCGATCGCACATCCAGTTAGTGGACATGGCGTGTCCACTTACCTTGGTCTTACCGGGTGGGAAACCACTCAAGAGCTATCGATCTATGTGATCTGTCTAAATGTCTCCGACTTTCGTAAAACCATTTCAAAGCCTTACCACTCTCTTGGCTCTCCAAGGTGGTCGCCCGATAGCAACCGTCTTCTATACTATGAACTGACACGTGAAGACACCAACAACACACATAGTGAGTTTACGGTCAGATCCGCAAACTTTACTCTTGTTTCAGTCAATGTTGCGACTGGTACGGATCGCAAAGTCGAAATCGGTAGAGAGGGTGTTAAGATCTTCGCGCAGTACATAGACCACAACGGCATGATTGGTTATCTGTTGAAAAGCGGCAGTGACATCGAGGATATTTACACCACAGCTGGATCGTTTTTTAACTCCTCAGACACCATCTGGTAAACATGCTGGTCTCCAGATGGCAAACAAACTTTTAAGAGAAAGCTAACTGGGGAATTCGCGCTAGCTACAAGAAGCTTTACGCTGGGACACAGAGTGGGCTGCCGCTTTACTGATGTGTTCCCACAATACTCTAATTAGAAGGACCGAATTGTTATCACCCAAAAGCAACTTGGAAAATCTTCAATTGTGACCCTGAACACCACAGCGGATGACCTCGGCCTGGTTTATGACCCTAGCGAACCTCCTTTCCTCCCTTCTTCGGATGCCTCTGTTCTCGAAGCCTACCAACCAGATTGGTCACCCGACGGAGTGGTTTGTTTTTGGAGTTGGATTTTGGTTTGATACTTGTAAGGCCTCTGGTGGTTGGATTGTGCGGTCAACTGCCAGCGGTTCTTTCGCGGAGGTCATCGTGAACAGCACCTACTCTATCACCAATATAACTGTGCTCAACACCGGCTACCCTAGTTTCTCCGATGGCGGCAAGAAGGTCGTTTGCCGAGTATGGGGCGCAGACACCGTAATCTCTGGCGACCATTTTAAACATACTCCGACAGTTGGAATGACCTGCACCTGCGATCGGGAAACCGCCAGGTACAGAAAAGTTCCCGAGCTCTTGCCTGTGATCGTCGCAGCCAGAAAGAACAACCTTGCTAGCATCTCCACTGCCTAAAAAGTGCATTAGGCTCTTCTTTCGGTTTCATGATTTGCGTGGCACAGTCCGCTAGTCGCACCCCTAGGGTTGTCCCTCAGTCGGTTATTCCTCGGTATCTCTTGAATGACAGTGAGAAATTAAAATACCGGCAAACCACCTCTGAACCAGGTCTTACACTGCCCTAATCCCCCACTAAGAGACACGCTAGTCGTGGCTCAATGGCCCTGCGATCTTGCAAATCCAGGTTTGCATGATCACTGTCGCAACGTGCAGAAAGCTGCTGTTTAGAGCTAAAGCTGGTAATATTAACCGGTAGGCTCCAAAATCATCGAATTCTGGTTGACAGAATAATGAGCTGTAATTCAAAGAAAATAAATTTATTGATTCTTAGGAATCAGGTGAGTATAAAACGAGAGGATCAGTTTCACTTCGAATCATTTTAGTTATTCGTATGTACACTTGGGAATCGTGCTGCTTGATTTCTGGTCCGCACCGGCTCCATATCACAGCGGCTTCTTCCGGGGTTCTGTCTCGCTACAGTCGCTACAACGACTTTGAGCTGGCTTACTAAAGTGCACACTTTCGGTTTCCTCTGGATCGTCTCCAATTCCGATTCACTCTGTTACAACCTTCCGCCCCCCTAAGTCTATCCAATTACTGCCTTCTGTGTCGATCTCGTTCGCTAGCTCGATCCCCTCCCTTCAGTTCGACTCAGACTACTGAACGCCTCTCATCATTTTCATCATTGGCGAGTCGGTGGTCTTCTCGGATCCCGAAGATTTACAATGTTCCAATATATTTCAGAAGGCCTGCGAACGAACGTGAGCCCACGTTGTCTATGTCTAGCTTCCAGAATGCCACTATGGCACGATACTAGTTGAATTACTTCTGAGCTTTCTTTCGTTGTTTTCTCCGAAGGGAAAACTCGCGCAGAATACGCCTCCAGATCCCTTGGCATGATGCAGGCTCATTCAATCTACGGTCAACCCCCATGCATGAACACTCCACTTGTGTCATGTTTGAGCGAGGTCATAGGGCAGATGATGAGTGATATTTTTGTAGAAGTTAGCTGAAGAGAGAGATAAATTAAAGTAGCGAAGGAATAGTCAGATGTAGTGCTGCGGGCAAAGACGGAATTTGGTTCAACAAAGGTACCTATTAGGTTCCTATTTTAGTATAAATATATCAAACAGGCTACTAATGTAACGGGCCCAGGTCCGAGGAGATATCACGTGGTGTTACGTGACCTTTTCCTGCAGGAAAACCAGGTGGAAGCTAACATTATCACATAGATGACTCTTCTTTAAGATTATCGTAAACAGCATGTAGGTCTAGCCCCAATTAAACAGTTGTCGCTACAGCCCTTTACATACAGTAATCCTCTGATTCGATCGGTTATCGTAAACTTACCTGCGAAGTCCTAAAAGTCTTAGGCATACGAAGAACGTACCCCTGAACTACTATCTATTTAATACTGATTCAATGATAACGCAGAAGTCCTAGGTGCATTAATTCCTAGGTATACAATTTGAGGAGCTCAGATACTCACAGAGATCAGGATACAGCGTAGTGTAGGAAGCAAAGGAAATAGTAGCGTTCGACGAAAGTAATAGCTTGAGGAGAATAAGAAGGAAGCTAGGATGGAACGCTAGATACACAGGTGTATGGCGTGGATGCCTAGAGTGGTGCCGTAGGCATGAGGCATCCGCGAATGGTAACAACACCAGTTCGTTACAGTTGTAAGCAGTGGTAAAAAGACATACATCAGGATTTTTTTTATATCGAGACCAATATGTATTGCAGTGGCTGTAGATATATTAGTATATTTGTGGATATGTTAGGACGACGGGTTAGACGTATTGTAACAACAAACTTACAAGTAGGCAATATTATAGGCCAACCTAATATAGCTATAGTATAAAAAGCCAGTAAGTAGGTATGAGAGCAATGATATCGGAGTTATTAGACTTAACAGGAGGTATATACTTAGGATCGGTCTTATCCGCACGAGGACGATAACATTATTTGGGCTTTACAACCTGATTTAAGACAATAATAGATTAGGGGTTAGAATACTACTTACTGTAAGATGGGAATGCTCGCTGGCAGTCTGCGTTGGCAGACGGGTCGATTGCAAGAGAACAAAACCACTACACTCGCAGAGTGCAGGAGAGAGAGTAGTAGACAAAGCGGTGCCCTACTGAGAAAACAACATTCAGAACATTCGAGCCCTTGGTCGAATGCTAGCAATCCGAAATAACGAAAATAAAATTGGTGACCCCAAAGGTGGATGATGTGTGTAAGTTAACTATCGTCGAGGGCTTATATACTGCATGAAGGTAAGGCCTAAGGCCTACAACGTCACCTAACATCATCAGAGCGATTCCCCCACTACATTACCTATATTTAGAAAAGGTTAAGATAGTGAAGATAGTAGTTAAAGAAGGGTATGACAAGATGGGGACAATAGTAATAGAGTAATAATAAAGAAGGAAGGTTTTGAATGGGCAGGAAGTATGCTTTTATATACAGACAGCCGCTTGTATAGGCAACTACCGTAACTAGACCATACCTCGCTCCTTCCTATCGTGAAGCTATTCGCAACACGCATACATAACGTAACGTACAGGGCGCAGAAGCTGACCGTTCGACTCCGGTCACGGAAAAGTCTTTCGGCATAGATTTGAATGAGGACGAAATTAAGCGTTTGATTCCGACCTTAAATCATTTTTTTGGTATTCAGAAACTTAATGGCAAGTTTCATCTAGATGGGGGAGGATGTGATCCTAGAGATACCTTAGGGCACATGACTGCTTTATTTCCTATGTATATATATCCTTCCTTACGCTATAGCTTATAGGAACACACACTCATTCCACTACAACCTCACTCTAGGAACTCAGTTTATCTACTCTATATTAGTGATAGTATCGTATAGATGTTAATGTCAGTAGCCAGTATCAGTTTTTCTTTTTCTCAGTAATAGTAGGTTATAGGTACTCTGAATTATCTATAGTCTTTAAGGCTTTTATTGTTTAACTATATTTAATTCTATCTATCCTAGTAAACCTAGTGTAATGGTTACTAAGTTGTCAGGCTAGAGACCTGTGACTAGGCAAGGATATCGGACGGTAGAGATCAGATTGGACAGTTAATACAGAGACTGATTCTTGAGAAGATTTAGAATCCTGAATATTTGTAAGATCTTAAATATATTAGGATTCGGGTGGATATCGATATACAGGTGACTCAAAGCGGATTCGTCCATCAATCGGCCTCGAGAGTCCGGGGTATCGCATACTTCGAATCCCGTGACACGTAGTATAAATATACCCAAAGATTTAGTGTGAAATTTCTGTAGGGTCAATACAGCCATAATACAGTCAAATATAGCCTAAATCATTATATTTTATACAAGTGATATAACATTATCTTTTGCCCTACTTGTGGGCGGGTTATAGGCGGTTTGGGCATGCCTATAAATGGGCGGGTTTGCACAGGTCTAAGCGTATCCATAGTAGATAGCAGTGTTGGTAGGAGGCTAGTGTAAGAAACAGAAGCGTACGATCTGTAGCGGTTAGAAGATTTCCGTAATAGACATACAGCCAAGAAGAGAATCCCACTGGAGGTCAGCCCTCTGCTACAGATCGATTTCTCTCGCAACCCATGACAGTCTCTGTGAGGACGAAGCCCCTGGGTGTGAACGCTTCAGGGTGGCCGGGAGCACACACGACGGGCCAATCAGGAGGCCGAGAACGGCATTGAGCCCTGGATGCAGGGCGGACTAGGGTGTAAGTTAGGGGGCGGTTACGAGTTGATACGTAACCCCCCCCTGGCCAAGACCTTTCTACGCGGGTAACCCTGAAGGGCCGGAATATATTTAGGATTTTCACCGCCGTGCAGTCAGCCTGACTGCAGAGGGTACTCTGGGATGGTGGATGAATTTTATCTGAAATACTAATCGAGTTACAGTGAGCTTTCTATAAATACAGCAAGAGGCTTTGCCACTTAATCTAACCAGGAGAATAATAATTTGTAAAAGGCTTCAGGGTCCTGAAGGAAAGGCGCATGGCCCAGTCCGGGGAACATGTGAAAGGTGCAGTTGGGGATCAAGGCTGCTGCTGCTGGGCCTAGGGTGGAATAGTGACCCAGTTGTGCAGCAACATCTGCAGATGACCATGCTTTGCCAAGGGCCGTGATGTCGTTTTCGCCCACCATCAGATAGGTTCGTGTCTGTAGATGAGGTAGCTGGTAGATAACGGGCTGGCTAAGTAACGTATCGGTGACAAGAGCCATCACATACGCATAGTCTGAGCCATGATCACCAGCATATATATTGGCTAGCATTTGAACCCAAGTATCATACTCGGGCTTCCAGACGGCACCGTGAAAGTAAGAAGCCGCCTCATACTCCTTGAGAGTGGTGAAATTCTGCGTGACTTGAGATTCGTAGGATGCATCAATCGGCAGGAAAGGCACTCCCTTGGCAACCCAGTCCTCTAGGCCCAGTGGATCAACTAGAAACAGCTGATTGACCGTTTCGGGATACATAAGGCCATAGCGCGCAGCAATCATGCCGCCCATCGAATGTCCAACGACTGTGACCTGTTCGATACCTAGCGCTGTGAGAAGACTGTTGATATTCAATGCCTGCTGATTCACATTGTAGGAATAACCCTGGGGCTTGCTTGATTTGCAAAATCCAATATCATCAGGCAGGATCACCCGGTAGCCCACAGCCGATAACTTGCGCGCGGTAGCAGACCAAGTAACTCCACAGAAGTTTCCGCCATGAAGTAGGACAGCGACCTTCTCTTTGTCGCACTTTTTGCGAGCTGGGACGTCCATGAATGCCATTGAGAGATTCTGACGCTGATTGTAGAAGTTGAAAAGCTTCACTGGCCAGGGATAGCTGTAGTCTGATCCGTGTAAGTTATCAGGCACAGGGCCATGATAGATGGTGCCAACTGGGTCAGGAGACTGTGCAGAGGCGACCAACGCGCACGATAGGATCGCTGAGGCGATGTCGAAGACCGATCGTATCTTCATTGTGCGAGAGTTCTGGTGGGAAGGGCACTCAAGAAACAAAATCCAACAGAGAAGCGGTCATTCAAAAGTTTAAGGGGTAGAGAACAGAGGGCAGGGATGATGACTAGTAGATTACGAAGTTGTCCAGTTCACGCAATGTAAACAATTATTTATGTACCGAGTACTAGTACCACGTACCGCGGAGTACAGTGGTGTTGCAAAAGTTTGAATCCCCCTTATTTACCGCCTTTCCTACCCGCTCACCACACTAGGCCTACCGCCCACCAAATTAGGCACACGCCCCTTATTCCACTTCATGCCATTCGCTGGCATAGAGGTTTTAGTGGAGCAGAAACCCCCTTTTTCTGCCGGGGGTTTCAAACTTTTGTAACGCCACTGTAGCCGGGCTTCCTACTAATTAGGGGACCGACCCACTTAGACTTTTCGAATGAAAATGCGTTCAGTTCGCCAAGGAGCAATCGAGAACTGGAATTCTGCAATAACGTTAATAAGTAATCGGTGGGAACTTGATACACATGAACAAAATACTATACATAGAACTTGAATTCGCTGTACTCAAGTCAGCCTGGATCATCTGTAGCCGGACTCGGAATGTACTAACTAGTATTTAGTACTGCCTGCGCCCCCGACCAAGGAATTGAAGGCGCAAATTTCCAACTAATGATTAATATGTTGATGAGCATCGCTTATAAAAAATCATCTGATATTTAAATTACACTAATCTATAATTGTGTATTTCTGTACGGCTGTCCGTGGAGGTTTTCGGTGTAAAATAGTATCACTGCAAGTGGCCAGCTATTCCCCAGCAGTTACCAGCGTGGAGCACGGAGCACGGAGTGTCAGTAAAAGCCAGGCGGAGAAAATTAGTGCACTTTACAAGCATCCGTTCGCATAAACGACGGCCGAGATTATGCATTGTTAATTGTCTCTGTGCGACTGGACCTATCAGGTAAACCTTGTTCTGCTTTCGGCCCCACTGAAATAGCCATTTAATCAAAATCACTGTAACCTGACAGACGCTAAGGCGTAATAGGTGTAGCTCCTGGGCTGTCAAATAGTCCCTCGCTGGTCAGGCACTGGAGCTAGCTTGTAAAATATGCACCTAGATCCTTCGCCAAACTTAGTTTACTTAGTAGTTTCGTCCGCATAGGCCCGGTATGAAAGAGGACAACACTCCGTACTCCGGGTTCTATAGGTCGTCGACGAGGCTTCCATCGAACCTGCGATGAGGAAGCGGAAAATCCTGTTGGATGGGACCCCTGCCTATTATCTGTACTAGTTAGTCGTTTGGCTGAGTCATATACTAGTGCTATGTAACTATCTGGGAATATTTTACAGTAACTTACGACCAAGGTGTTATTTCGAATAAGAAGCCCTGCTCCTGGTTGAGCACTTTCAACGTTGAGACTAATATGCAGTTTCGTATCACTCTACGTTCACTCTACCATATCACCTGAGGCTGGCGTCGATATTAGCGATGTCAGGTAATCTTCCAGGTCCAAGCAATGCCTTGGAAATCCAGGTGCCGTGTATCGTTTTCCTGGTTTTAACACCGGCGTTCGTAGCGATCCGGATGTGGTCTCGAGTGAAGTCGAAGTCAGGCCTAGGATGGGACGACTGGGCTATTTTAGCATCGACCGTGAGTTCTCCGCGCATACTACTTCGGAAGTCCACTACCTAATTGTCCTCTGACCGCTCACACTGGTGCAATTCTTAGGTTTTTGCAGCCATAGTCATGGCCCTCATGTTAGCCTCCTGTACTTACGGATTCGGTCAACATGTCGCAAATCTTACGACGGAGAATAAAGCAAAGACTTTAAAGGTATTCTTGACCTTCACATCTCGTTGCCACCCGAAAGTCCTGTCTCAACCGCCGTGACTGTCCATACAAGGAACTGACTTCTACTTTCGCAACAAGCTATTTTTCATTAGCCAAGCATTCTACAAACTTACGATGAACATGACAAAGATGTCCATTTTGATGTTGTATTTACGCATTTTCATCCAACGGTGGTTTCGCATGGTTTGCTATGCCCTATTGTGTATTATTGCTTCCTACATGGTAGCTGCATTTTTCGCTTCGATATTTCAGTGCATACCAGTGGCAAAGGCCTGGAATAAAGCTATCCCGGGCTCTTGCATTGATATAACGACTAATTGGTATGCCAACGCTGGGTTCTCGATCGCTACCGATATAATCATACTGGCCCTTCCGATGTATCCCATTTATAATTCCAGAATTGTATTGGACAGAAAAATTGCGTTGATGATGGTCTTTGCTCTTGGGGCCTTGTGAGTTCTGGAAATACTTGAAACCTTGAGCTGGCGCTAATCGATGGTACCCAGTGTTGCTGTCACCAGTATCATTCGCATGCAGACCCTCGACTTTTCCTCAAAAAGCCCAGACACTACTTGTAAGTATCGTCACCGTAAGGAAACTTTGATTGAATCCTCAAGTACTTACATATTCTTTGGTAGACGATCTTACCTCCTCGATCTGGACCATGATTGAAGAAAATATGGCCATAATCTGCGCCTGCCTTCCGATGATGTGGACGCCACTTGCGAGATTATTCCCCTCCTTCTTATCTACAAATCAACGAGCAACAAGTAACCATAGATCGGCTGCAAGGGGTACCGAATCCAATGCCAATTCACGATCACGAAATCACTGGGTTCAGTTTGATGGGTACTCTGACCCTGCCAGGAGTATCAGTATGAACCCAATCAGTGATTCTCAGCGAAGTACCTCCGAGGACAGTACAGGTCAAATTCTTCCACCAACAGGGCCACTTCATGGTGATGAAGTCAAGTATCAAGATCGAAAGGGTATTAGGAAGGTTACAGAGTATCATGTTTCTTATACCACTACTACTGCGAAGTATTAAACTTTAGAAAAATACTACTTTTATCAGACTTTGCTCGCCGAAAATATTCATGACACCGAAGTATTAGTAGGCAATTTATTGAGAAGGCTGCTACAATTTGTAGTTTGATTCAGCGTTACAAGTTTAAAGCCATACAAGAATAGCGAAAAGGGGCCTACTATGGCACAGATCCTGAACGGCGCGGATGAGAAGCAGTACCCAAGGTAAGCTTGCAAAAACAAAAAGCAAATTGGATCATCTTTCCTCCAACATTCAGTGATGTTAAGCAAGTTTTAGAAATTCAAGTCCAGGTTAAAAAATTTATATCGTCAGAGACTCATTCCACAGCCTGCTATACCGGCACAAAATGATTTACCCCTTCCTCGAGACTGTGGAGCCACTGTACTGCTCGGTCAATGCCAATACCTCTCAAGGTATACGTGAACTCGATGGTCAATGCACTAGTAGCATACAAAAAATGGGCTGTGGTTCACCCGGCTATCCCATCTATCCCCGTCTTGGCGTAAATTCGGGGAAGTTGCCGACATCTCGTTTAAGATTGGCCCGGCCCGATCAACCCCGACTCTCTCATTAATCCTGGCATCTGGGCCTCATCGATGTTCGCCACTGAGAACGTGTTGTGGAAGATTCTCCGCATTTCCCCGGTTCTTATTCCATATGTCCCGTTTGAGGCGGGGCGCGCATGAGATAAGTAGCTAACGCAATACAAATGGTTGGTCTCCAGGATAATTAGCCCTCAGGGGCACTCGTTAAATACCTCGCCATCAAAGGCTTCCGGTTCTACCTTACTCACCGAACTCTCCGGCGCAATACAAGGATAGCCTCCGAAATATACTAGCCATATCTTCCGGTTGACTTGATCTGTCAGCTTACTGCACGCCATCTGCAAACCTGTTACGCCATGGTCAAGCAAGAGAAAAATGCTGTGGGAGGTATGCTTGCTGAGGTGAGATATTCAGGTCATACTTGTCATTCCATTCAATGCACCTACTTATGAGTGGCCATTTACTCGCTGACTTATTTCTCCGTGTTCAGGTTATTCCGCCAGACTCTCAAGCATGGTGGACAAAGCCTCATCTCGTCAGACTGAACACTACGATCACCGGTTTACTGCTCTACTCGAGAACAGTGGGCTATGATGGCTCGCTAATGAACGGAATGCAGTCTCTGGGCCAGTGGAAGGAATTTATGGATCATCCAGCCGGGGCCTGGCTGGGCTTCATCAACGCAATTCAGTTTCTAGGCGTAATGCTAGGGCTCCCGCTGCAAGCATGGGCTGCCAATCGGTTTGGACGCAAGCGCACAATATTCGTCGGATTTTCTTCCTTGCTTTCGGTGCAGCACTTCAGGCCGGTGCAACCAACCAGGCCATGTTCATCACTGCTCGTTTCCTGGTCGGACAGGCTAGTGCCTGGTTCCAAGTCTATCGTTCTAATCACCGAGATTGCGTACCCTACTCACCGTTCCAAGCTTTCAGCGATGTATCCAATGTCAATACTACCATGGTGGTATATTTTCTGCGTGGCTAGCGTTTGGGTGCCGCAACAATAACTCTTCGTGGGCGTGGCGCATCCTGTCGTTGTTGCAGATGGGGATTCCACTCTTCGCCCTACCGCTGACGCTAAACGCGCCTGAATCTCCTCGGTGGTTCATCAGCAAGGACAGGCATGAGGAGGCGCGCCAAATGTTGGTGAAGCACCACGCAGGTGGTGATCAGAATTCTCTTCTCGTTGCATCGGAAATGGAAGAGATTATCAGGTCAATTGCAAAAGAGCAAGAAGCAGAGAATTCAACCGGATGGGTCGATATGGTTCAAACCAATTGCAATCGCCGCCGTTTCTTCATAAGCGCCACCTTGGGCGTTTTTGCGCAATGGAATTGAGTGTAAGCGTCCCCTACTGATGCTTGGCTATATCACAGAAATTAATCTCGTTTAGTGGCATTGTCTCATATTATCTGACTCTCATTCTTGACAACATTGGCATCACATCGGTTACAGAACAGCTCATGATCAACGGGTTTCTGCAAATCTGGAACCTCATTATGGCAGTAGTCGGCGCACTACTCGTGGATCGCATCGGTCGTCGGTCGTTGTTTCTCTTGTCCACCGCCATTATGCTAGTAAGCTAAATTATCATCACCGGCCTATCAGGCGGCTTTGCCGAGACGGATTCCAGAAGTATCGGTATCAGTGTCATTCCCCTTCTGTTCGTGTATTTTGCCGGATACGACATTGCCTTTACACCCTTGCTTTTGTCCTTTCCCGTAGAAATCTGGCAGTTTTCCCTGTGGGCGAAAGGTGTGGCTTTCACGTCGACATGCACTTATTTCGCGCTTCTCTTCAATTCGTTCGTCAACCCCATTGCACTGGAGGCTATTCAGTGGAAGTACTACTTTGTTTAAGTTGCGCTCTTGATACTTATCATCGCGGTCGTGTACTTCGTATATCCCGAAACTCACGCACATTCGCTTGAGGAAATTGCTTTCATCTTTGATGGTGATGAGACCCCAGATCTGGCCAGATTAGATTTTGGTGATGAAAAAACGGGTTCTGCAGAGACTGATCACATCGAGTGTAAGGCACTCGGCGGACAATAGATCACTCGTGAGTAGGAGCTAGTAAATCTTTCTCTATCATATTTAGTCGGCAGATATGGATTTTACTTTATATTTCTTCAATTACGAAGTAGTGGTTCCCAAACTTGGATTCTTGATGTAAAAAAGGGGTTCCCGGCAGACTTGCTCAACTCCAGCTTATAAGGTGGAGCTGATCCATGAGTAGCCATGAGCACTCCGGGAGCACTCCGAGAGCAAACAGTAAGTCTACTTTGAGTCAAATCATGTGAGTACCCGATGACTAAGATCTTGGTAAAATGAACGCTTAAGATGGCGTCGAATGTAGCCGTTTGGGGCGTTCGATTTACCGTCACTGAGGGTTGGGGTGTAAAACAATTCCTTGATGCCATACGCCTGTTAGACGAGTGGTTAAGTAAGCTGCCTATCTTTAGGTAATCCAGTCATGGATCTTGAGCATCGGAGCTTGATGATTCGTATGGTTTCTAAATGGCTCGAATTTTCGGTTTCTCACAAGTTGGCCGCAGTAGTCTCTGTCTGGAGTTGTCTAAACGGAGACATAGAATTGTCTTATTCCTTTCTCGTTTGCTTAATTGCTCTCAATCAATCACTCCGCTTAATTACTCATTTCGCTCAATTACCCACTTCGCTCAATTAGTCACTCTGCTCAATTGTTCGCTTACAGTATGTATCTTAGTGCCGTTGTATTTCAATTAAACAAGAAGCGCATATTGGAATCTCGCGGACCTTGTCAAACAACTATTTTTAACTTGATATGTCGCCACCTCCGTATGATACTAGCAAGGCTGACTTTCTCAGGAGGGGGACGAAATACAAAACGAGTGAGACCAATGCAGAGATGATGTGTATCTCGTCAAATGTTACTGCGGGACTTGGTTGCTATAGTGGAACGTCGCCGGCCTCGGCGTACGGTGGATTTCAAAAACACATCCCACGAGACACGCTTCCTTTATGGGCGACCGATTAAAGACCCAAGTCTCAGATCGCTGTCACAGCCAATGAAAAAGTCAGAAGGCCCCAATTAGGGGATTTCTCTAGCCTAATTTAGCTTAGCTAATTTGGGATTGGGGGCTGGGAAAAATGTCTGAAGAGGAATCTGTTGCGACTTTTTCTAGATTATTCGCACGCTTTGACTATGCGAACGAGCAGTCCTAGGTGTGAATATATAATCTGTGAAAACTGCACTGTGTGCGTTACGAATATAGATTATATAACTCCGCACTTTTGAACACTGACAATCCATCGACTCACACTCTGATTCGAATTTAACTTCCACGTTCTATACAGAGGAAATCTATCTAAACCTAACGCTGAGGCAATGTTGACATTACCTAGTCCTGATAAAACTAGCTTTTAAATCACCCTTGAGCGTCATTTAAAGACCGTAAAATACCTGGCACTTCCACCGGGGCTATCTCAAAGTCACGGGCTGCAGCGATGCCATCTGTTGTGATATGAGCTGGTGCAGATCAGGAACGAAGCCGAACCATCGGAGTTAATCCCAAAGTATGCATACGAAGAACCAAGTTGATTGGAAATCAACTTGATCTTCTTGTTCTATATATAGCCTCATGTTTCCCTCTGAATAAATAACAACAATTCACATTCCTGAACTTCAACAGGTTGGTAAGGTAATGCAGATACTGGGGGGGCTTGTATCCACAAAATTACCTTGTGCCTCGGGAGAAGAGCGCGGTGGCGGAGACTCAAAAAGGAAGGCTGCGGTTCGACCAGTCATCTGGTTGCGTGGTTCGTGCTCGTGTATTGAGGGATATTTGCCTGCATTGAAGGCGACCATCTCGCAAGGGCTATTATCAAGGTCCCTCTCGACGAAATTTCTGGGCAAATGATCGCAAATGAGGAGCTCCTGAAAATGTGAATGAGGTGCCGACTGACATGTCCGGTTTGAGGTTTCTGAGTAATACTGCCCTGGAAGATATACTTGGGCTTTTCTCCAAGCTACAAAGAAGAAGCGAGCCATGGAGGCAACCAAAATGGCAGCCAACAGCGCGGACTATTTGGGCCAAAAACACCAATATATTTATTTGATGATATGTTTAAGCGACAGAGGTTGTAAAGGGTGGCAAGTGGGCTGTCATTGAAGTTGCGTGAGTTTTGGTCAACTTTTAATGCAAATAGTTTAATCAGCAATACGCTAATAATTTAAGTGTACCATCCATTTGGGAAGAGACCTAGGAATGGCAATCATGTCTAAACATAACGACCGAATACCGAGGATGGGTTTGCTATATGACGTCCCAATTCCAGGCTTCTCGAAGCTCCTTTTGAGCATTTCCAGTTGACAAGGAATGAATCTCTTCCGTTCTGATTAATATTTCCAATAAAGCATTTTGTTCAATTTTATCAGTTACTCGGTCTCCACCTAATTCAAATGTCAGCAAATAGCGAGGTCATCTTTGAAAAGAGTTGGTCCGCTTACACATTGAGACACCCATACAAGCTGTAATTAGACTCGGTGCTGTTTTATTTGAAGTTGCAATGCCACACAACCGAAAAATATTACTTTTAATCTTGAACTGAGTGAAATTTAGCCAGGGTCGACTTTCAGTGCTTGAGCATTTTGTACATCTCTTCGTGCAGCTTCTCGCTTTTGGGTTGGGCCCATCTGAGGGATATTTGGGTCGAAGGCTGCAAGTAAAATTCTTGCCAGATGCCAGTGTTGGATTGCAGTCACTATAAACTTTAGCCTTGCTTTCGTTTGAAATCGTGAGATCAACCATGCGGATATACCATGACAGTCACCAAGAAACCATATGTGAGGAAATACCTCTTTCCCGAGGAGTCCGCTGGTTTGTCATAGACTGGATCAAAGTTCGTAGGCTTTGATTCAAACCATCGGTCGGTATATTCAAAAAGCCTTGCATGTCTCTCTGGATCATGGCTTTCATTGCCGTAACAAAAGTTCAGGGTCTCAGCGCAATAGAAAATAATGCGATTGGCCCACGTAGAATCGTCGGCTGAAGTGAAACATCCGTATGTCGAAGAAGCACAGCATCCAAGCTCAAATCGAAACGGACGTTGTTTTATGAACGCACTGTGGAACTCCTGTCGAAATCCAACCCACAAAGCAGCATTCTGAAGACCCCTTGTCGCCACTGCAATGTTTGTTTGTGCTTCAAGAAATACCTGTGTGCCTCGCAGGTATGTTTCATCGTCAACACCCACCAAAGGCGCTGCAATATGAGCGATTAGTTCTTTACGCATCAATATGGGTAGCGACACAGAGAGCTGAAGTTACATACCGTCTATCTCTTCGTAGAACCGAAGAATCACAGCTGCAGCTAGCAAGTTCTCATCTTGAACTTCTGCTTCATCCCCAGATAAGGACATCAGATGGGAAATGCAAAGATTTTGATATTCGAGTGCAGCCTCAGACTCCACGGAAGGAAATTCAGGTATAGGATGGGGATAATCAGCTGCGTTAAATACTCGGCGTTGACTGATATGTCTAGCTGATGCCGAAAATATTGCATTTAGAAGTGCCGGGCAATCTGCGGCCCGGTGAGGCACTACCAATGCAAAATTGCGAGAGTCATCACACGAATCAAACTATTTTATGAAGTTGTTAGCCGAGGGTTTGAGCACTCAGTGATTTTGCTGCAGGGTGGTGCCGACTGCTAGTGAACTTACCCATTGTGCGAGCTCCTCGACGAAATAGCGCATCAAATAGGCCTCTTGCAGATTATTTCGGGCCCAGAATGATTGTTTGTATAGTTTGGGGCTATCTGTAATTGAAGAAAGGCTCCCATGGCTTGGAGAGTGCTCTGAATCTGTAAATGAGCCGCATCTCTGGGGTGAGCTGAGTTCGGCATGGGAAGCAAGTGGCCAATGATTCGTTAAAGGGCTCGGGTCTCGCTTAGTAGTTAATTGGAACAAGTTTAGCGCCTGTGATTTTGATAATTTTAATATTGCAGGCGGTAAAATATGCCCATAGTAATGTGCAATGTCCAAAGACTCGTCAATAAATCGAAGGTCTGGGGATATGGCGCCGGCCGTTTCATCAGGGTCTTGTTTTTAGATCTAAGGTGTCAAGAAGCCAAGACTCACTAGTTCCAGATATTCTCATCCAGGGCTGCTCATCGGCGAAATCCAACCCTCGCCCGCCATTCCGCATCGCCGGTCCTGGAAAGCTGCAATCCTTGCCCAGACGGCGACACCGCGCGCAAGCGGGTTTTGCCCCATCGCCTATTTCCTATAATGAGAAATTGATCTCCAGTAATTGCGAATTCCATAAATACTACCGACATTTCATATGCCGCTCTTAGCTTTCGTCAATACCCGAAAGCTATTTCGGAGACAATGTCAGACTTACTTCGGCAAGGGAGGCTACTCAAGAACCAATCAATCGTCAGCGAGCTCTCTGACCAATATGCAAATTATTTTGATATATCAGAAGATCAATTAAAATGCAATGGAATTGAGGTCTCACCATGGTGGTACAGTCAGGGTCGGCATCTTGTCTGGGCTCGTTATAGCATGCGCGTCTTTCCCGACAGACCGGGTGCAGTTAGTTATGCGGGAAGTATTTCGATCAACCAAAGGAGTAAAAAAAGGCGATAATAGACCTAGCGAGTACAGCAGGGATGCCAGCCTTGATAAAGTGAGGGTTGGCTTGCCTCCACGAGCCCCGCATCGCAGAGAGGCGGGGTTTTCTGCCCTCCCTGGTGAAAGGGGCAAAACACCCCGATTTCCCCGGTTTTACCCCGCACCTCTAACGTAAGATCCGACGTACTAGGCCTAACTCAATTTAGTTTGGCAGAAAAATGGCATTCAATGGCTGTGGGTTAGATATCATTCCTCTAGGCAGGTCGTCATACATGGAGGCCCGATTTGCGGCGCTTTTCAGAGACTAGATCATTTAAATGCGCCTTTCCACCCCGGTACTGGCTTTGATCGAACCAGATTTTAGCCCCAATCATTTGTGGCAAAACCAATTCGGGAACTTATCTTCCTCGGACAGAATTCTATGCAATGGCACCTAGCCAAGAAACAGCCTCCATGGAGGACATGGAAGCCAAATTTGAAACAAAGCATGTCGAAGACACCAAGGATGGCATACCGAGCCAATCGCTAGACACGATTGAGGATACCCAAACGGGCTATTTTACCTGGCTTGTCTCGATTACCATCGGCGTGGGCGGTTTTCTGTTCGGTTGGTGCTATCCAATAATTACTTCCTTTATATCCCATCAATTAACCTAGTGTTCTCCGCTATAGGATATGACACAGGAATCATATCTGCAGTTCTAGTTGTTCTCAGTGATGATCTGGGCCATGAACTTATTTCCAGTGAAAAAGAGTTAATCACATCTATAACTTCCGGTGGTGCTTTCCTTGGTGCCTTAGCAGCAGGCTGTTCTGCAGATAGATACGGAAGGAAACCAGCAATATTTATTGGCTGTATTGTTTTTGTCATTGGTGCAGTCTTACAAGCATGTGCCTACAGTCTCATACAGATGACGATTGGACGTTTCGTCATAGGCCTTGGAGTGGGGTCGGCAGCTATGATCATCCCAGTATGTTGTACCAACCCAATCGCTTTCCAATCCGAATGATTAAGCTAAATTATAACAGCTTTATATTGCCGAAGTGTCTCCAGCAAGGTACCGCGGTCGCATGATTGGGATAGACAACATGTCTATCACTGGAGGGCAGCTGATTGCGTACGGCGTCGGTGCTGGCCTCGCTAATACCTCCCATGGATGGCGATACATGGTAGGATTAGGGGCTGTCCCAGCTCTTGTCCTCGGAGTTTGTCTCCAGTTTTGCCCCGAGTCACCGCGGCAACTGATCTACCAAGGAAAGCCCGAGGAAGCCACTAAAGTAGTCGCAAAGATATTTCCTAGAGGATCGGATCTGCAAGTTCAGCAGAAAGTGCAACGCATGACCATTGATGTTGAGGAAGCTCTAGTGTTTTCTGGAGAGGGGCGATTCTGGCGACAGATGAAACAAATGTACACGGTACCTGCCAATTTACGTGCTCTGATAGCGGCCTGTGGGTTGATGGGTATGCAACAATTTACGGGATACAACACATTGATGTATTATTCATCGACTCTTTTCGGCATTGTTGGATTCACGAACCCAATTGCCGTCGGAACAATCATTGCAGGGACGGGGTTTGGTTGCACCTTTATATATTTCCTACTGATTGATCGATTTGGACGACGATGCATCCTTCTCGCTACCATGTGGGGTATGGTAAGTTAACGATCAAACCTATTCCTTTACTCTTCTCCAGCTGACAACAGGAAGGCCGCGTTTCTAGCTATTGCTGCGATAGGATTCCATTATATCCCAACTCGACCAGACCTTACCTTAGAAACAACAAATATCGGCTGGCCCGCATATCTAGTTCTGGCATCGATGATCATTTTTGTTGTTTTCTACTCGCTTGGTATTGGGAACTTGGCATGGGTTTCTAGCGAGTTCTTTCCGATCGAAATTCGCGCTCTTGGTACAATGATGGTATGCATCTTACATCAAGTCTTACCTAATACATTGATCTTAACGCATTTTGCAGATGACTTGCACATGTTGGGGCACTAATATCATCGTCGCCTCGACTTTTCTAACACAGATGGAGAATACAACTCCATCAGGTGCATTCGGGTTTTATGCTGCCTTGTGCTTCATCGGTTGGATGTAAGTATCATGCCCCGTCCTAGAAATTGGCCGTATATTAATGAATACGGTCTCAGTGGTGTTTATTTCTTCTATCCCGAAGTTAGAGGAATGACTCTAGAAGATATTAGAGAAGTATTCAATCATGGATTTGGTGTGGAATATGCTCGGGGTGTCCAAAAGGAGCTTGCACGTAAGGAAAAAGCTCAAGCCCGAGGAGAAACCAGAGGAGCAGAATCATAAATTTGTACTAGTTGTGTCATTTCGTACAGTCTCACGTTACATTTAAGCATTTCGACTTCATCCTTAGTCTCCTTCATTATGTTGTAGCAGTCTTCTACAATGCCTCCTCCAACATGAGCCAGATATTGACTCGCTAGATATGTATGGACGAGCCCCTCTTCACTGGGCTGGTAGAAAGTTTTGTTAGACCAAGGAGCGAGTATCAATGCCTCCGACTTGAACAATACTACCCTATTGTCATACTTAGTACATACAGATAACCTAGCTATCAACAGTATGACAGCAGCCGAGGCTTTCCCGAGGAAAAGAGGGGCCAAAATAGAGGGGAGCAGGGGCGCTTTCAAGAAGGCTTAGGTTTGGTTTTTGGCTTATTCTCGACTGCTTCGTTATGTTCGTCTGAATGTGTGAGTGTATTACACCACAACGCTAAGTGCCGGTAAATCGAACGCTCAAAACGGCAACACTCGACGCCAGTTTAAGCGTGCATTTTACCAAAGTCTTAGCCATAAATTACGGGCTCCGCAACATGCGAGTGACTCTACTACGTCACTCTTGGGTCTATCGGGTCATTGATTCCCCGAGTTGCCGAAACCGTATATTCGGGATTTGGTAGTGTATTACGAGGGTTACCTGGCCCTCCTAACTTCAATAATTGGTTTTGCTTTTTCTGGTGGGAAGGGGGGAGGACTTCACAGTCCAGAATATCTGCCATGAATCCGTCGTAATATACTGTCAATCCGGCGCGACCTTTAGCTTCAATTCAAAGCGTGTCAGAAGCCGGAGAAAATTCGCCCAAAGCACCCTAAAGTTTCGGAGAAAACTTTCGAAGTGGCAAATGCATCTGAATAGGCTAATGCATAGCCTATTATGTCATGAAGCTATTGCATCTCGTATCTTGTCGATTATATCATTACGATCTGCCCGTTCGTTCTATGTATATAGAATTTGGCAAAACTTTCAAGTGCCTCCGGCCGTCTAAATTACACAGATTTATCGTTTTCTTGCGACCCAGGAGAACAGGGGCGAACTTTGACAGAGAATGGCCGGCGCCCATCTCCCAAATTCCCATCCGAGTGTCACACCAGATTGGAAGGACCTTGGTTACACACGCACCGCTTTCAAAGACGCCATCTCACTTCAAACCGTTGGAGAAAGTGATAATCATTATACAGGATTTGCACCTCTAGATTGGTGTATACCACGTACGTGTCACACCTCTATGCTCGGCGCAAAGGCCCCGTCTAAACGAAATTTGAACCAGATAATCGGGGCCCGGGCTTACATGGAGGATACATTGCTGCAATATTGATTGCCGGTTGCCGGAAGTATTTCCACGCGAAATATCCCAATCTACAGCAACCGGACCCAATACAAATGCATTTGCAGTTCCTGCATTTTGTTCCACCCGGGACCTTTCACGTGCACTTTGACGACTTGAAGATGGGTAAAACAGTTTCGGCCATTCAAATCAAGTTTTTTGCCTCTGATTCCGAAACAACTCCTCGAACGATAGCACTCGTATCAATGGGCAGTCTGGAAAATGACACCGGTATCAGCATCAAGCTACCCCTCCTTATCGTTCCTGACAGAGAGGAGTGTTCACGTTGGACAAATGCATTTTTCTATCACTTTAATCCCCCCCACTTCCGCTGTCCGCTATTACAACCCAAACGATGGGGAAAATTTGATGTGGAGCCCAAAATTAGGTCAAAATGCTCGAGACCAGTGGGGAAAACTGGATGATGATGACATGTTTCATCTAGAACATCTTGGTCTGGTGGCAGATCTGGTTCGTTTATATCCCAATCTATTACACTCAGAACAACTATATGTTCTTAGACGGCTGATGAATCAAGATACCCGCAATTCATATGAACTATCAGGACAGCGCTTTAGAGGCAGTGCTCCATTATGACTACCCGACCGTTTCTATGGACTTAGACTTCTTAAAAGATCCTGCTGGGAGGGAAGAGTGGCTGCTGATGCGCACGAAGATGTACAAATTACAAAATGGACGATTTGATATGCATGTGCAGATCATCGATGACGACGGGGATCTTGTGGCAACTGCTAAACAGACATGCCTGGTCCTCAAACGCTCCGGTCTTGGAGATATCGGAATGAGATCGCGCATGTAGGTATAGTGTTGAACATGTCCAAACGAACAAGTGAAAAAGATTTATGGGCAAAATTGATATTGCTTTTTCAAGGTTACTGCATGGGTTGCCTGATTATTCGTAATTTAACACCAGATTGAGAGACCGCCATTCGTTCCAGGCGTTTCCTTCTCCTTACAGCCGTACATAGGACCAAGTTTAGCAATCGAATATCTCATCATCGATCTGGTATCTGTGCATTCTTTGAGAGGCTGACAAGTACGTAGGGCTACATACCAGAGCCGAATACACTCTGGGGATCACAAGCCAGCCATTATCAATATACATTTTCCCAGTCGCAGATTCACATTTTAATATAACAATACAGAGGATTAGTCTCTCACACTGTTGATAATCCTCAATACTAAAAATTGTTTTTCTTGGAATGCGCGTCTTTGTGAGCTCATCTCAGCGCTCATTTGATAACCGATGAGCAGTGTCAATAAAATATCACTCTTCAGCTATTCTAACGGGCTATTCATGACTAGAGCCAGAGCCACCCAGGGGTCACAGGAAATTGACCTCATGTACAGAGGTCAAAGAAGACCCACACAGTCGAAACCGTTGGTTGAAAAAACTTTTCTAACATCTCTGGGTGAGCCAAAAGAACGTATTCAAGTTGGTGGCTCTTTGAAATCCACGCTGCGCGCAACACAACGCAGCACAGCGCAAGTAACCCTAAATATATTTCGGCCCTGTAGGGGGGGGGGGGGGTATTTTCTTGCATTCCCCCCCCCCTAACTAGGCCAACCGTCTATATTTTTCGATCGGGCTTTTTGGAAGTTTGATTAGAAGCATCTAAACTATTCTCCTATCAGGTTTGATAGGATGATTTCTGGTGGGTGTGAGGAGCTCAGGTACTCAAAGAGATCAGGATACAGCGTAGCGTAGCAAGAAAAGGAAATAGTAGCGTTCGACCAAAGTAATAGCTTGAGGAGAATAAGAAGGAAGCTAAGATGGAAGGCTTAGATACACAGGTGTAGGCGTGGATACCCAGAGTGGTGCCATAGGCGTGAGGCATCCACGAATGGTAACAACACCAGTTCGTTACATTAGTTATAATTTTAAATAGAAGAAGATATTTATTTACTGATCTAAATCTGGCGATATCTCTTTTGATAAAACCTTTGTAAGTGTATACTATGTACTACTAGTTCTAAACTCGGATAGGATCGTATGTCTTCGAATATTGGTTAACTAGTTAAGTATCAAGGTTTTGGAGGTAAAGGAGAAGCAACTCTAACCGCTTAAATTTTCCCAAGCCAAAATACAACTTTTGTATAGATTTTCTCACACGGTGGAGATACTAAGAATGTCTAACTTGGCATCCGGAAGGTTTCCGCAACTTGGATTTCCTCAACTTGGAACTAGGAAGGCAGAATAGAGAAATCAGGTATCAAGTGATGCAGAAAATAAGTTCATACAACATTCCATTATTCTCTGCAACTGAACGAAGCCTTATTGCATATAGAGCTAGAACGGTCTAGAAGGACGGAGTATACTTTTGAGTAGGTGGAGCCAGGCTCTGATTTGCGGGTCGTTGATGTCCAAGAATGAAACGCTATCATTGGTGGAAATTCCACCGCGCCATGGCCAAGCGTGAAGGATGTTGTGACTCGATCACTAGCAGCTGGAAAATCTTGATACATGCTTTCCCGGCATTTTGCTCTTGGTCGGCCCGGTGGGCCGGAATATTTCTACACACCTAGACCATGTGCAAGCTTGACTTTGGCAGCGCCATCCCAGGCACATCAATTTGATGTCAGAGCAGCCCCTGGGAAAAGTTTTATGTCGCCCCACGAGTTCATACAAAGTGGTGATTTGCGGGTTGTGTTGCCGTCTACTCCACTATTCAGGCATACTACACTAAAAGACCTTTACGTCAAAGACTTTGATTAGAGACATTCTGTTAACAATCGACAGTGACGATCACCGAATGGAAGCATGAAATCTTGCAATTCACCTCCCATAATCCTAGCTAGACCGTAGTTCAAGAATCTTTAAGTAGAACGAAAGGCCGGAATACAGTGAAACCTTTCCCTCACTCTGACTTTATTGCACACTGCTCCTGATTGATCTAATGGATCCCATGGAGGAAAGGAATGGCCGAGAAAAGGGAGAATCTTCCCAAGAAACGACATTGCGACCGATAAAGGAACGAGATAGCAGTCCAGGCTCCGCATCATCAGATGAGACCTTGGGCCCATCAACCGAAAAAAGTACGCGTCGACAGCCAGCTGACATGCAGAATAAACAGCTGGCGAAGCCAAAGCAAAAGCAGTCTTTGAAAACCTCGGGCGAACACACTGTCCCACCCAACAAATCAGGACCATCAACACCAATCAATACAAGAGCCGAATTTCTACGCCAACCAACCGAGACTGGCAGTTTTGATCTACACAACACCTTATCCAATCGAACGTACAGTCAACAACATTTCAAACAAACACCTTCTCACTCCCTAGCAGGCCCTGGTATGATGGATGCACAACAAATGCAAGGAAAAACCTACATCGATCCCGAATACCAGGGACTGAACCCACGATACGGCAAAAACTACGAAAAACCGATATGGGGCCTCGCAAAGCCTCTTCCAAGGGTTGTCAGACCGGGAATGCGCCGCGATGAAAGCAATATCCAAAATGCATATCAGCCCAGCCCGGCGGGAGATGCAGAGCCTGCACCAGAACTTGGAGCAACACCTGGCCTGACATCTAGTCAATCTGGCAATGATCACAAAAGCACGCAAGATCAACAAACGTACGCCACCGCTGCAAAGCAGGGTTTACCCGGAGAAAAGAGAATATATGCACCTCAACCCGATGGTCTTCTTCGTCCGATTGAATCGGAAGTCAATGGCAATGGGCTGCCCTCTAATACGGACACTGGTCAAATGAGTACGGAACAACAACCACAAGAAGAATTTTTAAACAGCTGGGTCAAAATTCGTCACCAAATCAAAGAGCCGCTGGCCGAATGGCTTGCAGTAAGTCGATTATCGACCTTTCCTCAAAATTATAGTTAACATGTTTCCGAAGACTACGATCGCTGTCTTCATAGGTTTAACCGGCACACTTGCAGTCTCAACCGGAGGAACACAAGCAGGAAATCGGCTATCACAGAACTGGTCATGGGGTCTGGGATCTATGATTGGAATCTATATAGCCGGTGGCATATCGGGAGCGCACCTTAACCCCGGAATCTCTATCGCCCTTTGGATATTCCGTGGGTTTCCAGGTCGACGGTGCTGCTCCTATATAATTGCTCAAACTCTTGGCGCTATAACTGCAGCTGGATTAGCATATTGTTTGTATCGAGACGACATCATTGCTTTTTCTCCTACTGCCTCCGCTGGCACCACTGGCCTTGGTTTCTACACAGAACCACTCGGTCATATTAGCTATGCCACAGCATTTTTCACGGAATTCGTCGCTGACGCTATTCTTCTTTGTGTGCTTTTTGCTCTTGGTGACGACGGAAATGCCCCGCCGGGCGCGGGTATGCATTCTTTCATCATTGGATTGGTGATCTACGTTCTCTGTATTTGTTTAGGATTTAATACGGGAGGGTAAAGTCTCCTCCTTGCAGAGATAACTTGATAGTAAGCAACTGACAAAGTATTATTATAGATGCCTGAACCCCGTGCGTGATTTTGGACCCCGTCTCGTTGCTCTCATGGCTGGTTATGGAGGTATTACATTTACAGACCACCAAGGTTGGTGGTTTTGGGGGTGTTGGATGGCAACTATCGGAGGCTGTCTGGCGGGTGCCTGTCTCTATGACATTTTCGTATTTATTGGAGGAGAATCCCCCATTAATTATGCACCACGACGCCGAATGAGGGCGAAGCTTAAGAAGGAAGCTAAGTGGAGGAAGCGACTGGGTTTCCACAAGGATAAAATCCCGTCGCTAGAGGAGGGTATTAAGAGCCTGGAGGATTAGTGTTTGTTAATAAAAATGATCTGCAAGAGAAGAAGTATGAAACCGGGCCCTGAAGAAGTAAGAGACCGTGATGCATTACAAATACTTCGAGAAACGATTGTTATCTGAATCGTTGTAGTTCCGATATTGATTTGTGAGCATTCACTAGTGGCTCACGAAGGCTGCTACGCCACCACTAGAAAAATTTGCAGAGGACGACTTTTGCTTCACAAAACACCCCAGACTTCGATTCAAAATCAATTGAATCGTTCATCTTCTCGTTAAAAATGACAAATCCAGTCGATTTCAGCCTCCCCACTATACAGAAATTTGATACCCACATACGGTTTACAGAGCAGCCGAACGACGCAACTCCAGACACAATACCCAGCATCCCCGTCCTAGTGGGACAGATCGAGCCGTCCTGTGGCCACCGCCCTGCCCCGCCACATATCAGCCACAAACATAAGACGTGTTATGGCTAGCATCGGAGCGTGATACCCAGACCAGCAGATGCGTCGATATCGATGACTATACCTATGCTCTGTTCTAGGATCAATCGGACAAAGAGTCAACCCTATGATGTGTGGTCTTGTTTGCGACTAATTCCCTCTCGTCCAGAGCTTACTGTAAGAAATCGGACTGTTTGGTCAGTTACGAATATAATGTGATATGGATAATACTGACCTGTAAAAGCTTCTCGAGCGGAAGACTGCTCAGCTGACTTAGTAGGCTCTTAACCTCTGTGCTCTATTGGAAAGGTGGTGGATTCTTGTTTTTATTAATATTTTCACTATTTCGGCTAGACTTAGGAGCTAAAGGGTGGCTGTGTCTATTTTGGCTGCCGTAATCTTATAACCTTTTTCTATTCTGGCTGTATGGATGTTAATACAAGTGTCTTATCTCCCTGTCGTGTGTAGATAAGCTTGCGTATTTGACTTACTGATCTTAATGCTTATAGACTGTGTGAGTTGAATAGCGTCTGCGCTTAAGGCTGCAAGAACTCTTCTCTGCTGCTGTAGATATTTAATCCCTTCTAGTACCTACTATAAGTTAGCCCTTGATTTAGAGCTGTCTCTCGAGCTTCAGCCCTACGGATTTCTGCTATCTACTGGTCGAACAATTACAGTAATCTTGCTCTCAGAAATGAGTTTTTCTTGAAGCTGGAATCTGCCTGATGGACAACTCAACCGGCTTCTATACCAGGAATGTGTGACCTTCGTGGATTAGCCTTCTAGTTTCCTCCATGGCACACACACATCCATCATTCATCCAGTCCCTCTGTATCCAACACTAATTGGTTCGTTTTTCGCGTCACCAAAACCGAGATCCTACTATTCTTAGTTTCTCTTTCGATTTATCACAGACTAGCTATTATAACCTTGGCGCTAACATAACCAACTCAATGAACCTTCCCTTGCATGCTATTCAACACTGCCTTTCTTGACATATATGCATATTGTTGAGCTTTCAACTGCCAAGAATTCTTTCTTCTCTTGCTTTGTTGTACTCATTAATACCACAGATAACGGTTGGCTTCGGGTCGAGTGCTTGCGCCCACTAGAAAGTTTCTATTTGTCCGTCTCTCTTCCTCATACATCTTTTATATCTAATATGTCACACATTTTTCTTGTTTCTTCCGTAGAGACGACAGTTGCGCCATCTACTAGGGCGCTTGAGTGAAAGCTCTTCCCACCTGTCACCTGCGATAAAAATTTTATATTCCTTGATCTGACGCCGCCGCCAATGATGATTTCAATATATTGACGGGGATTGAGAGCATCCTTGCAATGATAAAGCCTTGCTAGTGCGCTTATATGATCGGTTGCCTGGTTTCCCAACGAACCGCCGCTGGTTAGGATAGAGCTGAATCCACAGGCTGCTAGTTCCGCGAGAGCTCTGTCCCACTGGAATTCAGGAATCAAGTCAAATGCACGATGAAAGGTACATGGCCTTCCCTCTGCGAGCCGTACAAGTTCCCTGTTTCTTTCGATGTCAATCCATCCCCATTGGGTGCGCATTTCGGGACGATGGAGGATTCCGAAAACAAATCCGTCAGCGCCAAGGCTCTTCAAATTTATTAAGGTATCCTTCATGTGTTGAAAGTCCAGGTCACTATAATGAAAGTTCCTCGGATGCGGTCGTATCATAACAAAAATTGGGATGGATAGCCGGGATTTTAGGGTCGCCAATGTTGTGTCGTCGGCAGACAGTCCACCAGAAGCGTAGTCTTGACAAAGTCTGCCTTGCGATGAGCAAAAGGAATCATGAACTCAGATTCAACGTCTTTTCCTATCTAGATAAGGTAAAAGCCTGGCAAAGGGAACTTACTCGATCCTACTTGCCCCTCCTTTTGTTGCGTTTACAGCGGAATCGTGATCGAAGCAAGCGATTTCCAAGAAAGGCTCCCGACATACTTCGATTGTCTCCATTGCGAATGAAGTAGAATATGAGAATAAATAGTGGCGAATCAAACTGGCGATCGGGCAGAGAATTCGAAGGGGTCTGCAGGTGTGTCAGAACAAAGGACCCGCATGAAAAGGAGGGGAGATGTGTGCGGGATGGCGGGTATGACGAGGGACCGACTATAGCTGCCAAGGCCGCCACATCAGCATTTTACTCTAGTCCATTGACCGCCAGTCTCGCCGCTCGCGCTGTCGCCTTTGCTTCATTGCCATGCTTTTTTCATGTTACCTTTGGCTACTAAGCACTACCGTTTTTTGTACAAAAAGCAATCGAGCGATGGCTACTAAGCATGTACTAGCAATGGCCAACAATCACTACTTTTTTGTAAGTAAAAAGTGGTGGTTTTTTACCAGTACCAAATTATTGTTTGTATACCAAAAAGTAGTACTCGGTTGCCGTCGTCCGATCGCTTTTTGTGTTAATTTTTCCTCTTATCTCATTCAACCAATAATTATTTGTGAATTTACTACTAACATCTTTGATGAATAGTATTAATTGACCTCTGGAAGGCCAAAAGCAATGGATATCGGAGATATATAGAGGATAGAAAGTTCAAATTGAGAGAGGGTCGGTTTTTCTGCCAGCAAAATTCCTGGTTACTCGGCGAAATTGCGATGTGGCGAACTTGGCAGCTAGTTATAGTACCTGGTAGGGTATTAATCATCCGCTATCCAGTAAAAAATTAATTGCGATCAAAATCTCAGACGTAGGTTGCATCAAGTTAATAGAATCTTGAATTGATAAAACTCCAAGGTAATTTCACTAAAACATGGATGGTTTTCCAAGCGCAATACTTGGGGCTACATGAACTATGTCCCTCTCTACTACTAACTATCAATCGTTTGTCTTGTAGGAGAGATGATTTGGATACATCACTTAACACATAAGAGGTTGAGGTAAATCAATGGAAAGTTTACTAATGTAGGAAGGGCACAATAGCAACAATTCAAGGACAGGGATCGATCGCAATCATACAACACCAGTGCCTGGACACACTAAGCACCTAGGAAGAGGCGAATCCAAGGCTTGAAACACTGAGGGGTGATAAGCGACAAGGTTACATCGTGAGCGGTATGCCAGTGTGTTTTCTTGGCTATCTTAAACTATTTTTTACCCTAACAGAGGGTTAATTCTTAGGCCCACATCCACATAAAATCCGCACGCGAAGCTCCAAGTGCAGCAGACAAAGTTGGAGCGGTCAAGTATTTTGTACCGAGATATGAATATCATTTAAAGTTTTGATGCAGTTCCGCCGTGAGTTGCTCCTCAATAGCGTCTGTGTCAATTTCTTCCTTTCCTTTGCGAATTACCTCAATATCAGGGACTGATGAATGCTTTTCGCCCTCAAATAAGGCGTCAATTTCTTCCAATGTCTTGCCCTTGGTTTCAACCCAATAGATAGCCTTGTGCCATTAGTATAGTTCATAACTCGATGTAACAAGAAACATACAATGAGGACCAGCACAATTATATCCCAAGATGCATTAATGATGTACATCTTCCATCCAATGTTACCCAATCCGACTGGCATGATGAATGTGAAGATAAGCCTGTCAAATTTTAGTAAGGATCGCAAGGGCATGTTTCATGAACTTACGCAAATGCATTCAAAGAAAATGACGAAAGAGCAACACCATTGGCACGCATGGTATAGTTCATTACCTCTGAAGGGTAGAGATATAAGAGCGGCGTCCACGCCATGGAATAAAACCCTTGAAAAAGAAACATCATAGCAACGTTCCCATATACCAAGGCATTGGATGCGCCAGCAGGGTCTGATGCATACATCTTTGAAAGGCCCCCTATCACGAAGAGGCAAAGTAACAAGAGCATCTGGGACAGAATTGCCGTCGATTTTCTCCCCCATTCAGCTGCTAGGTGCGTACCTATAAGGCTGCATATAAGACACCAGGTATTTAAAACGACATTCTTGCATGGTTAGCCAAACGATTGCAGTAAATTTTTTCTGGGGATAACCCACCGCCTTGAGTTGATCGTTAGTGTCCGTGATTCCGGCAGTATCAAGTTCAGAGCCTAAATAGTAGGATGCAATTACGTTTCCTGCAATGCAGGAAAACGGGCCTGCTGATATTCCAACAAGAAGTCTTTTTCTGGTTACCGGCCTCTTGAAAATCTCCATGGGGCTTAGACCATGACCTTCCTCCTGTTCCCATTTCAAAGTATCGACAATTTCTTTGAATATTGCAACGACAACAGGATCAGAAATGTCACCGTGGGAATTCGTCTGGGCAACAGAAAGTCTTGCTTCTTCGTAGTGCCCTTGTTGTACTAGCCAGCGCGGTGACTCAGGGCTTCATCCATTTAGAAAATGCACTTTGAGAAAGATGATGTCTGATGCCACTCACATAAATGGGAGAGTCAGTATGCAGAGTAATGAGAATATTGCCTGGAAGAGAGATGGAGCTCTCCATGCCCAAGTCGAATGCCACTGGCCGGTACCAAGAGTAACCCCAGCTGCAATCAAGGCCCCAATACTATATCCCGAGGTAAATCGCGGTTCCTGTTTCTCATATTCGGAGTACTCACTAGTAAAAGTCATTAAGGAGACCCACGCCCCACGCCCGCCAGCGACTAGGAAACGCCTCGGACAAATATACCCCTCCTGCAACCCCGGTTATAGCACTTCCAAACCCTATTATAATCCTCCCTACAACGAACATGGCAATATTCTGCGCCGCAGTCTGGACTATGATTCCAAGGATCGTTAAACATGAGCCCCAGAAAATAGCCGGCCGTCGACCAAGTCGGTCAGCTGCAATACCAGATACCAAGGGGCCTATAAACCCGCCGATTGACACAGAGGCAGTATTTAAACCCTTTGTGACGTTGTTCAATTCAAAGTAATTGGTATATGAAGGAAGTATATTGAGACCATTGAGCATCGATCCGTCATAACCACCTGTCTACTTTCAAGGTTAATATTAGCAAAAGTTACACCAATGTAGTATTTCTACCTTGGTGGTAGGTACCGAAGGCGTTCACTGACTGCTGACTGCACGATAGAACATATTATGAGAAGTACCGAAACAGTAATTGTAGATTGAGGAACCCATGCGGGCATCCATGTGCCAGTTGCTGTTCGTTTAAGCATATCGATGTAAATGGAATTAGCGAAAGAACAACCTAAAGTATTCCAAAGTTGAATAAAAGCACAGTTAGGCGAAGTTGGAGAAATATGAGAAAGTTCCTTTCTTGAGGAGATACGATAATAAAGACGGGTCGTCTCCTTGAGCAACTCGGGTGACTTTTCGTTCAAGTTCATTTGGAAAGCATGCCAAAAGCAAGATATTTGATCTAATATATAAGCTTTACAAGGTTTCTGCAGACATGGAGATAACTACGACAAATGCAGACATGCCGAATAGTGCCCGGTAGTTACCTCCCCCGCATCATAAAAAGGGGAAATGTCGCTAATGTGATGCCGGTTTACCACTAGGTGACTCGTTGGCTGAAGTGCGGGGTTCTAATTGAAATATTGCGTGTCCTTATGTATCCTTGCCGACAATCGATGGCGGTAGCGAGAGAATGCAGGGATATGAGGAGAATGTGGCCCTCGGCGACCTACATATCATGCAAGCCCCTGGAGAGTTTGCTATCTATTTCCTTTTTCTTTTCCAGGAATGGTCTCTGCACATTTGCTTAGCAATGATAGACGAACAGATATTGGAATGTTGAGCATGGCGGGCACGGCCAATGGTAAAAAAGCGGGGTTGTCAGGGCGGTTCTAAGCGACGTTGCATGGGAAGCGCGGGGATGACTGTCTGTGAAAACCAAAAGCTTGACCTGTTGCAACCCTGATTTATATACTCCGATCCCTTCTTTAGGAAAACTACACCCGATATCATTCTTCTGATACAACACATGACAAATCATGCCCCGCCGACCAGTTATCGCTGTTGCTGGGCTCGCCTGCGAAACGTCCAGTTTCTCTCCAGCCCGTACACTGGCACCAGCGTTCCACCCACGCTGTGGGAGTGAAATTATTGAGAAGTATTCATTTATCCAGCCTGGAACAACTCTAGGTGACGCCGTTAGCTGGCAAGGCTCATTGATCGGCCACGCTCTCCCTGGCGGAGTAGTCACCCGGGATGCATTTGAGGGACTTACCACCGAAATTCTCTCCCGTCTTTCAGATATCAGCTCAAACTCCGAGACGGGAATTGATGGGTTGTGGTTTGACATACATGGGGCGATGTGTGTTGAAGGTATTGAAGATGCCGAAGCAGAGCTCTTGCGGCGCATACGAGCTATCGTGGGAGCAGAAACTATAGTATCTACCTCAATGGATCTACACGGGAATGTTTCCCAACAGCTAGCCCATCAGACCGATCTCATAACCTGTTATCGTATGGCTCCCCACGAAGATACCATGGAAACAAAAGAACGGGCCTGTAGGCACCTTGTTGAAATTTTGACATCAGAATCAAGAGAGAGAAAACGCCCGCTGAAAGCCTGGGTACAAGTTCCCATCCTGCTTCCAGGAGAGCAAACTTCTACTCGCTTGGAACCAGCAAAAGGACTTTACCAACTTGTCCCAGAAGTTGAAGCTGTTCCCGGTGTGCTGGATGCCGCTATTTGGGTTGGATATGCATGGGCAGATGAACCCCGGAATCACGCGGTAGTGGTTGTAACAGGTTGGGAAATCGACGCAGTTGCTACAAATGCAAAGCGACTTGCCGAATATTTTTGGACAATACGTCATGAGTTCCACTTTGTTGCACCCACTGGGTCGCTGGGCGACTGTCTTGATCAGGCTCTTCTTTCTCGCGACCGGCCCTTCTTTATCTCGGACTCAGGCGACAATCCGACTGCAGGGGGCTCTGGAGATGTTACCTGGGGACTATCTGTTGTTCTTAGTCGTCCGGAATTTTGCAACAACACCGGCCCAATGATCATTTATGCCAGCATTCCGGGCCCTGGGGCTGTTGACTGTATGGCAGCGGCCGGGATTGGTGCGACTGTTACCGTCACGGCAGGAGCTGAGATTGACAACATCCACCACGGTCCATTGAGGCTGACCGGAATCGTCCACGCCATCAAATTCGGCGATAGGGATGCTCTTGTGGAATGTGTGCTTCAAATTGGGTCGGTTTTTGCAATCATTACAAAGCAACGTAAACCTTACCACCACGAAAGTGATTTCACCGAACTCAATCTAGACCCTCGGTCCGCAGATATAGTAGTGGTCAAGATTGGATACTTGGAGCCAGAACTATTTGATATGGCGGCTAACTGGATGCTGGCCCTAACCCCAGGAGGTGTGGACCAGGATCTAGCTCGCTTGGGCCACCGGCGAATTTGTCGACCTATGTGGCCATTTGATCGGAAATTTTCGCATGCCCCAAATCTCACTCCTCGGTTGATCCCGATGTCAGATGACCCAGCTTGAATGACAAGGAAGCCTGAAAGACCGATCGTTAGAACCATTCTCCGCTGATAGATGGCTGCCTTAGGGATCAAGGTCGCCGTGCTGCGGGGTCGTGGGCTGTCTTTTACATGAATTAGTATGCTAGCGTAAACTTGTGAACACACAAATACAAGACTATACAAGACCCAGTAGATAAATAGTATCAAACATTTTGAAGCGATTGTATTTTAAACCTTGTTTGTCCAGAATAGCAACACATGCTCAAGTGGAAGGCTCATTTTCAACATGGCACACTGGAGGTAGGCCCGGGGCTTTTTATGCAGTCATACTCGAACGCATATTTCCTAGCATCAACTATCCGAGGGGTCCAAGGGGTCCAGTGTAATGATCTCACCAGAGAAATGCTGCATGAAAGTTGCGTTTCGAGCACGGTTCCATATCGGTACCTTTCTGGCTCCACGGTTCATTTAGCGTCCTCTATACTGATATTCCAATGATCCTAGAGAATATTCGCTCTTTTAGGGGCATTCAACGGTTCTTGTTGGAGCTACATGACTTAGAAGAACGAAACACAGTGTCCAATAAGAGAGAGAGCAAGCAGTCTATCTAAGGCATCGCATAATGAATGCCCGAGGCCAATCGGCCTCTGCTCTCCCTATACCTTTAAGAGTAACCATCGCAATTTTCATCTTTGTGGTAATCACTTATTTTTCTTTTTTCTTCCACTCGCTGGCTATTTCTTTTCACTCTTATTTAGGGATCGAAATATTTCTTGTTGCTTTCATTCTAAGTCACATTGATCCACAGCTGAATTTCCTAGTTCGCATTGATATACTTTCGTGCCCTCAACAAAGAAACTTTATGGGAAATATCATCACAGAGTATCTGAAGGCCAAAGGACTTAGATCCATGGATATCGGCAATACTTTTAGCAAATTTTCTCGATTCCTTTCTTATTTTGTTTTCTTTTCTTTTCGCGGTTCTAGTTAACGCTGGATTGCTCTTTTTAGCAGGCGACCAAGTCTTTCTATGTTCTTCATCTTGCCTAGTTCACGGCTTGAAACCCTTACAGTATCCAAAATTGAGTCAAGTCATGAGCCTCTTTGACAGACTTCCTGTAAATAGCCAAACAGCCTTCCACGGTTACATAAGAAGACTTCGCTACTAATGATATAATATCTTCTTTGTCTGTTCATAAATGCCTCCCTTGCTCCTCATTTTTTCAGAACTTTCAGTAACACAGTTCTAAATATGTTAAACAAAAGCGACTGAGTTAACGCATTCTCGAATTCAATATATTACTATCCAGTTTTCATTATTCTGACAGCTGTAGGATCTCAGAAAACCTATAATATTGATGAGAGACGAGTAGAACAATGACACCGAGGCTTCTGAAACTCGGCTGATAGGGTATTTATTATTTCCTCTTCTTTCTGATCTCTTTGGAAGGAGTTTTTTTGTGGAAAGAGCTAGTGTTTATTTTAACGTTTCCTTTCAACTTGTCAGGTCGAGGCCTCCAGGGTATATACTTTATACAAATATCCTGATAACTTCTTTCCTAGATGACAAGGTTCGAGGTATTTCTCTTAATCTCTGATATTTTATATTTAGTCCTATTTTCTAGCAAGCTCATTCACCGGAAATACCTAGTAGGTTTCAAGAGACGTGCTACCTTTGCCTTAATCAACAAGAGATCACCTTCTAAGGACATGGAGAACTTTTGGATATAGATCAACAGTGTCACAAGCCTACGAAACACCTAAATGAAAAGGGTCTGCGAACAAATCACTGCATTGTTAGATTGGTTTTCGGGACTCCACAAGCTGCTGATACAGGACACGCGCCTGAGGGTACAAAGTCAATCATGCTTGATCTTCAATATGAGCCTATCTACTCGAGACGAGCCGAGCCTTGGGGACCTTAACATCAAGACGGCCCATTATGGTGATCACCATCAGTATGCAGTAAAGGCCATCGAGATTCCTATTCGGCACGGAAGAAATCCCAGACAAGTTAAACACTTCCTCGACGTTATAGACAATAACAACCTTATCCCGTGCTACTTCAATACACAGAAATCCTCAGGGGTAGTTGGCTGTAAAGATTTCATGTGAGTTTTTCAATCATTCCATTTACTCCCATCTATTACTTACTAATAAAATTATGGGCATAGGTCGCAGTATATATACCGACTCAATAAAGCTAGGATTTTGACAAACGATCCAGCGATCTATGCCAGGTTTAACGATGATTATGGCCCTGGAATAAATCAACAACGTAACGGCACTGTTGGCTACGCGGCTTTTAACAAGATATATCACGGTGTGCACAGATCCATAGCCGGGATTCAATATGCGGGTAATCGTGAGCTCTCCTAAATTATCTCTATTTCTCTGTTGGGTTAGAAAAAGATTGCTAAGTGAATAACAAAACAGGTATCAAGCTTAGTGTGGATGAAAGCAGTACGGACGAAAGTGCTATATACGAAAGTAAATAGCTTCAATACGAGTAGTTGGAAATGTTTGGGGAATTGACCTCTATTTCATGGCCTCGGGTGCCAGCCGGGCTCAAATATGGCGGAGTCAAAGATCCACCCACCCGGGCAAACGAGTCAACAAACCAAACTAAAATGGGAAGTGATATATATGGCCGTCGCTTGGTACTTTGGCTCGAGCGATTCTCACGAATAGTGAGCGTTGACGTGTTAAAAGACAATCACTACCCCATTTGATTGGTATGGTTTATAAGGAGAATGATCATGTTGAAGAGAGCTGAAAGGAGTTTGGTATTGCTTGAAGTTTACGGTCCTAATATAGTTTTGAGCATAGCTTATGTGTTCCAAAAATCTTACATTCTATAGTAAACATTCAACCTTGGAAGTTTAAATCACCTGGGCATCAATGGTCGGTTGAGGACACAGCCCGCCAGTAGTACCGAGTATGCTATATTTCACGAACACACTCCTTCCTTTATTAACTTATGGGGAAAAGCTAAGGCCTCATACATTAGGTAATTTTGGTATTTACCATTTCCAGCAATTAAGCTTATATGTGGTCGTAATTGATGGTTTTACATTCCCTTGCGCATGCCCTTATGCCCAAAATTAGACACGCAAGAGCCAAGGTAAAGTCACAAGGGAAATAAAACAGAACTATCGGCTAGTAGGAAATAGCGACATAATCGAGACCGGGCGCATTGTCAGTATAAGGGCCGATCTCGTCGTCAAAGCTAAAACATTACCTAATTGAAACCTCCCCCGTGGGGACTTGTGGGTACTGACGACAGCAGGCCTTGCTAACAGCAAGTCTGGGTTGCGTTCATCATTCAAGGCAAATGCGGGGTTGAGCTCCACATGAGGCAGGATTGGACACCAAGAAGGTGTGGTTTGTTTCTAGGAGAAATGCCCTACATGCCGCGGTCTTTCTCCAAAAACTGCATAATGCTCTGTCGGTCACCCCTCTTCTACCATATAAAGCGCTGCCATGGGTATCTTGCATTTCGAGATAAGTTTAAGCCCCCGGTCATAGTGATTCTTGTTGTTCGGCTAGTTAATTAAGTGCATTTCTTAGTTGTATTTTAAGACTCCCTATTTACACATTCTACGAGTACTTGCGAAGTCAAAATGGGACAGTGGAAACGTTGGATTGGGAAGCTTCAAGCACCTACGGATCCTGGACTTTCTACAGCACAGTTGATGCTCACGAATGATTATCTTAAGCCAGGTAAGTCGATATATAGGAGTTTCGGTCTTCCTTCGCCCTACAGCATCAGATCTTTATTCCGCCCGAAAAGACAGCCTTTACTACGGATTTTACGGTATTTCTTGGCACGTTTATGCCGCCTATTTCTGCGGCATACTCATCAATATCGTTGGCTTCGCCGGTGCTGTTCGGGTTGATGTTCCAGTTGGGGCCCTCTACATCTACAATGTGAATTATTTCTCCGGGTTCATCGTGTCTGGAGCGGTATATTGGCTCCTGGCTTGGCTGGTCCCAATCCCGGGGACAAGTGTCACACGGAATGAGATTCCGTATGAGATAAGCTCTGTACCAGATTTGGATGAAAAGAAGGTTGAAGAAGCCTAAGTGGGATGGGCAAAGAAAACAAGGGGTCCGGAGTACGTGGGGTTGTCAACCTCGGGGAACCATGTGGGACCTCCCATGCTGCCGATATCGGTACGTGCGAATATATAAATAAAGAAGATACTAGTAGAATTGTGCAATGCATCTTTCACATTCTTAGATACAAGTAGTTTTTTTCTCCCTGCTTTTGTGTTTTCTCTCTTGCTAAATAGCTTCCCAGCAACAGTAGTAAACTAAGGTTTTAAGTCGTTCATGTTCGGAATCCCCGTGTATACCCCAATTGCCGATAGCCGCTGCTCACATCTCCTCGGCAGTCCATTGACACGGGCCTCGGGCTTCTTCTCGTAATCCCGAATTCGAGTCATTCATTGGTCATATTCTCCGGTCAAGCCACTTTTGGGGTCGATCTCCAGGGCTTCTACAGCCTCTTACTTCATAACCTGTCCATTTTTGCGCTAGTATCGTAAGCGGCATAAACTTTCCGCGGGAAGCATCCTTTCTTCCCTTCTCGGGCGATACATGATGGTATGTTTATATTTCTATCGAGTAATCCAAGCCTTTCCTGACTTCATGCTCTTATCGGTCGCATCTTAACATATTGAGATCGAGTAATAGGTAGATAGCACCTCTTTAGCTGATTTGCCCAGCCCGCCGGTTAAAGACTTTCCAGCTGTGATCGAGTAATATCCACCCCAGAGCTGGGCAACTTCGCCCAATTGCACCAATCAATCAACTACCATGAGATGGAATTCAAGCTACTCCGTAGGTACTAGTATGTTACAACGGAGTGTCCCCGAAAAATGTTCTTCATGACAAAATTGCCTCCTGAGTTCATTTCATACACTCAAAGAAGGTTTGACATTGCACTGATCACGGGCGCATTTGTGATTATTAAAATTTTCGGGCAAAGTCAAAGTTGTACCAAGCGCTGGTTGGGCTTCAGATCATATAGGCTTGCTTTCGGCAGGGCCATCGCTCATAAGAAATCACAGCCTAAAATTATCACGCACTTATCCAGACGAATCGTCGTCTTGTCCTTTTGGCGTCTTTTCTGAGTATGGCTGCTACTGCGCTCTTTCTGCCGGGGAGCAGTATTGATGCTCCTCTTCCCGAAGGCCATGTCTCTAATACTATCCTCTCTTCGCCACGATCATCACAATCACACGATGGCCCCCCAGGGGATGTCTTTGGAGATGTCCCTGATGGTCAATTTATTAAGCCTTCCGCCTTCACTCCAAGCTCATCTTTTCGGAACGTATCAGCCTGTCATCGATGTCGAATGCGAAAACACAGGTGTGATCAACAATTGCCAAAGTGTCGATCCTGCGAAAAAGCCCAGGTTCGATGTGTCGGCTATGATCCGATCACCAAACAAGAGATACCTCGCAGTTACGTGTATTTCTTAGAGAATAGGGTGGACTATCTGAAGGAAATCTTGTTAAAGCACAAGATCAATTTCCACTCCGCAATTCCTTTGAACGACGATGAAGCAAACTGCAACACTGCCGCAACATCCATCTCTACACCATCCGCAAAGGTTGAAGCAGTGGCTGCAAGTGGAAAAATCTCCGATGAAATACCACTTGATACAGAAATGCCTGAGCTTTCCAATTCCTTGGATTCTGTGATTCTCGATCTTCTTTCCGGTAAAAACACGAAACTAGAAATCACAAGGATAAATGAGCTCGATCGTCGTGCTGTCAACCAACAAGCTTCGGCTCAACCGTCTTTGTTCCGCTTCGGATTTGGAAGCAGTGTCAAAGGCTCTATGGAGCTTCCAGATCGTGAAATAGCAGATAAGCTCGTGGATGAGTATTTCATTCACACTAATCTCCATGTGCCCGTGTTAAATCGACCAGAATTCGAAAAGGTCCTTGATCAGATATACTATAGCGAAAGTTCCGGCCACCCAAAAGATCAACTCTACTTTGTCTTCATTGTGTTTGCAATTGGTGCTGCCTCTGTCACGAAGTCTCATGAAGCTACCCCGGGCCCTGAGCTGCACTTTGGCGCCGGATCAAGAAAGCGGAAAAGATCATCAATGCAATTCCAAGCTGCAGAGGAATACCACGCTTCCGCAATAACCTGCCTAGGGCACTGCCTTGACTCATGTGGAAATTTCAATCTATTTGGTGATTTCGAGGGCCTTCAAGCCCTCATCCTTCTCTGCAGCTTCGCGCTTTTCAAGTCAACCGCTCCGGGGCTTGGAAACCTTCTCGATATCGCCATACGCTCAGCAATAGATCTTCGACTATACAATGAGCAGGATAGCCCTGCCAACATGCTAAATCTTGCTTCAAAGTCCTCATTTGACGAAGCGCATCGTGATTGGATCAAAGATTTACGGCGACGGCTGTGGTGGTGTGTTTACAGCCTGGATCGATTAGTCGCACCATATTTAGAAAGGCCGTTTTTTATTCCGGACGATGTTATTACTACTCAATTTCCGTCTATACTGGACGACCAATTCATCACGCGACGTGGAATATTGGCCTCTGTCGATAACAAAAGCGGGTATAAGTATGCCGTTCGGCATCGCTTTCGGTTCCGGATTCTTCAATCCGAGATACACACCGTTCTCCAATACCATCACGCACGTTTGGAAAGGGGTGGGCCATCGTCAAATCTCAATCGGAGAATGCCATTATATCTCTGTGACTTTTCTTCTTTCAGATCCTGGCGTCAAGACATGCATTCCAGGCTAGAAAGATGGAGGAATTGTATACCCAGTCTGGGGCCTCCCTCAGACAGGTTTCTAATGGAACTTGACTTTTGGCAATCAATAATTGCCCTATATCGTTGGAGTGTCAAGATACCGGCCGATTTAGTTCACTCCCCAGTGACAATCACTCCCATAATTCAGCAGCCTTCCAATGAACCGCCAGAGGAGGTAGACTGGATTTGTTTCAAAGTTGCTGAGGCAACTTCAAACGCGCTTCATATACATCACATGATGCAAAATCTCGGGTGTAGCACTACGCCTTACATTATTACCCACGAGGTTTTCCTTGCAGGTAAATATTTGCAAACATCAATATCCCAACGAAAGACACCTTGCTGAACTCTCTACCCAGGTAGCCTGCTTCTCTTCACAGTGTGGAACTCGCAACTAGTTCAACACAAATTGGTAATTTGTCATATGTCCCAGAATATTTACCAAATTACTAACGGTCCTCAGACATTGAGAAGCCTTGATTATTCAACTCTTGCTGCTATCTCAGTTCTAGATAAACTGAAAGATAAATGTCACTTTGCGAAAAAGTCAATGGCCACTCTTAAGTCAATGGCGACTCTCACAATGCAAATGAAGCTATCAACGGCCGAATTTGTGACGCCACCAAGCTGTTTCACACACCCTAATATTTCCAAGGAAACATTGCCGAGTTTGCCTACAAACACCCGAATGCCGGATTTTGGACAATTCCAAAATCAAATACCTCACGACGCTGATCCAGCTGGGAAAGCTTCTCTACAAGGTTCTTTTCAGTTTCCGCAGTCGAAGTTTCCACCCATCCCTGCGAGGATGAAACCTCAAGATTTAAGCTTGCTGAAGAGTCTTTGAGCAACATCCCTATAGTTACAAGGAACTCAGAAAACAACATAAAATACAAGTCTATGGATTTCAAACCCTCCGAGGGGGCTGGTATTATTGAAGGGGCAATATCCACCCCAGAAAGCCTTCAGTCATGGAATAACTCCAACGTTGAAGCGTCAAAATACCTTTCAAATGCTTGGTGTCATACTACTGAGCCTTTGACTCCGCGTAACTTCACTCATTCAAGTACAGAAGACGCAGATATTCAGGCTAGTGAGGACTTTTTAGATGCCTATATCGTTGGGTGGACTTGACACAACTTTTCCGTCACTCAAACAAATAGCTTGAAGATGTTGACCCGTGCTAGTTCTGGCTAAACCTACTACTACCTTGGGACCACAATTCCATATCGCCTGACAGTTGAATCGCAATTCAAAACTCATAATTTCTAGATCGCTGGATCTTTAAGCCTTAAATAATAAGGCGACAATGGTTCATCCCTGCAGCTCGGCATGCAGTTCCTTCAGTTGCTTCGTCTTTAGTTTCTTCATCATCTTCTTTTTCATTCTTCAGGCTTTGAACTCGAATTTATTCTCCTGGTTTTGATTTCAAAGAAATACTATACTTTTGTCACCGTTACCTAGTGAACGGGGAGGATGCTCGAGGCGGCACGGTCAGAACTTGCGGGTTGAATGAACCGCTGATATGATAGGGATAAAGACATAGGGGTAGCTGAGAAGGAGAAGTGGTATGTATTGCTAGGCTAGGCTTGAGATGCCTTACATACAAGATGTTGCTTTTCACACCGCTATTTCCCTGCTACGCTACTAGGTATCCATCAGAAATAACTCGAATACTCTAGTTCTTTATCATTATCATAGCCAAGAAACCCGAATACTTCGATATTTTTGCGATGTTGCGCCAGTCCAAGATATGTATTCCAAGTTTCATGTCCTAACGATGGATCTGCAAAAATCACAATTTTAATCTATCCACGAACTGGTCTCGCTCTCAAAAGTGGATCGACGTGATCGTTCTGCAAGTTCAATTTTGGTGCGAAAGAAATCGCAGCGTGGGACAATTTGTTGCCTGAAATAGTTTTGGCATGGACCTTGTAATATTTCCATTACAGACGGACATGCGGTATACCCAGGTGTGCACAAAATTGTGACTAGCTCAACGCTGATAAGATACATGATCTTGACCACATCCTCTATATGGCCAGATAAATTGCCGCTGGCAGGTCACTCGGATTCTAGAAGTCTCGGGCGAGAACTCTTACAAGATCTTTATATAGTTTCATCCTTTGAAGTTGCGTAATTATTTGTTTGAAAAGATACGACTTATTTATCGTCACTGCCAGTGTTCTCCAGTGTGCGATATATCGCCCGAAAATAAAGTAGTCCTGCCGGGATCATTGGGCAAAGAATCGCGACATTTCAGCTTGTACTACATCATAACATGCGCCATACCTCAGAAGCTGGCGGTTCTTGAAATCTATCATGATGGATGACGGCCGTGGGTGGCTATATTTTTGTCACCCGTAGTGGATAATGATATCCAAAACGTCTCTTATCTCAGCACCTATATCCCCGACGGTGACTTTAGTTCCATTTCCCGTTAAGTTAGCAGAGGCCCTCAAAGGAGGAATTCCTTCTTGCGTAACCAGGCGAGATATCTCATCTTACAATTGACCACCATTGACAAGCATAGCCAACGTTCCCTCGATAGAACTCTGCTGCAATGTAGTCGGCGAAAGCATTTTTATCATGGGATGTTCAACACGGTATGAGGCAACAACCCCGAGGGGGAGGTCCAAATCCACCGTCAGGAGCCTGACCATATCTTCTTCGCAGGGGGGGGGAGATTTTGAACCTCGCGGTGGAGAGCGTACGACCCAATCATGGCATGCTTTTTGTGCGGTTGTCGCCTTTTTGCAGCGAAAATACGATTCAAAGCTTCGGCGTCTGTTGCAATAACCGCATATCCAACATCAGATGGGATAATAGCCACGCCCCTCTTTAGAAGCACTCGAAATACTCTCTGTGTGTCGCCTTTAATGGAAAGTGTTCCTTTGAAGCTCATATTTGAGAGGATGATCAGTTCCAATGCAGACTTTAATTCAAAAATGCAAGTCAGAACAAGAATTCGAAACTTTTCAAATGATAGAATTTCCTAGTCGTCAAGTCGCGACAGATAGTATTGTCAAGGGCCGATGGAACTCTCCGCTCAAGGGGAAGAAATATGTTGTCCGAAAGCTCGACACATTTCGATATCCAACCACCTGGGCATAAATGAGGGTCATGTAGGATTTTAAAAAAATTAAGACACGAATACATGCCTCAGAAAGTTCGACTTCACTAGATGATAGACTAAGCCGAACCCTCTAGCAGGGCGTTGTGGTTTGTTCCCAGGGAGGATCCAGTCATATGTTTCAAAACGCCCCGCTCAATTAATTTTCACACGGGCAACATTCGACTGGAATTCTCCGCGTGTAGCTCCAGTTAAATCCGCGAGGTGAGATTCCGTCACGTCTGTCAACGGCATCTCCCACACTGCATGCCATATTCCCTGGGCTCGAATGGAATATTCATGCCCCTCTTCACATTCAAATGCGGGAAGCTTGATAGTTCGATCGAAGGCCTGACCGGCTGGTATTTCGACCAAATCTGCGGGGGTTGCCGGGAGCTTTCTGGACACCTTGATCGTGTCGATGGGAATGGCTTGTCCATTTCCGGTATCGCAGACCTCAAAAACCCCCAGAACTCCGGCTTGGAAGTCCAGGGGTGAGTTCCATGTCAAGAGGGTTACTGGAGCTTGCGCGTGGTTGTGAATAGAGATGGTGATGGGTACAGGAAAAGATGATGAAGCTTGGAGGTTTGAAACATGAGAGGCCAGGGTGACCTGCAGACTCAAAGCAGGGTCCATCGTTCCTAGTGTCTTAGTAGCAGGGAGAAGTTGAGAACTGCTGGGTGAATGAGAGACTTTCGAATTTAAAGGGGGGAGTAAAGTGAGGGAACGGATAAAGATTTGATTTCACTTGGAGGAGTTGAGGGGAAAGAAAGCCGTAGTCTAGCCCGTGAATGATAGTCGCAGGTTCTCGCAGGTTCTCGCAGCCGCCCAGGAACTTGCTACATATCACCAAAGGCATGAGATAAATGACGGGAGAAACAATTCCTGGCCAGTTATCCGCTACTGATTTCCTTCAGGGCCAATGGGACTCCCCACAACTCCTCTCGTTGCCGGGCCAAGCTGTGCCACAGGGTCTGGTGGCGTGTAACCCTCCCCTCCACACTTACTTGGCGGTTATCTTGTCATCTTCAGGATTTTCTTCAAGATTTCTCCTATCGGGAGTCTATCGGCAGTGGCAGCTGAGTAGAACGTTGTCAATGGTTGCCACAAAACCACTTAAACCGCCTTCAGCCCTTTATCGTGCAAATAGAAGAGTTGGGCGTTTCTTGGGTAGTATCTTGATTTGCTTGGCTCCACGGACTCCGCGGTGCCAATGCAAGACTTGGCATCTTGGCAAGCCAAGGACAATCATTATCATACTTGATCTTCAAGAAGAGATGAGGGGGAAATGAAGCCTCTTGTGAACGTCGAGTCTAATCTTTCGAAGGCTGAGGGAGGCTAGCGTGCTACGAAGGCCCATTGGAATACCAGGAGTGCGCCCCTGTATCATCTACATCATGTACAACACACCTCACACCTTAGTTTACTCCTGTGAGTTTATGGCCGTTACATCGTCGAATCTTGGAGATGATGGCTTGCCTTCCCCGGCCCAATCGACACACAGAGAAGGCCATCATCTATATTATACCAGATTTTCACCAGTCCTCTTCCAGGACTCTCTCCGGGCATGATCTGTTTTGCAAACGTTGCTAGGTGAAACGGGTCTCCGCCGGGCCAAGAAGCGGGAGCAGTTCTCACTTCCCATCAAGGTCGAGTTCCGACGATATCGAGGCCTCTCGAAACATCAACAGCCAGTAGTGGGCGGTCTCTGCGTTTTCTCCGTCGGGATGGCGAGTCGAGACAGCAGATGACCATTCAATCTCCCCTCTGCCAGGACTTCAGGTGGGGAAATCACACACACACACACACTCTCTCTCTCTCTCTCTCTCTGTGTGTGTGTGTGTCTCTCTCTCGCATCAAGAACTAGCTTTGTTAGTCTTCACCTTAGGGTAATTGAAGACGGGATCCAATGCCTTGATATCGACATGAATCTTTCTCCCCGAGAACTATAAATCGAGCCACCCGGCCGTGCAATTTCGAGGTATTCTCATCTAAACCTACTCAAGCGTACCTCGGAGCTCAAACTCACATCACATCACCTTGCCAACTCGATCTTCTCGATCTTTCACCCATCACTGTATCACTCTACACCATGCGTCTTACTGTCTTGTCCGCGGCCTTCCTGGCCATCGCACAGAACGTGTATGCGTTTCCCATCGAAGCCGATCAAGCATCTGCCCTGGATGTCACCTTGAGCCGGGTGAGCGATACTCGCATCAAGGCTGTCGTGAAAAACACCGGTGCCGAAGACGTCACCTTTGTGCACCTCAATTTCTTCCGTGACAGCGCTCCCGTCAAGAAGGTTGCGGTCTACCAGAATGGTAAGCTAGCGGAGCTCTGCCAATATGGGTGATTTACATTAGCTGACCATCCGTGCAGATGATGAGGTCGTTTTCGACGGAATCAAGCGTCGATTCCAGCTTAAGGGGCTCGAGTCGGATTCCCTCACAACTCTGGGTGCCGGGGAAGTTTTGGAAGATGAGTTTGACATTGCCGAGACGACTGATCTGTCCAACGGAGGCGCCGTTACCTTACGTTCCAGCGGCCTAGTTCCGGTGGTCAGCGAAGGATCTGTGACTGGGTATCTGCCATACAGCTCGAACGATTTGAAAATCGACGTGGATGGATCCAAGGCTTCCCAAGTGAGCAAGGCGCTGAAGCCGCTCGATCGCCGCACCAAGGAGAGCTGCAGCAATGCCAGCCGTAAGTCGGCCTTCGAGACAAGTCTGGCTAACACGGTCAAGTTGGCCAAGGCCGCCGCTACCGCGGCGAAGTCCGGATCAGCCTCCAAGTTCAGTGAATACTTCAAAACCACCTCCAGCTCGACTCGCTCGGTCGTTGCGGCACGACTGACCGCGGTGGCCAATGAAGCGGCATCGACCAGCTCTGGATCGACTACTTACTACTGCAGTGATCCCTATGGGTACTGCGAGACCAACGTGTTGGCATACACGCTGCCCTCCCGCAACGTGATCGCCAATTGCGACATCTTTTACTCTGATCTGCCGGCTCTGGCCAGTACCTGCCACCAGCAGGACCAGGCCACCACCGCCCTGCATGAGTTCACCCATGCACCGGGTGTGTACAGCCCCGGTACTGACGACCTGGGATACGGCTACTCGGCCGCCACCTCTCTCAGCAGTGCCCAGGCTGTGCTGAATGCAGACTCGTACGCCCTGTACGCCAACGGTATGTTCCCTGTCCCCCTTTTTTCCAGTGAGAAGTGCAGTAGACTGATCAAGAAACGACGCAGCGATCAACCTTGGCTGCTGATCTATTTCGATAGGTCGTGCCGCGGTCCGAAATGCTCAGTGGACGGAGGGTTTGAGGTGGTAGGTCTAGGGAAAGTAGTAGATGTACATAGTTCCGTGTAGGGGTCGAAGACGCTACTAGCAGCTGGAATGGAGATTATTCTTGAAAATATGTTTGATGATCTCGACGTCGCGATTACTACTCGCAGTCGGCACAGTTGAGAAAAGCGTAGTCGTAAATTTATCGCTGCGTATGCCGGTATGGTGGCGAGATATATCCGTGGTAATTGATCAACCACCAACCCATCACTTGCGATCCAAGATATAGACCCAATGAAACACGTCGGGAGTATGTGCGGAAGACGAGACCGGGCCAGCGGGGGCCTTCAGAGCAGTGCGGGAACGCAAAGTCCAATATTTATCGAGGGCTGGAAGGCGATCGAACCGCAGAGTAGAATACGAGAGTGTAACCCAAGTAGTATCCTTTCGAGTCAATGGAATGAGGTTCAAGGCGAGCAGCTCGACTGGAGACAATATTGTCGTGCCGTTGTCGTTGTCGTTATCTTGAGCCACCTCTCGTACGATTGGGCAGATTTCGGGTAAGTCGAAAGCCGAGACTTCGCAGTCACTAAAGGTTGCGATCGCGTCACTGGTGCTTTTGTCGAGGATGACATCAAAGGGAGCGAAGGGCGCCAAGGTCGCGACATGGTCCCAGAGGAGAAGGTCGGCTCGGCGCCAGTGCATGGCGTGTCCCGGGGGGATATCTCGTTCTGCATTTTGACCGATCCGCACGGCCTCGGAGGAGAAGTCGACGTTCTATATAGATCTCAATCAGCGACCAGGACGAATTTCAAAGATGATGGTTGGGGAGGAGAGGGGGGGGGTTCAATTCGACACTCACCAAGATTCCATCGGCGGACCAGCGTTGCTCGAGAAAGGCGTCGCGCAGTCTTTGACCAAGGCGTGAGACGCCGGGGCCCAGATGCAACACACGTGGGGAGTTGCCTGGGGAATGTAAATGGGCCCGTTGGTCCAGGTCGGATAAGACGGCGTCGATTAAAACATGGCCCGAATTCAACCACTCTCCCACATCACGGCCGGTGGCAAAGCGATGATCCCAGAATTCAGGGCTATCGTAGTCCGGGGCTCCGGTGGTTTTGTAGTGTCTTCGGTGGGGGGCCATTCGCGAAGAGAGAGGAGAGAAGAGAAGAAGGAGGGAAGAATTGGAGATTAGAGAGGCATCGCCAGTCATGTGACTGCATTATGCAGCGGTGCAGCACACACGTGAGTGTCAGCATAGCAGCCCTGGAGTACACAAATGTAGTTATTAGAGTAGTAGTCTTGTAGAGCTTGCCCTACTACTAACCATTAGAATATACCTGGTCGGTCATGATAGTCCTAGTGCTACCTAGTAGTATTTACACCTGGGCAGGACTTAATTGGAGTTGGCATTATTACTAGTAGCAGACTTGTAACTACTAGTACTACTACCCATGAATATAGTACTAGCATATACTAGTAGCACTACTAACAGATCCACTGTATTATACTAGTAACCTTGGAATACACTACATGACTCAATAATCTAAGTACTACCAATGTAATAAGTAAAACTGAGTGGATTATACTAGTCGTAGTAGTTACGAGAGTATAACTACCAGCCGTTTGTGTTGTCCCAAAGATTTCCCAAAGATTATCCGCTCCTACATCAAGCTCCATTTCCACTTCACTTCACTTCCACTTACTACTGGCAGTTATTAGTAGTAACTACCAGAACTTCCGACATTAAACATCGACCACTGCTCAGCTGGAATTTCCACCACGTTCACAAAGGAGTGGCTCTGGCGACTAGCACACTCACGCTATGCCCCGAGGTCCGGCTTATCTTCTGGAGATTTCCTCCTAGTCCATTCAGCCTATGTCTATCATTGCTCGTTTCGGTTTCAGAGAGCGACGGTTGTTAGAGATTAATCCAGGCCCGCCAGCCATCAAGCTCCTCCCACGCCCCTGTTATCGACTTGGAAATTGACCACTCTCCCAAACACCGGCTTCCGAGATTCAACGCCTCCTGGTGTCGCGCGAAAGCTTCGCAGTGCTCAATCAAGTTTAGCATACTCCGTATACTGCATAGTATGCCCTCCCATGCTATAAAAGGCTTCGGCGGAAGGAGAACACTTGGCTTGGATCCTATCCTGAGCCACGTCAGTCTCTCCGTTCACTCGTTTTCAATTCCTATTCTGTTGACCAGAATTGCCTCATTCTTTTGGCTATTCCTTCTGTTGAACAGAGCAATCCCTTCCCTTTTTTCACATCTGCTGCTAGTCACTGCCGCTGCCAGCCTGGCCGCCGCTGCTCCCCCCCCCCCCCCTCGCGTGTTTCCGATTTCACCCAAAGGTCTTCTTCCACTTGCACGTTCACCGAGGCAGCCAGCGCCTCGGCCAGTAAGTCCGACTGCTCCACGATCATCCTGAGCGATATTGAGGTCCCAGCCGGGGAGACCCTTGATTTGTCGGATCTGAGCGATGGCACCAAGGTGATCTTTGACGGCACCACAACCTTTGGATACGAAGAATGGAAGGGTTCTCTTATTCATATCTCAGGCTCCGGTATCACCGTGACGGCCAATGACGGAGCTGTGATTAACGGTGATGGCTCTCGTTGGTGGGACAGCGAGGGAACCAATGGCGGGAAACCAAGCCCAAGTTCTTTTATGCCCACTCCCTCGATGACTCGATCATCTCCGGCTTGACCATCAAGAACACTCCCGTGCAAGCCATCAGTGTCCAATCGGACAACCTCGTCATTGGGGATGTGACCATCGATAATTCGGACGGTGACGACAACGGTGGCCACAACACCGACGGCTTTGATATCAGCGAGTCCACCTATATCACCATCACGAACCCGACCGTCAAGAACCAGGATGATTGCCTGGCCATCAACTCTGGCGAGGTGAGCGCGTTCTCCCCTTTAGCGCTTAGCACAGTTCAAATCGTGGATGGAATGTGCTAATTATACTATGTATTACAGTAGAACATCTACTAGAGTGGGGCCACTTGCTCTGGCGGCCACGGTCTCTCCATCGACTCCGTTGGCGACCGTGATGACAACACCGTGAAGAATGTCACTATCACCGACTCCACCGTGAGTGATTCGGCCAATGGAATCCGTATCAAGACGATCTATGATGCTACTGGTTCTGTCAGCGATGTGACCTTTTCGGACATCACTCTCTCGGGTATCAGCGATTACGGCGTCGTGATCGAGCAGGACTACGAGAATGGCTCGCCTACCGGTACCCCAACTGATGGTGTGCCAATCACCGGTCTCACCGTGGATGGCATCACCGGTTCACTCGAGGATGATGCGGTTGAGGTGTACATCCTGTGCGCTGAAGACAGCTGTACCGACTGGACTTGGGAAGATGTGAGTCTGACCGGCGGCTCTACCAGCGACGATTGCAAGAATGTTCCTTCGGGCGCATCCTGCTAGTCACAATCAAGTTCAAGATCGCTGTTGGCATTTAATCTCTGTGAGTTATATGTACATGTACACTATTCATACCATTTAGCACCACCTACCCTCCAAGGATAGGGAGATTGGATATTATATTTGTCTTTCTGTTACCCGCAAGTGTGGCGAGTGGTTAACTTTAAGAGCTTGAAGGCGTTGGTCTTCTTCCCTAAGATATTAAATTATAAATATCATATCATTCTTGAGACTTGAGACTTGAGATATCCAATGAACATTTTCTCGCGAGTTCGAACCTCGTCTCTTGCATTCCTGTTAAATAAGAAATAAAAACCTTCAAGTTTGTTCCAGCTATCTCGGGGTCAGTAAATTTCATGCTGTACAGTATACCTCACACTCACCCTCGTGAATTATTAGATTCCGACTTAAGCAAAGACATAGATCCTACTTTTGTGCGCCTCAAAATAAACCAATAACAGTCCATACATCGCGACAAATCACCTAGGAACGTATAAAGCGCACTCTCAAGCCTTTACTACATATCCATAGATGTTACTCGAGGCGTTGATCTCTCCCTGGCCCGCGACAGTTCTGGAAGATCCGGAGCACTTCCCTTGCTGGGTGTACATAGCGAATACCGTGAGGACTTGGCCGCCTTTTGTTCCAGTCCAGTTGATTTTGGCCCCTCGGGGAATGTAGATAGTTTTACAAGCCTGGGTGCCAGTCCCATGGACGTCTATCCCTGTGTTTGTTTTAAGCTCCCAAGCTGGAGACATGCTCACTAGCATAGCTAGGAGGTAAACTGAGTGGAAAGAAAACTTCATTGTTGGTTCTATCATCAGTTAGTTCGGTTCGGCTGTTAACCATCAGGTTGCAATTATCGTCATACATAATGATTTTATAAAATCGGTAGAGGTCAAGATCTGACTTCCATGCACATTGAATTGATACTGAGACGAAGCTCAAAGAATCTGGCGCTGAGAGCCGTGCTAAATATTGTCCATTTGAACTCATGATGTCACTATTTATGCCTTTTGTGTGTAGCAAGTATTAAGTAATTGTACCCATAATACGGGGCAGACCCATGCCTATCTCGTATTTAAATCAATATCATGCCTATGCCATAGGAGATAGCTAAATAGTTCTTATTTCGGGGCCACGAACGGTGGGTACTCGTGGTTCATGCAGTGGTCGAACCGAAATAGGCCAGCTCTAGCCCCAAACAGGCCTGTAAGCTGTCATTAGTGATGTTGTCACCTACCGGTCATTCCTGTGCCTCTAGCTTTTATAATAATATTTTGCTAAATGTTTAATTATTAAAAAGGCTACGGTCGGCACGACGCTAGGGCGTCCCGGGGCGGATTAATGAATGAACAAAAAAAGAGGCAAAAAGAAATGCATCCGTGAATCGAACACGGGCCTAGACCTGGGCAGTGTCCATGGACACTCTGTGGACAAAAAATCGATTTTTTGTCCATCCTTCGGCATGCCCATTCCGCCCAGTTGGGCCCATTTAAAGATACATAAAATATATATGTATGAGCCCCGTTTATATTCCTTATATCTAGGTAAATTTAGATTTTTAAAAGGTATTTATAGAGAGAATAGTTTAATCTGTTCAAATTGCTAATAAAAATCGATAATGTAATGGGGGATTCCGCTCTCAACACCGGTAACTATCCCATAGTCAGGTGATTGAGGCCTTAGTAACAAGGCAGCCATTTAGTTTCAGAAGAATAAGTAGCGTTCGTTCCATAGTATCAATAACAACATGCGTGTTCCCCCTTACGAATTATTCTTTCTGCTGAGAGTACTGAGGCGGAGGTTGCGGTATCGGTGTATCGCTTGTCCATGAAGACTCGAATGTCTTATTAGTCGCATCTCTATAGCGTCACGCTCTGTCTACTACTCTCCTGCACTCTGCGAGTGTGGTGGTTTTGTCCTCTTGTGATCGACCCGTCTTCTTGACAGACTGCTAGCGACCATTCCCATCTTACAATAAATGTTAGTTCTAGAAAAAGAACTTTTTCGTCTTTTTGTATAGAGAAATAGGGGTGCAAACATATCTTTAATATATACATTTCCATAAAACCTTAAATATAAGCTTTTGATAATCTAATTAATTTATATCTAAGAGATTATTGAATTATATCTACTATTTAATTAGTTAGAAGATCTGTAATGCCTTGCAAATTGTATTTTTGGCCCAAGATTTGGGGGCCAAAAGGTAGTTTTGGGCATGCCCATGCCCAGGTCTACACGGGCCTTATTCTGCTTTTGGAGGTTGTGATCATGGCGTGGAACTCATCCCAGAGTAATACAGCCATATGTTTAAGGTATAGGCCCGGTTATTCCGACAGGAGGTCGCAGAGCGCGTCGATAGCAGCTTTACCTTGCCCGATGTGAATACCGGTGATAATAATCAAGGCAAATGCTATTATCTTACAGGCCTCACCACAATTTTGGTATCTTCTCCCGTTGGAATAATGAGTATTTTCAATAGCAGTGCTGGGCCTTTGATCAGACGAATCCGGTAGTTCTATAAGATCGTCGAGTGAGAGACAGGAGCGGACCAACTCTATATAAATGATTACCTGGGGGATGATATACCAACTTGAAGCGCATTACTGTTGTCCACCTGCTACCATAGAAGCTTCGGTACGGTTTTACCTTTGCATCGAGAGCACTAGCTGATTGAAATCAGGAGATACTACGAACCATTGCATCGCTGAATGCATGAACAACTCAAGCCGAAAGCAATGCATCAAGGTACGAGCAAGAGCTCAGTAGGTTGAGGCTTTCCTTGTCGAAGAAAGCAAACGACCTGGAAGTAACCACACGGGTGGCTGAACTTCTCTACGAAGTAAATCGAAAACTCGGGACTGTGACCGACTACCTCTTGAAGCAGCTCGCAGCTCTGGAACTTCAAACCCTGGAGTGACAAGGTGAAAATATGCTCCACGACAATGCCCGTCTTTACATTCTCGAATGTAATAGCACGCCTCCCGGTCACACCCCATCAAAACTGAATTCAGAAAACCCAGGGATTTAGGGTTTGCTCGTACGAGATCTAGGAGTCACTGACTGATCTAAATTTGGAATAGGAGATGGATCCCAAGCTTACTAAGAACTTCTGTAAATTTGAGATAAATCGTATAAGTGGAATAGCGCGGCCAGCCAATCTAAACCGAAAAGCCAACCCCTACACCCCATCCAAGCGGAAATCCAATCAAAGCCAATCAGTGGCGGAGAAACTACAGCGAGGGCTGGCTAGAGCACGTACTAGGGAGCAGATCTCGATTCATCAAGTGCGCTGAATTCCCTCCATTTCTGGCCATATTATATTTTATGTTTTCACAGAGCTTCCTCAGACAGCAGCCTACCCACTGCCTTTGGGTCCACGGACACAGTTCCAGTGGGGAACAATGAAAACGAACTTTTTAACACAAAAGGAAAAGGTACTAAACCTGTTTGCCTTCAAATTACTTGTATCATGTGTAATGGTCGTATTTTTGTGAGGTTCCGTAGGTCACGACTCAGTGGTACAGATACAGGTCTAGCCCTCATCAATGAGTAGTACGTATTGGGATGGCAAAACACTACCAGCAAAGAGATGCTCCAAACAAATTGATTTAAGGTTTGGCGTCGGAAGCGGATGACCGCCGCCAATTTCGGGTACGATGCAGGACGCTTATCGATCAGCCGAGCCCACAACCTAGTTCCAAATCATTACGTGGTTTCTCCACCCACGGTTCATCACATCTGTCAAGTCACACTCCGCTAACCAATCAGTACTAAGGGGGCTCACAGTATTCCGAATCATCTCGACCGCTCTTAGCCTGGGAGCTGTAATCCGAACGTCATCAAATTTGGACTACCATTGTTTGGTAACATGTAGATGAATATGACTTGTGCAGCAATAAGGATGCCATTGGTAACATACAAGCGCAGTGTGACTTTAGCAGTGAGGAACCGTAGATGGCCGAGCCACCGACGATTTGAGCGGGCTTGGATGATCAATCTTCGCTGTCAAACTCCTGGTCGTTATTGGATTCACTTTCAGATCCGTTGTCCGAAAAGATCGAGCACACGTCGGAGCCGACATCGCCCTGGTTCTGATAACTCTCAATCTCAATAGGCCCGACCGGTCAGCAACGAGGTGCCATGGAGGAAACGGCTCGCGGTGAAATAGTAGCGATGCGAAACCCTGGAGAAAGAACGAGAAGGTATAAAGAGAATAGTACTCTCAGAGATCAGGTGCGAGGTGAAATGGACGTAAAGCGAGTAAGGGAGGGATAGGAGTTAAAAAGGCCATAGTCGGTGTGGTAGGTTCGAATCTAAAGAGAACATGGTGGTGAGGAGGGAGCCAAAAATGTATACATTCCTTAGCGCCGGGAGCGTCAAGGTTGGTGATGAACGAGAGGCAGCAATAGACTAGCGTCAGGGACCCAGGTCTTACATGGAGGTAAGCCATAGGCCGTGGGAATTAACAAAACTGATGCCAGGGCCGAGACTGGTTAGCAATACTCGTAAAACGGTGGCAGAAGCCGCCATTTTTGGATCGTTAAGGCTACAGCCGATAAGTGGCATGAGACAACTCACAATAGAGGCATAGACGTCATTTCTATAATTTCCCATGAGATTAGCATGTTGAAAGAGCCCTTACAGCCATCTGACTCCCAAGTCAAAAGGTGCTGGGGTCCTACTATAATAGCATGTGAACGGTGATACAGTTTTGTAGAAGGTTTACAACAACGTTCACTCTTTCTGTCGAACCGTGATCGAAACACAGAAGCCAGATCTACTTGAGAGAGATGACCAATGCTTGGCCACACAGCTGATGTTGACAACTCTTTAGAATATGAATAACCGTTGTCGCAACTTTTGAAGGTGATTAAGCCGCCCGGCAACAACCTCCAACGTGACAGACAAATTGAAAATCCAGCACACTCCATCCAACCAAGAAGCGGATGCCTTCACCGGATCCAGCTATCCGCCAATCCTGTGTATCTACATCCCAAAAGCTGACGTCTTTTCTAGTGATCTTGAGGCCAAGCGTTTGATTGTCTCCTGCATGTAGAATCATTGTCTTGTCAAATTGTCTCAGCTGTAGCTTCGGCATACCTGACCCCGTCTCCGGGGAAAGCTCAATATAGCTTTGTGGCACAGCTCGACCTGGGACACTGCTAGAGTTCGAAACCGTTAAGGAAATAATAAAAATTGTAACCCAGAGCGCAGGATTGCCGCCCTCCAATCCTCCAGCGCGAGGCGCAGGTTGTGGCGTCTCGCCGTACCCAGCTGGGTAGGTGTAGGATGCTGTTGATAAGACCCTGCTGTTGATAATACCGCTGACGGATTATCGAGGTATGGGTAGATATAGCGCCATATTTGCGAGAAATCGCTGGATCTTGGCCAAGCAACCTCAGGCGCTGGCGGAATTGTTGTCGGATATGTGGGTATGGCACCCTTGGCAGGACGCGTGGGCGGATACTCGGACAACTGCAACATTGACTTGAGTGTTACATTGGAGATGTCAAATTTTGTGTACGAAAGACCGTAGCCGAAGGCGTATCGCGGCGTTGTATTGGTCTGAAGAAAGTGGCGGTAGTCAATATAAAGCCCCTCAGTGTAAGTATCTTGGACTCTGCCTAGAGCATGATTCAAAGACCGAGGGTTGACGGATAGTCTGATTCGGAGCGTGGGATCGTGTATGGTAGGTGACCGCTGGGGCTGTAGTCGCCAAATAGTACATCTATAAGCGAGTTGCCAGCTTCTTGGCCAGGGAGATAGGCAAATAGCACACCCTTAACCGATGGTAGGTCTATCCATTCATCCAAGAGGATCGGTCCGACAGTGTGGACAACAATGATGTTCGAGAAGTGGTCTGCCGCAGCTTGGACGAGCATATCCCCGTTGTGCCAAGCCTGGAGACCAGCGGGTGTCCTGTCACCTGGGTTCCCTTGGACGGTGATATAGTTTTCTCCTGAGTCGGCATTAATCAAGACCATAGCCACTTCACACGGGCTCGCAGTATCGAGCTCCGGAAAGGCGTCGGTGATAAAGAACTTGACATTAGATGCCTTGTTTTTAATCGTATCTTGAGGAGTGATCAGATAGGGCAGATTAGAGGTACCACTTCCCTATCCCATAGTCAGAACGCCCTTGTTGCATCCATTATCGCGACAGGTGTTGATGCCGTCAACGTTTGCTCCGGCATCCGTACCAAATACCTTCAACGTTGTGTTTGTCTTCAGCGGTAAAATGTTATCATTGTTTTTTAGCATAGTGATGGCTTCACGTACCACAGCACGAGCAATAACGTTGTGATCTGCCTGGACGTTCACATTTTAATTAAGTACTCCTGTTGGGAAGATAAGTACACCAGGATATATAGGTCCAGTCTTATTTCGAGTATTTGTGGAGAGATTAGGAAGTGGGTAGTCGAGATTTTGGCCAAACTTATACCAGGTTGCCACGATTCGAGTCACCTATAGAATATTGTCATCTCTGACATGCCCTCCATTAATAAACCATAGATTGGAATTCATACCATGTCATTCAATCGATCAATCGGCACAGTGCCGTTGAGGATCGCTTTTGAAAGTTCCGATGCCCAATAACTATAACCCAATAGCAGGACAACAGCTTCACCGACTCTAACTTTGAATTCAACCCACCAGGAAGAGGCCTCGTGCGGACCATTTTCTGGGGCGCTCGCTTTAGACGCCCCGCCCGCCTGACGTGGTTGCAGGAGAATTTTCGCAACCTCCTTATGTGGAGTATTGACCTGATCATTAAGCTTATGCTATCTGTGACTCTATGGCTTGTTAATAGTATAATAGACATAGTGATCGACGATGTGTTTACTGACCGCAGCTTTAATGTCTTTACCGTCAGCGATGACACTAATCAACTTCTAGCCCTTGCAGGTACTATCTACTTCCTATTATCCAATGACGACTACCTTATTACACTCGGCCTCATTCGTAATACTTCAGCACAATACGCCAAATCACACCGCCTTTATCAGACAGGACCTGCGTCAATATATTTTGTAAAGCGTATATAGGCTATATTAGGGTGTAAGGAGGATATATATAGTTCTAAGTTTATCTTCACCACAAATATAAAGTATATGGTAGAGGGTCATAAGCAGGTATTAAAGGGAACTCTTGGTGGCAGTAAGGTAAAGGTACATTGGGAATAATTAATTAGGAAGGGGAGGCAAAGGGGGAATATATATTTGATGTTTGAGAGGTAGAAGTAGGTGAGGAATAAACTAGACCTTAAAGGCTTTTTTGTTAATAATTGGCAAAGGAGTGTTCTGTAGTGTATACTTAGTTTTAGTTTTATATTTCTCAGGAGGTATAAAGCGATTATGCATTTTGTGAGAGGGGGATTGTTTAATCTTATTTGTGGATATATAATGTGTGATTTTGAAAAGATTCTGCTACTAGTATTGTATAGTCTGAATACCTTCGTATAAGATACTAATGTATCACGAGAACTGACTGTATTACACAGATATAAGATGATTAGATTTCGAGGCTAGAATATAATGTGGTTGATACTATTGTGATATAGATCTGTGGCGTTGTGTACTAAGCGGAAGCTAATTGAAGATTGATTACGGACCTACCTATGGGAGAGCCTAAGCCCTATCCTATAAATACCTAAGAAACTATTGCTAGTGCTGTAGGGGACGACCACTAAGCTCAAACGATTATTAATACGACTAGCTTGCTAAACGAGAATCGGAAACGAACTTAAAGCGGCGAAGCCTTTACGCTATCTGATCTAGCGGGTTGGATTACGACCCAGAAGGTATGCAAACTTATCAGCTCCCTGAAGAATATTATCCGCTATCAAACTATAGTAATCGAAGCTACCTAGAAAGGAACTCCCTCCAGGGCTAACGGACTAGTAGAATTGATTCCACTAAAAGGAATCGATGGATTTCAAGTGATCCTCCCGGATCCACCGTAACGGCCAGTTCGAATGAAACCTAGTAAGGTCGAACATAAAACTTTATCGTCTCCTCAACTGGATGTAGAACTGCAGGGCTACACCGCGCGTGCATACCGTGAACCATCACCTGCTGGACTTTCTTTGCCATTTTAATGCTTTGATTGACTTTTCTCCGACCGCCAACCCCTTTCATGGCCGCGTCCTCCAGACTAATAGAGACACATGCATCTATGGCCCTGCTAGTGCCCTGCGACTGCAATCCTGCGACTGCGCTAATCCCCAATAGAGATACATCTCCACCGCTGCTAAACTGAATCCAGCACTTCCAACAGGCCATGCCCAGGCGGGGATTATTCGCTTCAATTCTGTCATTATTCCTCCTCTTTTCTCTTCCTTTTAAAACTCTACAGCCCTGGGTTTTTTGGGAGACCAACAACTACCATGACCGACCAACTCATTGCCGTCGTGCGTCCCCCCCCCTAGATCTCCAGTCGCTACATCAACCAAGTTCCTAACCAAGCTTGTAGGATCCGGACCTATATGAAAATGATGACAACTCCTACCCAGATGATTGGCAGTCGTGCGTCTCTGTGCACCCCGTGCATCCTCTCCCGGGGCTATTGGAGTAGATCTATCACAACCGGACTAACTCTTTTAGGGAAACCACTTCCATCGGCTCTTCAATCTATCGTGGGCTGCTAGAAAATGGTCGTCGGTAAGTTTTGCAAAGCAAATGCCCACTATCCTCAAGTTGGATGATTCAGGCTAATCCGAGCGATCGACCAGGTATCAATCGCTTCGTAGTGAGGAATACATGTACGCATCTGCAAATTCAGCGCCCATCACCCACCTCCTCTCTTCCTTTCTTTCTTTGCTTTCGGTCCCTGACAAAGAATCTTGCAGCCTACCATCCGACGATCAAATGTTCGAGACCTACGAGGCTGGGTACGGTTATCCGCCATCACAATTGATAGGCGATCACCGAATATTTTGCTAAAATTGGTCACAGCCACTTACTCACCCTCGTCCTCGACTCGGAGAGGGATAACCCTCTCTTTCGGTCGCCTATCGTCAAAAATCCGAAGCACATTCTCGATCTTGGCACTGGCAAAGGTGTCTGGGCCGTGTAGGTTTTCCTGCGAAAATCACAACCCTGCGTAATTGCGCACTTTTGCTGATGACAATAACAGCGATGTAGCCGACATGTTTCCAGACGGTGAGTGAAATATACTACCCTGTGGGTCTTCAGTATCTCCCCACTAAATATCGAGTCATCCAGCAACCGTTCGCGGAGTCGATCTTTTCCCACCGCCTGTTGCGTGGATGCCCCCTAACTGCGTTCTGGAAGTTGACGATGCTCTACAGCCCTGGACTTGGCGTGAACCATTTGATCTGATCTACATGCGAATCATGATTGGCTCCTTCAGCGATTCGGAATGGGATCAGATTTACAAGCGGTGCTACGAGTAGGTATTTCTCGATCAATACATGTCCGGGTCATTGAGCCATCGCGATGCTAATTCAGATCTTAACTATAGCAACCTGCGTCCCGGTGCTTGGATTGAGCAGGTAGAGGCTAGTCCCGTCATTACAACTGACGATGGGAGCATCCCTGAGGGCAGCATCCTTCATTCATGGGGTATCAACACCAGGGAGGCTGCGAAGAAGAGTGGTCGCGATCTGGATGCCATTGACAAAATGACCGACTCAATTCGCAAGGCTGGATTTGTCGATATTCAGGAGAAGGATTACAAATGGCCCATTGGGCCCTGGCCACGCGACAAGAAATACAAGGAGGCTGGCACCGTGAACGCTCAGCATTGGCTTTCCGGTATGGAGGGCTGGTGCATGTGGCTCCTCACCAAGTTTGGATCGCCCGCCCCGTGGACCAAGGAAGAAGTTCAGGTCTATGTGGCCAATATGCGCAAAGAGCTCAGGATGCCCCGCTATCATGCCTACCAGCGCGCGTAAGTGACCACACCATCGAATGAAGTATGTAAAATTCTACGAGCTATGACTGATACAAACAGACGACGAGTCTGGGCTCGCAAGCCCTTGCCAAACGAGTCGACGGGAAGGAGGAAAGAAACGGGGAAGGAATAGTTGTCATTACTTATTCCTCTTCTCTTTGACCAGGTGAGTCATTCCATGGAATAACATTGGGGTTGAACAACAATTGTTCCGTGTACATATCATGCCTATCATGTTCTGCCTGTGATTTTACCCTCAAACTTGAATCTCATGCGCCCGTATGCGTTTCTTTGATTTTATTTTTTCAGAGATTCTGTCTCATTCTTTTTAGCAGTAGCCGTAGCCAGACTTCTGAAGTTCCTACTCGGATGAAGGTGCACCGTGCTGTGGTATGCCATGCGATCGATCAGCACGATCATGATCAATCTCTTTTCCCACAAACCCTCGCTATCGGTTCTTTTTCTATTTTGAGACTCGACACTGTTGATTATGAAGCCATTTTATCCTACTATTTCCATTTGCCCCCAGCCTTTGTATCTCCCCTTGGTCATCTTTATCAGGCCAACCCAGCCCTAACTCGGTTCCGCTCGTTGATTGGCGCATCGTCAGGAATGCGCCGGCCTGACATCACCACCGCCTCGCCCTGCTTTTTTTTCCTTTCTGCTAAACACCGAAAATATTTCTCAGAAAGACTCAATTTACGTCTGACGATATCTTTCAATTCATAATATAATCCTATTAATGATGACAGGCAAGAAGAAAGTGTTGATCATTGGGGCTGGTGCTGCCGGGATGGTGACTATCCTCGACCACATTAAATCTCCAGTCGATGCTAACAACATACTCTAGTCCTGCGCGTCTACTTTGGCCAACCACCCAGATCTTTTTGATGTGACGATCATTGACACTGATTCTCACACGGGTGGTCAAGCAACTTCGATTGCCCTGGATGAGTCCCAACATGGTGCCAGCTGGTTGAACGACGGTGTTCAGGGTGGCTCGGCGATTTTTCGACATACATTTCGATTTTTTCGAAGCTACGGTTACGAACCACAGCCGGTTAAGCTGCAGGTATCCTTTGGTAAGGGACGCAACAACTTTTGGACCAACGTATTCCCGAGCGCCTTGATCGACCATCACTCGCGGGAGATCAAGAAGCTGGGCCATGTCCTGGAATTCATCAAATACTTGATGCCCCTGCTTGGTATCATGCCAGTCAAGACAATTCTCAAGCTATTTCGCTTTAGTAATGACTTCAGCAACAAAATGGTCCTACCTTTACTGGCATTATTTCTCGGCACGGGGAACCAGACACCAAATGTGTCGAGTGTACTACTCGAGCGTCTCTTCGATGACCCGCAGATGAGACTATGGGATTACGACTCTGATACTCTTCTTCCCAATCTTCCACTTATGTATACGTTTCCAAACCTGGGCAACTTTTATGGCGATTGGGCGGCAGACCTGCGCTTTAAAGGGATTGACATCCGCTTGAACACCTCGGTCGCAATATTGGAAAGGGGCAAGAAAGGCGTTGTGATTCAAACAAAGTCAGAAAATACTTCTTTCTCCTCGCAAGGAGATAACCCGACCGAAATATTCGATGAATTGGTATTTTGCTGCCCGGCTGACGAAGCAAAGAAGCTCTTGGATCGCCACGCGACCTGGCGCGAAAAGTACGTTCTAGGAGGGGTGAAATTTTTCAACGATATCACCATCACCCATTCTGACGCGAATTATTTTCAATCTATTTTTGAAGCCCAGTATGATCTGGCCCTGTGTGCACAGCCCTCGACCAAGAAACGAGAGGATCAGATTTCATTTGCCGAGCAGCAGCCTGTTTGCCAAAAGGACGGGTGGCTGGGGTTCCGACCGATGTATTTTACTCACTCGTTTGTGTCGGACCCCGATAAGATTGAGATGGGCTTTGACTGTACGAATTACCAGCACCAGTTTCGTGAACGATTGGGAGAAGGTCTCCCACCATCACCCCTGGACAAGCATATCTTTCAGACCATTTATCTCAACGATCAACAAAAGAATCTGTGGACATGGAATGAGATTGAGCCATCCAAGATTATTGCGCGAAAATGGTGGCATCAGTTTGGTCACCGCTGGCAGCATTATCTACGAGTTGTGCCCGGTATGATGTTTATCAACGGGCATAATCGGACTTTGTATGCTGGTAGCTGGACCATGGTGGTGAGTACTGCACAATCACAATGCGCTTCCTGTATTCTGCTAACAATTAATTACAGAATATGCATGAAATTGCCTGCATTTCAGGAATTGCGGCAGCCTACCAGCTAGGTGCCGCATACGAGGCATTTGATGATTTCGCGGAAGACTTTTTTTCCAAGTACTTACTTGTCTGCCATGGTACGCGATACAAGAGAGGAAAGGCAAAGCAAACATAGTTGGGCTCTCTTCATTATCATATATACAGCGAAATCACTAAGTCCCCTTCTGGCTAATCAGAGTACATATCTGAAACTTTCTATCTCATGATCTGTCTTGTTGGAGAATTCGTCCTGTAGTTCCTCTCTTTCGGTCAACTCTGTCGCCGAGCCGTAGGCTCTGTCTCGTCGATTGTTCTCGTATACGTAGTATACATACAAACAAATAAGAAAGAATATTCCGAAGATGAGGCCAGACATGGCAGCTTTAATTCCGGTCTATTATTTATTAGCGCGAGTGAGAGCAAAAACATTAAAGGTGACAACTTACCGCGTAAACCGGCTTTTCTTTGGGAAGGAAGAATTGAGGGCCGACGATATTGCCAATACAGTATGCTGCGAACATCAAGGCGCTGACGGTGCTCTTTTTGGTAAATCCAGCCACGTTCGAACTGATGAGGCTAAGCGACAAAGGGATATTTGCGGCAAAAACGGCACCCAAGCAAAGTCCTGTCATTTTGCCTGCCTGGTTGTCTGCCCCCAATTTCCAGATGAGAATCATGCCGATCATCGAAACAGTTGTGTTGAGAATCATCATGAAAATACGGGTCTGGCGAACCACTGTGGCGAATCCAGAGGTAAGAACGAGAAAGACTAGCTGTGCTGCACCGATTGGCATCTGGATCAGAAGGGATTGAAGTTTTGAGAACCCGAATCCATTTATGATGATGGAGGAGAAACTGGTTATGCCCCCATTGCAGAAGTTTACGCAGAGCGTATACAAGACCAGGAGCCATGTTTGAGGGTCCTTGACGGCCATCCACACTTGGCCCCATCTGAACTTGCCTGTGTCCAGAACGCCAGTCTTGTTGCTAAGGGTACGCTGTATCGCAACCGCTTTCTCGGTCTTGTTGAGGAAAATGCTTTTGGCAGGCGAATCAGGCAGGAAAGCAATGAGGACGAATCCATACCCGGAAGTAATCGCACCGAGAATCAGGAAGAGTAGCTGCCAGTTATTGACTGTGTTGTTATGGATCAATCCAATACCATAAGCGACGAGACCTCCGATTACTGTGGCGATTGAATTTCCAATGAACCATGCAGCTTGTCGGGCAGGTTGCTCTTCTCGCTTGTAGAACATGCCAGTAATCAAGGCAAATCCAGGGGCAATTGATGCCTCTCCAACACCAAGGAAGAAACGCGCGGCCATGAGCCCGGCGGCATTGGTGCATGCAGCGTGGCACATCAAGACACCACCCCATACAAGAACGGCCATCCCCAAATATTTGCCTAAAGGCAGCCGGACGATGAGGTAGCTACTCGGCCAGCTCCAGGCAAAATAGCCAAAGTAGAAGATAGCGGAGGACCAGTTGTATTCAGTACCTTGGAGGTTCTATCGCTCAAACAGGCAATATTAGTCTCATGTCAAAAAGCAAAACATTAAGAACAAAGGAAGGATGAATACCAGGTCTTCTGTCAAATTAAATAATGTCGCTTGACTTAAAGCCAACTTATCCATATATTGTAGCATGTAACAGAATCCCATTAACGGAATCAAGCTGGAAGAAATATGTTAGAGAGAAAATGTATGGATGGTCCACGTGACTCACTATAGATCTAATTTCCACAGGACCTTTCTCTCAAGCGCTGGTGTGGATGTGGTCTCTAGGACTTGGCCAAAGTCGACATCACGAGCGGCAGGGGTAGATCCCATCTTCACCATGTCAAGACCCGGTGTATCCTGATCTGAGGGCATATCCTTTTTCTCCATTTTGGATGGATGAAACTGGATGGATGGTAGGTCAACAAGTGTTTAGGGGGTGGATGCCAACAAGAGAAGAATAGGATTGGGAATGGAAGTTGGCAGAGCACTGGTCACCCCGCAAAAGAGATTAATTTGTGTATATATAGACTGATTCAAATTCTTCCATTGTGTGGTCAAGCCGGGGTTATAAACTCACAGAACGATTAGTGATTTATTCGCACGCCAAACCCCTCATGGCTTGGTGGCGACAGGAACTGACGAATATCAGATACAGCTTTGGTTATCATGTCTGGGCCGCCGCAGTCGCTTGGCAAATACGGGCAGCCTTCTGTATCGTCCGAGGTCAGTTTCGATATGATAATGATGAGCGCCACCAGATAATTAGAGCACTCTAGACGGGCAGCAAATCGGCAATCACCAGTGACTCTAGGCGCAAACAAGTGCCGTCCACAGCATCCTTTCTGTATCAGTCTATGCTTATTATCACATTTTTGCCCCAGACTCGATATCGGCTGGACCTGGGGACCCGAGATTAGGACTTCTTCTCGGCTGTTCCACCAATACGCGAACAGCGTCGGCAATTAGTCCCGGTCTCCTCAGGTCGGCAACCCACTTGTCTATTCCTACATCGCCATTCGCATGGATAATCTTTGATGTTTACTTGGCGTGATTAGCAACTCCGTCGTCACCAGGGGTTCGCTGTACATATTTAGTCTTTACCCCACAGATTTACTCCGCGGGGAAGATCCGCCACTCCCACCACGTTGCCGACCGCGGCGCCTGCGCCTCTTATGGATGACTGATCAGCTCGCCAAAGCCGGAAAATCAAGGATCTTATTCCGCTCCTTGCTATCAACACACTGATATTATCGACTATCAGCGATAACTTGGGCATCGGCAAACAGTGGGGATGTGTTTGTCTCACGCTTGGACGAATGCTCGGATGTGACGCCACGGAGGGGCTTCTTCACTGCCCCTCTCCTGCATTACATACATGCATACCCCATTCCTTTTTCTTTTCTTTTTCACTTTTCATATATCCACGCGAATTTTCCATCTCCCCCACTATTCCTGGGCATATAATTTAATATCCTAGAATGACTATTTCAGCTATAGGCATTGATGACGTTCGGGCGTCCGTAGACCTATCCCTCGAGGAATTGCATGATTCTCTGCGCAAAGTCAATCACGAGGTAAGTGGCGGTTTTTCCAATCTCGGACTTGCCTTTTTTTTCTTTCTAAAGAAACTGCATACCAATCCAACTTTAAGATTATACAACATCTGACAGGTGATCGTTCCTTAGATCTGGTCGAACCCTGAACTAGCATTCAATGAACATCGCGCCCATGATACAATCTGCGATTTCCTCGAGAAGCAGGGATTTGCAGTGACCCGTCATGCCTATGGTATTGACACTTCTTTCGAAGCTCTAAGTGGCTCGGGTGGAAGATTGATCAACTTCAACGCGGAATATGATGCCCTCCCTGACATCGGTCACGCCTGCGGTCACAATCTCATCGCCACTAGCAGTATCGCTGCCTTCCTTGCCCTTTCCTTTGTGTTGAAAAAGTATGGCATCCCCGGCCGGACACAATTGCTCGGAACTCCTGCCGAAGAAAATGGCGGAGGCAAGGCTGACCTAATCGAGGCCGGGGCTTACAAGGGCGTGGATATTTCCCTCATGGCGTAGGTGTTGCACCTACCCTAGTTCTGAGCCTAAATCTCTAACGTCGAAGAAATGCAGTCACTCTGGACCGAAAAAGCTATTTGCAGATCAAGGAGATGCCGAGGGAATTGCAGGAACCCTGATGAATGCACGTAAAAAGATCACCTGCGAGTTCACCGGCAAGAGCGCTCACGCCGGAGGTAACCCGTGGGATGGCATCAATGCCCTCGATGCCCTTGTCTCTGCATATAACAATGTGTCGGTATTACGCCAGCAGATTCTTCCCGAACAACGGATTCACTGTGCCTTCACCGGTGTTCCCAAGGTGGCGAATGTGATCCCCGAACACACTGAAGCGATCTGGCAAGTTCGAAGTCCTTCACTCACGGGATTGAACAGTTTGGTGTCCAAAGTGCGCAACTGTATTCAAGCCGGGGCTTTGGCTACCGGTTGTGAAGTTCAGATTAAAGAGTAGGTGATATCGAGATGACATTGATGCAATACCGAGGCGATGACTAACGGGAGCGTGGCATGCAGGGAGGAACTCTATACCGATGTGCGATTGAACGATACTCTGTGCGAACGATATCAGGCGCACATGGGTCAGTACGGTCGCAAGGTGCTGAAACGGCATGATAAGGTGCTAACGGCGTCTTCTGATATTGGTATGTGTTTTATGTTGTGGATCAATTGATCGTTGGGTATTCCGACTACTTACTACTCGTATGCTAACTGGGGTGATTTTGTGATTGTGTAATAGGCAATGTTAGCTATGTGACACCCACATTGCATACGATGTTTGGGATTCCAACACCGGAGAATACATTCCCTCATCATCCATCCTTTGCGGCCTCTGCTGGGACTGATGAGGCACATGCGGAGGCTATTGTGGTGGGGAAGTCGCTGGCGCTGATCGGGTGGGAGATGGTTAACAATGATGGATTGTTTGCGAGGGCGCATCAGCAGTGGAGGGAGGAGATAGAGAGGTAGACTCATATGAATATACTCTGTACTTACTATACTATACTCTATACTCTATACCCCATACCCTATACCCTACACCCTATACTATACCATACTATATATACTGCCATCCTGCTATGCAGTTTATACTTCGGCTATACTTCGGCATTTGTTCTTCTCCGCACGTCAGTCGCAACTGCCGTCGTGCCTGAGGCCACCCGCCGCACCTTCCTTTGATGATTCAACCACTGCAGATTCACTCGGAGCCCGTGACTGCGACTGCCTTGACTGCCGTGACTACCGTAAACCCTCACTGACCTCACTTCTCTTCTCCACACTCCAACTCACCTTCAATACTCGATATCTCGACCTCCCCCCCTCCTCCTCTCCTCTCCCCCCCCTCCCCCTACCATTCATGCGGCCGGCTCTTGCCTTTTCGACGTGGCGGGGGATTGTATATTCATGTCCGGTCGCAACGCGCCGCGCTCGAAGAATGGTTCGTTCTCGCATCTGCATCCCCCATGCGGCTTTAGTCCCGATTTTGACTTGATCTCCCCCTCCCCCTCCCCCTCCGCTCTGATTTGATCTGATCTATCAATTCTAACAATCTCTTCTTACTCGTAGGCTGCAGTACCTGTCGCCGACGGAAGGTAAAATGTGGCGAAGAGCAACCCATTTGCAAGCGCTGCCTCAACCTGCGACTCAGTTGCGAATGGGGGGGTCCCCGTCAAACGCGGTCGCAGTGCCCAAATCCGCCATCTCCAACCCGCTCCGACCACCGGCGATATTTCATTAGAAGCTCCCTGGCCAACCTCGGATGCTGGTGATCTTACCGACCTCGACCTCGACCTCGACCTCGACCTCGATCTCGATCTTGATCTTGATCTCCGGCCAAATACCTTACCCAATGGCCTCTCGCCAGTCTCCTGGCCTGGGGACCCGGTGACGCTGGATGTCGCCCCCCATTTACCAGCCTTCTTTCCACCTGCCGCCCCGGCGCGAATCTCGACTCCCCTCTACCCACCGCTAAACACCAACAAGATCGCCTGCGCCAATTCCTTAACCCTCACCGAACACGACCATAAATACTTCCAATACTTCCCTTCCTCGTCCATCGTCTACTATTATATGAAAGGATGGAATTGGAGCAGCTTCTGTTATCTCTACGAAGGTCCCGCCGCTACTAACAAAGTCATCATGCGCATGATCCTGGCCCTTTCCGCAAGTGACATGCATCGTGATGGCTTGGTGGTCAGATCTCCCGGTCGTCCCACCGCGGAAGATCACGGACGTTACCACTATAGCCTCGCTGTCAAGGAGTTCCGGCAACTTCTCGAGACCCCGCGGCGGAACGTTTCCGTGGAAGAGCTGGAAAGCATCTTCGCAACTATGTTTCTCATGGTCACATACGAATGGCAGTTTGGCCACTCAGTGCGACATCTGCAGTTACATCTCCACGGGGTGCGTTCCCTGCTGGAATCGCATCCGCAACTTTTCCGTTTCAAGGACATCAATGACGTCTTTTTCTCCTCGGAGCCCGGATCTCCAACTCCAGACAACAATACAGTCTCCAAGCTTTCCTTCATCCCAGAACAATTCCTTTTGTGGATCTTGTGCGCAGCCTCCGTCCGCCTCTGATAGTATTGATCACTAATTCAATCCTAGATATATCGATGCGAGCTCTCGCCCCATGGGCTTAACCGAATCCCTCAATGATTATGTTCTGGAATCAAAAAACCCAGCCCTTCACCCGGATCACCTCCATCGCTGTGCTCGCCTCTGGGGGCGATGCTTCTGGGGTGAGCAGTACCCTGACCAGGAGGTCCTCGATGATATCGAAAACTATCGTGCCTTAGAGTTACTCCATGCCGGCTTTAGTATGCGCCACCGGACGTGGAAGTTGCTCGTGGATCCTGAGGCTGCCAAGGAATCCGCCGATACACTCTTTCAAGACATCGTTGCTACGCGTGATGTGAGTATCATTCATTCCAAATATCGCATCTCCACTAGCCAACGCCAACTGACGTCTGTTATTGATTAGAAATTCTCCGACCTCTTTATCACTGCGAAATTCGCCGGTGCAGTCTCGGCCCGACGTACACTCAACACAATATATATGGCTGTCTGTACATTTTACTCCCAGATCCTCTTCCACCGCCGGCTGCTGTCTGTCGACAAGCCACCCACGCCCATGCACCGCCAAGCCACGCACGGAATTATCGAAATCCTCCACAAGCAGTTTGCCCCCGATAGTCGACCCTTGCGGCGACTGCACTGGCCTCTGATGATGGCGATCATTGAAACCGAAGACCCAAACCAGCGGGCGTGGTTAAGGCAGCGCCTTTTTGAAGTGCGCGGTAATCACTGTGAATGCATGTGGGCCAACGAGATTGCAGATCAAATTCTAGCTCAGCAGGACGTGAGCCAAGGATGTTATGCCAATCTGGCGGAGCTGCTCTTGCAGCGCCTGCATATGCAATGATGTGACGGTGGATTTTGTATATCTAATTAATGTCTATAGACCACTAATGTGTTGATGCCTCCCCGCTGTCTTCCTCATCACGGAGAATTCTCCAAGAAGTATGCATCATATGCCACTTCACCTTTTGCTCGAGTGGCCCTTCCAATGATGACCCGATCGTTCATCCACTTGTATTTCTCATGACCCGTCTCGATCTTCACGTGGAGATGAAACCAATACTTGCTGGGATCAACGGGACCGCCTTCCATGAGCGCCTGCAGCACTTCGGGCGGGCCTGCGCGGGTGCCTTCGGTCCTGCTCGATATCAGTATCTTCCATGGAAGCTGGCTCGTCATGGCCCTAAAACCCATTCCTATGAGAACTAGAATAGACTTACCGAATATAAAGGAATGCGCCGTCGTCGCTCTTGATCACATAATTCGTGTTGACGTGTGTTGTCTGATTATCCTCTACCAGCCTATTATACTCGTATAGATAGTATTGATGAGCGATTAATTTCACATTCCAGTGACAAGTCGCACATACATGAAATCAGCTCCACCAGGCACAACTTCACCCTTGAAATGTGGCCCGCTTACTGAGCCTGACACAATTGGTACGCATCGACGTCGCCCATAAGGACCTTTGCCGATTTCCATGGGCGGGTCAACCGCACAACGGAGGGTAAACAGATGGCTTAGCTTGGGAGGGGGTGCAATGGTCTCCATAATAATTGAGATCATAATAATTGAGAGTAGATGTAAGATTTTAGTCTTCTATCCTGCTTCGCCGGGGAGAACGAGGGGTTACGTAGGGCAAACTGGGGTCCACGGCCTCTCCACCTCCCACTCTCTCCACCCCGGCTTTCCCGGCGGATGACCTCGGCTATTTATTGCTGGGGCTGTGGAGGGTGGAAGGGAGCTATATTTTACTCAATCTAATCTCAAGTCTTACTAGTACAAATTGACTTGTCACTGTAAGACTTTGACATCATCGAAACAAGCTTCGCACGGATCACCCGCCTGTCGCCGTTTCCGGCAATTTTCGGAGTCAATCAGACCTAGCCTTGGTCAAGTAGGAGTTTACCGTTTACACAGTTATATACTAGTAGTCAAACTATCAAGCTTCAGTTCATGGTCAGGCCATTAGGTATGTATAATTTGAGTCTCAATTCTAGAGGGTGGGTTTTTGCTTTTCTTTTCTTGTTCTTCTCGGCTGGCATCTCCAATGGTCTATTTTGAACCATCAAAGTATCATCACAAATTTGCTGTACATTACTCTGCCAATACGCAAGAGATTCGAAAAGATGGGTTTATTATAGACTGCTCGACATTTAGTCGAAAACAACAGTCTTGTGACCGTTCAGAAGTACACGGCGCTCGGCGAAGTACTTGACGGCGGTGGCGAGAACGTTGCTCTCGACATTGCTGCCAGCGTGGGTCAGCTCCTTGGGGCTCATTCCGTGGCTGACGCGAACAACATTCTGCTCGATGATGGGACCCTCATCGAGGTCGCTGGTGACAAAGTGGGCAGTGGCACCAATGATCTTCACGCCGCGGTCATAGGCCTGGTGGTAGGGCTTGGCACCCTTGAAGGAAGGCAAGAAACTGTGGTGGATGTTGATGATACGGCCGGACATGGCCTCGCACAGGGTCGGGGAAAGAACCTGCATGTAGCGGGCCAGAACGATCAGATCAATGTTGTGCTGGCTGACAAGTTCCAGCACCTGCGACTCCTGCTGAGACTTGGTATCGGCCGTGACGGGGAGGTGGAAGAAGGGGATTTTATAGGTGGCGGCGAGCGCGGCGAATTCCGGGTGGTTGGATACGATCAAGGGGATCTCAATGCTCAGCTGACCGGTCGACTGGCGGAAAAGGAGGTCATTGAGGCAGTGGCCGATCTTGGAGACCATGATCAGCACGCGGGGCTTCTGGGTAGTGGGGTGGATCTCGAAGTCCATGGAGAAGCTCTTCGCGGTAGTCTGGAAGGCAGCGTTCAAGCTATCGAGGGTAGGTTCCTCATCGCCAGCGGGTGCAAATCGCACACGCATGAAGAAGCGCTGGGAGGTGGGGTCGCCAAACTGCGAGGAGTCCACAATGTTGAGGTTGTGCTGGACCAGGAACGCGGTCACGGCGTGGACAATGCCGGGGCGATCGGGGCCGGAAAGGGTGAGAATGAAGCTGGGGGCCATCTTGACGGTGTTGAATCCGTTTGATATAGCTGGGCAATGCAAAGTGCAAGTGAAGAATGGGATCAAGTACGAGTAAAAAGATCAAGTGAAGTCGAAATCTCCAAATTCCAAAATTCCCCGCCGATCCCGGCGCTGACTCATTCGATCGGCCCCGCTGCCTGAACTAGTCAAACTAACCCTATTTTGCCTATTTTACTATTTAAGAGCGGTATTACCCTGGTGTTCATCTTTTTTATACTTCTAAGGGCTTCGGTGATTTATGTGAAATACTTGAAACGTCTGGATACTTTGTTTTGCCTCCCACTTGCATTGATTGCTTGTATTGTTGGATACAACAAAGCCCGTAAGTATACATCTGCATAACACCCACTGACTACATTTCAATTCTTACAAGTTCTACGGTGGTAAATAACTTCCTTTTTTTTATAACATTGATCCATTCCATTCCAAGGTTTCTTCTTCTATCTCTCGCTGGTATTCCCTATATTCCCAATGCTAAAAAAAAGTCACTTATCAAGGCGATGGTCCCCAAACTGGAACTCCCCGCGAGCCCGAGAGTATCCAATGCACCGACGGGAGTACCACTTGGGACTGAGGCAATGGAAATGCTGATTCAATGAGAATTTCTGGTGTCACCTCGGTTTGACTCTGCAATAGCAAGTCCCACGCCTCGTACTCTATCAGTCGTCGGCGCTGCTCTGTCCACTCTTCATCTTCATATGAGATTGCGAACATCTCGGGATAATGATCTTCACCTCCTGAGAAATTCCCTCGGTCGTCATGACTCGGTCCCAGCTCTGGTGACTCCTGCTGTTGGCACATCCTGTGCACAAGCATCTCAACGGACTCATCTTGGTCTACCTGGTGATCCACCGGGCCAGCCCCATTCTGCTTGATTAGCTGCGCATACTCTGACCACTCCCACTCCTCATACAATATGGCAAGCATCTCTGGATCAGACTCTTGGCTGGCCCACTCTTCATACGAAATCTCACAGATCTCAGAATCAGTCTCCTGGCTCATGTGGCGTCTAGCAGGGTCAGTATAGCCCTGCTCTGTGGTAAAATGGGGGTCCATGCCGTAAGAAGAGGCTAGTGATGCTGATGATGACTGCGACGATGGTAAGAATAACACTGAATAATGTTTGAATGAAGTAGGCGCTTAAGCTGACTACCTTATTGCTGATAGTTCTTGGATCTCGGGGATAAGTTGATCTTAATACACTCGAGGATCTAATGATATGTTTTTTTCGTTGCTCCTCGAGCCTCCATGCCATTCATGCTCCCGCATTGTTCTGAGTCTTTGTCGATTATTCGAAAACAATGTCTCATTCTCACCATGTTCAATCTTTATCAAGTTCACAAAGAATGCCTAAAATAGCTTAATAGACAATGCTGTTGTCCTTTGTATCGATTATCTCGGATTTTCTTTGCTCTACCAATCCTGCATTATCATCGAGGTAGTCCATTTTGGTTCTCATACTCGATGGCATTGGAGGTGGCCCTTTTTCCCTTTGTCCGGAGATAGTGCAGTTTAGTTGATTTCTTGCATAGATTATAATATCCCAATCATTTCAAAGCGTGCAAAAGGATACCATGGCCGTCCTCCACACGGCCAATCGATTTTAAATTGACAATACCTAGGTATATCCTAGATCAAAGGGACTTTAATTTGTCGAGATCTTTCATCCCACGCCCTCCACCTCGACCCTTTTGAATCATCACTTGGCTTCAAGTTTCCATGATCAATATGTTGCCACGCAATCTGAACTGCGGGATAATCACCCAACAAGAAGACTCGGACTTCATGCGTGATTCCACCCGCATACTACCAATAAGATGCCGGAAGGTACAATGTATCTACTAATAGATTTTATCAAATATTTACTGCGGAGTCTAAAGCCACTCCAAAATGGCTATGGAATTGATAGAATGGTATCGTATAATTCAGCCTGAGTTCATGCATTGTGAAAATTCGTAGTGCTTTTCAGGCTTTGCATAGTAGTTAAGACTCTAACATACGAGATCATCGGTAATATCAAAAGGCAACCCCGAGAATTCCAGTATTACTAAACCACTGTGGCGACCGGTCTTTGTCAATCCTGCAGCTTGGTCGATCGTAGGCTGTTCATTATTCACAGCATGCCTAGGCTACCATCGGACAACACCCCAGTGAGCCTGAGCGCATCACCAAAGTGGCGGCGGCTAAACTAGGAAAGCCCCTCCCGGCAGATTAAATCCACTGGGGTACGATTACCGACGGAACCCTGAAGAATCCGTGCAGAAACAGTCCCGTCACGAATCAAGCGAGCCCGTCTGATCCGGGACCCCCAGGGCAGCTTCAATCCATTTTAGGCCCATTTTTGACCAAAACAGCATGCTCGCCATGACGCTAGAGCTCTATTAAACTGTCTCACTCTCATCTAGACACGGACGCTATCTTGCCACGGCTCTTCAAAGCATGGTGGGGAGATTAGCTCCTAGCACAAGCATGATCCCATTCAGCTACAAGCAGCCTAGAAGGTATGGGAGCTGTCTCCGTGTCCGCGGAGTACTGGTCTGGCTTCTCCTTTTGGAAATCGAGTTCCTAGAATCATACTTTGGAGACTGCGGTGCAACGGACCGGACTCCCGGTATGAATGGGTGTATATCCATCTATTTACTCGCTGCATCATTGCGAGTAGATATAAAAGGGATCTGTGACCAACTCCAACGAACTCTTGCAACGACACAATCGACTAGGAGTTCAGTTCCAATTTCCATCATATCTATCCGAAATGGCTGCCGCTATCTCTTACCGTATTTACAAGAATGCCTTGGTCTTGTCTGCCTTTCTAGTTGCTGCTCAGGCACAACAGGTTGGCACATATCAGACTGAAACCCATCCTTCTCTGACCTGGTCTAAGTGCACCAGCAGTGGCAGTTGCACATCGACTGCCGGTAGCGTTGTCATCGATGCCAACTGGCGCTGGGTTCATAGCACTACCTCATCTACCAATTGCTATACAGGCAATACTTGGGATGCAACTCTCTGTCCCGACGATGTGACTTGTGCATCTTCCTGTGCGGTCGATGGTGCTTCATACTCAAGCACCTACGGTGTGACTACCAGCGGTGATGAGCTGCGTCTCAACTTTGTCACCACGGCATCGCAGAAGAATATCGGATCTCGTCTCTATCTCATGGAGGACGATAGTACATACGAGATGTTCCAACTTCTGAACCAGGAGTTTACCTTCGATGTTGATGTCTCCAATCTCCCCTGCGGCCTCAATGGAGCGCTCTACTTCGTCGCAATGGATGCCGATGGTGGCACTTCTCGATTCCCCAAGAACAAAGCTGGCGCAAAATACGGCACTGGCTATTGTGATTCGCAGTGCCCGCGCGATCTCAAGTTCATCTCTGGTGAAGCCAATGTTGAGGGCTGGGAACCAGCCGAAAATGACGTGAATTCTGGCCTTGGAAACCACGGCTCCTGCTGTGCTGAGATGGATGTCTGGGAAGCCAATTCAATTTCCAATGCTGTCACTCCCCACCCTTGCGACACCCCCACTCAGACTGAATGTACCACAGACGCCTGTGGTGGTACCTACAGCTCTGATCGATATGCAGGTACTTGCGATCCTGATGGATGTGATTTCAACCCATACCGCATGGGTAACACCTCGTTCTATGGACCGGGCAAGACTGTGGACACCAGCTCTCCCTTCACCGTTGTGACTCAGTTCATCACCAATGATGGCACTTCCTCCGGCACTCTGAGCGAGATTAAGCGCTTCTACGTGCAAGATGGGGAGGTGATCGGCCAGTCCGACTCCAAGGTCAGCGGTGTGACCGGCAACTCCATCACCACCGATTTCTGCACGGCTCAGAAGAAGGCCTTTGGAGATACCGATAGCTTTACTGAGCATGGAGGCCTTGCCGGTATGGGCGCTGCTATGGCCGAAGGAATGGTCCTCGTGATGAGTCTGTGGGATGACCACAACTCCAACATGCTCTGGCTCGACAGCACTTATCCGACCACAGCCTCCTCCACTACCCCCGGAGCTGCACGCGGTTCCTGCGATATCTCTTCGGGTGATCCCGACACTGTGGAGACTGCGGATGCTAACTCATACGTTATCTACTCGAACATCAAGGTCGGCCCAATTGGCTCAACTTATAACTCTGGCAGTTCCTCCGGTGGATCAAGCTCGAGCACCACTACTAGCAAAACGTCCACCACTAGCAAAACGTCCACCACCACCAAAACATCCTCGACCACTTCGTCTACCGGCTCGAGCACTACTGGAGCGGCTCACTATGCCCAATGCGGTGGAATTAGCTGGACTGGTGCGACCACCTGCGCTAGTCCATACACTTGCACCAAGCAGAACGACTATTACTCCCAGTGCCTGTAGGGAAAATTGCGGCGGAGATGGAACTTGAACGATGGAAACCAGAATGTCCCGGTGAATTTTGTTTAGCTGATAGTTAGGGTAGTGCGATATGAAATCTTCTTTCGGATGAACATTTTGCAATTTATCATAACTTCTAAATTTTCCTGGAACGTACTCACTCATCACCGTCAACCGACACGCTAGTGTACTTAGAGTGCTCGAGCACGGTGATGAATGTATCCTAAAGGTAACATCAGATGACTTCATTAATTAAGATTCTCAACCTTGTCATTCAAGTGCCCGTGCTAAACCTTTTTGATCCTCGGATATTTAAAAGCCCCCCCCGCAAACCTTGCCAATTGACTTCCGCTACCCCTGCATGTCAGCGCTAGTGGTAGCGCCTGCAGAGAGAGAAGTCAGCCGACTGTAAATACGGAGTAGTTGCTGCAGGGAAGCAAGATTTATTCACAATATACGGAGTAGCGTGTCGCTCATGCAGACTGCATGATTCTGCAGCAACGCCATGCGGAGGCCCCTCCGACTAGACAAGCCACCTCGTTTCCATCGGTCGAATGGATATTGACTTCTTTCCCCGCGTCTCCAATCTAGTCAAGTTATTCCCCGTACTCCCTTGTGGCTGTCGGGAAATTGGCACTTGCATGACCCTGAGGAATTTCCTTTGTGACTACATGGATGGTTCAACTTGGCGTCCTGCATGTGCAAGCGTACCTACCCCGGATACTTCGGGATTTCTTTCTTTCCATTTTCTCCATTTTCTACAATTAATATTCAGGAGGTCAAAGATGCGATCTAGCAGGGTGTATTCGATGCTGCCACCCATTGTCTGCGAATGTCCGCTATGACCCTGGGACCCATTTATCGAGCATCGACCAGGATCGCCAATGATCTACTCGGTTAGTCCCAGGACCTGACAGGAAACCGGATTACTTTCTAGCTTCATAGCATTTCCACTTTGGCCACCTAGGCAACCGTCTCGTCTTTCCAAGTCAATTCGGAGTTTGACAGTCTCGACACTGACCTTTCCAGGAACATCTTCAGACTATGAACTAGTTAGCAACCCCATTGACCAATTTCTACACTGGCAGTACCAGCGCCATTCAATGCGTATTTCGTAAATCATTCCATGAACGCACTGAGGCTCCACTATATACAAAAAGAGGTTTGTGGGGATGATGTAGTCCCCCCCTTTACTTTCTGCCCCAATTCCAGCCACTGGAGATTTCTCCACGCAAGTCCCACTCCTCGATGCAGAGCATATAAGAGAGGCAAACACCGCCTCTTTGGTTTGAATCTGGCTCTGCCCCTACTGAAGAGCAGCAACCAGCTCATCAACACTCTTCATCTCACGGGCGTTATTCTCGCCCACATCGAGAGCCACCAGGAACCGACTAACACAGTTGTAGCCCGCAATGCCAGTCGTAAGCTCGACGATTTCACGATCATCAAATCCTGCCGTCTGCAGCTCCGCAAAGACCTCATCCTGTACCTTGACGGTTTTGGTCATCTGGTCGGTATAGCGCAAGACGGCTCGCTGCTTTGGAGACAACACACTGGTCTCGAGCTCGGTCAGGTTTCCCTCCGCAGTGCAGGGCAAGGTGCGAGCCACTTGTAGCTCTTCGGGCTTAATTCCACCCTTCAAGGCGAGGGGCGCATGAGCATTCCACTCATATACAGCATCGTTCAGCACGGCAACACGGCAGACCGCGAGCTCAAGGATGCCCAGATCGACAACGGTGCGTGTGCGAATAGCACCTATGAAGCTATTCCAGCCATCCGCGACGGGCGGGCTATGCAGCAGGGACAAATCCAGAGGGATAAGGGGACGAGGACTCCTCCGGGCCGCGATACGGGCATAGATGTCCGCCGTGTCGGCGGGGGCATCAGCGGGCGGAGTGTTGGGGGCGTAGGGGAGACGCATGGTGCGGGTGTGCTGCTTGGCTGGAAGAAGTCTCAGTTTCAAAAAAGGTAGAGCCCGGCGTCTCGGAGCATACATCAACTGATTGGATTCTTGTATGCGACTCTCAATCACTCGCATCCCTCCCCCCCACGATCAGCCGAAAACAAAGCCACCGGCATCGTGGCGATCGCCACAACCGAAAACGGATCGCGTCGCTGCCGAAGCGCGGGGAACATCCGGTTAATCTCTTTGCCGTTGGGTGGGGAAGCCTTTCTCCGGCAGTCGCCACAGCCGATAACTTTTTGGTTTGTACGGGGTGAGGTAAAAGCGAATTGCCATTGCGTTGTGTACCCGTGGGGAGAGCTTTCCTTTTGGAATTCGGTGAGTGAGAGTAGAGGACTCGTAGGAGTTGGGGTTGGAGTTGAAGTTGGAGGTGAAGCTAAGATTGGTGGGGCAAGGCATTAATTAGTAGACAGCATTCTACATACACAGCACTCGATACTCAGTAGACTCCGTACAGACACCGTGACCTTTTTCATTTAATGCATCCATGACATTTATTCACTGAGTTAAATTATGGTACATTGTATTTTTAATAAACTCCACACTACTTAGAATGTCCCTCCTATAAAGTATCCGTGGATGCCCCGTAGTATAAAATATGTATGCATTACCCCAGATAAGCATCTCTACCTCCCCAATGATTGGACCAAGTGCAGGTACAGCTGCACGTGGCAGCCTGGTTCCCAATAGCGGCTCGGATCGTCAATCACGACGATACAACTGGTTAGCGAGTGGAGGCCAGATATCCAAGCCTAGAGGGTATCGAGTATAGCGAGGGGCAGCTGCATGGTTCGTGCGGATCTTCCATGTTTTCTTTTTATACTAGTCTAGTGAGTTGTGAGTTACGGTTATCTTTGTTACGGTCGAAGATGTGCAGATTATAGTATAAACATGGTAATGGTAATTCATCTCATCTTGATATGGTGTCGAGGAAAGTAAACTGGCAAGAAAATACAAAAAGTATATCAATCGCTAAGTCCAAAAATGCAATGCCAGCTTTTCACCCCCACTTGGTCGTGCACGAGCTCACGAGCTTAAAGCTTAAAGCTTATCGCTTAGAGCTTCTGCTGGGCACCGGAACCGCCCTTGTTGAAACGCTCAAAGGAGGAGACGGGAGGGGCCGAGTTGGGGTTGGGGTGGTGCTTCTTCAGGGCCATGGTGATGGGGTAGTTCATATCCAGAGTGGCCTTGGGGTCATCGGTCTTGGGGTTGAAGTCAACAACGAGGTCGTCCTTGACAGCGAAGACGGAGTCGATGTCCAGGTGAGGGTCATCGGAGGGGTAGATCTGGTTGATGACGGTGGCGTAGTCGGGGTGGGTGACCATCAGGTGGATATGGGCGGGACGCATGGGGGAGCGGTCCATGACATTGAGGAGGACACCGGCGGGGCCATCGGTGGGCAGGGAGTAAGGAGTAGGGTGGTAGCAGTACCAGTAGAACTCGCCCTTCTCGTTAGAACGGAACTTGCCGCGAAGGTTGTTCTCGGACTGAGTGGGGTCCTGGAAATCGTACTGGCCGTTGGCGGAAGCTTGCCAGATATCCAGAACAGCACCGACGATGGGAGCGCCGGTCTCCATATCGGTGAGAACACCGTGCATGTAGGTGACCTTGCCGTTGGGCTTGGGGTCCTGAATGATAGAGTCGCCGAGAGCGCGGAAGGGAGCGTTGGGGGACCAGAAGGGGCCCAGAATGACGTTGGAGGTGGGGGACTCGCCCTTCTCGGTGACGATCTTGTTGGCGATCTCATCGACCAGGGACTCGAGACCGATCACATCGCAAATACGGTGGCACTCGTTGCGAATGGGGGTGCTGATCTTGCCGATGGAGTTGATAAACTCAACACCCATCATCCACTCCGCGGGAGTCAGCTCGACCTCACGGGCGAAATCGTGAATGTGAGTAATGAGGGAACCCAGGATCACACGAGCACGCTCGGGAGTGTTGGGACCCATAGCGTTCACCACATATGGGGTGAAGTTGGGGTCGAAGCGGGCGTTAGTCGACATGGTGGTGGTGGTGGTAGTGTGGAGTATAGAGGGATATGGGATATAGGATAGAAAGTGCAAATGCAAGTGCAAGTGGATGAACTGAGATAGAATGAATAACTGAAAAGATCAGTGGAGGAGACCCTTTTATAAGGGTCTCTCGCCAGTGTCATAGACTCGACAGTGGTCCCTCAGTGGTCACTTGGTAAATCGGCAGAGAATCCGGAGTTGGAGGACTTCCTCGGCATCGGCGACTCCGCAACTCCCGGCGGGAATGCGTTTTCTCTTTTGGTTGAACCAGTCACATCAACTCAAATTATTCCATTTAGGACCATAGTCCATCCATATCATCTGGATAATCGCTGCCGCCCTCGCTGCCGACTTCCCCGCCCCCCGCCAAAGTCTTATCCCCGCCGCCTATATTCTGTATCCTCGACTCGGCTGAGAGAGCTGCATCCCCATTATATCGTATATCGTATCGTATGATTCGAATTCTACGTTCTTCCCCTTTCTTGTGTCAAAGGAATATCCCGGGCTTCAGCGCCAAATCCAGCTCACGACCCTTTTCGCAATCTCCTATCACCACCATGAAGCACCACCTGATGGTCGGGACGTGGACCGCCCCCGGGCGCATCTACACCGTCCAATTTGATGATGAAGCTCTCACCTTGGATCTCGTCAAGAAAACAGATATTCCAGAGGCCGAGCCCATCTCATGGATGACCTTTTCCCACGACAAGAAGGCCATCTATGGTGCTGCCATGAAGAAGTGGAACAGTTTCGCCGTCAACAGCCCAACTGAAATTGTTCACCAAGCTTCCCACCCTGTCGCCGGTCACCGTAAGCTTCTCCCGTGTTGAAAGGCAGCATGAGATCAATTGGAGAAATTCAATTGACATTTCTTTACTCTCATTTTGCCCATCCGTGCTCATCATCTTTTTTTTTTCCAGCTCTCGCTGCTAACGCCGACACCAACACCCGCGCCATCTTCGTTCTGGCCGCCCACCAACCCCCCTACAACGTCTACGGCAATCCATTCTACAACCACGCTGGTTATGGTAACGTCTTCTCGGTCACCAAGGACGGCCAGCTCGATCAAAATGTGCAAAACTACGAATATGATCCCAAAACGGGCATCCACGGCATGGTCTTTGACCCCACGGAGACCTACCTTTACTCCGCCGATCTCTCGGCCAACAAAATCTGGACGCACAAGAAGGATGCCGAGACCGGTCAATTGACTCTGCTCGACTGCCAGGAGGCTCCTCACCCAGGCGACCACCCCCGCTGGGTGGAGATGCACCACACTGGCAAGTATCTGTATGCGCTGATGGAGGCGGGCAACCGTCTGGCCGTCTACGTGATTGACGAGCGCACTCACAAGCCCGTCTTTACTCACATTACCTACCCACTACTTCCATCCGGTGAGTTAACCCCCTCCCCCTCGAAATCGCTTTTCCGGGGATCCAGATCGACGGTTAAGGTTAAGGTTTACCAAAGACTAACTATTGCCCCAGGCCTGCCACCTCGGAATAAGTATCGTGGCGACGTGACTTTCACGACCCAGAGTGGCGAGTACCTGTTCGCGACAACTCGATCCAATCATTTCGATGTGACTGGCTATATCACCGCGTTTAAGCTGGGTCCCTCTGGTGAGATTGAGCGCCAGCTCTTCATTAACCCCACTTCGACCAGCGGTGGCCACTCCAACGCGGTCAGCCCGTGTGATTTCAGTGATGAGTGGGTAGCCCTGTGCGATGATCAGCTTGGATTTGTAGAGATGTACCGCTGGCGCGATGAGAAGCTGGCTCGAGTGGCGCGGGTCGACATTCCCGAGCAGGGCTTTGGTATGAATGCGATCTGGTATGATTAAAGATGAGATGAGACGGATAAAATGAAAATAGACCAATGATAGAAAACGAACATAATTGAATATACAACAAAGTACCAATATGAGAATACTGTGGTAACCACTAACTCGTAGTTTATACTCGTAATTTATACTCGTAGTGACTCTCGGCAGTGGCTTCGGTTGCGATTTGCTTTCTTCCGGCAGTGAGGGGCAGTGGGGGAAGACATTTGCAAAGACATTTACTATATTCAAGTTCTTTTATTCTTGTATTCATTATCATTTATTCGCTGTTTACGTCTATTCTTCCTATTCTTTCTCCCTCTCATCATTTGGTCTATTTGATCTCCTCATCTCCCACAATGCCTACTTCTGGCCTCCTCTACGTCACGATGCAGCCCAAGGGCTCGCTTCCTGTCGCCCAATTCCACGACTGGTATAACTCGGAGCATGGCCCGCTGCGTCTCCGTCTTCCCTTCGTTTCTAATGGCTTTCGATTCCGGGCCACCGATGGCGAGAAGCCCGAGTATGTCGCCCTCTACGACATCACCGATATGGACGAGTTGACCCGCAAGACCTACCTCGATCTGCGAACGGATCTGATCAAGACGGAGCGTGAGAAGAAGACCATGGCTCAGATTGACGTCGGTCGATTGCTGTATGACCTCGTGGATGAGCGCAGCATTCCCGATTACCGCCCACTGGAGTCGCAAGCCGACACCGATGCCGAGACCCGCGGCAGCGTCATGATCGCCGTCACTACAACCACCCACTCAGACCCCGAGAAGCAGGCTGAACATGACCGCTGGTATCGTGAGGAACATCTGGAGATGCTCTCGCGTGTCCCCGGTTGGCGCCGTAGCCGTGTCTTCGTGACTGCTGCCATTGATGCCCAGGCCCCGCGTGAGACCCTCGCCCTGCACGAGTATGCGCCCGTCAACGGCCTGGGTGGTGATGCCCACAAGGCGGCCATGAACACCCCCTGGCGCGAACGTCTCCAGCAGGATGTCGTGGCCTCGAAGCGTCGCCGCGTTTACCAATGGTACTACACTTTTGGCCCTGCCCCACGAGAGCTCAGCTCGCTCGCTAGCCCCGACTGCGCCGGGCCCTGGTCCTCCAACGATGGCAAGACTCGCACTCTCCCCTCCACCACTCGCCCAGCCGTCGAATCCTACATCACCACCGCCGATGGTGTCGAAATCCCCTACCGTCTGGAGGGTAGCACCGACCCGGACGCACCCGTCGTGGTGTTGAGCAACTCCATCCTCGTTGACTGGCACATCTGGGATCGATTCGTGGACGCCTTCCTCTCGCGCAAGGAGAACCAGAAATACCGCGTTGTCCGCTATCTCACTCGTGGCCGTCGCTCCGACAGTGGCACTCAACCCGTTAACATCGACGTTCTCGCCTCCGACCTCAACACCCTCCTCGAACACCTCCGCGTCTCCCCCAAGGGCGCCCGCCTCATCGGCGTCAGTCTGGGCGGCGTCACCGTCCTCAACACCTCCCTCCTTTTCCCCGAGCGCGTGGGTGCCTTCATCTCCTGCGACACAAATTCATCCGCCCCCGAATCCAACCGCAAAGCCTGGGGCGACCGTGTCGCGATCTGCGAAGAGGAAGGATCCGTCAACGCCGAGCAGGAGCCCATCGTCGGGGAGAAATTGGCCGAAGTGACCACGCGACGCTGGTTCGTCCCGGAGTCCTACGAGACGCAGCCCGAGGTGCTGGCGCATGTCAAGGAGGCGGTTCGCAACAATAGTCTGAAGGGATTCGCGCATAGCGTACAGGCACTTTGCGCGTATGATATTCGGGAGCGTATGGGTGGTGCGACAGTGCCGGGATTGTTTGTTGCCGGAGCGAACGATGGTGTGTTGCCGCAGACGATGCAGAAGATGGCGGCGGATCTGAAGGGAGATGCTGAATTGAAGATTATTGAGAAGGCTGGACATTTGCCGATGGTTGAGCAGCCCGAGGCATTTGCTGGGGTTGTGAGTGAGTTTTTGGGCAAGATTGATGGTAATTAGAGTATACCCGTGGACCTAGACACTCCCGGGCTAGACTAGTAAATATATATCGTGAAGTATACCGTGACCTGGGTATACTCTAGTACTTCTCTACTACTACACCCTCCAGTACTACCAGTACCTAGGTACTTTATACTACAGGGCTAGCTATGCCATACTTTGCGGTTTTAGGGTGAAGTAAAGGTAAAAAAGAAAGTAATTACTCTAGCATATGCTACTACTATATCCATTCATTACTATCCCCTAAGCCCCTAAAGTATGGCATAGCTATATCTAGTACTAGTACTTTATATATAGTTATAGCACACTTTAGGGGTTTAGGGTTAAGTAAAAAAAAAGAAAAGTAGTAGTAGTGATAGTGTATTCCCTAGCATATATTACTATTACCATATCTATTCTTTAGTATCCCCTAAAACCCTAATGTGTAGTATAACTACTATATTGTATACTGTGTAGAGTGTGGAATAGGGTATGTATCATAATTGACGTAAAAACTACTCAACAATGGAATGGCGCAATGGTTAAGTTCACCGAATTCCTTCGGGTGCCCAGGTTCGAATCCTGGCTCCGACGTTGGTCGGAGTGGCGCAGTGGTTACCGCGTTCGGCTGCTATTTCCAGTCATCCATTGTTTTTGTTTTGTTAATTTAAATCCAGCAGTTTTTAATGCTGCTTGATTTATTTTTATTTATTTATTTTACTCAAGTTAGTCTATTTTGTTGTGGTGCTCAAGTGCCCTTGTCAGTTGGACGGCTGAGTGGATCACCTGGCCTACTCCTTCTACTACTACACACTCCTCCGCTACTTCACTCCTCCCCTCCACATCCCCGCCATGACCGACAATAAGGTCCCCCAGCCGGGGCCAGCCAAATTAAAGCCCAATGCCGGTCCCGACGAGTGGCTGGAAGCCGCAAAGGACTGCAAGTATCTGTCCGAAGCCCACATGAAACAGCTCTGCGAAATGGTGAAGGAATATATGATGGAAGGTGAGTGAACCTGTCCCTCAATCCTCCCCTCCACCACCACCACCACCACAACTCACACAGACCCCTCCTCCCACTAGAATCCAATATCCAACCCGTCGCTACCCCCGTTACAATCTGCGGTGATATCCACGGCCAGTTCTACGACCTTCTCGAGCTCTTCCGCGTCTCGGGCGGAATGCCAGATGGCTCCGAGCTTGATGCCCCTCAAACCTCCCCCTCCGTCATCACCTCCGCCGACATTGAGCCTCCCTCCTCCATCACCGATCCCAAGGTCCGAAAGAAGATGCGCGGTTCTCAGCACGATGACGAAGAAGGCGAAGACCCCGAACCCTCTCACACTCGCTCCGCCAGCGAGACCTCCTCCGCCCTAAAGCTTAACCGCAACTTTGTTTTCCTTGGAGATTATGTCGATCGCGGATATTTCAGTCTGGAGACTCTGACACTGCTGCTGTGTCTGAAGGCGAAGTGAGTGCCCGCCCGCTCTAGTATGAGCGTCAGGATGGATGGCTCGAAAGAAACAAAGGCTGACACAACTCTCACCACTCACAGATATCCCGATCGCGTGACACTGGTGCGAGGCAACCACGAATCCCGGCAGATCACCCAGGTATACGGTTTCTACGAGGAATGTTTCCAAAAGTACGGGAGTGCATCCGTGTGGAAGGCCTGTTGCCAGGTTTTCGATTTCATGACGCTGGGCGCCATCATCGACGGCAAGGTTCTGTGTGTCCACGGTGGATTGAGTCCCGAGATTCGCACTCTCGATCAAGTGCGCGTGGTGGCTCGTGCCCAGGAGATCCCTCACGAGGGTGCTTTCTGCGATTTGGTCTGGTCAGACCCGGATGATGTTGAGACGTGGGCGGTCAGCCCCCGAGGCGCAGGTGAGTGATCTGTTCATTATTCCATTGATGACACCATTTAGTCGGTTTGTTTGGAATACTAATGAGTGGTGTTTTTCTCTTTTTTTTTAGGATGGCTCTTTGGTGATCGTGTGGCCGATGAGTTCTGCCATGTCAACGACCTGTCGTTGATAGCACGGGCTCACCAGCTCGTGAACGAGGGATATAAATATCATTTTACCAACCAGAACGTGGTCACCGTCTGGAGTGCGCCTAACTACTGCTACCGATGTGGTAACCTGGCATCAGTCTGCGAGATCGGAGACGACCTCAAGCCCACCTTTAAGCTGTTCAGCGCCGTGAGTGATGACCAACGGCACATGCCAACGTCGCGGCCGGGCCGCAGCGAGTACTTCTTGTAACATGTTTGCAATTCGATTCAATTCGATTCAATTGAAATTGAAATTGCAATTGCACGGGCGCAGGCGTTGGGTTGACCTTTGGGAATGATGAGCATACATAATGATCTAGAGACGAAATCATGTCTATACTCTGTCTTTTTTGACTGTAGATGTAGCTGTCGCTGTAGACTGTGTGGATAGGTTGCCATACTTGCTTAGCTTTGTCCCCAGGTGTTCCACCACCCCCAGATATCAAGTACCCGGTACTCAGTACACGGCAGATGCAATCCGGAGTAAGCCACGGCCTTTACCGGGCAGTCGGCATTGCAGTGGAATGGGTTCGCTGATCATGATATTGCCTGCCGAGTCTCCCCCAGCGGCAACCGGAACGAATCCCGCAACATCCGGAATGCATCCCGGAGCACCGCCATAAAGGTATGACCCCCCCGGGAAAATGGACGGATCCGACGCACAGACAACTTCATATCGAAACCATGCAGCCCAAAGAAAAAGTCGACGTGCTCATCTGCGGTAGTGGATCTGCTGGTCTTTGTGCGGCCACTTGGCTTGCCCGCTACGGTGTGCGCTGTAAGGTGTTAGAGCGCCGCGATGGCCCCATGGTGATGGGCCAGGCGGACGGAGTGCAGTGTCGCACCGTCGAGATCTTTGAGAGCTTTGGAATCGGCGAGGAACTTCTTCGTGAGGCATTCCATGTTCTCGAGGTCAACTTCTGGGCCGATGATGGTAATGGAGCTATCAAGCGGACTGGACGTACCGCGGATACTCAACCGGGACTATCGCACCAGCCTCATGTCATTCTCAATCAGGCTCGCATCAACGGACTTTTGATTGAGTTGATGCATAAGTATAATGGCCAGGAGATTGACTATGGGTACAATGTTACCTCCGTCCAGGTCGATAGTGCCTCTGCAGCAGATCCTGAGTCCTACCCGGTGACCGTGACTGCCGACAAAAATGGGGTCATTGAGACTTTCGCCGCGAAGTATGTATTGGTGAGTATGATGATATCTTCTTTTCAGTGCTTTCCAATAGGTCTTAAAAATCTCTAACTCAATACATAGGCCTGCGATGGTGCCCATAGTACCGTGCGCAAAGCTCTGGGTTACAAGATGATTGGAGACAGCAGCGATGCCATTTGGGGTGTGATGGATATGATTCCACAAACCAACTTCCCAGACTTTCGGAAAAAATCTACCATTCGATCCAAAGCCGGAAATATCATGATCATTCCCCGAGAGGGTGACAACAACAATCTCACTCGGTTCTATATCGAACTAGCCCCGGGAACAAACCCGAAGGATGTCACACTGGAGAACCTGCAACGCAAGGCCCAGAGCGTCTTCCAACCTTACCAAGTGCAGTTCACCGAGACTGTTTGGTGGTCGGCATATGCTATTGGCCAGCGCCATGCAGACCTTTTCCACAAAGACCACCGCGTCTTTCTGGCGGGTGATGCGTGCCACACCCACTCGCCCAAGGCCGGCCAGGGCATGAATGTCAGCCTGCAGGACGGGTACAACATTGGCTGGAAGCTCGGAGAGGTCTTGACAGGCCTTTCTGATCCATCGCTGTTGGAGACATACGTCCTGGAGCGGCAGAAGGTCGCTCTCGATCTAATCAATTTCGATCGATACTTCTCCAAACTATTTTCCTCCGGCGCCAAAACCACACCCGCTGAGTTTCAAAAGGGCTTTATTGAGTCTGGTAAATATACCGCTGGAATGACCACCAAGTACGATGTTTCTTCAATCACATCTTCCCTGGCATCGACAGAGCTTGCCTCGAATGTCGTCGTCGGCATGCGGTTGCCCAGCGCACAAGTCGTGCGATTCTGCGACTCCAAGCCTCTCCAGCTCATGACATCGCTCAAATCAGACGGCAGATGGCGTATTATGGCTTTTACAGGCGATCTTTCTATCCCAGAGAACCGCACAAGATTGAACACGGTATGTTTGTCGGTGCGGGGAGAAAATATTTGTTTTCACAAGCTAATATGTTGCACAGCTCGGAGAATATATTTCTTCTCCAGATGGACCTATTCGCACTTTTACACCACGCTCGCATAGTCTCGACAGTCTTATTGAAAATATCGTCATCGGCCACGGTAAACGATATGATGTCGAGCTCGAGCAAATCCCAGAGTGTTTCTACCCAATGACTGGCAAGAACCAAACGCGTGGTAAGCTATACCATAACAGCGTCAGCGATAACCTTGAATATGAACTAAACCGAAAATCATCAGATTTGCACAAGATCTACTACGATGACGAGAGCCACAACCAAGGGCACGGTCATGCATATGAAGTCCTCGGCATTGACCCGAAACAGGGGGCTTTAATAATTGTCCGCCCCGACCAATGTGAGTACCATCCACCTTATAAACAGCACAACGCAATGCAGAGTAACTAAACGTGATTCTAGACGTGTCTGCCGTGATGGATTTGAGCGACTATGCCGAGATTGGCAATTTCTTCAATGGATTTCTCCGGCGTCAAACGTAGGTTGGCAGTCCCTGGATGTGACGAGAATGTTTAAATAACATCAAGGTATAGAGAGAAAGGGAATAAATCTCAACCATCCCCTCTAGTTGAGAGCAGGCTTTAGAAAGAGAGTGATTGTGGAAGTACGCGGCCATGTAGAATCTACAGCCGTGGCGTGATGGCGGGGATTATTGTAATAATTCAAATAAGCATATGCATTATTGCGACTAAGTTTTCAGATAAGACAGGTATCTTTCAATCATGAAATTGAAAACATCTACTTCGTACACGTAGCAAATTGCCCGGAGATAGCTCTGATTAATTACCAGTTAAATAGGTCCCTAGGTGAACGTATCCGATCGGCGGAATACCACCACAGAAATGCAACCAGTAGTTGACAAAGATACAGTTGATAATTGAAAAAAGCTGCATTTGCGATGGTAACTATCTCCCCAAATCCGCTTAATCATCGGAACTTTCCCCATTGCATAATCACGCCAGTCGGCTTCGGAGGCTGCGATAGGAGGCCGAATGGATTCTATAAGGCTGACAAACACCGAGCGGAGCCATTCCGCGCATTAGAAACGTCGCGCCATTCGAATCAAATTCACCATCGCAGATGAGGTGATACAAAAAAAATATAGGTGATGACGTGTGCAATATTAGGAATCGGCCTGGGTTGGAAATGGTGTATATAAGTGTCGATGCAGCCCAGCCATGAGGTGTTCACTGAATACTGGGAGTTCACTACTATCCAACTCAACAACTCCTTTGCTCACTTCCAAATACTACACAATAATACTACACAATTATGGCTATCTCTAAAGTGGCAGTTGCCGGAGTAAGTTACGCTTGGATGGTTCTTTTCTACAGATTCTTGGAAATAGCTGACCAGAATAGGGTACCGGCAACCTCGGTCCAGCCATTGTCAACGCCCTGTTGACTGCGGGCTTTGAGGTCACCGTCCTCAGTCGATCCTCGTCACACAAACTGGATCCTCGCGTCAAAGTCCAGGAGGTTGACTACAACTCGCAAGAATCCCTCACCACAGCACTATCAAGCCAAGATGCGGTCGTCAACGCCCTCGGAGTCGGGGTGGTCGCTCGTGAAATCCACCTTCGCCTCGTGGAAGCTGCCCACGCCGCCAAGGTCAAGAGATTCATCCCATCGGAATTTGGCAGCGATACCGTACACCACTTGACTGCACAACTGCCCGTATTCGGTGACAAGGTTGCCGTCCTGGAAAGACTGAAGGAGATCTCAGCCCAGGATCAAGAATTCAGCTACACCGCAATTATCAACGGCCCTTTCTTCGACTGGGGTCTTGAGAAGCAATTTTTCCTCAACCTTGCTGGTCCAACGACACAAATCTACGATGGTGGCGACGTGCCAGTGAGCACCACAACTCTTCCCGGAATCGGCCGTGCTGTCGCTAGCGTTCTACAAAAGCCCGACGAAACCAAGAATCGCCCCGTCTACGTCGCAGAAACAGTCTTCACACAAAATAAACTATTGGAGTGGTCAGGCAAGGCCGATAGAATTGAGAAGATCCCTGTCACCACCGAGGAGTTGGAGCAGAAGGCCTATGAAGCGATCAAGCAGCCCACGCCTGACGGTGCCACATTCGCCCGCAACCTCATCTTGCGAGCTATCTTTGGAGGTAAATTCGGAGGTCATTTCTCAAAGACCGATAATGAGCTGCTTGGGGTGAAAGAACTGTCGGAGTCAGAGATTAAGGATTTGGTTAAGCAGTATGTTTAGTATGAGATCAATATGACTTCTACTTCTTATTTATTTTTCTACCAAAGAGTCTGTCTGTACCGTAGCAATAGAGTGAACCCCCCCTGTAGCCATTCTGTATTGCCTTTTTTTTTTTTCTGAAAAAATGAACTGTTCTTTTGCCGTGTGCATTGACACACGATGATCTTGTCATTTCGTTGGCTTGCCCAGCCTCGTAGCTCGTTCTCGTAATGAGACTACCATATCTCCTCAAGTTGGAGACTTAAATCAAATGACGCAAGTGGACAGTAAATTAGACAACAAGGTATACACTAGTACATAAGTAGTCAGGATCGTATCAGGAGTGAACAGAGCCATTAAGGTTATCAAGCGGGTCCAGTTAAGCAGGTCCTATGGGGTATCTTCCGCCTCTCGTTCAACATGTTTAAGGTAAATGTTCAATTTGGCTGGGGCGTCGAAGCTCCTGATTATGAAATATTAGTAGTAATTTTGGGACGCGCTGGTGTTACCTCAATTGCGACTATGGAACGTCCGTAATTGAATATCCCCATCGGGAACGGCCCGTTATTTAGGAAATTGGAGGCATCATTCGGCGGTCATAAAGATTTCCGTTTCTATCAAATTCTAGCTAACTTGGAATTTACCTTTCAGACCTCACGAGTACCATCAGCAAGAAGCTATTCACGTTATATTCGCATACTCCGCTTTCCGCCAGGGTTTTCACCATGGGATACGGCGGCAAGACCTTTCGAGTTGATCGATCTGGCAGCAGCTTTGATCTGCGTAGCTCAAAATATTCGAAATGCCAAGGTATCTTACGCGATATCCTCAGAGCTGAGCAGGATTTACGAGAGTTGGTTCAACTTGAGGAAACTTTACAGCACAGAGTTATAGCCTTTAAAAAGGCCTCATATATCGAACCGGACGCGACACAGATAGAAAAGATCGAAAAGCAGCTAGAGGAAACTCAAGCAAAATACGCAAGAAAAGCGCACGATCTATACGAATGCGAAATCTCAATTCCAATGGAGCTCAAAGATGCCTATGATAGCCTGAGGCATAATCCTAAATGGTTCATGCGCGAAGGAATGGTCAAGGATTGTTCTCAACGAGGCGGATGTTGCAGCCGGGTATGTGGATGCTGCGAGCGAAGACATCTGTCTAAGAAAGGCCAGGGTCACTGCACCTTTGAGTGCTGGTGCTGCTTCAGCCATCGAAAGGTCGAACTCACAGATGAAGACAAAGGATATATGAAAGAGAGTTCAAGGAAATTACTCAACTCTTTCAACTACCTTGAGCGTGTGGGAAATTGGCATTTTGATCAATTAAGATTTGGAGAGCTTTCGAAAACCTCTACCTCAAAGCCCCAAAAGTCGAAAGGAACCTTCGCACGGATTTTTGGATTAGGTTTCGTTGGTCGGGGAGGTTTATGAGAAGGTACCCCGAAGTCGCTGTCCGATTTTTGATGACGACGTTGATACCGATGGCTCATGCACTGTATTCAATACTTTAAACTAGACATCCATGCTATATGGTTCCTGGCTCAAAGTGTCGTTTACTTTGATGTTGATAGGGGGCTATTCATCCTATTCCGCTTGCTCCACCCTTCTCGAAGACTTTTGGCGTGAATGGCCTAGCTACTATGGCCTGGTCTCAGGGGAGACAGTGGGTTGGATCGGTAGCAAGGGTAATTCTGATCTCCCAGGTGCCATAGATGTCAACTTGACTTTGAGCGAGCCATTGCGGGCGGTTTCAATTTCTGATTCATGTCTCGGCGTCTCTATTTCCAGATACATGGGCGATCTCAATCTATTTTTGCACGTCTGGTAATAAGTTTTAGGACCTTCCTAGTGGGATGCCTAATCCCCTTTAGCCTAAAGGTAATCCTTACTGGTACTCATCCAAGTCGGAAGCCTGTTAGCTTCCCATGTAGGTAGCCATGTACCTGAGTCTCTAGAATAGTAACGTGTATATTTGAGTGACGGAAACTGTAACTATTGAACAAGTTCATTGAAGGGTGTACTCTAAGGCAGACTTTTATGAACCAATTTTTGATATCTGGGCCGGCCAATGCATGGCGCAGTCTGCGTCCAGTATAAATATTGCAGCAGATGCTGCTATAAAGATTCGTAAAATCATGGCAGATGGGAGACGACACTTGAATCTGATAGGATCGCCTTGGGGACAGGAGGAGTGGGTGTTGAATGTATTGAGCATTCGAATGGATCTATAGCCATTCATCCACCACTCGGAATGCCGTCCGAATGTTCGGGATAGGGGAAGCCTGACAACTTGTCACTTCATGAGTCCTGGGCCTGGGCCTGGACGTGGGCATCGACTTGGGCTTGGGCTTCGGCGGGGATAAGATGGGTCGGCCTAGGCTTGGCGTTCTTGCGGAACCACCGTTCATCATCGGGGTTGAATCCGCCTTTGCCGAAATATGCCCACTCCTCAGTCTCCATCATGTAGTCCTCTGGGATGAAAGGGGTGCCGTCGGCCTTCTCTCGCTCCAGCAGTTCGAAGAAGCGCTGGTAGTCAATGCGGGTGTGCCACTTGCCGTTTACCTTGAATCTGTCCGATGCGATCAGGATACAGCAACTGTGTGCATGCTCCGCAGCAATGCCGTATTGCAGACCTCGGCGCTCTAGCTCCGCGTTAAGCGCAACGCAGAAGGCGGCGACCTCTTCATAGAAAGGCACGTTCTTCATCGTCAGGCCGGCTCCGGCGCTGGTGCTGGTTCCGCAAAATGTGACACCCTTGATCTCGACCAGGCCCGGCAGAGCTTTCTCAACCAGGTTCGCGTATCCCTGCACTTCGTCATCAACGTTGAATCCATTGACCAAGGTAAGTCGGAAAACAGTGCGCTGGTAGCTTCGCTTTTCGCGGAGAATATCCATGCAGCGTTGGAATCGCTCCCAAAAGTCGCGGTGCAGGGGGCGATCGATCTTGCGCAGACTCTCGCGGTTGCTGGCGTCGATCGAGACGTAAAGCTGGGTGACACGGTACAGTGCCTCCAGCTGGTCGGGGTGCTGGGCATTGCAGACAAGGAAACTGGAGATGCGCTCATTGTGCAGCATTTCAAGGAAGCGGTTGATGTGGGGATAGAAGATGGGTTCACCGACAAGACTCAGGGCGCAGTGTCGGATGCGCATCGCCTCGGCAAAGCGCTCCGCACGAACACCAGGAACACCGCGCAGCATCTTAATCTTCTTATAATGGCCCTCCTTCACACCGTTGAAGATCAGCTCGGGTTCGTCCACCTTCCAACGCCATGTGGTTCCAACAGGATTTGTGCCGTGACGCCAGCAGAAAATGCACTTGTTACTGCAAGAGAGTGAAGGCGTGGCTTCCATACACAGGTGAGACTTGATACCGTAAAACGAGTATTTGTAGCATGAACCGCGGCCACGCAGAGCAGACTTGGTCCAGCGACAGATCTTCACACCGGAGTGCGAGCCAACAATAGAGTATCCTTGCTTGGTCAGAGCGGTGTAGGTCGGAGAGGTCTTGGGGACCATCTCTTTGGCGGTGTCTGTGATGGTGACGGCTTTTCCAACGGTGGTAAAGTCAACAGGGAGTGGCGCGGCGGAATCACCATTCATCTTGATATCTTCAAGATCGACCATGGTTGAGGACTTCTTCTTTCCAACTTGTGACTCGTCCTCGTCCTCCACATCTTCCTCGTCACTCTCCATCGCATCACCGCTGCCACGAACACCCTCGCCAAGTCCTCCGTACTTCAGAATGTCTCCAAAGATATCCAGCAGACCTTCGGTCCAGTCCTTCAGGGCATTTTCAGCATCGCTCTTGACATCACCCATACCCAATGGATACACACGCTTGCGACCAGTCAGTTTGGCCATCCAGCGATCGACTTCCTTGGCCTGCGAGCAGAATCCCTGCTCTTCGGTTGGCCATTCTTCCTTGTCTCCAAAACCGAAGACCGAGTAGCCCGCCAAGTTAGCAAGGGGGGGCCGTGTCGATTCGGAAGTCATTGTGGGTTTCATCCAGGTGACCCAAGAAGGTGCTGAGTACGGTGTCGATGTTATAGGTGGGGATCAGGATACAGTAAACGTAGCGGGTATCGGGGGAGGACGACTCCGGGACGGTGGTGAAGAAATCGTCAAAGTCGATGTACGAGATGTCATGGAGTTGCGGGGGAAGAATGCCTTGTTCGCGGTTCTCCGAGCCAGCCTGCTTTTCAGCGGCAATGCGTAGATCTTCCAGAAGAACATTGGCATATCGCTCGGTGGTGGTGGTCAATGAGGCGAAGAAGACGATAGGCTGGATGAAAGACACCGGCGGGCCATTGTCATTATTTTCGTCGGATGGACGGCGGCCGCCGATGGTCTTTGCTGGCTTCTTCTTCCCTTGCACGCGCTTAGGCCCCGATGCAGGCTTCGCCGACTTGGGCGCGGGCTTGACAATTTCCTTTGTGGCTGGGGTCGGAGGGGCAATCTGTTTTTCTGCGGGGGCATCGAGTTTCTGAGATTTCTCGGGCGATTGGCCGCGGGGCGAGACGGGAACTGAGGATGAGGTAGCGGTCTTGGATCGCGACTGGGATTGAGTGTAGACACGGAGGGTGATGAAGAAGACGGACACGACGACGAGGATGGGCAGGCGATAGGCATGCCAGACAGCCAAAAGGCCTGAAAAATGTTAGCGCGGGCGGTGGCAAGTAGAAGAGAGGGAAATAAAGAGCGGGAGTGTGTGTAACTCACTGTCAGTCATGGCTGGCGCACCAGTCATTATGTATACCTAGGTATGTGTTCAACTTGAAGCAAAGTTGAACAAACCGAGAGTGTTGAGACTGAAAAAAAGGACCTCGATGCAGAGAGTTGAGGTGGAAAAGAGTGCGGGAGGAAAAGGTGGAGCGGGGCGGAGTGGGCGGAGCGGAGCAATGAGCATCTCGTGATTACTCAAAGTATACAGAGTAATGTGTATACTGTAGTGTATACTATAGTATATAGCATATACTCATATAATTCTGCTAACTTAGAAGAGTACCTGAAAGAGTAGGGCAGTATACTAGTACTCTAGTAGTACTAGTAGTATGTGACTATAACTAGTAACAGATCTACGAGGATGGACAGACTCTTACTGGCACTTTATATACAGGAGTTGTACACACTATTATATTATTCCTTCAAGTTTATAAACTGAAATAGAGTCTAGTTGATGTTTACAATCATGTTTGTGGTCTATATTCAAGACAATACACATGCAATAGTAGTACTCGTACTTTCGCATCTAATGGACGTGGCCATCGGGGCTTCAGATATGACCAATACATCTGCAATGAGCATCCAATTCCGAGTCTGAAGCTCAATTGTACTCGTTCATTCAAGAACACTGACAAACTGGTTTCATTATAGTACTAGTCTTCTGCATCATGCTAATACTCTGCTGATCCTGATCCTAGTATACCAGCACGTGACCTGCGGTGGTATTCCAAGGTTGACTCGGACTCTTTACTCTTCGTCTTCGGAGAGTATTTGGTTGGGGGATTCCATGCATATATCCATGGACTGAGTCCCAGAGCTACTACTAACTGTCATTTCCCCTTCCTCTCCCCTTCACCTTAGCACTGTTTTATTTATCTATTTATCTCCGGCCATCCACTCTCACTTAAAAGTGGACCCTGCCATTCTTGGAGTCCCTCCGCATTTCCCCCCTTCAACTCTCACGCCATGCCAATCGACGAGAAAGACGAAGTGCAAGCGAAGACAACCCCCACCCTCTCCTCAGAGTCTGGTCCTTGGGTTGTCCCTCAGCATAAATCTTCTAGTCGCACTTGGCTGTTGTTTCTCCTCGCTCTGGTCGGAGCAGGATGGTTTCTTGGGCCCCGCTGTTCGCACCGGATGCTCCGCACGCCCGCCACCCTGCAAGATCGCGTGCATAACATCTTAACAAACACCCCGTTGATCGGTGAGTTTCACTTCCTCGACAACCTCTATTTTGACTAATCCCCATTCTAGATGGCCATGATGACTTCCCCATCTTGATCCGCGAGCGGTATCACAACCACATCTATGGCCCCAACTTCACCGAGTCCTTTATCCATGGGAATCTGTCCGGTCATGTCGATCTGCCTCGTCTAAGGCGTGGCTATGTTGGTGGCACTTTCTGGAGTGTCTTCGTTCCATGCCCCGCAGATGGCACGGACTTTTCCGATGAGAATTATGCACCGAGTCAGGAATCTCCCAGTGCACAAAACACAAACAACCCCATACTGACTGATTCCATGCAGGTGTCCGGCAAACCGTCGAACAGGTTGATCTCATGGCGCGCGTGCAAAAGGCCTTTCCCGAGATCTTCTCGAGGCCGCCCAATGGCACCACCGCTTTGCAGGCGTTCCAGGAAGGCAAGATCATCTCGCCGCTAGGTATTGAGGGCCTGCAATCCATTGGCAATTCGCTCGCCCACCTCCGCATGTTCTACGATATGGGTGTCTCCTACGCGACACTGACCCACAACTGCCACAACAAGTACGCCGATGCGGCCCTCGTCGAACTGCCGGGCGGCGGTATCAAGAAGGCGGACCCGATTTGGCATGGCGTGAGCCCGGCTGGTCAAGACCTTATCTACGAAATGAACCGTCTCAGGAATGATCATTGATCTGGCTCATGTCAGCGTGCAGACCATGCGCGATGTACTGGGTGCTGGCAAGTCTGAATGGCCTGGCAGTCGCGCTCCAGTGATCTTCAGCCACAGTTCAGCACACGCTCTGTGCCCGCATCCTCGTAATGTACCTGACGATGTGCTGGCGCTTGTTCAGAATACCAAGTCAATCGTCATGGTTAATTTTGCTCCGGACTTTATTTCTTGCACCGCTTCCGACAACGATAATGGTCTTCCCGATACAGATCTGGAACATGCGACCCTGGAGCGGGTGGCGGATCACATCATGCACATTGGAACCGTCGCTGGATTTGACTACGTCGGGCTAGGAAGTGACTTTGATGGTATTCCGACTACGCCGCAGGGGCTGGAGGATGTATCAAAGTTCCCGAACCTGATTGCCGAGCTGCTGCGGCGGGGCGTGAGTGATGAGGACGCAGGTAAGGTGGCCGGAGGCAACCTGCTGCGCGTGTGGCGGCAGGTTGATCAAGTTGCACTGGAAATGCAAGCCAGAGGGGACCACCCCGCCGAGGATTAATTTTTATATGCTAGTCACTATATTGATTGATTGAAAGCATCTACAACTTGAATATGAAATTGTTTCAGCTCAGCACTGAGCCTACCATCAATGTCATTGAATTTCCCATCATATCCCTTTTAGTATATACGTTATAAAGATTCCTTCGTAGACCCGGCTTGCTGTTTTCGAAACCAAGCAAAGGCCCGCACAAGATTCGGTCCATGATTCCAATTTGCAGCGAATGGCAGTTGAAATTTGCCTGTATTGGACTGCATCACTTCTCGCACCTCCTCTTCCAACGCCCAGTCAAAGGCCTGATGCTCGGTCGGTTCCAGGCGAACGGGGATTTCCTCATAGGGTCTTTTGGCCTCGTAGACATCGAGGATGAAGGAGTACTTTGCGATACGCAGCATGTCACCGTTTCGGCGTAGATGTTGCCAGCTGTCGACGGCCACGAGATCCACAATGCGCGACACATTGAGTCCAGTTTCTTCCAGGACCTCGCGCACCACGCCGTCTAGCAAAGTCTGGTCGATATCGGGCTCGCTGGCACCACCGGGGCCTTCCCAACAACCGCCCATTGTGTCAGTCAAGGCGCGCTGAATCAGCAGAATGCGCGGGCTGGAAGTGGAAGTGGCATTGGCATTGGCATTGGCATTGGTAGATGGGTGCTCGGCGAAGATGTACCCGCCAACACCGAAACTCTCGAATTCAGGTCGACTGGCGCTAAACTCGGCCAGGGGCACATTGAGGTATTCCAGATGTGGGGCAACCGTGTATGGAGATGCCATTGTTGGGGGATGTTTGTGTTTGTGTTTGTGTGATGAAGTGGGCGCGGAGGATTGATAAACAACTTTCAATCCCAGTGAGTCAGGTGGAATACGAGGCTGATGAGGCTGATGAGGCTCCAGCATTCATGTCATCCACGCTTCCCAGAATTCGGTATAGCCGGATTTTATAGTTTTGAAGTGGATATGATACTCTTTATCTATTGGTGTTTTTTGGCGAAAAAAAAAGGCAACAGGTTATAACTAACTTATGGTTACTATGTCTGACAGAGTGTCGATGTTATGGTCACCCCGTATTGATTTTACATATACTCAATCAGAAGAATTTGTATTCTTTTTCAGCCCGACAGACCTTGGATGGATAGGTAGCGTTAAACTAGTACATTCTACTATTAGTTAAACAGTATCTGTAGCAAAAGACTAGAGAGTTGGACAGATATTGGGGAGAGCATGGACTATAGATGTCCTCTAGGAATTGGTCTTGCAGTAAATGCTTCAAACAAGATGTCATTATTCTCGCTCATCAGTTGATCATTAGCAATATATCTATTTCATACTATTTTATACAATTTTTATCATTACAGGACTACCCTAGGACTGCCAGTGCTGTGCTGTGATACTTCGCTGTAACTCACCGCCTCGGGACAAGCAGAAAGCACCGCAAGTCACGGCGATGCACAACCATCAGACCACTCTTTCTGATCTTACACCAACACTTGTATCTTTCAACTGCTACTATTCCCAACATAACCATGACGCAGTCCGGCAAGGCCACAGCCGGCGTGCTGCAGATCCCAGCAACAGCCACACAGAAATCCGGAGCCACGAAGAAGACTCCCAAACCACCTGCCCCGCGGCTCAAGCTACTCATTCGTCGCCTGCCGCCAGGACTGACCCAGGTTGAGCTTGAAACCGCTCTAGGCGACGAATGGAAGACAGGTGCGGGCAAGGTCGACTGGCTTCAATATAAGCCCGGCAAGGTTTCGAAGGAGTAAGTCACCATGACCATGACTATCACGATGGATATACAACAAGAACTAACCAAAGCACCTCTTTCCTACAGCCCTGCCAAACCATCCCGTCCCTCCAGAGCATACATCCATCTCACCTCTAACGAACATGTCACCCCACTCTCGGATCGGGTGCGACAGACCTCATTCCAGGATGCCCGCCACACATCCAACGATCCGGTACTCCTGGGCCCGCCATCCCTCGAGTTTGCGCCGTACGCAAAAACCCCCAGCCACAGAATCCGCAAGGACGCCCGCCAGGGCACGATCGATCAAGATCCAGATTTCATCGCCTTCCTCGAAAGCCTCACCCAACCGATCGCCAAACCCGCCCCCGTGGACTCGAATGAGAACGAGGAGAAGAAAGCAGCAATCCTGACAACCCCTCTGGTTCAATATATCAAGGACAAAAAGGCCAGCAAGGCCAAGGAAAGCGCAAGCTCGAAGTCCAAGCACGGTCGCGGAGAGAAAGAGACCAAGCAAGAAAAGGTTCAAGCAAAGAAGCTCCTCCAACGACCCGACAAGGAAGCCGCCGCAACTACAACATCCGAGAAGAAGGGCAAGGGCGACAAGGCGGGCAAGGAATCCATCAAAGCGGCGAAGCAGGCTACAACTACGACGAAATCAGGAAAAGCAAGTGCTGCAAGCACACCCAAGGAATCTACAAATGCCACAGGACCCGAACGAAAGCGAGAACGAGGCAATGTCGCCGCAGCAGCTAAGATCTTGCAGCGGGATCTTGGACTCTCGTCTGCTCCTGGAACTGGGGGCCGACGGCGCGGAAAGGGTGGATCGACCGAGGCTGGCACGCCGAAGAATGAGAGCTCGCGCGATTCGTCCGTGCCTGGACCTGGACCTGCTGCAGAGGGAAGCAAGAAGGAAACGAATAAGTCAGGCAAAAACGCAGCCAAGGCCAAGGATGCCGCAAAGGACGCCGCAAAGGACGCCGAAGCTTCGTCCCGAGCATCGGAAGCCCAATCCCCTCCCTCCACCGCGAATGCCAATACCAGTACCAACAATGCGCCCGCGAAACAAGCCAAGGGCACCAAAGGAAAACCCGCCACCAACCCTACACCGAACGCAACACAGGCCTTCCTCAAACACGCCAATCCGTCGCAGGGTGTGACGGAGCCGCTGTTGGAAGAGGCATTCGGGGTCTTTGGATCGGTGACGAGGGTGGAGATTGATAAGAAGAAGGGATTCGGGTATGTGGATTTTGCGGAGCCGGAGGGACTACAGAAGGCGATGGCTGCTAGTCCGGTGACGGTGGGACAGAGCCAGGTGGTCGTGCTCGAGCGCAAGGCGAACCCCGGGGGGAGAGAAGTCACGAAAGGGGCGAGAGGGTGCGAATAAGAAGGATGCCAGTGGTGGAAAGGACGGAGGTGGAAAGGATGTCCCTGTAAAGGACGGTGCTGGTGCTGGTGTTGGTGCTAGTGCTGCTGCTAGTGGAGGAGGAGGGAATACAGGCTCGTCGCGCGGATCGCGCGGTGGACGAGGCAATCGCAACAAAGCAAAGGGCGATGGCAAAGGGGAGGGCAAGCGAGACGCGAAAGGAGAGAAAGGAGCAGAGAAGAGCGTGAAGCCAAGCGAGTAAGAGTAGAGGTAGATGAATCATGACATGAAATGAAATGATACCCGCATGCTAGTACCCGATATCAAAATGTCAAAATGCTGTACCTGAAGGAGTCACGTGCCGTGGGCGGAGCGGCAACCGCAAATTTTCATGGTTCCTGACAGGCTTCATCCAACTACAATGGACACACGACTACAATTGGGAATAAAGTCCCCGAAGGAAAAGGTTCTTGATAAGAAATTGATTCATTCTATGGACTAGGTATTGTTGTCGTAATTGCTGTTGGAAGAAGCATCTCTCACAGCTCCGAAGGAAATCTCCCACATCAAAGAGAAATCGATCAAAACCTTTCAGACCTCCTCGACACCCACCAGGACCAGCCGACCGAAGTCAGACACCGAGACCAGGTCAAGATCATCACCACTCCCTGGACATTAACACAGAACCGTGAGGAACGCGTAGCAGTCGAGGCGGAAGTAAAAAGGTTTCACTTTAGGGCATCGAGGACATGCAGTCATCAGCAAGGGTGGAGATTCTGTGGCTCTTATAAAGAGCTTAGAAGAGGACGTCTACTCTAAAGTGATTCTTTGAACTGTTGAGGTTGTTAGTAAATGGGATCCAGGAGAAGAGTATTCACATTGTGAACACTATGGGGGGGGGGTCACTAACGTAGAGTCGCTTAAAAAAAAGAAGAAGGTCCGGAGGGCAGCGGCCTCTTATACTCAGGTAGTCCTGGGCGGTGAGTCTGTCCTGTGTAAGCGAGATCGGCAATTGTTTGTTACTTTTGCACTTGTCAGCCATCTTCCACCAATCACAGAGCTTTCTTAGTCCACTGGCGAGCCCACCGCAGAAATTTTCTATCAGTCGCTCTCTGCTGATTGGTTAAAACATAGTCCTGACCATTTTCCTCCACTGCCTTTATTTACATTACTCACACCAATTCACTTTTGGCTACGAGTAAGCTAAGACTCGAGGGCACTCGGACATCGCCCGGCTTGCCGATATTCTCATATTCTGCCGGGTCGGGCTGCCTCGGCCAATGTGCGGGAGTCAGTAGACCTGGTTCAGTTAATATTCCAAGGTTGCAAATCGCACTTAAATACAAAATGTAGGATTTGGAGAAGGCAAAGCAGATTATATTTACTCAGAAAAAACATACAAGTAAAAAATATGTAAATTATAAAGCCGTGGAGTCAGACTCGGTGACTTCAAGTTCAAGTTGGACTCTTTGTGATGTCCACTCCCACTTTCACTCGCACTCGACAGAGCCCAGGGGAATATGTAAATATCAGCCCCAGGGCGCACATCCAGTCTATTATCCTTTTTTATTCCCCCATCTCGCAGCCATTCCAAAGAAGTCACTCCCAGAGGAAATCCAAAGGAAGCTTGAAAAGAGCGTCCAATCTTTAGTTACCCCTGCCAGCGCCTCAAAATAAAATTTTCAGTGATTTTGACGAGGCTTTCTTCAATCAACTCAACTTCATCTGGGGTGCCTGGAGGACCCTTTCCGATAGGAATGGTCATTGGCCCTGTGGTGGTAATATTGGCGGGTAGACCGTGCTGCCCACTGTGATCATCTTTATCGAACGTGATTAAACCACGACCCCAAATCACTGACTCAAAAGCCTGGTCTTGATTAGGTCGTCTGAACGCCTTGTACACTACCCAGCTGATGTGACTTTGGTTTTGTGGCGCATGTAAACAAATTACTGCGTTGATCTTCCCTTTAGAATACCGGATATAATCGTCTCCACGGCGTCTTAAATCTTCGACTGATTGCGAAATTCCAATCTCAAAGACGATATGTGGAAACAATGGCGTCCTTTTTTCACCTGCCATTGAATACAGGGCCAGGTCTGGCTCGACAGTGCACCCGTTTTCAAGTTTAAAATCGCCTCCGTTAAGAAGCATCCAGTCGTCATCTTTCATTCCGACCTTTGTCATTTGCTGTGTCAAATATTTGAAGATTAATCCTTGGGCAACAAAGAGAGCACGGATTGGCATCTTGAGGATGAGTTGTTGTTTATCTGGCGCATACTCAAATATTCGAATCTTTTCTCGCTCTATCATAACTTCGTGGCGACGTAGGAAGTCATGCTCGACTTTTGAAAATACCAATAAATCGAATCCGGCCTGCTCGGCGCAAAGCTTTTGGTCCCTTAAGACATTTAAAAAGTTTTCTAGTCCATTGTAGACAAAATGGATCGCCATGATATAGAACTTTAATTTCTTCACAAGTTGTTGGTAAAACATGCAAAGGAAAATCGCGAATTCCAATCTTGTTGGATTTGTGTACCCTTTACTCCACGATGATGTAAACTTGCGCTCATTACTAGGTGGTTTACATGACGGTGTAAGGGCGGTGACTTAGGCGGTTACAATCTATGCAGGAATCAGGTCAGAAAGCCGCCGACTAGATTTCCAAGGGATTTGGCGACTATTATGGACCAGGGCCAGAATCGTAACCCGGTCGTATTCGCGTGATACAAAAGCGCCACTCTTATTACCGAGGCCTATATACCGCTAAGACTCAGGGGCCATCTTGACCTACGGTTCGAAAAGGGAGTGGTATTAGAAACAGACTTAGAAACAAAGGAGATAATGAAGCATTATTTTTTAGACTATTAATCACGTCCTAGATTCTCTCATATTCGCAAGTGCAAATTATAAGATGTTGTAACTTTATTGTTGCTACGATTCCCACATGGCTACAAGCCCCGCCTGTACCCTTTCGGATCCCCGACTTTCCTCTATTATTGTCGCTCAACCAAGGACATATATAGGTCACAAGTCAAAAGACGAAATCCAATCAAGGGCTACGTGTAACTAAGGCCTGCTAATAAATTTAAACATTTACGGAAACTTGCAGTAATTTGGACCTGGCACATATGATCAAAATCCAGCCGCACTAGTCACTTTGAGAATCTACTATCTAGAAACCCAGGTCTCTATGGCGAAGATATTTCCATTCCCATCTGAGATAAAATCCCCTAGCTCTTCACAACCTCCGCCATGGGACGACAAGATAATCCATTAAGGATCCTGTTGCTCCCAACCACCACATCTTTGGCTATTGGACCGTGACGAGTAACGACGTTCCGTGGTATCATAGCAAAGACGGTCCAGGGGCTTCAATCCTTAATTCTTGCGCTCTGATGAGAACTCTTATCTGTCAGCGCCTGGATGAAGTTAATCTTCGCATTCGGGGCTTGGGAATTTATTTTATTATCGATACAGGCGTTACGGCTTTCAGCCGAAAGATGAGGTAAGGAGGGGCACTATAGCAGGCCCAGGCCTGAGGAGATATTACGTAGTATCACGTGACCTTTTCCTGCAGGAAAACAAGGTAGAAGCTTATAGATGACTCTTCTTCAAGATTATTGTAAACAGCATACAGGCCTAGCCCCAATTGAACAGTTGTCGCTACAGCCCTTCATATTAACTAGATTATAGATATACTGACAGTCTTCTCAGAAGATATTTAATAAGCTAAGGATATAGCTAATAAGATAAAAATTTATAGGATGCAGTCTGTAAAGCTATAGGAGTTATATAAGTAAATCAGAAACGGTATACTGATATAAGACACTAAGAGGATAAATTTACTATTAGTTAGTTAGTCTTTATTACTGTACGTATATAGAAGATAGGAAGACAAAGTTATAAACTCTCTAATCAGTAATATAGCCTATTTAAAATAATCAAAAAGGAAGATAATCCCTAGTGTCTATAATTATCAGATTTAATAAAGGTCTACCCTATCTTCTCTTCCGATAAACTATATACAGTAGCTCAGACTGAGATATTAAGGGGCTAAATCCCTAGTACAACACTGCTGATTATTATAAATAAAGAGGAAGCCTATAAGGTAGATAAGCTTAAGGACTCCTATCTTCATTATTAATACCTATAATATTAAGCATTATAGATTAGAAATAAGGATACTAATTAGTACCATGTAGATAACTTCAAGAATACACCGGAGAAGCTTAAGGTATTCTATAAGTAATATCTAGACAAACCAGGGCTATTATTATACTTGCTACTGTAGTTAAAAGCAACAGAGGATAATAAATTTGTCAAAGATAACGATATTAATAATAAGCCTGCCTACCCACCTATATACAATAATCGTCGTGGTATAAAGCATAGGGACACTTCTTCGGAAGGGGGGTAGTATAACGAACCGATGTTGTCAGAGTTATGTGCCTAATTATATAACCCATAACCGTCTGTTCCATCTGTACCATAACAATTACGAGGGCTTGCCTCTCCTTCCTTTCTTCAGCTTTATTACTCTTTACAATACTACATGAAATTTATTTCATCTCGAGTCCTTACACGTGCCATCTGTCTGATTTCTCAATTTTCAAAGTTCAAATACATATAATATTGAACAGAGAGCAAGTTACGGGTTTTAAAAGTACCCTAGGGATCAGCAAGCTTTACACCCCAGTACCTATTAAATGTATCGAGTTTCGCACGAAAACGTCTCTCAACTGCTTGATATGAGATATGCTGCCGTAGATCAGGTCGCCTTTCCAAATATTCAAGTGCTGCTCGCAGGCGATATAGACGGCTTGGAGGACAAGTCTCAGGTGACCTGTCCTGGGATTCAGCATCGATGATGTCAATCATCATATTTGTGGCCGTTTCTAGTGCGTCGTTGGATTTTTTGATTTGTGCTAACCACCAAGCATCGCCACTTTCTATTATGCGAGGCCTTTTCGCCAAAATATAGTCATGCAAAAGAAATAGACTCCTAGGTAGCTCTGATTAACACCAAACTTTCAATATTGGCCATTTATGGTATGAGCGTTAGAAGCACTTACCTGATCACGATTGCCACAGACCCGCAGAATATATTGTGGCTTGTGTGAAGTTGGCTCATAATACTCATGGCAAAGGATTGGAGTTTCTCATCAATTTCCACCAATCTAGTGAGCTGGGATTTTCTGTCTTCCACCCGCGTGATCTGATGAATTTGGTCCAGAATCCAAACTCCCTGTGCAGACCAAGCCTGCGGTCCAATATCCCCCCCGTGCCGGCGAGTCAATGGAAGCAGGTTTGAAATGAGAAGAATCTGGGAGATCCAGTTTATCTGGCTCCACTGGAAGGATAGAACTAGCGCATGGCATGGTGGCGGAGAATGGCAAAGTTTTGTTTGGTGGGGTCATGTCACAATAGCTCAATCTACAAGCAACCACCAAAGTTCAGTATCACTAGGCTGCATAAGAAAAGTGTTTTGGGGATTCGATGAAACTAACCGTTCATATATAATTATTGCCCACCATGTGTTGACTTCTTCTTTCCATACACGCCCCTTCCCAGGAGTCTTGATCCACCGAGGAAGATTTGCAGCATATCCCATATCCGCACAGCCAGAAAGTGATTGAAACGCTTTATCTGGCATTCCACGAGCATACTCATAAACCGCAATCACAGTTCCCGCCTGAATGAGCGTTATGGTTGAGGGATTTTGAGTAGTGACTTTATTGACTCGACTGAAAAGTAATTTTGTGGTGATGTAGAGAGATTCTTGATCGAGTCGTGCGGGCAAGCAACATGGTGTTCTCCTGTGGAATGTAATCAAACAAATAGCCAATAGCAGCATAGAAAACCCCATTGGAGGGATCGCGATTGGAAGGCTAGAAATTCCATCTTGAACTCGAGCGCAACTAATACCGGGAATAAATTGCGAGATTCCGCGGAAGAACTGCTCAACCATCTCTTCAAGGGGCCGGCCAGTGGCATGGATAATATGCCGTACCGATGTGTACATCAATTGATTCCCATACTCGGTCTCCCCTAATTGATACCGTGAGAGATAAATGGAGAGATCTCTGGGTACTAGTGCGTCCGTTGAGAGGGTAGAAGAAAGTAGTATATTCTGAGGGGTGAAAGCGACGTTATATTTCACGGTATCAGGATGATAATTTGGGTAATTCAAGTAAGATTTAAATTTGGCACTAGGTATGGCGCATCCGGGCTGATCAGCAGAAAGTGTAGGGCCGATTAGAAAGAGTCGGTTAGCCGTGGGTGCGGGCGCTAGTGCTCGAGGGATTTCAGCAACAGGATCACGCGTCCTATATCCACAGCAAATTCGGTCGGATTGGATGCAGCTGTTAATAAAGTGGTTTAGTCAGAGAACAAAATCTTTATGAATACCAATCACGCAGCATAGGGGGAAGAAAATATACCGCTGGCATGATGGCTTGCCTTCGTCACACTTCACTCGCCGTAATCTATAACTTTTTTAGATATAAGAAGCCCAGGGGCCATGAGCAGCAACTTACTTGCAAGTAATGCAGCCAGTTCGCACCTTGGGCTTAGAAGTGCGTCGGTTTTTATGAGTCGAAGGGGGTAATTCTTGGTCCTTTGGAGCCATGTTAAATTACACGCATGGGCGGAATTCGCCCACAGAAATTAGATGACAAAATGAGAATTCAAACAGACCATATTCTTGGGAAATAAAGTTAATAACCGACAGGTGAGGTTACAGATGGGTTGAAGTGCCGAGAGCGAGGTCATGCGTCGCCTTGTTTGTGGCGGGGGAGGGTTCCAACAGATTCTTACTAAGCAAATATCGATTCATCATCATCATTCCAAGGGAGTAGTTTAATTGGGGTTGCCTCACGTGATATCTACACCAACATTACTGAGGGCTTCTTCCCCTCCTACAACTCCCCTGCGAGGTGGTTGCTTGTCTCTATAGTTATCTCGTCATCTCTCACCCAGTCAAGTCTCGATTTGCTTCCCATTCGTTCTCTACGTCAACAGTACTAATGGGCCTTGACTACATCGCTCTTTACTATAACGTTCAGCCAGTCCAGCAGCGCTACGCCTGCCCTACTCGACCAAGCTTGGCCCCCGTCCTATATTTGGGAAACTATAGGTGCAACAAACCGTGCTAGTTGGCTAGGATAGATACAGAGAGATAGTGCTAGGCACCTTGAAATTAGATTTAGCGGAAACCGACTTTTACTGCAGAAGGCCTTGTATAGACCTGCAAGGTGACGATAACCTTAAGGATAACTGTAAGCCACCTCTTAAAGTCAAACTACTGATCGACATATTTCTGGGTGTCTCCGCCGCCCTTCTCATTTGTGTTTTTGAGAGGAAGTTGAAGACGACTGAACTTATACGCTTTGAGGAGAAGTCAGTCACCGAGCTAGATCAGGAGAATAGGGTCTTTAAGATAACCGAGTCAGGAGGTACAGTTGGCTTCAAGAAGACAGCAACATTGCTTAAAGACTAGGGCCCTAAACCTAAAATATAGATGAGCTGCTTCTTTATATATACAGCTGTTATAGGATATCTCTTCAGCGTAAAATATCTAAAGGTAGTTCCTAACCTTCTTATGTTTATGAGGCAGATCCTAAACTTTGCTTAAACTTATTAGTGGTCAGAAGCTGTACTGCCGCTTGCCCTTAACTTATATTAATATATCCTAGATAAGGGAGAGCTATTAACCGAGAATAACCCTGTTACAGCCCTATTTTATGAGAAATATATCTGTTGTAATCTTGCCATATCTGCGAGGACCCCTGTAAACCCTTCAGCCCGACCTCGCCAAATAAGATCTACTAAGTCTTCAAGTAATAAAACGAAGGTGAACGATAAGTTTAATATTACAAGATGTCTCTGGGAAGGACGTAGGAGACGCTATGAGTGTACAACATATGGTTTGAGCGAGTATGACGCCTCCTCTTGCTGCAAGAAGATATAGTAAGTAGACCTTACTGTTAGGAAACACATTACAGAAGCTAATATGAGCTGCAACACTGCACCACTCAGTCTGATATCCCAAGGCCAATCGCCTAGGCCAAATACCGCTACCCAATATCCCGTTTTTAACCCAGAGCTTCTAAAACTACAGCTCTCTCCGTCACCACTGTATACAAAAGGCTGGGGCAGCCTCCTGCGCCACTACCCAGGCGATCTCGGATATACCATCACGGGCTTCATATCGCTCGTACGATTTATGGTCTTGCGAAACACAAGGCCCATTCGGATCCCTCGGCGACTACGAGACTGTTGTAGTTCAGAGGTATGAAATGTGTGGTTATTCGGAGGGAAACACTAGTCTATATATATACAACGAGAAGAATAAGTTGATTGGAAATCAACTTGGTTCTTCGCATAGATATCTCGGGATTAATTCCGATGGTTCGGCTTGGCTCCTGATTTGCACCAGCCTCATATCACAACAGTATTTATTGTAGATGTGCGCGCGCAAACAGGCTTCTGCTCTTTGGTTTATGTCCATTAGTCTATTCTATCGTGTGAAGACTTGCGATGTCACGCTGCGCTCGGTGGCGGACACGAAGTGCGTGGGATGTACATTGGCTTAGACCTCCGCCATGAACCGCACCACGAGTGAGTACATGCGAACCGCGAACTGCACCGCGGTGCGGTTCTGTAGAGATTGAGGAGGTCCAACCGCCAAGGTGCAAAGAAATGCCGCCTCTCCTATTTAGATGGGTATCCAGTATTGGAGACCCAATGATGAGGCATGGTACGAGGCCAGTGAGTCCAATCGCTATCAACAAACCGAGCGTCAGGAAGGAGATGAGAAGGTCACATAAAGATTTACAGTACGTCATACCCTCATCGTAAACATACGCACTAATAGGGATTACATGATAATTTATGGCCCCGGATAACGTCATCATTCTTCATGATAGTTGAGCCAATGTAAAGATAATCACGTAGCATCACACAACACGAGTACTCACTCCAAGCGGCCTCTAGTAAAACGTTTGATAAGATTAGCATCACTGAAGAGACTTCTTCGTAAATTAAACCAATCACGGCTATGTGGGAAGGCCATCCCAGCCAAGTTTCCAAGCGGGGTCATCATGGGCACACCCTGACTGTGGAGCACGTTAGGCCTCCAAGTTTCTCCACAACTCGCTCTTCAGCGTTTCGCCGGTGCCGCGAGATTATGAATTCTGCGCATTCTACAATTTTCTACCATGACAAGGTGTAAATCGAAAAACGAATTGCTGGACCCTTCAAGAAACATGTGCCTATATGGAACAAATTGTTGCGACCTTTCCAACCCAACTGTTTATTTTTAGCAGATAGTTACAGCCACTCATATACGGGACCAGTCCCTCATACCAGTCATCGTCGAAGTCAAACTAGCACGAGCCTTTCGCCTCCTAGCTACATAGATAATCCATGGGAAGGGATTAAAGGGTGGATTGACAAATAGCGGTCCAAATTAGGAATATGGCTATTTATTCAAGCTATATTCGCCAATCAAAACATCAGCACATGTTGCTCCAGTCATATAAGCAGTGGCCTGGGTGTGATTGTTGGTTAAAACTGGTACCACACTCATATCAGCCACACGTAGGTTTTCCACCCCAAAAACGCAGAAGCGACTGTCGACAGCAGCATCACTGTCACCGTCTTTACCCATCTTCACGGTCCCCGTCATGTGCCAACTGGATGAGAGGTTGTCTTTCCAGAATTGAAGAATGTCCTCATCGGACTCGGATGCTGGTGCCATGATTGTGGAGACTGTATCCTTAGCGAAAGAATGGTACTTGGCAAGGTCCCACAAATGACGATAGACCTCAATACATGCTCGACGGTCGAATGGATGTTCGAGGAATTTGGGATTGAATGAAAGCGGCTCATCCGGGTCGGGCGACTGCAATCGCACCTCCCCAACAGATTGCTCGTTCATCAAAAAGACAGGCAAACAGATGTAACTGTAATCTTGGAAGAGCTGCGGAAAGGTGAAATGCACCGGGAAATGGCTAATAATCTCGTAATGAGGGATCGTCTCGCGATTCATAAAATCTTGGACAGGTTGAGGTAAATCCTTAAACTCCTCAGAGGATGTTATTCGGTCGGATTTGAGCCAGCCAATACCTAGTTGACAGCCATAACGTGTCCAAGGACCGGTACCGTCTATTTCCCACTGATTCATTGCAGCCTCCATGGCTACTTGGTCTTGGTAGAAATCATTGCGATCGTTGGTTTGGGGGTTGCGTACCACGACAAGGGGGGCAAAGAAGTGGTCGCGGAGTCCTTTGCCTACGGCTGGCAGATCATGATTAATTGCAATGTTGAACTTGCTTAGTTCTTCGGCTGGACCGATCCCAGAATGCATCAAGATCTTGGGGGTTTCAAGAGATCCTGCGGAGAGGATGACCTCTTTTTAGGCAAAATCTGCAAAGACTCATGAGTTCCTCTGGAAACTAGAATCACCAAAGCTTCGATACAACCCACATTTTTTGCCATTAGCTTCGGCTGCCACAACCCTATTTCTTTCCAATATAATGCGTTGAACTGGACTATCGGAGACGATTCTCAAATTATCCAACTCCTCAGATAACAAATCCGCAGCGGTTGATCGTATGCCCTCGGAAGCGGAATTGATACAAAGTCCGAATCCTAGCGGATTACCAGAGTTATGATCAAGATTCCGCTGAATTCCGGCTTCTTCGAAGGCATCCAGCACCATTGTCAAATCCGAGTCCCATTCTTTGGCATAACCGACGTGCAAGCCACCTTTATTGCCATGGTTTGTAGGTTCAGGCTGCCCATACTTCTGCTTTTCTGGTATATCAATTGTGCCAGCAAAAGTTTCCAATTTTCTGAACCGTGTCTGCATCTTGTCCCAAGAAAAGGTCTCATCGTCGACCTCAGCCGCCCATAGGTCATAGTCGTCTCGTGCCCCGACAGTGTAGACTCCAAAATTGATCGAAGAGCTGCCTCCGAGTCCCTTACCCCGCGAGTAATCGAGTCGACGACCGTTGCAGTGCTCCTGTGGGGTTGTCTGAGACCCCCAATTCATATTCTCCTCCATGTATGTCTTCCAGCGCTTTCCGTCTACCCGCAGAGATTTGTCCTCATTACGCCCGCCAGCTTCTAGGAGCAATACGGTCGGTTTCCTGGCTGAGCTCGCCAAAGACGCAGCCAGTGTACATCCAGCCGGGCCGCCTATGAATTTGGTAAGCGGTTGATAGATAGTGACTATGGGGAGTAAACATATACCACCGATGACTATGAAATCGTATGACCGCTCGTGGGCCATATTGGGCTAGCAATATTTCTGTTGTAGACAGTTGACTTTGAAAGAATGTGCTGATTAGAGTTGAAAGACTTCTCTTGTGCAAGTAGGCACTGGACGGAAGAAATATTAAGAGGCAGTCCAAACTCAGCCTTCCCCCTTCTTATGGCCTAGTCGCTTCAAAGTATGATCCCTTGCGGGAGCTAAAAGTGGCGCGGACGGGATTTGCGTAATGGTGAGTTGAGACTAACAGTCTCAATAATTAAATGACCCCGCGTCATCCCGAAAATGGGTGGCAAAAGCTTGCAAATTCGATGATCAAAAATCGAAAGTAGCAGCGATAACCCATCACATTCGTATGATTTTTTATTTTGTGTTTTTGTTTCCTTAACTGCTGCGCTCTGATGTGCGTTAATTTCATGAAATATCTGCCGCTTAGACGTCACACGGTTCATAGATCGTCCACCCACGTCGACTCGAAATCGGCTTGACTGATACATACATGATTATAGGCCCACTGCCAAGACTCTCGGTACAGAAAAGTAATTGGAGGGAATCATCAGGCTCTTCCCGATATAGCCCAGAGACAGGGCTATCATTCAAGGGAAGCAGCCTAATGAGTACATAAAAGTGTTATTGGTGATAAAATAAGAATTCGGGGTCAAATCGATCAAATTGATATTAAAGTGATGAATCATGATCGGTTCTAGACCTTGTTTGCCGGATGGCTTGCTCAAGCTCTTGAAATGTGGGTATCTACGAATCTGTACCTCCGTAAATGAGCTGTGGTCGATCATGGGAAATAACACGCAGACGAAAGTTACCAAATTGTAACCTCGAACATTCTCTGGTGTCTCAACTACATGCGGCAGCCCGGCCTGGAAAGTTACCGAAGCGACGGCTTTGATTTGAGCAGCAGGTCGGTGGCTGGTGACAGAGCTGATTGGGCGTAATTACGAGGCCTAGGCGACCTGCGGGGCCAACTAGCATTCTTTCGGGCGAAGTGAGCCAGAATTCCCAAATGCCATCTATACCAAATCCTCTCCGCTCAAAACTATGTCTTAATTCAACTCAAATTTCGGGATTCGAAATAAGTAAACACCCTGTTTTTATCACCGGGTCAACCGAATATATCGGATCGCAAGTTGTAGCGGCGACATTGAAAGCGGGCTATCGCGTGCGGCTAAGTATACGCATGATTGAACAGGAGTCTGCTCTCAGAAAGAGATATCCAGGGTTCAACACTGATATCGAAACGGTCGTGATTTCCGACCTAAGTAACGTTGACGATTTCCAGAAACCTCTTCGTGGAGTCGACTACATCTTTCATATTGCCTCACCTATGGCTGGTAAAGGCGTTGGTTTCCGCGACGGCTACGTCAACGCGGCTGTTGAGGGGACTTTGGCCGTTTTAAATGCTGCAATGATATTCAAAGGATCATTATTTCATCAATGCTATCATTGGTAGCTGAAATGACAATGCTTACCCCAGGAGCCGTCATTAAAGGTAAGCCTTCAATATAATCCCTAAACAACGGTGGATATCTAACTAGATGTAGAGAATACTGGCACGAATTTTGCAGTGAACCTCTCGATGACGGTGCCTGAAGGTTTTCCGGGCCATGCGGTAATGTACTCCGTTTCAAAGATTCTAGCCCACCAAGCTACCCGTGGCTTCGTCAAGAACCAAGCCCCTCACTTCAAGGTTATCACTTTCCACCCAACGTTCGTTAAGGGAAAGAGTATCATTTGGGAGACTGCCGAGGATAAAGCAGTGCTGAATGCGGTTTTTTAGGATCACTTAAGAGCGATAAACCCCAGTTCGGCAATGTCTGGGTGCATGTTCTCAATGTTGCTGCCGCTCACGTCAGAATATTGGAGAAAGATATCGAGAGTGGGACTGAAATTATTCTCTCGCATCTTGCCGTCTCATGGAAGGAATCGGTCAGTTTTGTGAAGGAAAATTATCCAGGGATTGAATGCAAGTTGCAGCCTCCTTTTGAGGATTATTGGACGGCGGAAACTACTACGGTTGATAAGGGTCTTGGTATCAAGTGGCGCTCACCATACAATAATCAAGGATCTTATCGATCAGCAGATACGTCTTGAAGGTAAGGAGAGTCCCGACAGAAGTATGAAGGCTTCTTGTCTATAACTCTCATTCATTCTCACAGAGCATGTTTCATGGGTACCCTGAGACACGAGAAGCACTCAATTGAAGTCGGCTTGACTGATACTGTAACTCAAAAACTGTAATTAAACCCCTGTGAATTGAGCATTGCGATTTGGGTTGTATGGTTTGAGTAGTATAGTTGGGGTTTTGCGAAACGAGCGGGCCAATTCTGCGAAATTGACGGATTTCGGAAGATAAGACACTGACCGAACCCCTTCACTCCCTTAGCAAGCATCCCTCGGCCTTCGTGGTTTCCAAATCGGATCCCAGCACCGGGAGGGTTCGAGACTACTCGTCAAACTGGCCAACAAGACCGCGTATCACATAATTAGGTTGTTCTCCTGTCGGCTATCATCGAGAGTCGCACAAGTGCAGTCTTCGTGATAAACAAGCTGCTGGGAATCGGGGTGGCGCTCCGGAGCTAACCCTTTAGACTCAGATTGGGATCTGTGGGTGGTATGTGCCGGTATATGGCAGTGGTGGCAGAGCTGCAGTCGACGTGATAAATCGCCTTTACAGAGCAGAAATTGAGTGAGATACATATGTCATCGAGGTATTCGGTCTGTACTGGTACTCAGTGTTTTTGACTACAATTTCTTCCTTATTTTGACAAGTAAATAGAGTCAAGCCCAGCCTGTTTGACATAGATAGAATAGTGCGTCTCGCCATCGTGCACTCCCCTTTACAAGATATGATAGCAAGTCTTGGTGAAAGCTAGTTGCTAATTGAAGCTTTGCTCTTACCATGGCTTTGTTCCGTGAGTTCCGCTTTTTACGGATATGGACGATTAGTCGGGTTGCCTAATCTTAGAGAAAGAATCGGAGAACTATCTCAAAGTTAAAAGATATTTACACTTGTTACCAAAGCTGGTCCGGCTTACATGACGTAAATGGAAGTGAGTGATGTAAATTCTAGATCGAAAAGAAGAAGAAGACAAGTTCATGTCGTACTGTCATCCATTAGGAACAGTTTCCACTATTATTATTAAGTTGGAAACCCGCAACTTAAATCTAGATCTAGTGATTATGGTTGATCCATTTTCAGTACATCACCAGACTATCCCGGGTATGTGTCCAAGAATGGATTTTGCAAGTATGATTAATGCCAACTACCTAGCGAAAACTGGCTGTTTGCGGATAAAGATAACGTTCAAAACTAGCTATAGTCACTTCTGCGAGCATATAAAAGCTCTGCAGGGATCCCTGAACTTATAGGTCTACATCGTTTACATAAAGTTGTAAATCCTTCACTTTGCAAAATGCCACAAGCTCAAGATGAATCAATGAAGGCTATTGTCTGGGAAGGCATGCCCTTCGAGGTGGCCTTGAAGAGCCAGGCAATTCCTCATATCACAAGTCCAAACGATATTGTTATTCGTATCACAACATCGGCAATCTGTGGATCAGATTTACACATGTATCGCGGTGTATTCGGCAGTAAAACGCCCCCTTGGATCTTGGGGCACGAAGGCCTCGGCACCATTGTGGAGGTAGGAGAGGGGGTCAAATCTCTAAAGGTCGGGGACCGGGTGCTGGCTCCCGGTGCGATTTACTGTGGATACTGTGAGAATTGCCATCGCGGCTACCTTACCTATTGCCTCACATTCAATCCGTCTACCATATTTGATTTTCCGGGATTTGGAGAAGATATTGGGCCAAACCTAGGTGGTGCTCAGGGTATGTATCATTATTCGGCGCCGTGTGGGTTAATTTTACCCCAGTAGATGCCCTATGCTTACAAGGTTGCCACAGCGGAGTATATTCGTGTTCCATTAGCGGACTCGTCATGTCTTAAGCTTCCTTCAACAACAGAGCATGACCTCGACTATATTATACTCAGCGACATTTTCCCAACAGCCTGGGACGCAGTTGACAACACAGGGTTCGAGGCGGGAGATACGGTTACAATCTTTGGCGCTGGTCCCGTCGGTTTGTTATCTGCTTACTCGGCTATACTACGTGGAGCATCTAGGGTCTATGCGGTTGACTATGTTCCTTCTCGACTAGAGAAAGCAGCCTCGATATATCGATTTCACCAAAGATGACCCCGTTGAGAAAATTTTAGAACGTGAACCGCAGGGTGTGCGCCGCAGTATTGACTGCGTTGGATTTGAGTGTGTGAACAGCAAGCTCGAGTCGGAAGAGAATCTCGTATTGAATAATTGTATCAAGGTTACGGAGGCAACCGGGGGGGATTGGGCTTTGTGGTGTATACCCTCCATCTCCGCGCCGAACAGCAGGGACACCTTTAGCTACTGATAAGCAAGGAGAGTTTCCCGTGCTTATAGGGCTTTTCTGGTTCAAAGGCCTATCAATTCGAGGTGGCGTGGCTGAGATACAAAGATTACAGCCTATGCTTCAAAGGCTCATCGAGAGTGGTAAAGCAAAGCCAAGTTTTGTTATTGACGAGGTTCTTGATAGTCTCGAGGAGGTACCCCTCGCGTATGAAAGGTTTTCAAGTCACAAGATTGGAAAACCGGTTATACAGTTAAATTCTTGATTTAACGGCATGGCTGTTTGATGGCAACTCAGTCTCTATACTGAGTGGTGTGTGCAAGGGTCAGAGAATTGGCCCCAAGACTTCAAAAAATATGGTTTAGGTGAGAAAAGATTAAAGTTTATTTTGCGCATACTTAATTGCTATAACAAAATTGTCAGAAACAGCAGAATATTTTACTTGGATTTAATGCAGATATTTATTTTATAATAGCAGACTGCGACAAAATATCTCTTTATCGAATGGGCTTTGCTGAAATGAGGCACAGTGCAGGACAGTAATATTTCTTATATGTAGGCTTTGCTTGGATCTACCACCCTGACCGCAAGCGATTTCTGCTGTGCAGCTAAGCCAGATTCTCAGTAAGCTCTAGGAATAATTAGTCGCTAAAATAATTAACTGGCAACTGGCTTTTTTTCAACGGGTTGCTGAAAGAAGTCACTGCAAGGACCTGCTCGAAATAGATAAAGAAAACGATGAGATATGGCAACCATTCATGTTTTTCAAAAATAGAAAAAAATATTTCCATGTTGAGTTTGGTTACTAAATACAGACGTTCCTTCAAATCGGCTCCGGTTTGCATTTTGATTTGAGGTGTCAAGGGTGTCACGGGATTCGAAGTATGCGATACCCCAGACTCTGAAGGCCGATTCATGGACGAATCCCCTTTGAGTCACCTGTATATCGATATCTACCCACCCTAATGTATTTAAGATCCTATAAGTATTCAGGATTCTTAATCTTCTTAAGAATCAGTCTATATACTAACTGTCTAATCCGTTCTCTACTATCCGATATCCTTGCCTAGTCACAGGTCTCTAGCCTGATAACTTAGTAACCATTACATGAAGTGTCTCTAGACCCCAGAGTCTAAGGTTTTTCTGAAACGTGAGTATTCCCGAGTTGATCCGGTATACCACAAAACATGCGGGGAATTGGGCGGCCGCTGAATCATCCAATCTCTAGTGGTAAAATACCGCCTCTCAGATAATATTTTTTCTTGAGACCACACAAGTCGCCACGGTCAGAATACCCCTGATGATCAAATACTTTTCAATTTTGACACAGCAAACTCGATCATATATAAATGAAAGCAAAGAATAAAGCTGAGGCACCAGCCAGAAGTGACAGCACTCTAGGGGATTCCCTGTTGCTCGATCTATTGCTCTTGCCAGTACCAAACCCAGCGGTCCTTACCCAAGTCGGGGTTGAGCTATCATTCTTAAGAAGATCTGAACGATAAGCGTCGTTCACCCCCAAAAGGTTACCTTGATCTTTGCTTCAATTTTTGTGTCGGCTCCATACAAGTTAGGAGAGCGAGCTGAAATGTATCCATCCAAAGTAAGGTTTGCGTTCCTGCTCCCAAACTGGATACTAAGACTAGGATCTGGGTAGGAAATGTTAGAGCCCATTTTCCTCCACCAGTAGTCAGAAATCAGGCCGCTAAGCCACACAACCTCACTAGAAGAATTGCAGGCGGTCATATTGAAAGCCAAGGATTTGGCTCCATCCAACAGGTCAAGTTTTTCATATTCACTAATTGTTGCCAAGTGATTGTAGGGCGCGCTGTCGGTTTTCTCAAGTGTGAGTTTGAAGTAGGACTTCGTTTCAATTTCCTCTGATGCGTAATATTCGAACACTGAACTGGGAAAGTATCAAGATTAAATGAGCATAGCGAAGAAAGTAAGTATCTCTCGAACTCTTCGCCGAAGTCAGCGCTGCCGAAGCATGAGCGCCTTAGATGTCAAATCAGGAGTACATGTGTATACAGGCCATGCTCTTTATGCACGATTTTCAACATATAAAACTTCGACACAATAAATTTTGCACAACTTAAATTCAACTTGATTTATTGAACTGCTTCCTAGCAATCATATAACTAGTACATGTCTTTGCTCCAAACTCTCTAACCACAATTCTCAATGCGAGACTCTTCGCATGAATGTCGCAAAACTCCCTTCTCTACCTCAAAATTGCCGCTATTTCGCCTCTCTGCCTGCGTAAGTTCCGGATGCTCAGCCTTAAGCTCAGCAAACTTTTTTTTCCGCGTCCCAGTTCCAAATGCTGTCGCTCGCAAAAACGAGATCCATTTCTTCCAATGTCCTCTGGTTTGACTCTGGATAAAGGGCCCATACAATGAGAATGCACAAGAAGTTAACCCCACCAAAGATATATAAGGTCTTTTCATTGAGTTTTTCAAAGATGGTCGGTAGAAGCAGCACCTATGGTCATACATGTCAGAGGGGTTCCATGCGCTCGTAACTAAGAAACTCACTGTCCAGCCATTTCCAATTGACCATCCAACCACCCCCCCATGCGTTACCACGAGCGCGGACTTGAAGGGGGAAAATCTCAGCCGGATATAACCAGGGAACCGTTAACCAGGTGGCACCAAAGATCATAGTGTAAAGGAAAACGAAGACTGTAGCTGCGGCACCGAGCCCTTGGCGAGAGCTGGGACTGGCTTCAATAGTAGCGCGGGCAAGGCCCCCTGCAATGAACATACATATCCCTTGCCCGACTGCACCCCAGTATAATGTCCAGCGTCGACCAATACGGTCCACCGTGAAAACGCATATCAATGTCGCAAACTAATTGGGTCAGCTATTTGTCTCCAGGGTCAGGTCCAGCGCGTACCATATATGTTATGTTGTTCAGACCCGTTACCCACAGACGGTCCTCGAGAGAGATTCCAGCTAGCTGGAAAATAGTAGGACCATATATGGTAATACCGGCAATACCAATCCACTCCTGTAGAATTTGCAGCCAAATGACCAGCTGCACGCGGCGACCTATGTGAAGCTTCCCCGAACCTATGCCAAAAAGCATGTGAAAATAACTTTGCTCTGTAGATGCGTCTTTTTCCATATTATTGATGTTCACAATGTCGTGGAATTCACATGCTGCCAGCCCACCATCTTCTCCTTCATCGCCACGCAGACGTTCTAGAATGTAACGCGCTTCTTCGTTACGGCCAACTTTAATGAGCCATCGAGGAGACTCGGGCATAAGCCAGATTACCACGGCAAGGACGATAAGGGGAACGATTTGGAAGGCGATAGGAAATCTCCAAATGAATGATGATTCTGGATCATAGTATTTGGAGGTGCCGCTAGGGGGCTTGTTAGACCTGTTAGGAAGAGGGGAAGGCGGTTATATTCACAATTCAAGCCAGTATGCAACGACAACTCCGAAGATGTTGAGGGTAAATTCCATAGCGATGAATTGGCCTCTAGATGTATGGCCCACTGTTTCAGCTACCCACACAGGGGTGATAGCGTTCAGTATACCAGTGCCAATGCCGTTGAAGACACGGGCTGCAACTATGATTAGTTGAAAAACAGAATTTTCGGACGGGATGAACGAACCACAGTACATCCAATTCGCATTTTGAGCAGAACACTGCAAACATGCGCCAACAACAGACCAGATGGTTCCCATTCCAATTGTGCTAATGCGACCATACTGGTCGCCCATCCAGCCACCTAGAAAGCAGCCACATAAAGTACCGGGCAGGTAGTAAACCGCAACCTCGCAATGTGTCAGTTGGAAATGCCCGGTTCATTACTCGGAGAATAATCAAAAGGATACGATGCTCTTACAATGCTCCCTTGAAGCAAAGGCTTCGTAACGATGACATTATTTTGCTGGGCGTCAAAATGCCCGAATCCCATCAACTCAGCGTAGTCGCGGTTAGTGTTTATACCACCCATTAAGCCTTGATCATAACCAAAGAAGAAGATTGATATTCCAGCAATTAGGCAAATTCCATTGATCAAGGACTCTTTGTAGAGCTTGTTGGTGAAGCTATACTTGAATAAGGGGCCGTCTTGAGCCATTGTGAGCATGCAGGCCTTAACAAACCCAGGCATAAAAGATATGGTTACAATGTCCCAAGAGAATAAACCAGGGTATAGGTTATATTTATCCCGAATGAAGTTGACGTTAAAGTTCCTGAAATGAACTTATAGTCACTTAAGTACGGTGGAAGGACCTAGCTCCCAGGCCGATGAAGTAAGACCTCATCTGGATTTTGTGGAGATACCATGCCATTACCCCACAAATCATGACAATAGGGGGAAAATGAAGTTTAATTTGATGTTTCCCCCCACATGACGGGAAACCGGCGGGTTCGGCGGATTCGGCGGATTCGGCGAGTCGCCGAATTCTCCGTGCGCCCAGCCGCTCTTGTGGCGAAAATCTTTCAGACTACTCTTCCCCGGGTTTTGCAACGCGACTCTACTCTTCGGACTGTGTTATTCATTGCAACGCGACTCTACCCTTTGGGCCGTGTTGTTCAACATTAAGCATCATGGCTAGCATGTCGCCTTTTTATTCGGCAAATAATCCAGAAGACCCATCCCCGCGTCCTAGAGGCGATAGTCTCGGAAAACAGCCCGCGAAGAGGCGCAAAGTGGATGGGGAACCCCATCTGTCCAAAGTACGTGCATCCTTTGCAAGCTAGTTCCTGGATGCTGGCAAGGAGTCTAACTATCTTTGGAAAATTAGCATCGCGAGCCAGCTTGTCAACTGTGTCGAACACGCAAAACTAAATGCGATAAAAAACGGCCTAGCTGTTCTCTCTGCGAGTTCAACGGTGCCACATGCGAATATCCAAATAAGATTGCTGATAATTCATCAATGTAAATACCGCCTGGTATTACCTGGCGTTGTGTGAGCTAACAATCAGATTTTAAAGACGAGGGACTGCTACTCAAAGTATACTGGATAAACTTGATCAGCTTCAAGATGATATTGATTGCTTGAAACACGCTGCTTATCAGGAAGGTAAGAAAAAATATTTACAACGCCAATGAACAGAAGAAACCCAAGACATTTAAAGGCATTTGCCAAAACAGCGATTGAGAACCCTTATCAAAACCTAGCTAATCCATAATTCTAACATACAGGTGACACTTCAAAATCAGGCCATCCTAGGACGCAATCGCCCCCCAGGATCCGCAATGCTCCTCCGACTTCACGTAACGCATCTCCGTTAGAAGCCTCACGAGGTTTTCTCCAGATTCCACCGCACTTGATGAGTGCAGACACTATCTTGGAATGGCCAATCTTTCAGGAGAAATACCCCCGTGACGCATTGATTGGAGAACTCTTCAAATCACAGGAGTCTCTTGATCCGCCTATGACTCCGCTCTCGGCAGAGGAGATGCCTGGCCTCTCACCTCTTGATAAACTCGTATCACATGAGGGACTTAGTCCCCTTGACGACGAGAAAATTCCACAGCTCATAGACGACTTTCTGCAATTTATCCACACGAAAAACCCGATTCTTGACATGGAGACCCTAGTTAATTCCGGCCGCAAGTGTGCCCGGGATGGTGTTGGCTGGGGTAGCCTCTCATGTCTCGTGCTTCTTGCATGCGCTCTTGGGAGTGTAGCGCATTCATTTGATACATCGATTAAGCAACAGACAGACTTGTCTCGAGCGGTTCTCAGCGGAGAAGTGTCGCGGCCGAACTCTATGCACACCCATAACGAAAAACTTCAGCAGGGCGAGTCTTATTTCCTTCTGGCTTGTCGTCGACTTGGCTTGGTGAGACCCTCAAAGTTAGGGGTACAATGCTATTTTCTCGCTGGAGGTTAGTCATATTGTTAGGGGATTATAGCTTTTATGCCACTAACCTGAATCCTTAAGTTTACCTTATGTACACTTTGCGACCTATATTGGCGTGGCAATATTTCTCTCAGGCCTCAACTCTCCTGCAGGTGCATCTCAAGACAATTTATGGCCTCGGGAAAAGCCCAAGTGAGTCTCTGGGTTTACCATCCGTTTATCCCCACGAAGATAGGCGGCAACTTGAACGGATCGAGCAAAGCTTGTACTGGTCATGCTTTAAGTCTGAGTGCGAGTTTCGTGTAGAACTCCCGTTTCCACAGTCTGAGCTCAGTCTAGGCGAATATCTCACCCTTTTCCCGTCTCCTCCATCTCCTGATCCTTATGATTGCGGGCCAAGAAAACATGCGAGACACAAATATAAGGAGGAAGAAAGCTGGTACTACTATCTCACAGAAATTGCACTACGCCGGATCGGCAACCGCATCATCAATTCTTTCTTCTGCGAGAATCGTTCATTTTGGCTTAACATCAAACCATTTCTTCGCATCGCGCAAGAGTTTGAAGTGCAGGTATCATCATGGTCTGCGCATCTCCCTCCCGCAATGCAGCATTTGGAAACCACCTCTGTCATTCGCGCTCCACATTTTAACTCTCAGGATGCAACTAGTGGCAGTCCTGTCTCTCGTGAGCTGAGTTGGGCAGTCGACAATCGGCTCCTTGAAATGCAAACTTGGCTCTACCAGCCATTTATTTATTACCTGATCCATGTTGGCGTCAGTCGCGTGACATCGTCGTTGGAACGTCATCCATATCACGGGTTGTCTACACGAGATCACTACATTCACAATGTACACTCATCTACCGAATCTCCGAGTTCCGACTCCTATCGCTTCGGCTCCAACATACAGCACGATGATGGCGAGTCTTCGTCGATGAACAATGAAGATCTAGCTCTACTCCGTTCGATGGTTACTTCGGGTATAGAATGCAATCTTAAAACAATCGATGTTCGATCTGTAGGCCATCGCCATCATGGCTTGTGGTTCGATCTCCGAAGTATCATGTGTGCATCTCTCACTCTTCTTGCTGTGGTTAAGAGCGGTAATGCTGCATGGATCCCAGGTGAAGCGGAGGCTCTTTGGGGACCGAAACCCTCTCATCTCGGAGCCAGCCCTTTTCCTGTGCCAATTATGGGCAGGATTTCGAAGGTTATAGATCAGTTCACATTTTGGTCAGCAGAGGCTCCACACCTGCTGCGCTATAGAGTTATCCTGGAAGAAGTTGTCAGAGATGTGAGAGGCTTTTAACCTAGTGAACTAATTTTAGTGTTTCGGTTTTTGGAATTTGAGATACTGCGCAAAATATGAAGGCTCCCATAGAAAAAGGAGAATGGGTCTTTCGACGTAGGCCCAAGCTAATTCTGGCCCGAGAAATGAACATCGCGCTAAGTGGAGTTCTCATAACATAATAATTTGCTTCAAATATGCTAGTTTCACCATGCTGTGGTAACGGGCTACTGTGGAGAGAACGGGGAAAGCGCCGAGATGGCCGAATTGTTTCCGAGGTTCTACTTCGCCTTTTGGGTATCGCAGGATGGGGCAGAATGGCGAAAATCCCGTACGTAGAAGAAACCTCGGAACATACTCTGGCTGGTACTTGAGTCGAATTCAGAATCGATGTTATTTAAGAGCAGACTTGTGAAGATCCCAAGTCTTTCAACTATTCTCAACTGAACAGAACCTTTCTTTTGACATATATTAGAGGGCGTAACTAGCACCTTGACTCCGCAATGCGAAAGTCCCAGGTATGTCGATCTCTTCCCTCATACTTGGTATGATTGCGACAACCAACATAACAATGACAGAACTTATCATTCGTCCTCAAGGACGTCCAAAAATTGGAGTTTGAAGATCGCCCGCTTCCTCAATTACAAGATCCGAACGATATTTTGGTCAGAGTGAAATTCACTGGAATCTGTGGTAGCGATGTAAATATACCTGCTCCCGATCAGAATCCAACCTACCACCAGCTAACTTTATCAGGTCCATTATTGGAAGTGTGGACAGATCGGCCCCTTCAAACTTGACCAGCCCATGGTTCTTGGGCATGAGTCCTCAGGAATCGTCGAGCACCTAGGCAGCAAGGTCACGACATTGAAGGTGGGTGACCGAGTCGCCATGGAGCCTGGAGAGCCATGCCGTCGTTGCAATAAGTGCAAGATTGGAAAATATAATCTCTGTCCGGCGATGGCTTTCGCGGCTACACCCCCTTACGACGGTACTCTTGCGAAATATTATCGTCTTCCAGAAGATTTCTGCTACAGGTTGCCGAACAGCATGAGTCTGGAGCAAGGCGCTCTTGTTGAGCCGCTAGGTGTTGCAGTGCATCTTGTCCGACAAGCAGATATATCGCCAGGTGCATCAGTGGTTGTTTTCGGTGCTGGACCGGTCGGCTTACTTTGCTGCGCGGTTGCAAAGATATTTGGTGCCGAGAAAGTGATTGCCGTCGATATTCAACTTAGCAGATTGGATTTTGCGCGAAAGTTCGAAGCAACTTCGACCTTCTTGCCAGAGAAGGTCTCTGCCTCAGAAAATGCTGAGCGTATGAGAATTGAAAATGGACTGGGCGATGGAGCAGACATTGTGATTGATGCTTCTGGTGCAGAAGCTTCGATCAACACTGGAATTCATGTTCTTCATCCGGGCGGTACCTATGTTCAAGGAGGCATGGGTCGCGACGAAGTCAATTTCCCCATCACACTTGTATGCATGAAGGAATTGAATATCAAGGGTAGCTTTCGGTATTCTAGTGGTGATTATCAGCTCGCTATCCAGCTTATATCCACAGGCAAAGTCAAGGCTGAGGACTTGATTACAGATATTGTGAAGTTTGAGGATGCTGAGCAAGCATTCGAACAAGCTAAGGCAGGCACCGGCTTGAAATTTCTCATTGCAGGGCCTGCGGAGTAAAATGATGAATGGATCATAAAATTGTTGATTTAGACTTGGAAATATCATATGTTTGTTATAGCACTGGGGATCTCTACGGGAAAGACTATCCGAACGGAACACAGTGAGGTCTATAGAAAACAACTGCTCAGGAGAGTAGGAATTTTGGCGCGATGAGGTATAAAATTTTCGGTTTCAATACAGTAATGTGTCCAGGTGTGTGCTTCGCCGAACGAATAACTAAAGCTTCACGTTCATTGCACATGCCGATGTTTCTGCCTTGAATCTCGAGCGGCTGAGGCGGGAAATAGCTTCTACTGTAAGTCAACTTTTCCCAAGGGTCCAATGACATTTGTCGATCGTCTTTATGTGGGGTAATTTGGGACTGTACCTGAATCTTCCACTTTTAGTACTCGGGGGAAACGGCGAAATCGCCGAAATCGCCCAAACATCGACCCCAGTACGCTTACGAGGCGGGTGAAAGCAACCTTGGTACACTATCTAACCCCAGCGCAGGTCACGCAATGAACCATAACTCCACTACAATAACCTTCTTGGGAATTGCGAAGCAGCCTTTGTCGAGCAGCCATTTAAAGGATACCCCGGCTCCAAGAGGATCTTACTGTCACATATATATCCGGTGATGTCTTGAGATTTTTCTCATCTTCTTGACCTCAGGTGTTTTTCTCCAGGTTCTTTGAGTAGCTTTCTCGCTTAAATTGACAATGATCCAAGCCAATAATGGCTACTATATCGGTATCGACGTCGGGACAGGCAGTGCGCGTGCCTGTCTCATCGACCACAGTGGCGAGATTGTTGACGTAGCCTCGGAGAACGTTGGACTTTGGCAACCGCAGCAAGAATACTACGTATGTCTCACCCATTACATACTTACGACCTTTCTCAAATTTCATGGCTATACCATGCTGTCTATCCTTGAAAACTTCAATTAATCTGTCCTTTGACTCAGGAACAATCAACCTCGGACATCTGGCGATGCATCTGCTCGGTAGTTCGCCGCACGCTGGACGACAAGAAGATTTCGCCGGAGCTTGTATATGGTATTGGATTTGACGCAACTTGTTCCTTATCACTATTCTCGTCCAAGACGAACGAGCCCGTCTCTGTCACTGGTCCTGAATTCACTAGTGATCGAAATGTTATTCTTTGGCTGGATCACCGCGCGACCAAGGAGACTGAAATAATAAATAACACTGGCCATAAGGTTTTACGCTACGTTGGAGGAAAGATGTCGCTGGAGATGGAGATACCCAAAATCCTTTGGCTGAAGAATAACATGCCGGAGGCTATGTTTTCTGACTGCAAGTTCTATGATCTTGTCGATGCTTTGACTCATATTGCGACCGGCGGGGAAGTTAGAGGTTTTTCCAGTATGGTTTGCAAGCAGGGATACCTACCTAAGGATGTTGAAGGTAGTGTTACAGGATGGCAAGAAGACTTCTTGCGGGCAATTGGATTGGAGGAAATATGCGATACTTCATTTGATTGCCTTGGGGGTATCAATGGCAAGGTAAGCATGTTGAACTGCCTATTAGTGAGGTAGTAATACTAAAAACAAGAATATAGGCTAACATTATATAAATAGAATGGTCGTCACCTTCATGCGGGTGAATTTGCAGGATTTCTCTGTGAGAAGGCTGCTAAAGAGCTCGGCCTCAGCGCCGGAACTGCGGTTGGAAGTGGTGTTATCGATGCATACGCGGGATGGATAGGCACTATCGGCGCCAAGGTCAATATTGACGAGTCAACACTCACGGGTTCGTCATCAGTTGAGAAAAAAGAAGTATTTTCGCGCTTGGCTGTCGTCGCTGGAACGTCAACATGCCACCTTGCTATGTCTCCTGGTCCAGTTTTTGTTCCCGGTGTCTGGGGCCCATATCGAGACACTATTTTCCCTGGCTACTGGATGGCTGAAGGTGGCCAGTCTGCCACTGGGCAGCTCCTCAAACATATACTTGAGATGCACCCAGCGTTCGAAGAGACCCGCACAAAGGCAGAGCGTATCGAGGTAAATATATTCGAACTTCTCAATACTCGACTTCGCAATCTAGCAGTGGAACGCAAGGTATCCTGCGTCGCAGATCTAGCACGACATTTCTTCTTCTATGGAGACTTGTTCGGAAACAGATCGCCGTTAGCAGACTCAAAAATGACAGGCTCGATAGTAGGTTTGTCGACCGACATATCTATCGACGGTCTCGCTATGCTTTACTACGGCACATTAGAGTTCATCGCATTGCAGACAAAACAGATCGTTGATACGATGAATGACTCAGGTCACCAAATCAAGTCTATCTTTATGTCGGGATCGCAGTGCCAAAATGAAATATTGGTTAGCTTGATTGCCACAGCTTGCAATATGCCTGTTGTTGTTCCGCGCTACGTCCATGCGGCGGTTTGCCATGGAGCCGCAATGTTAGGCGTTAAAGCGGCTAGTGCCGATGCTCAGGGTAAGACAGAAGACTTATGGGATGTGATCAATCGAATGAGTCAACCAGGAAAGGCCTTTTACCCTTCCAAGGTTCAGCATGAAAATGCGCTACTTGCAGCGAAATATAAGGTCTTTATTGATCAATGTCTACGACAACGGGAGTATCGGGCCATAGTGGACGGAGCAACCAAATAGTAGTTTTTCTCTATTACCATGCTCATCAAATGAAAGAAATATTGTTAAAGCTGCACTAAGTCACATCTTCTATAACCCCAAGTTTACCTTCTTCAAGCTTTCTGTTCATTCTTGATTCGATTGTCAAGCCACCTCAGGAGCAAATACGGCGCATGAGGTCTATACAGCTGTATTTAAAATTCGCGAAGTCCTGTCTCGTGGCCCATTCCCTCGTCCGTAAGAGCTGCTTTGGAGCTTCTTCGAAGTCTCCAAAAGCTATGGTCATTCATAAAGGTACTTCATACCAGTCGAATTCATAGCTGATTATAGAAATAACAAAAGTCCCCTGAGCCCCTAACCCTCAAGGTTTTCAAATATCCCCAAATATGTCTCTATCTAAAGGTTTTTCCTCCCCAGCTTCAGAAGTTATAATAAAATCTTATTTTTGATCAGGATGCCTACTGCACTATCCCATGTGCCTGTCGAGGGAACATCGCCCAATCTCCCTTGAATGCCTGGCACATTTTCCGATAGCGACGTGTCATGTGGCGTTAATGAGGATCCCATGACGGTGAGATGGGGATTGCTATCTTTGGAAGATGCTACGAATGAACTTACTATCTCGTTTTCTGGATCCAACTGTGAGGGGATTTTCCGGACCTGCAGCGCAGTTCAGGCTCTGTCTGCGTGATACAGGAGAAGACAGAGGAATATGTCTTTTCGTCAACTAATTTGATATAACAGGGCACCACGTTACGAAATTATTACAAATATCTTGGAAATTTAGCATTATTCCATTTAGTAAATCACGCTTTCTACAAAGCGTTATTATTTTTAGGATAGTCTCAAGTTAGACAACACGCCATCTTAAAAGCTCGAGGAGGAGAAATTGATACATAACTCCGAGTCTGTATGCAAACCATGACCAGATTCGCAGGACCAAAAATGAATATTTCCGGCTAAAAAATCAACTACCATGGACCCATACATTAAGATTGCTGTCAAATTTTTGTCTTCCCAAAAGTAATGTGCGCGATATGGTCGTTGTCCAAAATTGACCGAAATTGCACTTGCTCAGGGGGATCCCGATCACATGTAACGATCGAGATCACACCATGTTTCTTTTTTGAGCCTATCGTGCCTCGCAGCCTATTTTCAAGGCTTTACCTTCTAGTTTTCGTCTCTTCTTCACACTTCGTATCAATGCACTCGTTTCCTTTCGATCTGGCTTTTGACGTAGTCGGCTATATTATTGAATATCATCCTCAAATGCATGCTCGATGGGAGGCCACACGTAGCGACACTGCGCTGAATGACCATTCAAATCAAAGAATTAACCTTTTTCGTTCCACTGTTCCCACCAGTTTTGGGATAAAAAGCCTAGTATGTCAACTTTCTGAGAATACAATTTATCTGTTGAGTAACATTCACTGCTGGAGATAGCCTTCATAAACAGAATCTCCCGGATAGATGTAGCAAGGCTCAGGACCAGGATCCCTTTTCCGCATGATCTGCAGAGGTTGAACCCGTCCTTCCATGGACATCCATGATATTCCTATTTGTACGTGCCATGTAATCTTGCGTGACTTGGTCCTGCCATACCCGCAGCAAATTTTATTGGTCCTTGAACTTAACGTGGACCGACCAATAATTCATATGCGTTAATATGCCTTAACAGAGAGAAGGATATGCCCCATCAACCTGAGAACTTTGTTGTCTTGTCGCTTATCTAACTTCCTAATTGGGAAGCCCAATGAGATAACCGAAGCAATCGGCGCGGATATGACATATCTAATATTTATTTACAAGCACTCAATAACTACGCAGTTTTTGGCTTCGTTTTATGTTCCTACAGATTTTAGCACTCTAGAGCTACACAAAGTTTGAAGATGGAGCCCAAAGTGAGAATTGCCGGCCAAACCTTCGACTACATCGTTTGTGGAGGCGGAACATCAGGATGCGTGATTGCGGCAGAACTTGCCTCAATTCCTAATGTATCTGTGCTTCTTATAGAAGCAGGCAGAGACTCGGGCCTCGCCCCCGATGTTCTAGTTCCAGGCAAATACGTCAAGCAACTACAGGAAGACAAAGGGGGACTATGGGAGTTGGAAACGATACCGCAGCCGCAGTTGAACGCTAGGAAGCTTGTGTTTCTGCGAGGCAAGCAGCTTGGAGGAAGCTCGTGAGTTTCTCTTGATTGATGGAACATTGTGGTAAAGCTAAGACTTGAATCCAGGGCTGTCAACTACATGGCACTTGCGCGAGGCCCAGCAGCTGATTATGATGAATGGGCGAAAATTGTTGGCGAGACCGGATGGAGATGGGAGAATATTCTACCTTTGATGAGAGCGGTAGGTGTTATTCCGGGAGTGTGCTCTTGTAATGAGTTGACATATTGCGACAGCTTGAGGACTTTGACCCGAAGCTACCTGCAGACCTGAAAGAATTTGCTGCTCCACAATCTACTGATCATGGAACTTCAGGGTAGGAATGAATCCTCTTTCCTTTACGAAGATATGCTCACGCTTAAGATAGGCTTCTGAAAGTTGGGTTCGGCGACGAAATGGTTCCTGGCATTGAGACATTCATGAAAGCATGCTCTGAGAACGGAATCTCATTGTGTCCAGACATTAACTCGGGAAATCCAGTGGGCGTCGGACTGGCCCAGTTCAACGTTCGTGGTGGAGAGAGATGTTATGCTGCGAATGCTTTCCTAAGTGATTCGGTTCGGTCGTCGCTAAAGAATTTGACTATCGTGACAGAAACGGAGTGCGATCGAGTTCACTCCAAGGATGGAGTTGTAACTGGGGTTGACTTGTACCACAAATCAACGGGAGTAAATAGTAAGTTGCGAAACCCGCCGTGGAAAATCATGACTGATAGAAGATAGGCCATGTGTACTGCCGTGAGGAGGTCGTTCTCTGTGCTGGCACGTTTGGGTCTCCAAGGATTCTCATGCTGTCCGGTCTCGGACCCAGAGATACCTTGGAACGACTCAATATTCCGGTACAAGCTGAATTGCCAGGTGCGTCGACGATAGTTAGGAAGATCCAAAACGTTTGATGCGAGGTTGTTGACACTTTCTAGGATGTGGCCAGAACATGCTTGACCATTCAATTATCACCTGCGAATACAAGGTGAAAAACTCAATCCCAGCGCATAATCAACTGTTCCTCAACCCTGGCCTTCTCGCAGAAGCAGAAGCTCAATATTCGAAGGATAGGACTGGACCACTTTCCATGTATGGATCCAGTGGCACCTTGGCCTTCCCCAGGATTCAGCGCCTATTCGGATCGGAAGAATTCTCCAAGCTCACTTCCAAGGAGAAAGGTTTCTTGATGGAGCCTACAAGGCCTTCGGCTGAGATCTGGCTGGGATCAGGACCTTCCGTCTACCAGGATGATCGACCAGAACAGAGCTATGTGACGCATGAACTACTGCTGCAGAATAATCTTTCACAGGGAACGGTCATGATTCGGTCCAAAGATCCACGGGACAGCCTGATCGTTAACCCGAATTTCATGTCTCATCCGTTCGATCGACGAATTGCAATTGAAACCGTTCGCATGGCCCTGAAGATTGCTCGCACTGAAGCCTACCGGGGTACGATTGAGCGCATGGTTCATGGCCCGGATATTGAGTTTGAAACGGCGGATCTTGATGCGATTACTGACGAGGTGATGTTGAATTTTATTCGCAAAAATTTGGACCAAGGTTACCACAGCGTCTCTACCTGCCGCATGGGTAAAGCCAGCGACCCTGATTATGTAGTGGACTTCAGATTTCAAGTCAAGGGAATGAGCAACCTACGCGTGGCAGACCTGAGTGTTTGTCCTATTCTTACTTGGTAAGTCATTCAAGTCATATATTTGAGAGACTTCTGCTTACCGGAACTTGAATAGCAATCACACGCAGATCAATGCTTACTTGATTGGTCTTCGATGTGGAAGGGAGATGGTTCAGAGTCACAAAGCACGTACCCAGCTTGCGAAATTGTAGCCTTAATAGCTTCATCAACGTTGCGAAATAGTGCACAAAATTGCAATTAAATCATATCAATAGTACAGTTCCGCTTCCGCGTCCCAGCATCAAATCGATATACTTTGCCGGACGTTTACCCTTCCAAACGCCCTCTAGTAAAACAAGCGCGCTCTTCACGTTGCCAAATCCCCCAGAGCTCTGCATACACCTCGCTCGTTCCCGAACCCATTCCTGACGTTTAGCATCTTGCAACTCAAGACCAGCATGGAACAAGGGCCACAGTAACTGATCCGACCATCCGGAGGCCGGAGGTGTCGCCCTCGCATGATAGAGTACACTGCTGACCAGCCAATCCAGTTCAAACTCATCGATATCGCAAGAGAATAGCCGTAGTAAGTAGAGAATGATGGCAAAGCGATACGCTTCGGTCATGTGAAGCCAATTTTGACCTCTTTCACAATGAGCTGGTCGTTCCAATAATCGTTGCTTAATCTCGCTGACTTGAGTTAATGTCTCAACTGAAGAGTTATCGGGATCAAGTTGGTTTTTGTATAAGGTAACAATCTCGCAGACGATTTGAAATTGATCCGATGGACAGGGTATTGCATCGAAGCTCCACCTATCTCCGGACTCTCCAAGCAGGGTGATGATCTCTTGCGATGAAAACACGGAAGATCTGGAATGTGATGCAGCGGCCATCACATCCAGCCTGGAGGACAAATGACTGGTCAGTGTTGAGCGGCGATCCGAGTGTACTAAGACTTACCAAGCTAGGTATTGTTCTACAAAGCAGCCTATCGTCCGTTCTTGGCGTAGCTCAATAAGCCTTTTCGCCCCCCGGAAATGCGACTGCAAGTCTGATAGGCCCCCATGACAAAGATCACACAAGCAAAGCATGAGTATTGTGGCAAGTGTTCCTGGATGCTTTGCCCTTGTTGGAGAATAAAGATCCTCTTGTAGTCTTTTTATAGCCTTTCCCTTGAAGCGGAAAAACTCGTGCTCGAATTGATTTGTGGATAGTCGGACATTGAAGTGACATGCTGCCAAAGCAGCACATGCATATAGTAATGATGGAATTTCGATGGCGAGAGGTAAAATGTATTCGCGATAGGGATTTTGAGGAGATAAGTTGTCCACGCATAATTTGGGCACAACTTCGCTGATATCTGTGGTCAAGTTAGCAAGCCTGCGGATTCGTTGCAGTGTTGAGACTGACGATATTGCATAATAAATTTGAGTTCGTCTGGAATTCTCAGAATATCAAGAGTTGGACCCAGCATATGGTGGAAGTCCATATAGCCACCGAGCTCTTTGGAATGGGCTTGCGGAGGAGACTCTGCATCAGCGTCCTCCGGTTGATGTTCAATGAGAGGTTCGGAAAAGTCGTTTATGAAAGAGGCATCGTTGAACCAGTTCAAGGGATCAGACGGGGTGCCTACATCGGTAATCCCCATGAGCTGCGTGGGATTGAACAGGCCCTCGACATTCTCTGGGGTAACGGGCGGATCATCGTTGTTGGCGGGACTTTGAGGTGATTGCGGTAATGTGGGCGGAGGAGGACTTGAGGTAGTAGGTTGCTGAGCTCGTCGCAGTCGTCTGCGCTTATTCGTCCCTGGTACAGGGATACTTTTTGCCCACAAACTGACCTCGGCTTGCTAAACCTGGCCACTGTAGCAGGTAGCCCTCACACGTTTGGCCACTAGCCTCGCAGGTTTTACACGAAGGCATGCGCCGGTCGCATCCTCGTCCTCTGCGACGGCATGTCTTGCATGCCCTTCCAAAATATCGCTCGTTCGCCATGGGAAAAAATGAAAAGAAATCTAAGTCGCCGACATCGAGCGGAGGTGAACCGGAGTGGCGTCGCTGTTATCTCTCCCCGATTGCGGGGAAGCACCAACCCATGGGAACCCTAAGCCGCTGTCATCGCTATCGTTGGCAAGCTCGAAAGACCCAAAAGAATTATTTTCTCATTGTTCAAGTCTCTCGCGCTTTTATCAATGTCATTCGTATACTCGTGGAAGTGAGGATTAAAATTTTATCCCAGTCTATTACTTTAGTCACAGCATATACCGCCAACCTGACCCTAGCAAGGAATTTACATTGAAGCTCGGCATTTTGTATCAAAGTCAATTCGCAAGCCTGATTTGCCGCTTGTTTCCCCGCATGATCCGCAGGATAATTGAAAGTTTCAACCATGGGGAATCTCGATCCCTTTAGCAAAGAACTTGACACAATAAATCAACGAGGTTGATCGCCATGTGACATCTATGCTTTTTTTTTTTCAGTTGAGCTCATACTACGGGTAATGGTTTTATCTATGCGAGTAATTCATTCTGAAGTCTGTACGTAAAATGATAAGACGAACATTGTTATCCTAGCATCAATTCTGGAGAGCCATGTTGGCGCACGGACCGCTTTATAATCGCTTGTCCGTTTTAGGAAGGTCGTTGAGCTAACCAATCACAACCTCGGATCGATAAAGACCCTCATGGCGAACTGCCCTTCAATGGTTATAGAGACGAGCCTGTGTTGGTTTATTCATTCATATATATTTATTTATTTTCAGTTCCAAGTCTAAATTGCAACCCAACTCGAATCTGTATCATGGTGAAACGCGTGCTCGTTGGATATGGCATCGATGTCGATGCAGTTAGTGGCTGGTAAGGCTGAACTATTTTTGTTTTTCTATAAACAGGAGACTAATTAGAAATAGGGTCAACACTGAAGACGGCCATATACCTGACTTCACTGACATATCGCGTGGAATATTCGGTGCGACCGTAGGAATTGACCGACTTTTGAAACTTTGGGACAAACACGACATCAAAACCTCGTGGTTTATTCCAACTCATTCACTTGAGTCATTCCCGGGTCAGATGACAAAGATTCGCGACGCTGGGCATGAAATGTAAGATTTTTACATGCAAGATAAATTAAAGTGTCTTGGAGGGAATCCTGACTAACAGTATTTAGTGGTCTTCATGGATACACACACGAGAATGTGGATATGTTAACAGAAGAGCAAGAACGTGACGTGCTTGCTAAATCCATCGAAGCTGCAATAAAATTCACAGGAAAGCACCCAAAAGGATGGACGGCGCCATCTTGGAGAACTTCAAGCCGTACCATCGAGTTACTGGGAGAATTTGGTCTGGTATGAAAAATTCATGAACATATCCAAAAGTGAGATATCTAACCTCCCCACCAGGAATATGACCACTCTTTCATGCATCATGATTCCCAGCTTTACTATGTTCCCTACACCTCAGGCGAACTGGTTGCAACTGACCTCTCCAAACCTGCGGAGCAGTGGATGAAGCCAATGGGTAAACTCAAGCCAAGCAATATTGTTGAAGTACCTGCGAATTGGCATTTAGATGACTGGCCTCCTTTTCAACTCACTGATGGTCCATCACACGGCTATGTGGATCCAGAGGTCATCGAGAGACTTTGGAAAGCCCAATTCGATTTTCTGTACCAAGAGTACGATACCTTTGTTTTCCCGATATCAATCCATCCCCAGGTTAGCGGGAAGCCTCAGGTCATTATGCTTCATGAAAGACTCATCAATTACATCAATTCGCACGAAGGCGTGGAGTGGTGTACCTTTGAGCAGATGGTTGAGGAGTTCAAGGCGGGGAGAATTGGAGGGTTCGAAGTGGAGGGTGGAGTGGATTAATAAGGAGACTCGGACGTATATGTTGCGAATTATAATGAGCTCAAGAGATTTATAAATTGAAATGATCGATACCTGGGTTTCCACTGAAAAGCAAAAGTATTTTCCAAAAAAATTAAAATGAATTCAGCAACACAACTAGTACCTACGTCTCATGCTGAGCAAAGCTGGTCGCGAGAAGAAAGCGGCGGCCGCCAGTAAATTAATTGAAGCGACATAAGCTATAAGATTCCACGCCAAGCCCAACGGAATCTTCGTGCTTATGCTACGATGAAGTGAATCTACGATGAAGTGAGTCCAAGTGATGGGATTGGCTCTAGAATTGGGTAACTAGAATGTAGGCTGGATACTTGATCTCCAAGGCAAATCAAACCTCGCGGTTTCACAACCAGTTTGCATGACGAAAAAAGATAAATTGAACTATTGAATATTTCATAGGATACCGCCAACTCTCACTCACCTCATATACCTCAGCCCTCACTCCAAGAGATGGAACTTAAGTTCCAAACGATGCCCCTTTGGCCCCGCAAGATAACCGTCACTTGCTTCCATATCTCCGTGGTCGTGAATACTGGTAGTATAATTGGAATAAATGCTTGCGAAGAAATATTTTATCGCTGAAGTAAATTGTGAGCTCAGACTGGTACCATGAGTTGCTAGGTGACTCACAGTAATAGGCGAAATGAATCCCAAGACACATCCTTCCACCACTGCCGAACCCCCAGAACCATTTTCGCATAAGAGTCAACTGTTCTGGCGATGAATCAAGCCATCTCTCTGGTTTCCATGTCAAGGGTTCAGGGAATATATCTGGCATCCGGTGGAGAACAGATGCATAAGATTGCACAGTCGTTCCAGCCGGAATATTGTGGTAGCCTCCCAAGGTGCAAGGCCGCGGGACGACTCGGGGCTGACCACCAGGCACCGAGGGCCAAATTCGAAGGGTTTCCATTAGAACAGCGTGTAGGATTGGCAGCTTGTCGATATCCTGAGGGTTCGTGATGTCTTCAACTTCAACAGTTTTTCCGGGCACATGCCTCAAGGGCATATCAAGACCAAGCAGTTCTTCACGAAGCTTAGCCTGCCACTCTGGGTGTCGGCTCAACTCATAGAGCAAGTAGGTGGAGGTGTTGCCGCTGGTCTCGAATGCACCAGAATTCAAAGAAAACATGTCACTTGCCAGTGGAAGCCTCTTGGGGTACATTTTTGGCTTTGCGTGAACCTCACTCATCCCTTTCAGTGCAGGTTCGAATGCAACTGGTTGATCATCGACTGAAAGCTCCTTTCCACTGGCCAAGAGTTGTTGCGCTTGATCGCATTTCTCCAAATTCCAACTCTCAACACCTTCAAAAGCAGTCAGGACACTCTTGGGAATGAGATAGATCCCAATCTTCTGGAACATGGAAACCAGACGAGGGAAGTTGTATTGCCAAAATGTGTATTCAGCCACACCAAGGAACCCGTCAAAGTAGAATCTCCTTTCTTTTTCGTTTTCGACCAAATTACTGGCTATCGATCGGCCAAACTGCCACTGGACAAAAGTGTCTAGGAGGTACGCGTAGGTAAGATCCATGACTTCGATTGGCTTGTCTTCCACGGAGGCTTTATGTATAATGGGAAGAACACGATTGAATAAGATGTCTCGTGATGCGCCACGGGCAGTTTGGGAGGACATGACAGACGACTTTGTGAAGCAGCTCGACAGGGCTTTTTTATGCGCGGCATGGGTTTGATTGTCCTTGATGGTAAATAGATTGTCGGTACTATCCATGGAAATTAATTGAGGTCGCTCTCCGTGATTAGGCCAGTTGCTCTTACCCATAAACAGCAAATCCGTTGAAATAAAACTCTGGCTTCGGAAATCCTCCATGATAGATTCGCTTCAAACCATCCTCGTAACAGTTCACACTCACCAAGTTGGGGGCAAGACGAATGGCGGGGCCCTTGGCCATATGAAGTTCGTAGATGCGGTTGTTCTCTTGCTTCGTCCATTTCATCCAGAAAATCCAGATGGGACAGAAACTGCAACACCAGTGTGCATTCGGGATTTTTGAAAGAGGCGAGAAAAATGCGGGATATAAGAAAACCTTATAAACTGTTGCAGTAGCGCCGAGCAGAGCGATCGCGTAGTACAAATGAGGTTCCATCTTTTTGAAATGGCCCTTGCACTGAAGACTTGATTTGAAGGTGTCTCAACATTAGAGAAAGCTCTCAGGTGCTTTCAGTCTAACCTTTATAATTATGGCCTTGTTTGGCTTATTTTAGATATCTCAAAATGGAACGAATGAGCACCTTTGTAAAGGCCTCCATTTTTTCAGTCGCATTACGCAAGACGAAAATGCAACAACATGACTGGCAAACCAGCATGACACCCAATCAACCTCGGATCACATTATGACTATTTCCGGTAACTGGTAAGCATATCATAAAATTTTCCCCTCGCACATGGTGCAGAATAGACCTCATGGATCAGGGTTGGCAGCCTGGTTAGAAAAAAGATAAGCTCTCAAGTCCTCGTTCGACCAGCGCAGATCTTAGCCTCATACAGCAAATAAATGAGTCGACCCCACTCGGAAAGCGGAGACAGGGCCCGTATATGTCTATCAGAGAAGTGGCAATAAAACTGATACAATTATATTTCCAAAAGATTTCACGGAAACAGATCAGATCATGGTGTTCGAGGATAGAGAGTTTCATACATTACAATTGATTCCTAATAAATCACCTAGGCGATCACCCATGAGTCTCGAGGTCTTTTTTTGTAGGCCTAGAATCCATATCTCAGAGCCTGGATGCAAACATCCCCAGAGCAATTGTAGCGAAAGAAATCACCTGGGAAAGCGCCTATCCAAGGCTCTAGAACACTATGAAGCAACACGTCACTAATTGTCGAAATTTACATTCACCTCACTGCACTTAAAACTTGAAACGATTACTTTAAGAGTAAATTCGCTTGATGTTTCGGGACTATTTGGATTCTAGTTGAAATTGATAAAGTTTCAAGTTATTTAATCCCAACTATAATACTACACATCCCTCACCGGAACAGTTGCCCTGCTATCCTCTAGCATAACCTCAAGCCCCTGTATCTCCATTGTCTGTAAATTTTAGCCTTGTACCAGTAAAATGCAAACATGTAGAGAACAATGTGGTCTCAGGAAGGATTCAAGGGAGTCTTACCGGCCCGGAGAAAGTCTTTCTTTTACCTCCCCACCATGATATCAAGATCAAGAAAGAGATTCCAACTACAATAACACTAACATAATTCATATCGGCGACTGTGGTAGGAATGGATGTGGGGAAACAAAACATAATAGTAATGAAAAAAACCCAAAGGATTGAAAATGCGTTGCAAATTGGCCCAATGTGTTGGCCCAAGGCGAAGGAACGTTTTGGTAGGATGTGTTCCCGACCTCGTACCAAAAGAATGGCCTGAGGTAGAGCGTAAGTCAAGTTGAGCGACAAGATAGACATGGATATGAAGCTGTTGAAAGCCGTGGCGGATCCAATATAAATTAATCCGTAGATTATGACCACAGCAGCACAAGCCAATGTCGCGTTGATGGGGGCTTGATATGTAGGATGAATCCGAGCAAAAAGGCTCGAATATGGAAGTCCCCCATCACGAGCAAAGGCATATGCAAGTCGCCCAGTAGTCACAATACATGATACCAGGGCACCGAAGTAAACGAAGAGAATCCATACGGTGAGAAATGTGGCCACAGGTCTGCTTCGCGTAGCTTGTAGATAAATCGTATACACCGGAATCGACGAGGAAGCGACGGCGTCCGTATCTGTAATTGAAAAAAGAAACGCGATCGTCCAAGGGATGACCGTTATTATGCCAATGAGCATGGTTAGTCCCATGGCGCGAGGGACGTCACGGCTGGGGTTTGGAAGCTCCTATTTATATTTAGTAAGTAAAAAATAAATGACGGAGAATGCTGAGATGGGGAATGCATTACTTCTGCAATATGGCAAGCTCCATCAATAGCCAAGTATGCATACATGCATGTCCCAAGCCCGATTATGAAGGAGGTACCATCACCCCAGCCGCTTGAGTTTTCATAATCAATAAATACTGACTTTGCTGACTGTTTGTTTGACTGCATAGCCAAAACAGTAACAAGGCTAACGATGAATCCTAGAAAACTGCTGACGAACATCACCATCTCTCCTCGGGGGAGAGCGGTTGGCAAGAAACAGACAATCGCCGTTGAAGTCAAGACCAATAGCATGTAGATCATCCAAGTTTGCCAAGCCTCCACATCATAATTCGGGTGGTATATTCCGGCCAGGTTTCCAGCCATCTGAGCTGAATGTTTATATTTATGAGTATGCGTAACCATGTGTTTCATTTCAGATTTTAGTTCAACAAAAACTCACCACAGACCAGGGCAGTGGATGCACTCGTGAGGGCCCACGCCACTACACTCAGCCAGCCCATAACAAAGGCTACTATGGCACTGTACTTTGGAGGTGTTACCATGTACGCAAAATGATACTGACCGCCGCTGGAGGGATATGCCGAGGCGAGCTCTGCCAGACCCGCCGCTAGAAACAATGGTGTGTCAGAGTATCGTCGCCTTCAGAATCAGAAGTCTGTCCCTTACTAATAAAGCAACTCGCGATTGAAGCGGCAATCAGACCAAAAAACACGGTTGGGCTTCCCCCCAGAAGCAGCGGCGTAATGAAAGTGGCAGAATAACCGAGCCAGGAATTCGTCATGCTGAATCCAAACGCGAGAGTGGAAAAAAGGGAGAATTGCTTTGGAAGTTCATCAGGTTCGTAAACCAGAAGGTTCTCAATATTGTGGCCATCTTTGTTGCCGGTTTCAATTTGATCTGGCATCTTAGACATGGAATTGGATATGAAGTCTGACATTGTAATGATAAGTCAAGCCATCCGAGAATAAAACTATCGGGAAAATGGCGGGTAGAAAGAAGGCGAAAACAGAAAGGCTTCATTCAGTAAATATGCCATTGCTTTAAGCTCTATTTCTTATATACCAGGATAGTAGATCTTGAATTAAACAGACTGACTATCAAACCCCGCAAATTGCTGATTATAGGATTTCGCGGCTGCCAATGAGATTTTCACATTTTGTGCCTCAAAACCTTCCCGAGGGCAAATGATTCATAAACGTCGGGTCCATATCAATTTTGACCACTCCTGGGTGTTTCTCTAATCGCCAGAAAAGTTCTCACTTTAACTTGGCTTGAATTCGAGCCTAATATAGCATCTCATTCATATACCACATTGGGACTAGCTCATGATTACACATTTTTCCTCCCGTGGCCCAAGGTTGCCACGACCGAGCAGCAACATGGATTTTGTCGATGAAACCTAATATTGTCTTCTGCTCTGATTTGTCACATGGCCTGCTAGCCATAGCCCCAATCTCTCGATCAGGATACAGGAAATGATGTTCCGCTATCTATTGATATCATTTACCTACCTAAAAGGTCATGGAAATGTTTGAGATCCATTAGTGTTGAATTGGTGATCATAATTGATGATTTCATATATTTGAAAAGGCAAAGAATATTTAAGGACTGTGGTTATAATGAAAGGAGACTGATCACCAAGAATTTTCAAATATAACTTTTTTTTTTCTCCTTACCTCCCTCCATCATTTCCTCACGGGTACGATGCCGAACAGGTCAGTAGTCACTGGATCCGACTACCCGGGCTATGAACAGCTGGGAAATACTTTCAACATTTCAGCAGCCGTGTCAATTCCTGCCGATGCTCGCATTGTTGCCACCTCAGGCCAAATTGCCGATAATCATGAACCGATGTGGGGAACCCATGCCGAGCAATTCGAAAAATCAATGGTCAATATTGAGAGATCTTTGGCCTCAGCATCCCCTCATATAACCAATCCTAGAGAATTGTGGGGAGGGATATTTTATGTCACGTCATTTCACGTTGGCATTTTGACACGGGAAGAACAATTGCAAATTGCGGAAATTGCCAGGAAATATTTTGGAAACAACAAGCCTGCGTGGGCGGCAATTTGTGTGAATGCCCTCTTCCCACCAGAGGCGTTGGTAGAGATCCAGGTTCAGGCTGCTTATAGATACGGAAAATAAATAAAATGGGCGAAGGCAAGCTGTTGTTACTATCAGAGAACTGCTGAGGTGGATGGCGTGGCGGTGCTCACCCATTCTCTTCATAGGCTCAAGATTGGTCTTATACTAGGAACTCAAATTACCTTTAACTCTTTAGTATCGCTTGTATCTAGTTTTGGTTACTATTTTTCTTTGCTTCAGAACTTATGCTCAGGTGGTGTATACTTGGGGCTTCCCAAAAGCCCGCAACGGTCTCTTAATTTGATAGAGATGCGGAGATAGTTTTATTTAGGGTGGTATGGTGGTTAGTTCACCATAAGTGATTTTCATTGAAGCCGCCTTCTGTAAGCTACTAGTACAAAAAGACAATAGTGGAAGCCGCCTTTTGGTCCACAAGACTTTCCTATGAATTATTTAGATGAAACTAATGAAAGCCAATTCAATTATTTGCTTCCAGATGTAGGAATCTCACGATTCTTAAGCGCATAGGCCTAAAATTCTATTACAATATATGGGCAAAATTCAGGCTTATCATTAAAAATCCAATAATATCACTTCTTCGGGTTGGCAAGGCCTTCCCAGGTAGACAGTGGCAGTTCTTCCCCGAAGTTCCATGACAATGCTGAAAAGTGTAGCATCCATTCCCAAAGGACCTTCCTCGTAACGACATATAGAAAATGGGAAGCCATCATGGTCATCCAAAATATGTGTGATATCAGTTGCATCTGGTTCTCTATCCGTAGATGAGCCAAATTCCGAAGTTAGTTGCTGGATACGCTGCTGTCGTGGAGGCGAGTCTGCCAGCCAGCCAGCATCCACGGGACCATCGTGTTCCAACAGCAAGTGATTTGCGTGAACAATACGGTTTTCCTTATCCATACCAATAATTCTGATAGTCTCTGCGGTTGACTCCAGCCCGAAAGCCTTGCCTTTATCAGCAATGAGAATATGAGCTGACGCAGCTATTCCAATTTCTTGTAGCCACCGAGCAGCATCATCGGCTGATTGACTATCCAGTACTGATCGAAGCGCAAGATGAACTGGAAGACGCGACAAATCGTAACCCGGAACCTTAATGGCATTCAAGCATACACCAACGCCGAATTCATTAAGTCCAATTTTTCCGATTATACCAGCTTCGGTAATCATCTTGATTCGAGGTCCGTTGTCCCTGGTAATGTCCAAGATAACAAGGCTCTGCTTTTGCTCTTCCATCCACTATGCGAATGTAAGAAAGTGATTATAGTAATTTCAAGCCAAGCATAACTTACATCCCAGTTCTGGGCTAGAAAGGATTTGGTCTGGGTTTTCCAATACAAGCTCGTACACCCATCATTGAACATTCCGAACGCGATCTCGGTGCGAATGTTGAGTATCAAAATGTCGATAAATGGTAATCCAGAACCATTTGCAATACCTAAATTATTTTTTCTTGTCAGGAACGTAAGGTCCAAGAGCTGAATACAGAGTTGGTGCCATTCAACTCTAACTTACCCTGGATCTCATTGTAGTACTTCGGCAACTTCTGCTCAATTTCACCCTGCCAGCCATTGGCGATTTCGCGTACCGTATGCCATTCCATCTTGCAAGTATGCAGAAACATCTTCTGGTAAAATGAGACACTACGGCTAATCATTTCCTTTGCGCCCACTCCATGTGCCTGTCCAATCTATTGTTTTTCAGAATGAATTAATTGGGTGAACTCAGATTCAAGAATAGTAGCGAGAGAAAAATTACCTCGTACGGCGCTCCATCGCATTGAATTGTTTTCATCTTCGGGTAGTAGTTGCAATCCAATCCCTGGGCTGATTTCTTTTTTTGAAAAACTTTTTGACTGTTCAATCATCCAAGTAATAGACCTGTTATATATAAATATGGGCCCCGAATTAATTACCATTTGCAGAAATTTGTATTTTAGTGGGTAATAGGGCAGAATTCTTAGATGAGGCGAAATCTATAGTATTGACCTCGGGAATGACTATTTTTGGGTATTAGTTGATCACTCAATTCCTGTCCATTTTAGGAAGGTCGTTGAACGGGCCCGCGTATGAGAATATGACCGCTAAATCCTGACAGCGTAAGCTCAACATTACCTGGATTAGCATATTGTTTCTTCATTCTAGGTCGAATATGATGCTGCGAGAGACCCTTCACTGTCTTCAATATGTTAAATTCCTGTTCTGTGTCTGATTGATTGCTTCGCTTGAAGTCTCTGGAAATAGCAAGGAAGGGGATCAAGGAAAGCATTCAACGCCCAATTCTTTTCTTGATACTTGACAAAAACACAAAACTATGAAAGTGGTGATGATCCACGAATGCATAAAGATCTAGGAGGAAGCCAGACATCGCTGCCTGAGGCATACGGCCTTTGTCTGTATGGGAAAATACAGTGTACAGATGCAAAAACTGTGCGTGCGCACTTTCTAGCCTAGTGGCGTATTTTGTCCGTTTTGGTTCCACAGCCTTCACAATACTGCACGGTCGGTCCTTCCAAGGTTGTTGTCAATATAGGTGAAGGTGCACAGAACAAGATAATTGCATTCCATTTATATAATGAAAATATACTAAAAGAACCTGAATGGGAACCAATCCATCCATGCAGTGGATGGATCTTTTAGATAAGATTTCAAAAAGAAAATCGCATTGCGTCGATACCTATATCTGTCGTCGCTCCGAGTCACGACCTTGTCTCGGATCGGCTCAATTTGCGCCTGGTACGTGGAATCATTACAGAACTATTGTATCTTAAATTAAGAGTTATTGACCCAGGTCTCTGAAGTATTTCCGTTATCAAGACCTCTCATTATGCTGTCGAAGAAAGCCATTCCGACACCCTGGAATGCCCAGTCGTCCACCCCGGCAGTTAGGCCAGGATCCTGAGAGTTCTGCGGGAGGGCATCAGAAACTTTTCCTGGACATCGTGATGCGAGCTGTTCAGATGGGCCATTCATGTTATCGACAGAGTTGTAATTCGATTCAATGATTGACCTAGAAAAATCATTTCCGTCGGAGCGACCAGAACCAAAACCACCCACTGCAGTGTCTGAGCTGTCGGAGTTCTGCATACCAACCACCGGAGCTAAGGGCTGGCCATTACTTATAGGGGATTGTGCGTTGACTATTTCCTTGAAAACAATTTCATGACGAGCAATCCTGACAATGCCAAAGTAAGGTATTTGCACTTGAACAACGCCGCTGTCGTTTTTACTTGACTGCGACAGTGTATCTTCTTATGTCTGAACGCTGACACTCTCGGTACTGACGCCATCTGCTGTTTCGGAATCGATGGCCAGCAAGTCATACAATAAGCTCGCACTTTGGGCACTTAAAGTATCTCCGTTAACACGGCTGATCTGTTCTATATTCACCTGCGCCTGCTCGATCATGGCGCGATCACTAAGATATTGATACGCTAAGAGATTGTTGGTTTGTGGAAAACGGTGGCTGTCAAGATGCGCCAGAAGTAGCGTAATAGCGGCCATAAGTGCAAAAAGAATCAACTGTCCGACAGCAGAAAGTATTACTGCTGTAACCACGAAATATGAGAAATCGCGAGAGAATTTCTCTTGAGGCATTTACGCAGATTATTCTGGAATATTCGTGCTTTCGGTCCTGTGATGAACGAAGAATATAAGGAAGATGGAGCTGATTGAGCAAGTTGTAATGATACAACTGGTTGAATAGTCTTCCCATATCGAACAATAGAGCCTGTAGGTTATTGATGACACTGCCTAGGTTTGGCATAAGCCACCACTTGCTAGGCATGCTTCTTCCCGCTTTCTGTAGCTCCAGGTCGAGGCTTTGTGTCAGGGCAGATTCATTAGCGTATGGGTCAGACTCGTTGCGCTCCAATATTTGGGACGCGAGAGTACAGTGCATACTCTCAAGGCGACCCATAGGGATATCATCCATGAATACTGTGCCAGTGGCCATACTCTGATCAAAGGAGCCTTGCGTAAGGCCCAGCATAAGACACAAATTACGGTCAAGTGAGACAATTCGAAACCACATAAACTGCGGATAAGCGTTCGTTTTGTCGTCAAGAACCTTGTATTTTGCTCGACTTTCAATGAACATTTGTGCGATAACCATAGCCCTCCGGTTCGCTATCCAGCTTCGTCGGAGGCTTCCACTATTATGGTGGTACGTGCTTTCTATCATAACACACTCCAGCGCTTCAATAATGCCAAAAAACTCATCATTCGTCGTGACCAATTCAATAGCAGTTTCTGCTAATCGCTTTATCAGTGCGGGGAGTGGTTCCGGCAAACCGTTTCTTGCTTCAAGAATATCAGGGTGGAGATACTGCAGAAAAGTAGCAATGTAAAGCATATGTCTTGCGATCAGCACTGGATGTAAATTCGTACTAGGTATTTTAAGTAAACTGTCTGGAGACTTGAGGCTGTTTGATTCAAGAATATGATATAGAGTTTTCAGTATCTTATAAAAAAGTATAGCTTTCCTGTCACGGGCATTGCATATTATTTCCATAGCTTGGCACAAGGGCAAGAATCCGTATAATCTTCGGCATAGTTTTTTATGTTTCCTCTGCGATTTAAGCGGGCTATAATCCTGATAAAATAGTAGTAAGCAACAGTTTCATCAAGATCTCGAATTTAATAGGGAAAAAATATATATACATCTGAAGGCTTATATAAAGACAAGAAACGTAAAGGTTCCTGGTCTACTGAGGCTGTAGCGGTAGGGATCCTATAACTGCTACCGGGTATAGGAATTTCACCAGTTGTGGGCACTCCTAATCTCCTATGACTGTCTACTTTCTTGATTAGCTGCTCAACTAAAGCCTCAACCCTCGTATCCTGATCTTTATCTTTACCCCTTGTGTGTCAGCCTTTCCTCTCGATATTTCCTGCGTTCTCTCTTTTACCGATAAACTTAAACTCTTGGCTGACACATTTGGACCCTCGCTGCTGACAGCCTATACAGAGGGCTTAATTATAGCTTGGAAAGCTGGAGTCTGTATATACACATTTTATCTTGCGCTTTTTACACTATGAACAACTCTTTATCCCTTTACGGATCTTCTTCTGCTTTGCCTCTGATTCAGCACTGATCTTGTATTCTGTATCTATATCGATGGGAGCAAGTCTGTCCGTAAGCTAGTCACTTTTTTTTTGGCTACAGAGATAAAGGATGATAGAATGTTAACTGAGCAATTCCAAGGGTTATATTGGACCGCCGGCAGAGAATTCTCGGGGATTACGGGGATAGCTGACTCAGCGGATATTATTCGACCGCCGAATGTAACATACGGCGGACGAAAGCTCCTCTGCATTTTTACCATTATATCTTGGATTCAGTGTAAAATATAAAACGGATAATAATTTCTCCTCAAAAGATAGGACGGAGAAGCACCAGCTTCTTAGAAATAGCATCGGCCGCCGAAATATGCTACAGTGGGCCAGTGACTGTTTACTCAGTACCCGTTCCTCTGTCCGGCCAAATATCTTAAAGAAACTCCGCCGGGGAAGGCTTAAATTTGGCGGATATTTGTATTCTATGCTTTTTAAAATATAAAAAAGTTCTAATAAGGCTTATCTCTATGTAAGACTATTATTACTTACTTTATCTTATCCTATTATATAGCAAACATTATTCCTTTGAAACTATCGAGCAGATATATTCCATCACTATTAGCGAAAATAAGTTTAATACTTAAGATAAACAAGGAGCGGCAAAACACAGAATCTAATATACAGTCCTCAATAACTAATTATTCTTCTACAGCCGACTTAGAGTACGATAATTATAATGCTTCTTGTAATGGCCATACGATGGCAACATAAAGTGTGCCTTTGGGAGCTTACTTACGTTTCCCTTTGTTTTGCCATATATAATATAAGCGGAATGCTCTAATTTATTAGGCTGTATGTATCTTTATCTGAAGGTTATTCAAGCACAGTCATTACGTTGTATTACCTGTGCCAATAGATATCATTCAACCTCACTATTACAGTAACTTCTACTTTGATACGACGCGGATTTGAAGCTTTACTTCGACAAGAGCTAGGTACCGATGAATTTACGATAAAATTAAGTCTTATGCTATGAACTATAGTTATTAAAAAGGATCTAATCAGTCCAGATTATCCATTTGGTATTGGATGACTCTGAGGCGGTCTATAGAATGCAGCCGTCTGTCTAGAAAGCTGTAAATCCAGCTTCGCAAAAGGCTTCCAGACGGTTCTAAGTAAGCCTGGGAACTATAAATCTTTTGGAGTTTGGAATGGCTGATAACAAATTACGCAGTTGTTTTACTATATGCTGCTATACTAGCCGTTGTGCTAATTATCTACCTAAGAGAAATCTCTCTTAAATGATCCTGAAAACTACCGTTATACTGGATGGTAGATAAATATTTACGACTAATATGCTGTAAGATATTATAACGCTCAACCTAACCAGGGGCTGGTCTTGTTAGGGGTTGATGAGGATCGCAAAGATGGCATATATAGCCGAAGGTTTAGCTAAGGACTTGGGATAAAGCTAGGGGATAGAATAGACGGCCTAATTAGGAAGTTGTGACTTATACTGTGAGAAATAAGCTCTGCTTAAGCTTAGAAGTTTAAACTTCTCCTTCCCCTTCCCCTATATTTAATACGGCTTTAATCCAGACCTCTATCGGTTGAATTCCTTTGATTCTTAGTAGAGATAGTACTGATCGTTATATCCTAGGCATCTTGCGAAATAAAATAATCGTTAAATACTTTTAAATAGCTCCTACTAAATTCTATATGATTTTACTTTGTCAAAAAAAGAAGTCTCGTCGGCTAGATCAGTTATTAAGACTAGAACAACTGAGCACTGGTATTCTTTACCCCAATAAAGAAGAACAAATATACCTGTGCCTTCTCTAAACAATTACTATAATAAATTTGCCAATGTATTTTTGTAAGTATTGTAGGCTACCTTGCGGGTATCCTTTACCGTTATCTTTGGCTTAAAGCCTGGCCTTTGCTCTTCTACTGTAGCCTCTTATGGAGCTCTATTCTTATAATTATTCAGAGAATTAGTAGATATTTTCTGGCCTCAGAGGGTTCCTTGTATATTATATTTCAGGGGGTGTAGAGGGATGATTTTCTGAACTTAGGAATTGTGAATATTATTGAAATTGGTGAGGGGTTAAGAGAGTGCTTCGAGAATAAAAAGCGATAAAACTTTTCAAATTAAGTATAAATAGATTAAACGTTGATTCTGTAACTTAGGAAAACAATATAAGCTGAAATTATTTTTATATTCGATAGGTTTATTCTCTCAGCAAGTCGGTATTAGGAGAGCCCTTTCTGGTACTGGGAGCTCACTGATATTCGTACTGAAAACTAAAAAAATAGATCTGGAGAGTTAGAGAGCCAGAGACCTTTAAGCGATACCCTAAAATAGCCGCTCCTCAACAGTGGCCTTACTGCCCTTTTTGCCTTTAAGCTTCAAGATATTATAGAGCCGCTTATTATACTGGCGGTTTGCTTTCAGGCTTGGAAGTTCAACAGACTTTTCGTTAGAAAGTTTAAAGAGGCTGGAGTAGGAGTTCCTAATACTCTCGAAGAGATTATACGCTTGGTCTGTTACTGGCTCTGTTCTTATAGTGGATGCTCTTTTGCACTCAGTTAAATTATTATCAACGTTGTGCTTATGCATTGTTGTACTGTTATTTTGAGGAGAAAGTCTTCTGTATGTAGGGTTTCCTCTTATAGCCTATAATCTATTATTCGCCGTACGCTTTGAGACCAGGTTAAATAGTAATGTATCTTTTCCTAAGCCGCCTAATGGAAGTCCTCTATATAGAGGCTATCTCTAGAGTAATACAAGCTTTAGATCAGATAGCTTGGCAGAGGTATTATAGGCTAATCACTCTTCATTTTGCTGTCCGGCTAAAGTAGCCCGTACTGTATTCGCACGACTGAGGGTAATAATTCCTACCTAGGTTCTCAGTTTCTCGTTAAGCACTCACCTTTTTTAACCTAGGTTGCGCAACAGAAAAGCAGTGATCAGCTGTTTCCCTACCAGGCTAAGCCGATTGATTAGCGAGCCTGGCTATTTGGTAAGTAGCTAAAATACAGTAAGTAGTACGGTAGGTACGGCCCGGGCAAGAATAGGGTAAGCGCTGCTTTAGCGTCGTACGACTTAGGTAATTAGGGTAAGTGTGTGATAGATAGGGTAAGAATAGGGTAAGAAAGGGGTAAGAGCAGGTGAGTATGACGCTCTGTCGCCTGAACATTGTACGGGCCCTTTTAGCTGTATCAATATAAGCTATAATTAGGCTAACCTGGTCTCTCTGAAACGCTCGGTATCTTGGTATTGGTATATAGCCACTAAGATTAAGAATAGATAAGTATTTCCTTCGCTGCTATAAACCACCAGTGCAAGGACGTTCCTTCTTACAGTAGCGCCTAGTATTGCCTTCTATATCGGAAATATAGAGATACTCTTTCAAACCCTAATTATATAATTACCTAAATCTAGATATAGTTACTCCTGTATTTTAGATTATGTTTTGGTTTTAAACCGTAAGATTAAGACAGACGACAGCTGTAATTTTATATATTATTACTGATCTAAAAATAACTATACCCGCCATATCCTTGTCTTAACTCAAAATATCCTAACCCAGGTAAGAATTAACCTATACAGTTATAAAATAACGCTAAGCCTAAGTCCCTAGCAGTATAAGATAATTATGTACAAAATAAGCAGCAAAAGCAGACCGACTATATTACAAATGGCTGAATTAGCGAAGTACTGTAAGTATTATATTACTAATATATATAAGAACATACGGTTGTTCAGCAGCCTATTTCTCCCACAATTTCCCCTAGCCCGCTACTAAGTATATTATCCTTTATTGCTAATATTATTCAATATTTATTGTCTATAAAGAGAAAATTATAGGTTGAGTCTAGTTCAGAGGATATATTAATTAATGTAGTGGGGGAATCGCTCTGGTGATATCAGGTGACGTTGTAGGCCTGAGGCCTTACATTCATGCAGTATATAAGCCCTCGATGATAGTTAGCTTACACAACACCTTTCGGGTCACCAATGTTATTTGCGTTATTTCG